ACCTCACTGCTACATCGTCTACTAGGCTTGACCACACTATAAACCCTGCTAATAGTCTGCCTGACTATTGGAGACGTTAGGTATATTTGGTATCTAAGTCTCTGTCCACGTTGTGGACTAGTACGTGTGAGAAAGCACACGTGGTTTCGAACGTTCTAGCAGGAAATGCTTCATAACACTCGCTTTCCTATGTGTCTACAGCCCTCATAAATGTTTACCTCAGACAATATCAGGAACTCCTGGATCTGCTCTCGCCTAACCCGTCAGGGCTCTCTGGTCTGAGTAGAGGAGTAAAGACCAACTCGAAACTGAGGGGTAGGCCTCAGCTCGAGTCAGTATATATGCAAGTGGGGTAAGACCCCTGGTACTGGGTGTAGGACCCTGTGTACCCTAGATTTGTACTAATACATCATTATGGCATGCTATGGTGTGCTCAGGCCTAGTGGAGTCCATCTAAGTCTAGGAGTGTCTATGGAGTCCAGGCCTATGATGTCACTATGACATAGGGTCACGTGACTGATACATGTCTGAGGGATGTCTGAGTGGTGTGGGTGTCCTATGGTATACACGTGAAGGCGTAGTGATACATTCTATATATGGTATATGGGTGGATAAATAATGGTCCGTGGGCACTTGAGACTTGTGGCACGGACAAACCATGACACCCCGCGGACACCACCGAACGTGGATGAGGGAATGGTATCGTTCATGCATATCACGTCGGAGCAGGATGATGAAGCAGGCGTGGATACAGGTGTTGGGGGAGGGTCCTGGATGAGTAGACTGTGGAGTCGGGTGAGGGCGGGGATGGGGATAGAGGTTGGTGAGGGTGAGAAGAGGAGGGAGTCTGGGATGATTAAGAGGGAGAAGAGTAGCCGGTGATTGAGGGGGGAGTGCGGTGCAGGCGATGGCTTGAGAAGGCTCTGCATTCAACTGGGTGCTTTATCGTTTGGTTTGTTTTCAATTGGTCAGATGGAATAGAAAGAAGGAAGGCATATGGACTGGAACTCGCACTGTACACTACGCATTGTCATGTCTTTGTTCTTGTGTCATTATGCATCATAATTGTTGGTCATCATTGTTAGTTGGAACATATTTGTACCTGTCGCCTTTCATGGCTATGTCTAAAATCTTCTCGTATGGACTATATGTTGAATTCAACTTGTGTATTCGTACCTGTTGCATGTTCCTCTTGTTGACCAAGCAGATGAATCTGGTGATCTGTTCCAAAACTTTGCACGTATCAGCCACCAGATTGAGTTGTGTGACTGAATGGTCTGACATAGCGTGTGCAAGTACGCTGCTGAGATAACAGTTCACACTGAGCACTGTAACAGTCTCGAACATGCATCGTGTTGTACTGCCTCTGTCGAGCGCACATTTATATATCAGGACTTGAGCTTTGGAACCAAATAACCCATCACATCGGAACTATCCGCAGCTCACCATGCCAATCATCGCACCGCACGACATCTATGCCAAAGAATTATTTCAATGCAGATACGGGTTGCCTCTGTGGTTTCCCAAGCCTGGCAGATTGGGTGAAGTCCTTATCGGGGATGTCGGGTTCCTACAGGGTGGTGCATTCATCCATCTGTTCAATGCCGCTCGTCCAGCCGATGATGAAGTCAACAAGGTCTATGGCGTACCGGACGATTTTGAGCAGTTCATTCTCGTGAAATGGGATATAAATGAGTGCACAAATGCGATCAATGCTGGTCCGGTGTGCAGCAAGAGTGCCACCACCGCAAAGGTCGATGCTGAGGTCAGCATGTGAGTAGTACCGTGATGGAGATCATTGAGATAGTATCTGACGTTCACACTAAACTATATTCCCTATATCACAGTGGGCAGGTGGGAGCTTCATTTCATTCCAGCTGCGTAGATTGTCAGGGAGCATTCTTGCTTCTAAAGGAATCCATGAATCAGCAGCAGCTCTTTCGGAGCAAAAGTCTATTTGTATACTTGCTGCGTAACATGCCACGCTGGCATGTGTTTGCTCGAGATGTGTGTGACATGGTCCTCGTGGAAGAAGACATTCTCTTTGTTTCTCGGTGGGTCAAGACAACCGAGTAGGCTCTGGGAGTGCTCACAATGGGCCAACATTCAATCAAACTTAGGTTTGCTGCAGAAGCGACAGTAGGCACCTCATTTTCATTCTCCCATGCTGAAGATACTGCTATACTTGGAGGTGTGGGCTGACACTCATCAAGGATGCATCCAGTCCGAGGACAGAGCAAGCAGAACAGCGGAAGGCCTCATGGCACAAGCGGCGCAAACAGAAGCAACCCGATGCGCGAGTAGACGACTCGAAAAAACACCAGTCACTGAAGCAGGATCAGTGCATCTTTTTGCACTACCATAAATTGAAATCCTGTTTGATGTTCCTTCCAAGGCAACTGAAGGTGGCTGCAGTGCCCAACAAGCCAGGAGATGATCCTGAGAATGGTGATTCAAATGCCGCTGTGTTGGCAAATCAAGATGCAATGACTGGCACAAGCAATGATGAACAATTCAAAGTAGAACAGATTCCAGGCATTGACGAGGTACGTTGAGGAAGTTCTTTTGCCGCAAAAACCTTGGCTAAATATTGTATAAAAGCCATATGAGCCAGCACAGCTACTATTGACCACATTTTGGAGGTATGGGTGTTTTCATTCTCTTCATGCATATCTATAATACAGTTGGGCTGGTGTAGCATTCAGATGCAGATGTTGCAATTGTGAACGATGAGGAAGTGTTTGCTATCATGCAGGTAAGTTGATGCTGCTTCTCTGTAAGATGATGCTGAATTGAATGACTGCTACAATGATATGAAGAACACACCGTATGTTGACATTAAGGATGTTTTGCGTCACTGTCCACTTGCTATATCTATGCATGCAAACAGCAGTAGGTGATTTGACTGATTCTCAGAATGATTGCTCACCATCAGTCAGTTGGAACTATTGAAGTGAAAGCTGCTATTGGGTCTTCAGAGTCAGACATGACACCTAGGGTGTCAAGTGGCTCTCAAAAAACTGCAATCTCAAAGACTTTGACATGAGGTGATATTCTTCGCACTGATCATATGATAAGAAAAATGTTAAGTTCTTTTTCTGCTGATCATAATAGGTTCAAAAGGCACGAGAAAAAATAAGTGAGAATCCACGCAGGATCGCCGGGTGTTCGGTAAGCAGAATACAGTCATACATATGGTATCCACATGCCAGACAATGACTGACATTAGTGAAGGACAAGGGAGTCAAAGTGATCCCTATAAAAGATGAGGGGATGTGAATTATGCCCAGTCTGATGCTTGAATTGTGATGCTCTTTGTGACAGTTCTGGCCACCTTTCACTGAAACCATGGATGTCTCTGCTGTATTAGTCTTTGAAGAGATATCTTACAGTCAGCTACACTTTCAGATGGCATAGGCTTGCCCAAATCAAAAGCTTGGGTCCTTCGCAGAGTTCAAGTTTAGCTTGGGCTCCATAAATAACGTCCAGACTTTATGAAAGGAGTTTTAACCATGAGCGTACTGAACAAGCAGCGGGCGCACATTCACAGACTTGCCAAATGTGGCATGGATGCTGTCCAGTGATATTTGCGGGGCCTGGGGAAAGTGCCACCACACGCGCTTAGTGCTGCTTTGTGCACACCTCATGCATGCCTCATGCGTGCTTAGTGCCACCTTGTGCATGCCTCATGCATGTCTCACGCGTGCTCAGTTTCTATGCATGCCTCGCTCAACTGCCACTTCATACCACTTCACTGCCGCCATCCTACCACTTCGCTGCTGACCTCTTAAAGAGTCTGATGCAACCTGTGCTGATGACCACGGTGACTCAAGCCTGGGACGCCAGGTCATCTTACAGAGGTTCTAGTGTATCCTCACTTCTGTCCTACCTGCCCTGCCACTGCCAGCCTCTTTAATGTCTGATCAATGTATATCGCATTAAATTCTGTTTATACTCACAGTAAGGACTCTGTAAATGTTAGAAGAGTACCCACACATGAGTAAGTCACCTCACATCGTGGTGATTCATTTTTCTCCTTCAACATGTCATGCTTGCTTTGGAGCATTAGTCCCTCAGTTCTTCGGCCTGGGCTTGGGCCAATTTTTGGGCTGCTCAACAGCTTCAACCATAGGAACACATTCAGAATCACTAAAGTCCAGCCCGCACTACAGGAATGCTCCACATGTGAGCACACATTCTCCTTGACAATTTATAGTAGATGCCACGACTCACCACCAGCTCTTCCTCAGTACTTTCATAATCATGATGGAACCAGTGTAAAGGCAAGTCTTGATATGGATCTCAATCATCTTGATGCAAACCGCTGTCGAGACCCCATTGATAGTATCCAGCTGGTCCAGCGACCGCTAACTTCTCAAACATGTGCATTTTGAGACTGGAGATGCACTCACGGTCAACATCCACATGATCTCGTGGGTCCGGGGTGCCGTTCATTTGAAATCTCCATGCTCGGTCGAGTTCAGCATCATGCATAAACTCTGGCAAGTGCCTCGCAAGTATAACCAATGTGAAGGCATGACACAGTGGGTAGCGACTGAGCCATTGGTGATCTTCATTCTGTGCGCTGCTCACATGGGTGGCGAACCAATGCGAAATGTGAGCCTGATCTTGAACACTGAGATCACCCACAAAGAACTCATTCGGTGGCTTCATCAAGGCCGTCTCTTTGCATTTTTCACAGGAGTCCTGCATAAGCTTCAAGAGGTGGTTGACCACCGGATATTCCATGCATCATTCATTAATGCTGCCCGATTTCTCCTCTTTGCAGTTCTTCCAGTCCAGCTGGTCATCAATGAGCAGATGATGTAAAGAGCTGAGATGTGGATGCAAGATGCTGTCAATCTCGTTCGTGTGAGGGTAGGCTCGATAGTTGAACAAGATGTCTTCATCAGTCTCTAGCGTAGATGCGTGTACCCACTTCCCAAGCTATACAGAACATCAGGATGAGTTATTGTTGATCATTTGACAAGTTAGCGCTATGCACTCTGATCTGATGACGGCGCATTCTATCATGCCATAGCTCATCAATAAGGCAATTGTCCGCGATTCGCACCATTGAATCTGGTGCAGGCTCTCAGAACTGACACGCTCGCCACCAAACGACATGCCATGTCCCGTCATCATAGCATGTGATCAAGTGCACTGGATACCAGAACTTGTCATGCAGAGCGAGGGCACCTTGGCCCATCCTGTTAAGTAGTGTCCAAAATTCAGCACAGGTTCTAATTGAGCTGAAGACATCACACTTACCTGAGCCGTTTTGGCAGTGGTATGATTTTTTGCTTGGCATGCCTTCCTCGACCCCAACATCACCTGACTTGCTCTACCATAGGTGCCAAACCTGTCAGTGAGCAAAATGCGCAGATGAATGCTGCCTTTGGAGTGAGACGATCCATTGTTGCCCATGGTTGGCAGAGAATGTGAGACCAGTTTGAACATAGGTCACACTGTATCACATCTTGCCTATCAGCGAGTTGAAGTCCGTTTGAACCCTTGGCTCCGCAGTGACAATGAAAATCAAATTCAGTTTTTGATAGCTCCGTAGCAGCATCAGAGTCAGAATTATGTGACATGTGCTTCAGATCATCGCAGGCTGACTTCGTCGATGATGGTTGTCCCTTTTTGCTTGATGTGCATGCCCGTTTTGCTGAGGAGCCTGTTACATCAATAGATTCTCGTCTTCTTTTCCCGCTATGTGAGATGGCAAGTTGAGAGATAATCGGGGTGATTTTTGCTTCTTGCATGGAATGTTCTAAGCACATCTCAGATGAGTCGGTGAGTTATCAGTGATGTCTACTTTGATATGGTATGTCTGGTAGTACATACCTGATACATCTTCAGACACGCTTCGTGTCACAGTGTTGTAGTCAACAAATCATCGATTATGAGGATTAGAAAGCCAGAAGCGGTCTTTGTCCTTTAATTGATGCATATTGCTGCCCGTCAGCTCGCAACATGGTAGCTTCTCAAACCCAGTCTCGGAGATCTGAAGCGAGTGCTTCACTTTTAGGTTATTGACGAGAGTCTCCTGTATGAACTGTTGAGCTTTCATGCCACCCCGCAGATGATATATAACTGCATGGGTAGTGAAGCCTGATGGGAGAGAGGCTATATGAGAACCAGCCAAGTGAGAACTGATCTTGCTTCCATATGAATGACGTGTCAGCCCTCCAAAGGTCATGCTGTCATAGTCGACCACTGCCTTGGTGTTATGTGGGACAAATCGTGTGCCAAAGTGACTCTTGCTGGGGCTATAGAGAATACGACTGACGATATCATAGACAGCATCATTTTCGCACTTTGACAGAGGCTTGAGATGTGCTGGAAAGGACCATTTGCCATCAATACCCTGAGAATCAACCTCAACCATGAGCATCACTGGTAATGACATGCACATTCAGAGCTCCTTCGCAAAACCTGAGCACAAGGCATCTCCTTTCACAGATCACCAGCATTGTTCAAGATTGGCAAATGCTGTTGGTGCAATCAAATGATGAAGCCACTTCTGCACATTGCCCTGGAAGCGTTCAAAGTCAGCAGCTGCCAGCTGAAAGAAGAAGTGCTGTTCGGGGTGGCTTGAAATCTGATAATGATCACCTGAGCCTAAGCATTGTCAGAGATAAATGAATTGACCGCAGAAGTAAGCTTCAGCCTTTCGATCAAGTTCTCTTTTACTTGCATCTGAGATGAGTGCAGACAGCCAGACCTGTAAATGAAGAATCACATGTTGAATGGTGTCAATGAAGCATAGCCTGAGAACATACGAAGGCAGCTTCAAATCTATTTCCTGGACGGATAATGTTCGCATTCCGTAACATGGTTTGAAATCCATTCCAAAGGCAGTTCAGGAACTCAGAGTAATCTTCTGCACTGCCATCGCCTTGCTTGGTATGCCGTTGATCTATTGCATCATAAAGATGCCAAAGAAGACTATCCTTGTGCTTCTGAGTGAATTGGCTTGTGAAGTCACTATAGTCATGCTCTGAAACTTGGTAGACAATGTCCAATGACACGTCAAGCCAACACGAGTTTGCACACCACTGAAAGCTTTGCTGCACCAGTGAGTAACGAGTTTCACGCCTGGTACCTTTTGCTTTGGCAGCAAGTGACTTGAGTTTGGCTCTCTTCTTCTTCAACAGCAGGTGAGCATTGTCTGGTGCACGTCCATCATTTGCTTTCCTTCGGTTGTGACCAGGGATGTGAGATTTTTTGGTCCTTCCAATGCGAGCTGTGGTCTTTTTCCATGGTTCGGGATGGCCGTAATGTGTGAGAACTCCATCTATTCATGCATAAATGTATGAAACTGATGACAGAGATAAGCATGATGGACTTACTGCTGCCACCTGCAATCTGGCGTTCAAAGTAGATGACGAATTGGCGGATGGCTTTTAGGCCAGGTAGCATTTGATGTCTCTTTCCAACTGCCTGATATATCTTGTAGTGCATCCCTTCCTCTGCATTTGTTGTATCAGGTAAATGATCCCAGAGCTGACCGTCCATCTTGCGATATGCTGGAAAAAGCATCGATGCATGTTCTTCACAAAGCCACCAGTTGAACCACACCTTGATATGAGGGAAATCGGACAAAAGCTTGTGCGCAGTTATATGGAAGGCTTCAGCATCATCAGCATTCAATAGCTGTGTCATATACTTGCAAAATAGATGAGATTTATTCTCAGGAACCACGCCACCGATCCATCCAACATGTGCGATTGATGTGCGAAATGTTGCGCACACCCGTGCAAGTGTTTGCTTGCTGCTTCCAAAAGTTCATGTTCACTGTGTTTGTCCTCTGACTGGGATTGCCAGAAGCATACAAATGCAGCAACAAATCCATCACGTTCAGCTTCACTAAAATCAATGACCTGATATAGCATGCACAGTCAAATTCGCAGACAGGTTTCAGGACTGTAGTAAACTCACCCCGCTAAACAACTCGTCTGTAAGCACAATGCCACGTCTTTTGGCCTCCTCTGCAATGCTCTTGAAAAGTGCATAAAAGTGGTGCTTGAAGTGCTCGCTAGAGCGCCCATTCACATATGACAGAATTCCGGGAACCCAGCGATTAAGGAGAGGGCTATAGCCAGACGTGATTATAAGAACAGCGTTGCGGTCCTCCCAGAAGCCATGAGCAGCATCAGATACAAGACCATTCAGGCCATCATCGAGAATGCAATCCTTCACAATCTGTGCCAACAGCATTGTGCTTTGCATGCAGATTACTGTCACAGAGCCGAATGTCTTGTGAATTATAAATCTCAGATTGTTCTCCTCGAATTCAGCAAACCCAGCAATTAACTCGTCACCGCCTTTCGCAATGGTAGAAGTGAGCTTCTGTTGCTCCTTCTTGACTCTATCAATATTGAGAAGCACCGAGGAGATGTCCGCTACAGAGTGACCAGGCCCAATCAAGGTAGGAACCCCTACAATGAGTCGCAACGGTCCAACGGAGGGGTGCTGATCAACGATCTAGGCAAACTCGGCTTCTTGATCTCTCGTGAGGTGCAACAGATGGGTCAGAGGCACATGTGTATGCTCATGATGATGTTCAACATACAGCCTGTGCTTGTATTTCCAAAGTGTCATTGACGCATGACAGCGTAGATGGTGAAGCTTGGAACCGCATTTGCATGGCATAGCAAGTTGATGCTCCAACGCAGTCTTGCATGTCACTGGGTGCACGACAATGGAACATTCGGGATTGCTGCACTTGATAGCACCTAAGCAGTGGCGATAGAACTGCTTCCCATCCTCCCATCTGTCAGCCTCGCTGTTGCCCTTCTTCGATCCATGATTCTGGAATGCCCAATGTATCATAGCATCCTTAGTCTCTGCAGCCTCTGCATTTGTGAAATGCCACTTAACTATGCCATTTGGCCAGCCATCCCATGCTGTAGTCATTGACCCATCCACTGAGCCCTTCTGTGACCCTGCATTTTGATCTGCTTCCGAGTGCCGAGTGCCATCTAATGTGATCACAGCTGCAGATGCATTGTTCTGTGAGTGTTCCACGGATGCATCAATTGTGGATTCCTTCTGTGACATTTGCAATCCCTTGGCATTGTCGGAAGGATGACGTGTGGAGGTGATATGAATCGATGAAGAAGCCGCTACTCTAGCAGTGTGCGCAAGTCTTGACTTCGGAGAAATGTCACCCTTGAGACAGGAGGAACTGAACGCTTGCGTGTCTTCTGCAGTCTTCAAGTTGTGTTTGTTTTGTCTCGCTAGCATGTCAGTCATCAATCTGGTCGGTTGCCATGGTGTTTTTCTTTCGAAGAAGTTTATGATCTTGGTATCATGCCCACGTTCTAGCTTTAGCTCACTGACAGCAGATCTGGAGTGCAGCTGTGCTTGCGACGAATGTGGAACTGCATCGACATGAACATGCTGTGACTTTACAGGATCTGACAAGGAAGAACTTGTATTGATAAAGGGGTCTGATGCTGCACTTGATGGCCCAGAGGGCAAGGCATGACCGTCACGTAGTACATATCCAGCGATAACTCCTATGTATGATGATCAGATACTGGCTGGATCGTGAACGAGATCAGCACATACCTGCAGAATTGAACACGGGTATCAACCCAGGTAGAGGTTGCGAGATTTGTGAGAGTGCAGATGTCAGTCCAGAGTGCTGGTCAGGGACATCCTGGGGTCGTTTTGAGTGATCTTGCAGGCGCGTCCTGAAGTAACGTAAGACATGTTGGATGAAACCCTGCAGATGATGTTATGAGCTAGAAAAAGATGAAGAAGGAATGGAGACAAACCAGAATCATCCCCCCCACCTTCTCCTGCAGTTCGACCGCTAGAAACTCAGTGGTGTAATGAATGATATCAGAAGTGTCTGCAAAAAGCAGACTCCGGAAAAATGAGCATAGGACTTTTGATGTGGATACCGCTAATAGATCACAGCTGCAACCATAGTAGAGACAGAAATAATATGATGAAGCAGGGGGGGAGCGTTGACATCGCACTAGGTGCAATCGGTTGCGCTGCCGCTTCTTGTGCCGCCACGCATGCTTAGTGCCGCCTCACGCGCACTTACTGCCACCTCATGCCCGCTTTAGTGAACGCTTCGTGCTATGCTGTTCAAAGTGTACTTTTATTCTTAACGCGTTATCTTAACTCGTTTCGGACTTAATGCGTGCGTTGACCTTAACACGTTTAGGACTTAACAATTTATTCACATCAGGAAAGTTCAAATACCGCCCTTTAGAGCTTTTTTCCATCCATGAAAGGTACTATGTATATCCGAAAAGCGTGGGGATCTCCGGGTTTTGCGCTGATTGTAATCCTTTCTGGCACTTTCTGGTGCCTTTTCCATGAACGAGTTGAAATTTTGTCTAAGGATATTAAGTAAAAGACACAATGGCAGCAAAACTGCTGTCGAGTGAGTGCGAAGCAAGAAAGCCAGATATGAACATCGTACTGAAGATCGACTTGAATGTCGACAGTGACAAAGAACAAGACACTGCCTGGCAGCAACAAATTTGTTATGCCCATGCCATCGACACCTCCCACAGTCACACTGAAGGCAAAGATGCCAGAACCCCCAGTCCATTCGATGCTTATTCTTACTTTACAGATCCATGGACCATGGGATAGCAGGAACTTCATGTACAGGTTGAGCTCTTGATGTAGGAACTGTTGTACATGCTCTCTGATAGGCTTGCAATAGCAATCGATCATACTATTCAATCATCTGACGGAAACCTACATGATAAAATTGCCATGGCTCAAGCAACAAGTACACATGATGTGGGCAGCTGGAGAGGCTGCTGAGATGCTCAAGGATGCTCCATCTGCTGATTCAAAAAAGGCAAGAAGAAAATGGTTGTGAAAGAGGGTGCGGCCAATCATTATTATACTACATAAATGAGTCAAGACATATCTTCAGAGGACAATGAGCATCCAGAGCACGGCGACAGTGATGACCATAATGATGCGCACGAGGTGTTTATGAAGGAAGGAGTCGATGGTACAGACGACGAGCTCATTGGACATGGTCTGCATTTGCTGAGTCCGCCTGCCGCTGGATGGAAGGCTAATAGTACGTTGCAGTGCCTAGTCTACAGTAAATATTGACACCTCCCATGCAAGGCGGAGGCGCCGGTACTCCCCAGTCCATTCGACGCTTATTCTTACTTTGAAGATCCATGGGATAGCAGAAACTTCACGTACAAGTTAGCTCGTTGCGTGGGAAAGATTGTACATGCTCTGTGATAGATCCACGAAATCAATCAATCGTATTATTGAATCCTGACAGAGACTTACATGAATAAGATGCCATGGCTCAAGCATCGAATACGCCGGCCTCGAGAGTGTAACTTGCCACAGTATTTCAACATTGAATGGATACATGGATGCTGCCCGTGGAGACGTGAACCTAGTCATCGACGTACGCGAGGCGCAAGGAGTAGGCGGTCAACCAGATTGAGACCGGCATGGAGAATGGGCTTGAGAGGTGGGATTGACGTCGAGGTGTGCAGAGGGAAGAATGATGTACTGATATTGGTTCTGGAGTCCGCGGCAGTGTCACGGAAAGCATGAGCCAGGGTGCGGGCTGTCACACTTGGAAGTCGCGCCGCACCTCCGTCTCTACCTCGTTCAGCATAATCAGCCCGTGAAAACGCGTTTTGCATGACAACAAACCATGATGTTGTGAACTCCGTGTTGCAGATGAACTTGGGAGGCACCCACGACGGCGGAATTCACTAGTTGGTGGCAGACGATCCGGCAGTAACGTGCGTTAGGTCCAAAACAAGTTAAGGAATAAAAGTACAATTTGAACAGCATATCGTGCCGCCTCATGCCCGCTTTAGTGAACGCTTCATGCCGCCTCACGCCCGCTTTAGTGAACGCTTCGTGCCGCCTCACGCCCGCTTCGATGAACGCTTCGTGCCACCTTGGTGAACGCTTCATGCCGCTTCAGTGCACCACCAATGCCGCCAGGACTTGGCCATCATCGACCACACTGACACCCATCCTAGCTTGAACCCGGTTAGCAAATCATCCTAAGAATTCAGACTCGAAATGCAAGTGCTCAATGAAGCCATACAGTATACCTGATGCACAGGAGGCAGAAGAGCATGTAGATGATATGTTCACAATGCCTACAGACAGCATTTTCGAACACCTAGAGTAGACTAAGAACTCACCAAGACTGCCACCTTCATGATGTCATTAGTGCAGTCCAAGGCAGAGGTAGTGGGTAGAATCAGGCAAGTCTGATGTAGTTATTATGCATGTATTGACACCGTAGAATACATGATGTTGCCACAGGAATGCAAGACTGAGTCTTTGCACGTCTGCTCTGGGCTTCTGAATGCGCGTACTTAGCAATGGGCAGTCGCACGAGATTAAAGCGCACACAAGGCGGTACTAAGCGCGCGTGAGGCGTACACAAAGCGGCACTAAGCGCGCACGAAGCGGCATTTTTCCCGGGCCCATATTTGCGGGGCATTTGTCAGACTGAGGGAAACGATTGCTCTCTCCCCTCATTCAGCGTCGCGTTGTTTCTGCGCAATAGACTCTCCCTCTATTCGCAGACTACCACAAGATGACATTTTCTGGAGCCTTGGTACGTTGCAGGCATCGTGGTTGAAAGGAAGGTGGTGCCAACTGTGCGCTGTCCGCAGACGTTGACGGACCTGAATGACTTCATCACGCCGTCCCAAGCGTGTATCAAGCCGGTTGAGCAGACAAACAAGGTCGAGGCGAAGGACTCTGGCGCTGCTTCGGTGAATGCGATGTACTCTCGTGCTAATGCTGGTCTGACTCTTTCTATCTGCAGACCCAGATTCAGGTTGACTCGAGTGGATCGTACTATGAGGTCGCGACAAATGGTGCTACCAAGGAAAAGAAGCTCGAGACAGCCCAGATCAGCCTCAACGACTGCCTTGCATGTAGGTGCGAGCACATTCCACGTCGAATGCTGTGCATTGCTCAACAGTCACTGTCAGCGGCTGCATCACCTCCGCTGAATCCGTTCTGATCACTATGCAGTCCCACACCGAGGTGCTCAACTTCCTCGCGAACAATCCCTACCACACGCTCCCCGCGCACCGCATCCCCGTTCTGTCCATCGCGCCGCAAAGCCTCGCGTCTCTCGCAGCGTCCCTTTCCTCGAGTAGCGCGCACCTCGTCGACCTTGGCCGCATCCTCCGCCGCGTGCAGACGTTCTGTACGCAGGCGCTCGGTTTCGCACATGTATTTGACACGACGTTCGCGCGGCATCTCGCGCTGTTGGAGCACGCGGCCGAGTTTGCGGAGCGAAGGCGTGGTGAGGGCAAGCTGCCGATGCTCGCGAGCGCGTGCCCCGGCTGGATATGCTATGCGGAGAAGACCCACCCTGAGATGTTGCCGTTCATTAGCGCAACCAAGAGCCCGCAGCAGGTCATGGGCACACTCGTGAAAGAGTGGATGGCTCGCCGGTGGTGCAAGCGGTGCGTGTCCGACGTTGCGTTCTTTCGCGCTGACTCATTCGCTAACGGCGTGAACGATAGTCCGGACCAGATATACCACGTCACGGTGATGCCGTGCTACGACAAGAAGCTTGAGGCGTCACGGCAGGACTTTTACAACGAGCAGTACGTGACACGCGATGTCGACTGCGTGCTCACGACCGGCGAGCTCGAACAGCTCATGCGCGAGAAGCAGTGGGATCTCTCGCTGCCCGTCGTTGACGAGTCCGCGCGGCCATCATTTGGCAGCGAAGACGGGAGCGCTATCGACTTACCCGAGCTGCTCGTACATCCTGGGTCGAGCTCTGGATCCTATCTGCAGTCATTGATCTCGATGTGCGCCGATGCATCTCTAGGAAACTCCGAGCCCTCCTCGTACGAACACACGGTGAGAATTGTGCGCTCGGCAGACTACGAGGAGAACATATTAGCACATAGGGACTCCGGCAAAGCGATGTTCAAGGGCGCGAAGTGTTATGGATTCCGGAACCTACAGAACGTCGTGCGGAAGATCGGACGCGATGCGGGCGTGCAGGTCGGGCGCGGCGCAGCGGGTCGAATGGCGGGCGTGCGTGCGCGGGGCCGGGTGCGTAAGTTCGGAGCGGCTGTGAATGGAGATGCAGGCGCTGAGGTGGCGAACGGGTACGACTACGTCGAGGTAATGGCATGCCCAGGCGGGTGCGTCAATGGTGGTGGTCAGCTGCGCCCGAGTGCTGCCGCACTGGCACAAGCGCAGAATGTGGATGCGGAGGGGTACCAGCGCGATTGGGCTGAGAGCGGGGTGCGCGTCGATGGGGATGCGAGTCTGCCCGGATCGGATGGGAAGTGGGGGAGCAAGGGGTGGACGAAGCGGGTTGAGGAGGCGTACTGGCATGCGCTGCCCACGCCCCCACCGTCGCCGCCGGTTGATGCGGCTGACAAGGTGCCTGCCTTTGGTGACTGGGAGGCGGCGAGGAGGGCAGCAGCGGACCGTGTTGCCCTCCGCGTGCTGTCCGATCTGTGTCGCCCGACGTGCGGAATACCACAGAGCTGGTCGACTCGCCTGGACGACGAGGCTGAGGCTCGTAGACGGAAGCTCTTCCGGACTCAGTACCGAGCAGTAGAGAGCGAAGTGGTTGGCCTCGCAGTAAAATGGTAGATGTGTGAGCCTATGTATATATTGTATATTGAGTTGCAAATACAGGCTGGTGATATATTATAGTATGCCAACAGGAGGACGATTATTACAGGCACATACAGGGATTGCGATGGATAGGGTGCTGAAAATGATGGTGAATGGACAGCAAGGATACAGCAGCGATAAGAGTGATGATGCGATGGGGCGGCGAGAGTGGATGCGAATAATACGCAATAATAAAGTAGAGGTGGACCAGGAACGGGGATGCGCGCTATCGACCACCATTTTGGCCCTTGTACCAGGGTTTGCACTCTGGGCAAAAGCCTGGGCGAATGCCGAGGACAGTTTCGGATAAGTCGGGACCGTAAAACTGTTCTGAAGGTGAGCGCTCCGGGAGGTTCGCAAGTGATATGCGCTCACCTTTTCGCAGGTGCACTCGCGGCAGGGGTTGCGATGCGCCTTCGAGTGGATGCAGTACGGGTTACCGCAGTCTATCTTGGCCTTTTTGTTCTCCTGGGGGGGATGTCAGTGTGCAATGCGTTGTGGTAGACAGTAGTCACTCACGATAATGTAGTGCTGGAAGAGAGAAGAACATGACGTCAGTAGAGAAGGGGGGCATACCAGACGCGCAGCGTACCCCACATCCGTACTTGTATCCTTCGCTGGAAGAGACGCTGAGCAATAGGGTCGAAACGGGAATGGTCGAGGCACGTACGTGTGAAGGTTGCACATTGCCGTAAACGAAGCAGACGCAATCGGACGTCTATAACGAAGCCAGGGGAAGGTGGCGAAGAGGATAGAAAAGCGAGAGAGGGCGAGGCTGGGGAACGCGGACGGGAGAGGACAGAGAGGATCAGTGGCAGCCAAGGAGGGGATGGGGAATGTTCATACAGAGGAGGAGAGTGCTTTATAGAGACGGCGACGCGGGTGGCGGAGCGTCAAGGAAATTCTGGTGAGAGGCGCGCGGCAGTCACAAGACGGCTAGAGGAGTGTGCTGATCCGGATATCGATAACAATCAATAATAGCGTTGTCGACGGCGAGGCGATGCGAGGACGGAGTCGATGGATGCGACGGATGCACGATAACTCGCAGCGACGAGCGCAGACAGCGAGCTGAATATTCTCCCGCCGCCACAAGCCACCGCTCAGCCAGTCCCATCGGCCGTATCACGAGCGACGCCGCGCTCCCAGACGCAGTGCCGACACCTCCCACCGCAACGTGCCCATCGCGCGGGTGGCACGATGCCTGCGTCTTTCGTACCACCGGGTGGCGACCGCGATCCGATGCGCAGAACAATGGTGCGAGCGAGCAGAGTGCTGTAGGCGAGTGGCTCGGTGGCGTCTGCTGCCATTCAGTCGGAGCTTGGGGCCGCATGCCTGACGGTTGCCGCGGAGATCAAATCCGCGTGGAAAGCAAAAATAACCGGATTCGGCTACAGGACACGGTCAGTGACGGCGACGGTCACACTCACCGCGGCGCCTCGCTGCACCCACATGTCTGCACGCTCCTCCTCCTCGTCCCCGACGACCCGCTCCCGCACCCTCCTCTTCATCTCCTACCGCGACTCGCGCGCCGGTTCCTCTCGCCGCCGCCGCTCACGTTTCTCTCATACCTACGACGATGCCACCCACGACACTGACGGCGACGAACACGCACACCTCATCTCTCATGACCCCGCACACATCGTCATAGACGCAGAGTTGCCGCCACGCTGGTGAGTCTTGTCGGGTCATCTGTTTACCGTCCTTGCTTCTCTCGCGCTAATCGATCGCTAGGGTCGACATCGCCGACCAAGTGGAGGAGATACTCGCCGGCGTGCAGGCTAAAAGTATGTTTGTATATCCCTTCCTTGATCCCAGGCGGCCCAACCCTGACTCAGCTGCTCATTCTTGCCAGTCGCCACGCTCGACAGGCTGCATGCGAAACACGTCCTCCCCGGGTTCTCGGACCGGTCTGCAGAGGAGCGGGACATCGAGGCAGCGACTACGGACATTACAAAGGTGAGCTCCGCGTCCATCAATACAGCTCTCCGCCCCGTGCTCACCTTGTGTCCCACGCTAGGACTTCCGCCAGTGCCATGGACTCATTCAACGGATAGAAGCCACGCCAGCGCACGCTTTCCCTCCTTCCCAATCCGGCCGGTCAGCACAAGAATTGGCAGCGAAGAACGTGCAGCGTGGTCTTGCAGCTAAGGTGCAGGAGCTCAGCGCATCCTTCCGGAAGAAACAGCGGGTGTATTTGGAGAGTCCGTCGTTCCGTCGCGCATCATTACATTGCATTGCTCAATGCTGTATACAACAGAGCTTCAGGGCCATGCGATAAAGAATCAGGATCTGCTCATCGCGTCGGGTTCCATCTCTTCAAGAGGCACGGAAGGACTGTCAGCTGTGGACGAGGACGTGGAGGCTGCCGCGGCGGTTAGTACCCTGCTCCCATGCATGCCGATGTGATTGGACTAACGCGGGCCTGCTGATCGCTTGGGTCCCCTTCTAGTCGCGTAGTCGTGCGGCCATGGCGCAAGACGTGATGGTGGAGGACGTTGATCTGCGGACACGAGATCACGAGCTCACGCAGATCGCGCGTTCAATTGCATCACTTGCGGAGCTGTTCAAGGACCTTTCGGTGATGGTGATTGATCAGGGGACACTGCTGGACAGCATTGAATACAACATTGAGCAGACGGCGGTACAGATGGAGGAAGCAGTGAAGGAGCTGAATGTGGCCACGAGGTACGTGTGTGCTAGATCTACTTTGGCATGTTCTTCCGGCGAGGAAGGCGCATACTGACTCCGTGTGGGGCACCTGCTTCTGCCAGGTACCAGAAGAACACGGGTCGGAGGGCGTGCATCTTCCTGCTCCTGCTGATCATCTTTGGACTCATTCTCGTGCTGATCTTCAAGCCTCGTCGACGTTCTTCATCTGTGCCATCGCCCGGGCCATCGTCGGTATCGAGCGAAGTTCCTTCGGCTGCCGTGGACGTGCTGCTCCACACCATCGACGCGAGTTCGACTTCGCGAATGCTTCGGCGGCATCCATTCAGATGATACCCCACTTTTTTCGCGACGTCACATACGGTTGGCTATTTGGGTATGATAATGTAGGACACTTCGATTATGTTTATTACGTGAAGCTTACAGCTTTGTAATGTTATGGCGCGTCACCCGCGCATGTGGGCTCGGTGGTGTAGCGCGTCGCTGAGCGGCGTCGGAGCATGGTCCTACCGATGTCCGTCGCTGGATGCTGTTGTGAGGCCAGTCGGCGTCTACTACTACACCCATAATTGGCGGACAAGGATGCGGGGGACAAGAGAGACGCGTCGCATAAATGAAGGCACGGTCACGTGGCCCCGTCAATTACCACTACCCTAATTGATCAAGATCGCCCGCCCTCTTTTCCTTCTCTGCTCTCGACCCTCATCTTCTGCTTCTCCAGGCTGGTCGGGCAGATATCATCATCATCCATACGACGTTCTGCATCGTCATCAGCGGCTTTGCTAAATTATTGCCTTTGCAGCGCGCTTGACACGCTGATACTGTCTTTACTCACTACATGTCCAATGTGCGATTCTCGCAGCCGCCCGTCAACGAATGCCATGACTATGAGCCCCTCGCGCCACCCTCGCCTCCTGAGTCGAGCGTGAACACGCTATCCTACCCGCTCCTGCCCTCGCACGTACGCGAGCAGCGCGAGTCCCGCCCCCGTTCTTGGAGCGGCCAATCCGAGAGCCAGCAGCCGGTGAACCATGAGCCGAAGCTACGCGACGACGGAGAGTATGATCCCGAGCGGGGGCCCCCGCCGATGCATCACCGCAACGAGACAGTGGACAGCGGGTTCAGCAGTGGGAGGAGGAGCAGCAGCTGGGACTGGCTTGGCGGGATAAGAAGGCTCGAGCACTCGGTTAACGATTTTGACACCCGCCGCGCCAGCCAGGCGCATTTGGCGTTCGCGGAGGGCGACGTGCCAAAGAACACGGTGCGTGCACGGTCTGCTGCGATGATATCATTCATATTCGATGTCGAGATCTCACGGTGGTGTTGCGTAGTTCTTTAAGTTTTATAACTACCTGCTTAATGTGTCCGCCATAACTCGCTGGACGATTTATATCATCCCTGTGCTCGGCCTAATTTGGATCCCGGGTATTTTGTCTTTCACTGCATACCCAGATGCCACGGTAAGTGCTTTTAGCGTGTCATGCGTACGTGGATATTAACTTATCAGCAGATTTGGGGAGTGAGGCTGCTGTGGTGGAGTGTCTGGCTATCTGTCGTTTGGTGTAGTGAGTCTTTGCTCACGTTCGTCTTCGTATGCTCTCATGAAATTTCTACATAATTAGGCTGGTGGGGCTCTAGGGTTTTTTCGTAAGTCGAGAGCATAGCACTGTCTCAACTGATGCTAATGATCGTAAAGTATGGTCCTCCCTCATATCGCCCGCTTTACGGTCGGAGTAGTGGCTGTCGGAACACACCGCTATATCGAGTGGCTCGACCCCCTTCAGAGGTCAGTCACAAGATGTTCATTCATTTCATCCCTCATGACCAGTGCCATGCAGATATGTCACGCTGTTCTCGTGGACTCTTATTGTCTGGATCACTTTCCAGCCGCTGATTAATACACGACGGGAGGCCGATATCAGTACAGACAGCAAGACAGCGCTTTCGACCGCCGCGAAAATCCTGTTCGCATTTTTTGAATGCGCGATTATTTTGCTTGCGGAGAAGGTTGCCATCCAGTATATAGCTACCAGATTCCATGAGCGGTCATATGCCGGTACGCTTCCTACACATTCGGCTATTTGCGTTGAACTCATGATATCCACAGAGCGCGTAGCGGAGCACAAGTTCGCCATGCGGGTGCTGGCCAACCTGTACAGGCATTCCCGTGATATGCCGTGGCGCTTGGACACGTTGCAAGGCAACCCCGCAGATGCAGCTCATGCGAAGAAGCCGAGGCGGCTTCTGAAGAAGGCTTTACAGGGTGTTCGATTTGCTGCTACGACGACTACTACCGCTCTAGGCAATGTTGCTTCTGAGATTGCTGGAAGGTGAGACGAGCCTGCAGTAGATGTTTCTATTTCCTGCTGATAGTGACCGACAGTTCTGTCCTGCAACCTAATTCGCCTCAAGCGGTCGTGAGAACGGTTTTAGAATCAGCTAATAAGTCCAGGATGGTTCGTGACGCCTTCAAGCGCGCGTGAACACATTGTGTTAATTTATATGTGTCGATCTACAGCTCGCACGGCGACTCTTCTATTCGTTCGCAAAGCCAGGGTCGAAAGCCATGACGGTAGATGACATTGAGCCGTTTTTCCCCACGCAGGAGGACGCAGATGCAGCATTTGCGCTTTTAGACAAGGATATGAACGGCGACGCGACGAAAGAGGAGATTGAGATCGCCTGCATGTGTGTTGGCATTTGTTTAACGATATCAAGACGAATGCTGACGGCAATGAAGGGACTGTCACCGCGAGCTGCTGTCCATTGAGCATTCGATGCGCGATTTGGACAGCGCGGTCGGACGTCTGGATAATATTCTCATGATCGTGTATTTGTTTGCGGTCATTCTGATCATAGCGGTGGCTTTGGTGAGTACCCGTGCCAAGTCCTAACCTCCGTTCAGTCTGATCAACGATCATATGCAGGAAGCGCAATTGCTGACACTTGCGACTACCGCCGGGACCTTCATCCTGAGTACGCCTGCTGCGGTTGTGTTTAAGCACTTGTTTGGCTCACGTTTGCATTCTATGAACTGCAGGTCTGAGCTGGCTCCTAAGTGCGAGTCTCGGTGAGGTGCTCATAAGCATCATCTTTCTCTTCGTGAAGCACCCGTACGACGTTGGGGACAGGGTCAAGATCGACACTGAGGAGTATACTGTGAAGGAGATTCGGCTGCTGAGCACAGTCTTCCTCAATTCGAGTTCGTGCGCGACGCAGGCGCCGCATGCGATCCTGAACACTAAGGTTTGGTCAAATTGCCATCTCCGGGCGTTGAGATGCTGATCTTGGCGTGGATGGTGCGACTTCCAGTTCATCTTGAATAGGCGCCGGAGTCCTCAGGTACGTGCAGTGTTGCCCGCTTTTTTGCGACAACCTCTGATCATACGTGTTGCAGATGTCGGAAGAGTTCCAGTTTGACGTCGTCAGTAATGTGCATTGTAACCTTGTATCGACATTCACGGCGATACGCAGGCTTTCGACACCAGCTTCGACAAGATAGAGAGATTGCGTGAGCTAATGCTCGCGTTCGTTAAGGCGGAGAGCCGGGACTTCCTGCCGAGCTTCGACGTGATCATAATTGGTGAATTTTGATCTATTTCTACTAAGCCTTTACGCGAACTTGTTTCTAGATATCCCAGAGCAGGAGAAGATGACGCTGAGCGCCGATATCAGATACAAAAGTAACTGGCAGCATGGTGCTCTCAAAGGTCAGCACCCCCCCAACCCCCCCCCCCCCCCCCCCCCCCCGCCGGGCGGCTCACTTGACACTCTTCTAGCCACCCGGCGCAACAAGTGGATCACCGCCCTCAAGACAGCCATGGCGAAGGCGAAGATATGGGGACCAAAGGGCGATCCGGACCCGCCACCGGCCGTCGACAGGGTGACGCTCGTGCCCTGGGAGAAGATTGCGGAGGAAGATGAGAAGACGGAAAAAGAGAAGAAAGGGCAGCAGCGGAAAGAGAAGCGCGACTCTGTCACGGTGCAGGATATGCAAGCGCCTGCGGCGGACTGGAATATGACGGACAAACAAGCGATTATCAGTAAGTGCGTGTCATGCGTGGTTTTGGTCGAGCGCTGACTCGACGTGGGGCAGTGGATGATACAGAGAATATCTTTGATGACGCGGGGTCGGCTACGGTCAGCATTCTACTTCCACCTTCTTGTGCATCTCCCCGCCACGATGACTGACCGACATGGCAGACCCCCTCGACAGCTGTCAGCAGCAGATCGTCATCCAGAGAGCGCCGACGACGGCAGCAGATGCCAGTGTCGACTACGATGCCCACGCCTTCGGCTCTGTCGACCAGTGCAGGGAGCAGCACCGCTGGCGAAGAGATTGAGATGAAGTTGTCGCCTAAGGGTGCACCATCGACGAGATGAATACTGACCAGCTGGGATGGTCAGATGAGTTCACTGTGTCTGTGCTGTATCTGTTTTGCACTTTGCCTCCGCATGTAGCTCAGTATGTATGAGTCTCTCAGATCGGGTCATCAGATATGACTTGTGTTTCATGTATCACTCAACAATCTGTATCGCCAATATATATCGTGTTAGAACGCATATAATCCCAGTACAGCTCGTTTGTATGTGTCCGAGTTCGATTCTGTTCATCTAGTGTGCTCGACTCTCCGTGCAAGGTTTCATCCGTACTTACTTGTGTTTCTCATCACCTAAAGTAGTCCGTTCGTGGATAGCCTATCTATACGAACTACAAGTATTATTTGCGGCAATGATGTGAATACGAAGTAAGCCTGAGGGCTATGGACGATGTTCAGGCGCATGTTGGTTTCCCCGACCCGTCGACCAGGCCGGGTACTTATCCCGAGGGCCACGAAAAGGCCTGCGCCAGGACCGAGTTCGACAAGTGCGAGCAACGGCCCTTCCCTCGAGACCCCCTCCCATCCGCTCCTCGCTCTCCCCCATCCTCTCGACAATTATAAAGCAGCACCACAAAGGAATGAAAAAGAAGAAAATAAAGAAGAATAACGGACCTATCGCGGTCCCGCGGATATTGAACACACGACACGCGAGAAGAGACACCCGGCTAGCGAGCACCTCCCCTCCAGACGACGGCGACCAGCGCACGCCGCCTACCTCAAGCGCATCGACACCGAGGGGAGTCCCGTTCTTGGTCACTTCAACCCAAGGCGGAGCACTGTAAAAGGATGGTCAGCTGCGGTGACGATCTCATAGAAGGGGCTAACCTGATCTTGAGCAAGGACGTGAACCGGCAACCCTAACGGCGCTGCATGGCATGATGAATGGATAGCGTGAGTAGATGGCGATGAAATAAAGGGCGTTGCTCACCCAGTGGACGCGAAAAGCCCGCTACCTGCAATTGAAAGGAAGAAACCTGTGAAACAAAAGGGAGAAGAGGAAGGAAGAGGAAGAAGTGAGGAGAGGGCATTCGCGCGAGCTGGGCGGATTCATATAGGCATGGATTGTTTGTCGGACAAACAAGAGGCTCACTGTCAGCCGCGTTCAACCATGGTTTCAGACTCAGATGAGGCTGTCAGCCGCCACAGCCGCGAACGCGTTTGGACCAACAGGTCACGGGACCGCGTCGATCTAGTAGGTTCTTATGCCTTCCGTAAGTTCCATTCAACATAAGCTATAGGATCTAACACTGGAAAAGACTTGAGCAGACATCGGACTGGACGTTCTTGCAAGAGAACGCAAGGTTTAAGCGTCAGAAGCACAAGTAACTCGCATGCCCGGCTCTCACCTTGAAGCATTCAAGGGCCCCGACGTTGTTCAACGCGAGACACCCGGAACGTAGGTTTTTTGCATATTACGGAACCAGTTGTCCATGAGAAGCTCGCCGACTGCCTTGCACTGTTTTGAGACGTGCGAGGTGCGATGATCACCCTCAGTGTTCCGATCATGGCCACTAGCATTTTTCTTGCACTCGTACGGTCGGTGGAAAGGACGGAAGATACAGTACCTTAGATATACGACGTACTATAGGTTTGCCTTGAGTAGTAAGAGGTAACAAAAATAACTTACACATGGGGCGCCACGATGTATAACACTTTCAGCGCCTACATATTGAGGAGCAGCACCCGTCAGCACGAAAATCACGATCTCGAAAACTAGCCGCCGGTAGACCATTGTACGCAGTGGGAATATGTTCTGTTACGCCAAGCATGACTTTGGATTGAAATTTCGCTTCCACCCGCTATCAGCATACCCCAATGCACCGCGATCGCTCGTCGTCGATCTGCGATAATTTAGCCCAGTTCATCCGTCATACGAGACGACAAAATCTTACGCAATCGTCTTGACCGGGGGGTTCGTGCTCACAATGATCAAGGTGAGCGAATGTGCGTCGTCGATTGAGGGCTGTGCTGATGGGATGGTTGGCACTGATAGTCGTGCTGTGTGTGGCGATGTGCTTGAGTTTGAAGACGAGCGGCAGAGGAGGATCGAGCTCACCCTACGCTGATCTAGCAGCTGTGTCGGTCACCGGGGAGGAGAGCATGAGAGCTCCTTTGAGCATCCGTCAGCCACAGCGAGATTGCTGCCGATCTAGTATTGCCTGATCTTGTCGTGTCGCGACGGTTCGTTGCATGATGCAGCGTCTTGACGTTATTCATAGATATTGTGGACGTCGTGCACGTACGAGCACGGGAATCCATACCATGGCACGAGATCAAATTCCAGGCCACTTCGCCTTTAGGAGTCTCTCAGTGGAGACATATCTGATGGATCTGCTGAGTCCGTCTCGGATCACTCGTCGAAGACACGGGCCACTGCGGCTCCCAAATTGGCCCGGTAGAATAAGCGTTGCCGGCTTCGTCGTGAAGACGACGAAATGGACGGATAGACGTCTTTTGGAGAATTCGGACCAGGATCGCCTGGCCGCTATGGAGGCGTTGAGCGCTTGATGTATATGGCGTAGGGGATTGTGGAAGAGACCGAAGTGTGCGACGACACTTCGAAGAGCCAGCGAGACGAGGGCAGAAAACTTGGCGGCCCACTTGAGCGTGTCCTTCATCGTTGCCAGAGTAAAGACAAGACCACGAACGCGAGAAGTATCCGCTGGAGACACAACGGCGCAATGATCAAAAATTCCCGTTTGACGAAGAATCCCTCACTATGGCGCTGTAGTTCAATATCGCGATGCAGATCAATGCGCCAGTCTAGACGTAAAACGTGGGATACTCACCGGAAGATACCTCGCTCGGTCAGTCGTGGGAATAAAGGTGCAAAGATTTGCTTCCACTGCTCCTTGGCTGCTGTAACTGTGGCATCGCGATCTTTGGAGAATGTAAAATTGGGTATAAGTGCAAACTCCACCTTGCTCAGCATCCTGAATGAATTAGATGAAAGATAATTGTCTATCTCTTCTTGGTGAGTGGACTCGTAAATACTGAGCATGTTCTTCAATTCCTCCTTCAGTTTATTGATTCCGGGTATTGGTGCAAGCCAGCGAAACTCTATCATAACTTCTCGAAGCTGACCCGACTTGATTGAAAGTAAGACTCGACACAATGTGTCGAGGCCAAAGTCTTGTGAAATATCAATATGGGTTAGCCATAGTCTTTGCAGTGAGTTATTGTGATCGAAGGATAGCACCGAATCTGGAGAGACTCTGGTTAGCAGAAATGCTTACATGAAATCAGAGTGCACACCTGCAGCAGACATTTTTACATCTGTCCATTGTTCTACATCCCCAAGCCTAAGATCCAATCGCATTTCCGACAGTGAGCCAGATGCAGCATTCAACAAGTGCTGGCATCTCCATTTGTACTGTAATTCAGCCACATTGACTGGGCCACTGATGATGAGTTTCTGCAAACGACTCGAGATGCAAGGATGAGCAAGGAAGTCGATGAGTTTCTCATATCCCAGTGGGATCTGCGCGAGCGACAAGGACCTGATGTTGACGCGATTGTGATATAAACCAAATGTATCGCGGTGGAAGTGGTCATGTGTGAACGTCAGATCTTCCAAGTCAAGCCGGACCAGGTGTGGCAGGGCGCAAACGAGGCGCCCAAAGACGGTGATCGAGGGGAATGTGACACCGATGAGATCGAGGCGAGTGACGGAGAAGCCGGAGAGATGCAGGAAGACATCTCTGTGCATCATCCACGGCTCCCACTTTGAATTCCATATTCTGAGCCACTCGAGCCGGGGCAGCTTGCGAGCAAGCAGGATCGCCGCTATCGACAGTGCTGACAGGTCCATATAGCTTATTATGTTCATATCGTGCGTGCGGTTCGACAGCTCGGGCATCTGCTTCAGCATCTTCGCATAGGCCTTCACACCCTTAACACTCCTGATCTCGATCTGCCTGTGCAAGTGGAAGCGAATGGGATGGTACCACGCTCGGCAGACGAGGCTGCACTTCCTCAAAGTGTTCTGGTCGTCCCACAGATGGTTGATCGCGTTCTCCCACACCTCGATTGGAAGTTGCGGCAGAGTTCTCGTGGCCACTGGTTCCATTTTGGACGAGCCAGTCTCGTCTGCCTTGCCCTCGCCCTTGGTCTAACGCAACACAGCACTTAAATGGTCGAGAACGCGTGCACGGAGCTTTCCCACTCACCGTTGGCTCAAGCCTTTGCACTTGGAGCACCTCGTCCCCTGTAGTTATCGTGAAGTGTTTCAGGTCCTGTTCAGAGGACGCCATAGCGTTCGTGTCGAGTGGTGGGAGATAGTACTTGAGGTTAAGGCTCATCAAACGTTTAAACCCCGCTGTGGCTGATGTGGCTATTGCTTTGGCATGAACGGGTCATTCTCTCGTATCACACAAAATGCTCAGATAGTTTCTCTCGAATCTCTCAACATGACTGTACACCGCCTGGCCTCTGCAGCCATACAGCTTTCCTGACGCAAGCCTCTTGTCCAAGCAGTGGGTCTAGGAAATCCTGGTGCGGCAAGGGTGTTAGCCAGCAGGCACCTTCCTGTCTCATGGGCGCAAGGGAGTGAGAGGCTGGTGGGGCCACAAACGACTGGGGCCTATGGTACTACAGGTGCGTGTTTATATATCTTTTCCGCCCTTCCGTACTCGCCCGCTCCGTTTCCAGGTACCGCCCTGCGACACGTTTCAGCCGTCGCTTGGCGCTTGTCCCTCCCGACGCGTTGAGCGCGTTTCACCAGAAGTGCCGTCGGTCGGCCACTTCCAACAGTGGGCATATGTACAATGCTATCCACCGCATATCAACCGTGGTGAGTTCCATGTGCGTCATTCCATGCCATCCCAGTGCAATTAATTAGGTAAATCTTTGCATAGGGATCTTTCAAGATGCATCGATGAGGCCTGAAACTTCATGGCCCAATGACCTATATGTACGAACTACAAGTATTATTTGCATCAATTATGCGAATACTAAGTAAGTGCTATGGTTCAGGCGCATGTTGGTTTCCCCGACCCGTCAACCAGGTCGGGTACTTATCCCGAGGGCCACGAAAAGGCCTGCACCAGGACCGAGCTCGACAAGTGCGAGCAACGGCCCTTCCCTCGAGACCTCCTCCCATCCGCTCCCCGCTCTCCCCATCCTCTCGACAATTACAATGCAGCATCACAAAGAAATAGGAACGAAACGAAGAAAAATGAAGAAAATAAAAAAGAAGAACGGACCTATCGCGGTCCCGCAGATATTGAACCCACGACACGCGAGAAGAGACACCCGGCTAGCGAGCACCTCCCCTCCAGACGACGGCGACCAGCGCACACCGCCCACCTCAAGCGCATCGACACTGAGGGGAGTCCCGTTCTTGGTCACTTCAACCCAAGGCGGAGCACTGTAAAAGGATAATCAGCTGCGGTGACGATCTCATAGAAGGGGCTAACCTGATCTTGAGCAAGGACGTGAACCGGCAACCCTAACGGCGCTGCATGGCATGATGAATGGATAGCGTGAGTAGATGGCGATGAAATAAAGGGCGTTGCTCACCCAGTGGACGCGAAAAGCCCGCTACCTGCAATTGAAAGGAAGAAACCTGTGAAACAAAAGGGAGAAGAGGAAGGAAGAGGAAGAAGTGAGGAGAGGGCATTCGCGCGAGCTGGGCGGATGTATATAGGCATGGATTGTTTGTCGGACAAACAAGAGGCTCACTGTCAGCCGCGTTCAACCATGGTTTCAGACTCAGATGACGCTGTCAGCCGCCACAGCCGCGAACGCGTTTGGACCAACAGGTCACGGGACCGCGTCGATCTAGTAGGTCGATTCTTATGCCTTCTGGCATTTAACATAAGCTGTAGAATGTAAGACTGCAAAGGACCTGGAAGCTGACATCAGACTAGACGTTCTCGCAAGAGACCATGAGTTTTAAGTGTCCGAAATGTTGGAATCTGGGTGCGGAGCACAGATGCGAGAGGCCCCAGTGCGACCTGCGCCACCGGCGTGGGAGAGTAGTAGCGCGCGTGTATATAATAGGGCGCGGCTACAATGGGACGGGCCATCGGTTTGGCCCCGTACCTAGTGGAGCCATAGAGAGCGGGTGACTCCCGAACTCCTGGCCGGGAAAGTCAACACGAAACACAAGTAACTCGCGTGCCTGGCTCTCACCTTGCTGCGTTCGAGGGCCCCGACTTTGTTCAACGCGAGGCACCCGGAACATAGGTTTTTGCAGGTTACTGAAACAATTGTTCATGACAAACTCGCCGATTGCCTTGCACTGTTCTAGATGTGCGACGTGCACTGACCACCCTTCTTCCGATCATGGCCACTAGGGTTTGTTTCACTCATACAGTCAGTGGAAAGGACAGAAGATATAGTAACTTAGATATACGTACTATAGGGTTCGCCATGAGCAGCAAGAGGTAACAAGAACAACTTATACACGGGGCGACATGACACATAACACTTTCAGTGCCTACATATGAGGAGTGCGAGCAGCACGTCAGCACGAAACTTATGAGCTCGAAAACTAGCAGCTGGTAGACTTTATGCGGAAATATGCTCTGTCACGCCGAGCATGACTTTGGATTGAAACTCGACTTCCGCCCGCTATCAGTGTACCTCAATGCACCGCGATTGCTCGCCGTCGATTTGCGACAGTTTAGTCCAGTTCATCCGTCATGTGAGATGACAAAAATCACACACTCTATTCATATATCATGGTCACTCACATCATAGTTGAAAGGTCCAAGAAGGATGCTCATCACCCAAAAGCAGGCGACTATCTTCCTCCTCCGTAAACTCGTCAGATTCCCGCAACTTCTCCTTCTCTACATTTCGTCTGGCCAGAACGAGCCAATTGAGTGATGCGGCGACGATGACGAGGCACAAGTACCCGATGGCGAATCCATGGCCTAGGTAGAATCGTGGGCCGTAGCGGTACAGTTGCGTGCCGACAATGGCGCCCAAACCCTGCGTGGATGAGAACGCAAATGAAGATCCTACTTTTCGCGAGAGAGCATAGAACGTACATTTCCTACACTGATCTGCAGTGCACACGCAACCGCACGCTTCAGCTGACCGGACACATTGTTCGCAGGCCAGGATAGTGTGATGGCCGTGGCCGGATATATCCCGCCTGCGCACAGTATGGTTGCGAAGTACTGCACTCCGCTCTTCGAGGACGTGATGAGGATGATGTATCCAACTATCGCAAGCACTGCGCCGCCAATGATGAACGGTGCACGACGATTGATCAGATGTGAACCCCAGGCTGTAGAGAATGTGAGGACCGTCGCGACGAAGTACGGGGGTACAGTTAAAAGTTGGGCTTGGGCGGCTGTATACCCAAGATCGTTGATGATCGTCGGCTGAATTGCATTGCAAGAACGATATTAACGGCCAATTACAGCCACATGAATTCGACGAGCTTACCAAGAACAAGGACAGAGTGTACAAAGGAAGGGAGCATCCTACGAAGCAGAAACAATACAGCCAAACAGCGACGTCTTCGAAAGCCTTCCTCACATGGCGCCATGCAAAGATTTCCCCGCTCAACGCATCGTTGTCGTTGCGTAAGCGGCTATGGAGTAATTCTTTTTCTTCCGGACTTAAGAACGATACTGTATCCGGGTAATTGTGGACAAAGGCGTGGGACAAGACTGCCAGTACAATGGTGAACAGACCCTGTATAATGAATGAGATGGCATGAACATTCTAAAGGATGTACCCCATCCACCTCAATGATGAAAATCCAAGACCAGCCAGATTTGTGGCCGATGCCGTTCATTTTGCCGATAGCGTAGGCAAGGACACCGCCAAACGCGCCTTACGACGACTCAGCGCTGAGTTTATTATTAATATAATCTATTGCTTACCTGCAAGACTTGCAGCACTGAAGAAAATAGAGATACGGAAATGCTGCTCCTTCCTCTTATACCAGCAGGAGAGATAGTACACGACGCCGGGAAAGAGTCCAGCTTCTGTGGCACCGAGGAAAAAGCGCTTGAACATAGCTCAGTCAGGCGCTCTTGGAACCCGAAGAAAATCAGCAAGCTCACCACAGCCAGAAGGCCGCCATAATTGTGGACAAGTCCCATAAGGGTAGAAACAATGCCCCAGACTACCATTAAGGTCGGCAGCCACATCCTCGGAGTTAGGCGCTTAAGGACAATGTTGCTCGGTATCTCAAATAACACGTAGCCGAGAAAGTACTGCCAATGCAGCGCATCAGCATGCATGATGGAGAGAAGAACGGTCGACGTCACCAGGGTAAGAGCGTTCAAATAATCCGCTTGTGTCATCTTGAGGTCGGTCACCAGGCCATCGAGTTTGGCATTGCCAATGTTCGATCGGTCGAGAAAGGACAACAAGTAGAGCATAGTGAGCGCCGGGAGAAGATGCAGGTCCAGCTTCCTGAGGAGCCGTCGTTCTCTGGCGGCTACACTTTCCTCGATAGACACCGTTTCAGAGTCGGACCGCCGTTTCTCATCGATGATCGAAGAGCCTGCCCGAGAGATGTGGCCAGGCTTGACGAGCTCTTTGGCAACGGTAGCCATGACGAAATCGACTGGCAGCGGCAGTCGTTGCTCGGCGACCCGAGGGTAAGGAGGACGAGACGGAGGCCATAAAGTCGCATCTGCTCAGAAGCACCACCACGGGATCAATGCAATTCAAGCGGCATATGGCGCAAAGTGGACATGAGTAATGCGAGGACAAGCGTGAAGCGTGAAGAAGCAGCGACATGAGAACGAGCCAGCACGGAAGAGCAATCACCGATTGCGTGACCAGCATGATGCAAAGAGTGATAGAGCCTCCGTATCCCCGGGCCTGTCAGTACATCAATGTGGCATCCAGAAAGCACTAATTCTTGTGCTGTACCCGTCTGAAGGTCATTCAAAGAGTGACTTCTTCACCAACGCGCCTTTCCAGACTTTCTGCTGAACTGCACGCATGTCAACAGTTGTTCACATTGATGAGGTGCCAAGGACTGTTTCATTGAATCATTCGGACAGCATTCGTAATTCAGGCAATTGAGCCCATTACGAAAACCGACATTCGCCTGCATCCACTCGGGATGTGACTTAACTCGGTAGTACATCTTTCGCGCACAGATGTTATTAGCTGAGGGAATGCGTTCCGATGGATGTAGAGACGTGCACGAATACCTGCGAACACCGAATCGATCGTCCAATAGCCTTGTCGCTCACGTTTAGTTTCGTGCGAAGCACATGATGTTGAGGTCTTCGTAGATTACGAAAGAAGCTGCCAGGTGAGAGCAATTTGCTAGCCCGCGCTATAACTAGTTTTGTACACGAGCGCGACGGTATTCGAATGCGAGAGAAGTTAACGCGGTAGACGCCCATTAGCCTTGACCTGCTCTCGATGAACAGCTCGTCGCACCGCTCTTCGCGCACACATGCTACCTTTTCTCTTCTGACTGACCCAAGCTCCTCTACAACCGACAACCTCTCTCCATCTGTCCTCCTACTTTCGCTCTGCCCACCCCACACCTCACAGTGCTCCCGCTACAGAGCACGCTTCAAAGTCTGTCGCTCAGACATTATTCACCCATCCACTTCCTCCCCCCTTTCCTGCTCCTGCCACCTCGACTCTCCTCATAGAACATTGCCATCGCGAACTCAACTTCACCAACAACGTCACGTCAGAAACGTGGTAAGAAGATACCTTCGCTCGAAGAATTAAATGCGTCGGATTTGATGAAGATTGTGAAGGATCTCAGGAACTCCTGGGTCCGCTCTCGCCTATCCCGTCAGGGATCTCTAGCTCAAGTGGAGGAGTAAAGACCAACTCGAAACTGAGGGGTAGGCCTCAGCTCGAGCGGGTATATATACAAGAGGGGCCAGACCCCTGGTACCGGGTGTAAGATCCTGCGTACCCTAGGTTGGTAATAATACATCATTATGGCGTGCTATGGCGTGCTCAGGCCTAGTGGAGTCCGTCTAAGTATAGGAGTGTCTATGGAGTCCAGACCTACGATGTCACTATGACGTAGGGTCACGTGACTGGTACATGTCCGAGGGATGTCCGAGTGGCGTGGGTATACTAAGATATACACGTGGAAGCGTAGTGGTACATACTATATAGGGTAACTAGGTGGATAAATAATGGTCCGTGGGCGCTTGAGACTTGTGGCGCGGAAAAACCGTGACAGTACCCCCCCTCCAGGCTGAAGTGTCCTCACGAGGCTTGAGTTCTAGTCGTAGATGCGCGGGTGTACGGCTTGTAGGTTCCATTTGGTTTTGGGTATTGGTGTCCGAGTACGCTCCGGGTCATATGTGGTATAAGTGGAGACGTCCTCTTCCCTCACCGGGGTATCCTTGAAACGCATACGTTGCCAGGGTATTTGTGCATCGTCGAGATAATAGTAGCCGTGAGTGCGCTCCGGGCACTGGACCTTTCCTTCTTCTACTATCCACTGGGCGTTAATTGGGTATACAAATAGATGGTTGCGCGACTTGGGAGTTCCGACGAATAAGACCGTATGGACGTAGTGGTCTGGATTCGCCAGCCATATGCAAACGATGTCGAACTTCTCGGGCAGCCCTATTTCTAGGCCAATCGGGGTATCGAGGGGTACGTGGAGTACGACATGGGCTTGGAACTTGCGTTTGTACCATCGTATCATTTTGTGATCCCAGTAGATCTTTTCCTTCCACTCGTCTTTCTCCTCTTCCGTCATCTTTCCTCCTTTACTGTCCGGTTCATCGTCGCTTTCTTCGTCTTCTTGAGCGCGGATCCTTTGACCACCGGGTATAGTGAGGAGATTAGGCGGTCTGGGCGCCTTGGGATGTAGCTTATGGAAGTTATTAAGCAGTAGGATGTAATCCTTTGCTATTGTAGAGCGTGGTATCCAAGTGTTCTCGGTGTCGTCCTTTCCCTTCCATTTGACCAGGTATAATAGTCCAGTTTTGGACTTTTTACTGTCAAGGATTTGGCTAATGGTAGGGGGTTCGCCCTCCGGAACGGGTATAGTAGTATCGTCTTTTTGTACACTAAATTGCGCGGGGTGATAGGGTATTAATAGGGACTCGTGGAAGACGGGGTGTATATGACGCCAAGCGGGCGGTAGCTTGAGTCTGAATGCCGACTTCCCGACCTTCTCTACTATGCTAAATGGTCCGTAACGTTTATCGTCCAGCTTCTTGCTTGGTCGAGTAGTAGTAATATTAGTTCCTTCTAATAGTACCAGATCGCCCTTGGTATAGGCCGCATGGTCCGGGTATTTGCCATCGTGGTACTTTTTCATTATACCTTTTGCTTTGGTAAGATGATTAGTTGCGTCCTTGGAAAGTTCCTCCATCTCTTTCATCCATTCTTCGGCTGATTGATTGCGGGGTTCCTTCCTGGTTTCGACTCCCGTATAGGGATGGTATCCATGTGTAAGGTAGAATGGGGTATAGCCGGTGCTTGCTTGTCTATGGTTTCGGTATGCGAACATAGCGAGGGGTATCTTGGAAGGCCAGTCATCTTGTCTATAGGAAGTATATATCCTCAAGTAGGTCTCTATTTCCTGGTTCATTCGTTCCGTCTGCCCATCCGTCTGAGGGTGGTAGGCAGTGGAAGGATTTCCCTGGACGCCCAACTGTTGGTATACATCCTTAGTAAACGAGGATACGAACTGTGGTCCCCTGTCGGACCATATCCTTTCCGCTAGTCCGTGTGCCGACATTACATGTTTAATATACAAGTCCGCATAGTCCTTCGAGTTGATCGACTCCGTGCAGGGTATGGCGATGAAGTCTTTTGACTTCAGGTCTACAAATACAAGGATGGAGTCGTACTCGTCTACAGTAGGTAGTTTTACAATAAGGTCCGTGGAGATGTACTGCCAGTTATGATCTGGAACTGGGTTTGGCTCTAATGGTGCTGATCGGTGTTGGCGGTTAGGTTTGGCCTTTTGACAGGTCCCACAACCTTTCACATACGCCGTAACATCCTTGATCATTTCTGGCCACCAGTACGATCGCTTGATTAGTTCCATGGTCCTTTCTATTCCTGGGTGTCCCATGAACGCGGCATCGTGGTGGGACTGTATTACTTTGCCGATTATTTCTTGGTTATTTGGGATTATGAGAATTTCACCCCCCCTCCAGAGTGTGCCGTCCTCGGCTGACTCGAGCTCCTTTTGAGGCAAAGTTTTCCATAGTAAATATTCGGAAGAATGTGTGGCGCAGAGATCGCGAATAGCGTCCGTCCCTACAACTTTGGTATTCCTGAACAACTCGGCAGGTAATACGACCTGATTGTCCAAGTGATCCATACCATCGTCATAGTCTGGTCGTCGGCTAAGCGCATCTGCTGCACTGTTTTTCTTGCCTGGGATATGATGGAGTTCGAAATCGTATTCAGCGAGGAAAGACATCCACCGTGCTTGGCGGGGGTTGATCTTCTGTGGTTTCCTAAAGTACGTTAGATTAAGGTGATCAGTGAAGATCTGTACAGTATGCTTGGCGTGTATTAAGTAGTGTCGCCATTCTTCTAGACAATCTACAATAGCGAGAAGTTCTCTATCGTACACCTGATAGTTCTTCTCGGCGTCCTTGAATGACCTACTGTAATAGGATACTGGTACCCAAAGATTATCTTGCTTCTGCATAAGAACTGCCCCGAGGGCGAATTGCGAAGCATCTACTTCTACCATAAACGGGTCCTCGTCCGTAGGTATGTGTACAATTGGGGCCGACGTAAGGAGGTCCTTGAGACCTTGGAAGGCACTTCTTGCGGTGTCCGTCCATTCCCATTCTCGGTTGCCCGTAAGGTCCGAAAGAGGCTTGGCCAAGGAGCCGAAGCCCTTCACAAATCGTCTATAATAATTACAAAATCCGAGGAACTGCTGAACGTCCTTCTTGGACCTGGGTTCTGGCCATTCTGCAATGCCAGCCACCTTTGCAGGATCCATGCGAAGTTTCCCATGGCCAATGATGTGACCTAGGTACTCCGTTTCTTCGACATGAAACTCGCATTTCTCAGGTTTACACGTCAGCTTGTGTTCCCGGAGTATTCTGAGTACTTGTTTTACAACCTGGCGATGCTCCTTCATGTCCTTGGTGAATATTAAGATATCGTCCAGGTATACCATAACTTTCCCAGTGAGGATCAGATCGTGGAAGATATCATTCATCATCATTTGGAACGTTGATGGTGAATTAGTGAGTCCGAAGAACATCACTAGAGGTTCGAATAGACCTCGGTTCGTGACGAACGCGGCCTTTTCCTCATCCCCTTCCTTGATCCGTATGTTATTATAGCCCCACCGGATGTCGAGCTTAGAGTAGTACCGGGCCCCCTTAAGCCGGTCGAATAAGTCATTGATTAAAGGGAGCGGGTATTTATTTTTCTTTGTAACTTCATTGAGCCGTCTATAGTCCTGAACCGGCCTTAATTTGCCATCCTTTTTCTTGACAAAGAAGAAGGGGGCGCCCCAGGGGGATTTAGACTGTCGTATGCGACCAGTCTTGAGGTTTTCTTCAAGGAATATATCCAGAGCTTCCTGTTCTTTTACGCTCATTGGATATACCTTTCCGCAGAAAGGTTTCGCGCCGTCTACTAGTTCTATGGCGTGATCCCATACTCTGCATTCAGGAAGCTGGTCGAATTCAGCTTCCTCGAAGACTTCCTTATAATCCCAGTATTCCTCTGGAACAACCTCTTGCATGCTCTTGGCTTTGGTACTTTTGCCTTGAGCGATGGCTAGGTCGGTGGCCTTGGTGGCTCGTATATGTTCGTATTCGGAAAACTGCTTCCGAATGTAGTCGCTGTCCAATGCCAGCACCTTATCTCCGTCCTCCAACTTAAGCTCCTCGCAGTTACAACGCGTGAAGCGAAGCGTGCGTTTAGCCCAGTCGATATCAGGGTTGTGATCTTCCAACCAATCGAACCCGAGGAACATGTCGTGGTCCGAAAGGGTAGTCACATTGAATGATCGGCGCTCTCTATGGCCTTGGATAACTATGTCTAATAATACATAATGGGTCATATCGCCGTCACGGTTGGGGGTCCCATCTGCGTTGAATACGCGGAGTGGTCGATCGAACGGTATCTTAGGTATCTGGAACTTAGATACGAATTGTTCGTCGATGCAACACCCGGTGCAACCCGAATCTAGAAGGGCTTTGGCGGGTATATTCCTATCCCCAACTTCTATTGTTACTGGTATATCGATCTGGCGATGTCGTCGTACTGCTCGGACGTTGAATTGTCCACGCAGTTTAGTACCGGTCGATCCGAAGCCAGCAGTCCCTCTTGCTGTTTCTGCTATTTCCGTCACGACTTCGGTAATCGGGGTATCGTTTCGTTCCAAGATTAGCTGGGCGACTCGGTCCCCATACTCAATCTGGAACGGGGTATCAAGGGTATTTATTAGGAGTATTTTGACTCGTCCAACATAGTCAGAGTCTATTACTCCGGCCCCTACATCTATTCCATGTTTTACAGCCAGGCCTGAGCGCGGAGCGATGCGTCCGTAGCATCCGCTGGGTATCATCAACTTCAGGCCGGTATCTACAAGGAGACGGGAGTGACCGGGAATGACCACTTCCTCCGCTGAGTGCAGATCGTACCCTGCTGCGCCTTCTGTTTGGCGGGTTGGTACGATGGCTTGCAGGTGGTCTAGAAATACACGCAAAGTGGTTTTCTGTGTCTTCTTCTTCGGTGTACGCTTTGCCGATGTTGAAGCTTCCACTTGCAGACTGTCCGTGTTCTGAACTGAAGAAATGTTAGAAATTGAGCTATTCACGGAATTAAGCACCGATGCTTTTTGATCCGGCCGAGCTCGATCAGGCACCGCTAAGGTCCCGTCATCCCGAGACCCCGTTTTCGCTCTTACTACTGTTACATTAGAGTGGGCACCACTACTTGTACCCATATTGTCCGACGTAGTGCTACTAGTACAATTGAGAGAGGAAAGAATAGAAAAACGAGATCCGCTAGGGTGTGGTGGTGTGCTGTCATCTGCGTCAGGGGTACTGAATTTTCCCTTTCCTGAGCTTAGACCCTCCTGCCCACATCCCTCCAGGGTGTTTTCAGGTACGGCTTGATGGCGCTTCTCAGGCTTCGCCTCCACCACCATCAGCTCGACTCTCCCTGGGGACCCACCTTTTGGTGACCCGTCTAAACCATGGCCCTTCTCAGGTCTCGCGACCTCCGTGACCATGGAATGGCCGTTAATGGTCAGGGGTGACCCATGTAAACCAGGGCGCTTCTCAGGCTTTTGGGCCTCCACCACCGAGGAATGCACGTTACTGGTCAAGGAAAATGAAATGTCCGGATCGAGTCGTGAGTCCTGCAAGACTTGCGTACTTAAGCCTTGCCGAATTGAAAACCCGCCTGGTTGAGCAGAGCGGGGTTGGCCGCAATGGCCGCCTTGAATGCTCGTACGGCCTCGGTTTCTTCTACCGTACTGGCCCGAGCTGCAGGCTGGGCATCCTTTTTGCGCCAGCACTGCGCCTTTCCATCGTAATAATGGGTGTGCCATATATCCGTGCACGACCCCTTCTCCGACCTTTCCTTCCCGCAGGTACCACACTTCCGGTGCTTGTCGCGTTCGTTTTCGACGCCTACCGTTTCCTTGTGCGGTACCGCTTTTCCTGCCTCATCGATGTTTCTGATGGGCGCCCTTCCTGTTGTCCTAACCGCATTTGCCGTTACCGTTGTTGAACCTTCCTCCTGGTGGACTTGTCGGGTTCTGGAGTCCTTGGCTTTCCCCTTGCCCTTTCGGTCCTCGAAGGTGGATGCCCACTGTTGCTGCTGTTGAAGGTCCAGCCGGGCTGCAACCTGTTTCCACAGGCTGTAGCTGTTGACGTCCCGGCTGATTCCTTCGGACGACCAGACTCTGTCACAGAGCTCCTTCCGCATGGCCGTCCTAAGCAGTTGGAGCAACAGTTGCTCATCCTTGTACCCCGAGACCTTGACCCAATGTTCCCATTCGGCTTCGAACTCTTCCCAAGGCTTGTATCTTTGCTGCATGGATCGCAGCATTCGTTGACCCTCCAGCTCCGGGTTCGCAGGGTAGTACATCTTCTTGAAGTCTGCGATGAAGTCCTGGAGCGTGGCGTAGACCGGGGGTCCTCCCATCATCCTTTCCAACAGGGAGGCTTTCCAATGATCTATTTGGGGTCCACGAATGTAAGACATGGCCCAGCGAATCTTACTTTGTTCATCCTCGAATTCGCTGGGCTTCATGACGATGTAGTTCATTACATCGACGAGCCATGCCTTTGCCTTTGCCTTGGTGCCATCGAATGGCTCCGGGAGATTGACCTTTGGTCCTCGGAACGACTTTCTGTGTACCTCGTCCGAGGATGCTGGTGGCGGGGCTGCGGAGCGACGGTCCCGATCTGGTGGTGGGACCGGCCACTCTGGGGGGAATGCGAATAGTGCCCCTGCCAGCTCGTCATCTTCATCTCCCTTGTATGAGTGCGCCGGGGACATTGGGGGCGTCTGCACCCTAGAGGGCGGCTGCTCAGGGTTTGCCTGGTGTGCCGGTTTGAGCCCACTAGGGCCGGCGGTTCCGCCGACTCCTTTTACCCAATCCCGAATATCCTGCTGCCCGGGATCCTGTCTGCGCTTGCCCTTGTCGACCGGTTTTTTGGGTGGTCAAATAGGGGAAGACGGTGGTGGACGCGTCATGGCTTCCAGGAGGTGGATTCGGGTTTCTTGGGTCTTGTTGATGCCTTCTAGACCCGTTACCCTTTCCTCGCTGGATTTGAGTGCTTTCTTGAAGGCTTCCAGTTCCGTTGTTAGCTTGTGGATCTGGTTGCCGCGCTCTGTTCGTGAAGCCTCGTTTTCGTCCACCTGCCTCATGAGACGGTCTCGGGTTGCTTCGGCCGCTAGGCGTCCTTCCCGTGCTTCTGCTACCTCTCTTCGTGCGACGTCGAGTCGACTACGTAGTCGATTGTAGTCATTTTGGAGGTGCTGGTAAGCACGCCTCATATCGGTCGGCTGGGTCCAAAATCCTGGGACATCCTCGTTTGGTGGGGGGAGACCGGGTCGTGCCAGATAATAGCTTTGTCTGTTATCCGGAAATCTGTATCGTTCGTACCCTGGTGGGGTTCCTGATGCATGACTCGACCAGACATAGTCTTGTCCCCTTGCAGCCCCTCCGTGCCTTGCTACCACATCTACTGGTTGCGTTCGATATCGCTGCCTGTCTTCTACAGAGTGTTCGCGGGCATGGATATCGTATTCCCACTGATGGAAACGTCTCCCTGTCCTTGATTCTTCGGGGTATAGGGCGGCGAATTCTTCTACCAGCCTTGCTGAGGGTCCCCTTCTCGTGGGGAGTGCTTCCAGCATTGCTGGCGTCATGAAGTATCGTGGTGTGGGGGCGAGGATGTCAGTATTGTTGAATGAGGATGGGGTGGGTGCCCTGGGATCCAGATTTTCGGGGTTTAAATGTCCTTCTACGGAATGCTCGGATTGGGCCATTTTCGGTGTTGGTACCTGGTCGGGGTTTTGGCGACCTGTTCAGAAAGGTTCTTCTTCGTCGTCGGAGGAAATACCGTACTCTTCGTCGAACAGGAGATGATACAGTTCCTGGTCGTCTTCTACTGGTGGAGGCTGCCTGGGAGCTTCCCTGACTATGCGATGTGGCTGGTATTCGAGCCTTTCGTAGTAGTCGATGACGACTTGGTAACGGTAGAGGATGAAACGGGATTGGGCGACGTGTGGTTGGTAGATGAAGTCCGCCCGGAAGATGACGCTGATGTGTTCGTATACTTGATCCCACTCTACCGGTCCTGGAGATACGGTGTATATGGATGTGTATCCTTCCAACGAGAACCTTTGCATTCGATGTTGTAACCTGCTCGCGAACTTGTCGAGCTGTTCTTCACCAGGGCCTTGTAATGACCCAGACGCAGCTTTAGAGTCCTGCTACTCCTAGTAGGTCTAGTTACTACGGAGTCCTGAATGGTGCAGTTCGCAGTCGCAGAGGGGTCTTTGTGGTCTTTGATTATTTCACCACCAGTGTCCAACTACCTCTGAAGGGATGTAACCTTGGTCCACCTGCCGTTCCAGCAGAGCTTTCCGAGAGTTCGTCCCACACCAAACGACTATTTGTCTACGTATGTATTGGTAACTAAACCCCTAAGTAAGCCAGAACTGCGCAGGGGTTGAATACGCGTCTGGTGCCGCTTTAGCACTGAGCAAGTAGGTTTATTCCCTCGCTACTCGAGGTTATGCAGGTCTCGCCGAAGCGGTCCAGAAGTGTTGCTGATTTACAGCTTCAGAGCCTTTTCAAAGGTGACTCGTTCCTCCCGCAAGTTCTCCCTTGTCTGCGGTTGTTACGTCTGCTACCCCTAGACCTGGTGGCTAGGATGGCGACGTTAGAGGATAAATCCTCCGTATAGCACGGCAACTAGGCCGAGGATAGTTTTTATGGACTAGCAGCCCCACGCTTCAAGGTCACGCCTCTACGGGGTCTATGGGCCTGACAGTAGCCAGACCAGACAGGGTCCCCGACGGATTAGACAATGATAGTGGTACCCTTTTAAGGAGTACTGCGTCCCTTGCTCCTAGTGGTGCTGACGTCAACAGGCACTCCTGGCCCTTCTTGACAGCCCTAATGCAGTTTTAACCACTAGGTTTCAACTGGCAAGTCCCCTTACGCCTGGGGTCGCGGCAAGATTTGGGACTGTAGTATGTCGCCCACTTTCGCAGGAGGCTGGTTTAGGGCCTATGTATCCTGACTGACAGTCCGCGTATTCGCTTTACCGAAGAGGTTCAGCAGGGCGCAGCTAAGCCCGAGGAATGTGGGAAGAAGCCCTGACTGGGCACGATGAGGATGAAGTTTGATCGACAGAGGTATGCAATCTGAGGCGTCGACCGGTGCCCGCAGATTTAAGAGAGTAGTTTCGAGTTATGTGAAGGATCTCAGGAACTCCTGGGTCCGCTCTCGCCTATCCCGTCAGGGATCTCTAGCTCAAGTGGAGGAGTAAAGACCAACTCGAAACTGAGGGGTAGGCCTCAGCTCGAGCGGGTATATATACAAGAGGGGCCAGACCCCTGGTACCGGGTGTAAGATCCTGCGTACCCTAGGTTGGTAATAATACATCATTATGGCGTGCTATGGCGTGCTCAGGCCTAGTGGAGTCCGTCTAAGTATAGGAGTGTCTATGGAGTCCAGACCTACGATGTCACTATGACGTAGGGTCACGTGACTGGTACATGTCCGAGGGATGTCCGAGTGGCGTGGGTATACTAAGATATACACGTGGAAGCGTAGTGGTACATACTATATAGGGTAACTAGGTGGATAAATAATGGTCCGTGGGCGCTTGAGACTTGTGGCGCGGAAAAACCGTGACAAAGATGCAGTCTTCCAAGCTTGAGCAAAGTGACCCTCGTCAACGGTGCGTCCCTGCCCGCCCCGATCATATCATTTATACATACTGATCGCGACCTCATTGTATACAGCGCACGTGAGGTCAGTAACCTTTGCTCCCAGTCTAGCCCAACAAACTGATATAACAGCATGTAGCTCAAGCATCTTGAAGGGCTGATCAAGGTAGCCGAGACTGCTGCGGTTCAAGCTGAGCGGTGCAACCGCAATGCCCGCGTCGCGATCAACCGTCTTCCTCCTGAAGTGTTCCGGGAGATATTCGTGACGACCTGCACCGTCAAGCTGGCTCGATACAGATCTACATACTACACATGGGGAGCAACTACCACCGTCTGGAACCCAACTTGGATTGAAAAGGGCAGAGCAGTCAGTCTAATGCTCGTCTGTTATCGTTGGAAAGATATCGCCTTGGGGATCCGGGAGTTCTGGAATGGCGTTGAAACATATTGGGAGCCTAAAGATCATATCTTGCTGGAAAGGTCCGGCCGAGGCCCACTCAAGGTTCTGGCTTGCTGCAAATTGCGACCTTCTTCTGCTGTTGCACATGCTCTCCAAAATGTGGAGCATTCATCCCGAATCCAAGAATTGTACTGGATACGGCCCTCAGCACGTGAGAACCTTCGAATGCCAGCGCCCTCGCTCAGGTCTCTCGCGTTGCAGGGGGACTTGAGCGTCAGGGTGCCAGATGGATCGTTCAAACTCTTCAACAATCACACGCCATGTCTGGAGCGCCTGTCACTGACATATATGCATTGGCTGCCCAGCAATGTGTTCGCCAAATTGACATTCTTGGCTCTCGGCCATTGCAATGTACCCAAAGCTCCCATCAATCTACGCAGCTTGCTTTCTGGAACACCAAACCTAGTCGATCTTATCCTGCGAAGTGTAGCTGACCGTGACAACCCACACCACCAAGAGCAAATTGAGGCTGCAGATACGAAGCCTGTGTCGCTCGCTCGGTTGCGCCGGTTGCTGATCGAATATATGTGGGCCGATGTCATCGATTATGTCTTCCGGGATGCTCAGCTAAACGAAGACGTGTCCGTCTCAATCTTATGCGAGAAAAAGTGCGATGATGATCAGCGACTTTTAGAGTTAGTGTCCACTTGGTCATTGAATGCCCTAAAGCAACCCAAAGAATTGCATTTCCAGCCGCACGTCGCTATCGTCACTGGAGCCTCTTCTGGTCTCCGTTTTGAGTTCTGGGAGAGCATGACCCTCGAGGATTGGACCAAATTCAAGTGGCTATGGATGCTACCCCTTTCCAGCATCTCACACCTGTGCATGTTGGAGTGGGACGCATGCGGGGTTCCCAGTCTTGAAGGTGTCCGCAGCCTTCTCAGGCAGATGACCGCGCTTCAGACACTGTCCGTCAATATTGAGGTCCTGACGAAGATCGTCGATGCACTCACGCTCTTCCGAGACCCAATCGACCGGCCTCTCTGTTCCACACTGACGACGCTACGTATCACCATCGTGGATGATAGTGATTGCGACATCATCCTGGCCTCGATCCTCCCGCATCGTGCGCAACTTGCGATCAAGCATCTTTATATTGGGTTGATCGATCCTCAAAGTGAACACTGGAGTCCTCATCAAGCTGTGGAGGACGAATTGCATGGCAAATTCGAGTCGGTGAATTTCGAGATGCTGTTGTATGATAACGCATACAACATTACTCTGCCGCCGGTTTGTATTGAGGAGGCGCATGCTTTGTGGCCGCCCTGGCTTTAGGTGTTGTGTGGACGAGAGATGGCGTGGATTTCAGTGAGACCAAATGTATGCTCATGTCAAAATTCTAGTCTCGGTCGCTCAGTACTCAATGCTCATTACCAGTTTTCCTGATGCTCATGAAGCGGGCATGTATTAGAGGAGGAAAAATCCGTATTTTATGCTACAGCAGATGTCAACCCTTGTGAATGCAAATGCAAGCTTTAGACTGAGATGTCATGACTACGTCCTAACCCGATTCACAGTAACATATACTCAGTCACTGTCCACGCATGATGCCGCCTGTGGCATCTGCAGTAGCTGAGATGTGGTTCGCGGCGTCTGATTCAGTCATGCAGGTAACTGATGCGCCAGACTTGTTCAGGCTGGAGCTGCAGTAGAGCTGCAGCTCTGAAGGACGTATGCACCGCTCCCGCAACTGTGCCAAATTGCCATTGGTGTAGGCGTCGTCGCGCTCTCAGACAGAGAAGATATGCATCAAAATGCCGGTTGCGGGCCAGTGAAATGTCACGATGCATTCGATTATCAGTAAGTGTTCTCCTCAACCAATCGGTCACTTACACTTGCATCTATTTGCACACAGACGAAGTCATTTTAATCTGCTCCCAACATGCTCCCACGTTCGAAGCATCTGTCCTTGGCTCCTGCGAGAGCACTATCATATACTCTCAAATGTCCAGCTCGCAACGTATGGCGACCGACGACTGCAGCTCCCAAGCCAAAGCGCATGGCAGGCACACTGACTTTGAGGTCAGCACGCGATGATCAGGTTCTTTTTCGCTTTCCGATGACCGTTCTCGCCTTCACATCATCCCCCACAGGACCCAGCCCACCCTTTTGGACTCGTGCGGTCACTACACGCGCTGGTGCTAAACCGTGTGGATTGCATGTTGACTTTGAGCCCTGTCAACGGATATCTTCAGCGTGATCAGAATGGCCGTCAGCGCTCCCAACAGCACACGGTTCTTCAATCATCCATATCGAGCACTGGTTCTCGCGTAGCACGCCAGACAGAGACGAATGCTCCGGCTAGTTGAAGGTTTTCTCCGCTGAAACTTCCAACCACGCAGCCCTTTCGATCACCATCAAGTTCGCTCATCTGGGCTGAAGCATGCGGCAGCCCTTGCGGGGGTCAACCCACCATCATTGGGCACGCACCGCACTTATGTCTTTGCGGACATCGCTGAAATGTTCAGACTGGTTCTCGCAGATGACAATCCCGACCTTCTCTGGACTGGATACGATGATCGACCTTGTGAGACGCACGCTTGTCTGGATGCGCGCATGCAGTCTTGCCCGACTGTCCCCCCTGACAACTGGAATAAACCCCTTATAAACGAACTTATCCCGATGTGGTATATCCCACACGCGCGAAGTGTATATAACGAAACTAATCGCATGGACGCACCGTTTGTAAGTTACCGTCGGAAGTCCCTCGCTCGTCGCTGACGCCGTTTCTCTGAGCAGACGCGCATCGTGGGCCTGCCCTGTTGAGTTGCGCGCGCTGAAGCTCTGCCCGAGTTCTGGCCATAAGCCAGCTTCCCACAACACTCGCTTGTTGCTTACATTGGTGGAGGTAGGATCGGACCAGTGCATGCTCGTGGCCTCGCCTTACGTCGCCGGTGAGACGCGGCCAAGATACCTGGATATGAAAAGAGATGGAGGCTAAGGGATACAGTAGCGCAGAGAGAATGAAATGATTGAACGATACTTGAGCTTGAGAGCTCGGCGTGCACCGCGCACCACTCACTTCACGAGAGCCCCACGGAGTCCGTCATTCGCAGCATATGTGTACGCTGCGCATTCTGGTGAGTAGTAGTGGCGGTACAGCGCAGACGCTATAGCTAGATCATCGACCCACAAACGTTCATCTTCGGAGCCTTCACTCGCGCCCGTGTGGTCACAAGTCCAGACGCGAGCAGACAGGGTCTGCGGCGAGCACGACCATAGCAGGAGCGCTCTTGCCCTCGATGAACACCTCGTCACGCCACGCTTCGTGCAAACATGCTGGCCTTTCTCTTCTGACCAACCCAAGCTCCTCAGCTGCAACCGAAACCCTACTTTGGCTCTGCCCACCCAATGTCCCACAGTGCGAACTCCCGTATGTCCCACACGCCGACAGGTTCGCTACCAGTACTCCCCATACAGACTCTCATGCTTCAAAGTGTGTCGCATGCAGAGCGAATGTAGTGCGGACAACGAGCTCACGTACGTAAAGTCGAGAACTACGACACCCAAGGACGTCCACCCGGCAGGCTTGCTGCAGCATCGCCGACCGTGTGCCCATGCGCCCACTACGCAGGCGGCAGAACCCCTTCTTGTACGCTCGCTCGATGTCTCAAGTGATACGGCCGCAATTACGGTGTAGGTTGCACGACGGCGGCCAGCTAGGGAAAAGGATGGCGGCGCTGAGGGGGTGCATGCCAGTGGATGCACGAGCGTGCCGGCACCTCATACTTGTGCGTTCATTCTGTATCGTGAACGGCATGACTCATGTCTGCCACACATGATGAATATGTAGCAACCGATGTCCACATGTGGACGCGAGCATCCGCGTCGCTGACTTGCCACAGTGGCCAACCCCACCATCTGTGGCTGTGGCCGTGGCCACACGATATTTAACCGTAGCCACAACGTGACATCTGGGCCATGTTGCATGCATATATATATCTCCAGTCACTCAGACACTCTCCGCCCGTCCACTTCTGCTTCCCTTGCCTGCTCCTGCCACCTCGGCTCTCCTCATAGAACATTGCCATCGCAAAGTCAAATTCACCGACAGCGTCAGGTCAGAAACGTGGTAAGAAGATACCTTCGCTCGAAGAATTGAACGCATCGGACTTGGTGAAGATGCAGTCTGCCAAGCTCGAGCAAAAGGACACTTCCCAACGGTGCATCCCTGCCTGCCCCGATTATATCATTATACATACTGACCGCGATCTCATTGTACACAGCGCACCTGAGGTCAGTAACCTTTGCTCCCAGTTCAGCTCAACAAACTCAACAAACTCATGTAACGGCATATGCTCAAGCGTCTTGAAGGGCTGATCAAGGCGGCCGAGATCGCTGCGGTTCAAGCTGAGCGGCGTGACCGGAATGCCTGTGTCACGATCAATCGTCTTCCCGCTGAACTGCTCCGGGAGATATTCGTGACGACCTGCACCGTCAAGCTGGCTGAATACAGATGGACACGCTATCAATGCAACAACATAACGATCGTATGGAACCCGACTTGGGTTCAAAAAGACAGAGCAGTCCATCTCATGCTTGTCTGCTGCCATTGGAAAGAGGTTGCCTTGGGGATCCGGGAGCTCTGGAACACCATTGAGACATATTGGCATCACAAAGACCAGGTCTTGCTGGAAAGGTCCGGTCGAGGCCCACTCAAGGTGCTGGCTTGCCGCGAATTGGAACCTTCTTCTGCTGTTGCACACGCTCTCCAAAATGTGGAGCATTCATCCCGAATCCAAGAGTTATACTGGATGTGGTCCTCAGCACGTGAGAACCTTCGAATGCCAGCGCCCCTCGCTCAGGTCTCTCGCGTTGCAGGGGGACTTGAGCTTCGGGTTGCCAGATGGGTCAATCAAACTCTTCAACAATCACACCCCATGTCTGGAGCGCCTGTCACTGTCAAATGTGCATTGGCTGCCCAGCAATGCATTCGCCAAATTGACATTCTTGGCTCTCGACTGTTGCAACGTACCCAAAGCTCCCATCAAATTACGCAGCTTGCTTTCTGGAACACCAAACCTAGTCGATCTTATCCTGCGAGGTGTAGCCGACGATGACAACCCACACCACCAAGAGGACATTGAGGCTGTGGAAACGAAGCCTGTGTCACTCGCTCGGTTGCGCTGGTTGCTGATCGCATTGTGGGCCGATGTCATTGATTATGTCTTCCGGGATGCTCAGCTAAACGAAGACGTGTCTGTCTCAATCAAATGCGGAAAAAGGTGCAATGATAATCAGCGAGTTTTAGAGTTGGTGTCCACTTGGTCATTGAATGCCCTGAAGCAACCCAAAGAACTGCATTAGGACCTCAATTTTCCAGCCGAACGTCGCCATCGTCACTGGAGCCTCTTCTGGTCTCCGTTTTGAGCTCGGAGAAAGCATGACCCTCGAAGATTGGACCACACTCGATTGGCCACGGATCCTTCCCCTTTCTAGCATCTCTCGTCTGTGCACGTTTGAGCGGGATGCATGCAGGCTGCCCGATCTTGAATGTGTCTGCAACCTTCTTAGGCAGATGACCGCGCTTCAGACACTCTCCGTCAACATTGAGGGCCTGACAAAGATCGTCGATGCACTCACACTCTTCCGAGAGCCAACCGACCCGCCCGTCTGCCCCGCACTGACGACGCTTCGAATCGCCATCCTGGATGATAGTGATTGTGACATCATCCTGGACTCGGTCCTCCCGTACCATGCGCAGCTTGGCGTAAAACGGCTTCATGTCGGGCTGCTCGATGTCGATGATGATCCAAGTGAACACTGGAGACCTCATCAAGCTGTGAAGGACCAACTGCATGGCAAATTCGAGTCGGTGAATTTCGAGACGCTGTTGTATGAAAATGCATACAACATTACTTTGCCGCTGGTTTGTGTTGAGGAGGCGCATGCTTTGTGGCCGCCCTGGCTTTAGGTGTTGTGTGGACGAGACATGACGTGGATTGCAGTGAGACCAAATGTGTGCTCATGTCTGGGTTCTCGTTTCGGTCACTCAAGTACTCATCGCTCATCGCTCGTTACCAGTTATACCGGTGCTTACAGAGAGTGGGCATGTATTAGGGAGGGAGAAGTACGTATTTTATGCTACAACCGATGTCATCCTTTGTCAATGCGAATGCAAGCTTTGGACTGAGATACCGTGAATGTCGTGACTACGTCCTACTAACCCAGTTCACAGCGACGTGCACTCAGCCGCTGTCCATGCATGATGCCGTCCGTGACATTCGTGGCTGAGATGTGCCTGCCTCGCGATGTCTGATTCAGTCATGCAGGTCACTGACATGCCGGACTTGTCCAGACTGGGGCTGCACTTCTGGGGGACATACGCATCATCCATGCACTGGGCGAACTCACCGTTCATACATGCCTCTTCGTTATCTGTAGGATGTATTCCATCAGTATGTTCGTGTGAATAAGCTAATTGAATGGCGGCAGCTCATCAGTGAAGCTCGAGCTCTTCTTGAGCGAGGTGAACTCGGCATCCTGCTACTGCATTTGCTGTGCGACGGTTCAGGAGGAGGAAATTGCTGCTGCTTACCGCAGACATAGTGCTTGCACGCACACTCATCGTTGCAGCTGAGGACATAGTAGCCGAAGATGATGCGACCGCCATGGGCGACGACGTGCTTGAAGGGTTGTTGTCCATATTACGCCACCCATCGCGCACGGTAGCTGGGATCCAGCTCTCCACGTCCGACTCAGTCAAGCAGGTGATCGACATTCTGGTGTTGTTCGTGAGCGAAAGTGCATGACAATTTGGGCCAGAGCTGCAGCTTAGGAGAACATGCATCTTGCCATACAAGATGCAGGCGTTCTCGCCCTCTACAAAGAGGTATGCTTAACATACCGGCTGCGGGCTAGTGAAGTGCCGCGGTGCACTCGACCGTTCCTGAGTGTTCTGCTCAATCAACTTTCGGTCACTTGTACTCGCATCTATTTGCAGACGGATGCGCTCGCTCCAATCTACTCCCCAACACGCTACCTCGCTCGAAGAATTTGCATTCAGCTCCTGTGAGAGCACCATACCATCACACGCTCTCGAGTCTCCAGCTCGCGACGTATGGCGATCGACGCCTGCATTCCCCAGCCCGACGCGCGCCGGTACCCTAGCGAGGTCGACTCGCAATGACGCAGTACGCACCATACCTTTCTCGCTTTCCGATGACCATTCTCGCCTTCACACCCTCCCCACAGGACCGAGCCCACATCCTCTGGACTCGTGCGGTCATTAGACGCACCCGTGCTGGACCGTACGCATCGCATGTCCACTTTGGAGTGGTATCGACAGATATCTTCAGCATGTATCCGTCAGAATCATTCCATCATATATATCAGGCACTCGTTCTCCTGTGGCACGCCACGTAGACACGAATGCGCCGGCTCCTTGAAGGTTTCTTCCACTGAAAACTTCCAGTCCCGCCGCCCATTCGATCACTACCTTCGCTCACCTGAAGCGCGCAGCAGCTCTTGCGGGAGGTCAACACGCAGTCACCCGGTGCGTACCCCACATCTTTGCGGACAACACTGACATGTTCAGACTGGTTCTCGCATATATGACCCCGACCTTCTCTGGACCGGATACGACGGTCGACCCTGCGAGACGCACGCTTGTCTGGATGTGCCCATGCAGTGTTGGCCGACTGTCCCCATATGAGAAAGGGCATAAACCTGTTCCGTAAAGTGCACGAGTGCTACCAGGTGGAAGAACTCATCCCGACGTGATATGTCCCACACGCGCGAACTACACATCACGAAACCAATCGCATGGACGTCCCGTCTGTAAGTCAGAATCCGAGGGACGTCCCTCGCTCGTCGCTGATGCCATTCCCCGAGCAGACGCATCGTGGGCCTGCCCTGTTGGGTCGCGTTAGCGTACGTTGAGTGTGAATATTCACAGGATGGCCACGCTCGTTCAATGTTCAGCGTTCATCTTCGGAGCCCTCACTCGCGCCCATATAGTCGCAAGTCCGGGACGCAAGCAGACAACATATAATGACTCTCGGCTGGTGAGGTAAATCGTCGAATGAAAATCCAGATATCAAGCAAGCAAACTTCGCAAGGAAAGCCCAAATAACTTCCAAGCGGGCCCCGAGAGTCAGCTCGAAAATGAGATGCATGAGAGGAGTTAGCAGTAGCAAAATAAAGTATATTTTTGATGCCGGCTCGCGTGGCGATTGAGTACGCCGCCACAGCGACAGCCACGCGCAACGTCCAACAGCATGCAATGCAGCATCTAATCTTGTCGCGCCCACTGTCCTTGATCAGAGAATAAGCTGTTCTCAACTCGTCAAATATTGTTTGTAGCCGCTCGCTCTTGCTTGAGGAAGTACTACGATCGTTTCATCGCATCTACGTGGATGCATCGAGCGCTCTCGTTGTACTCTTAACTCTTGACGGGAACCTACCGACTCGTTCTACGTTTACTTGTGTCCTTCCACTGTCTGGGGCTTTCTATATTTTGAGGCTTTGGAATTGTGCGGCATCGCTGTGTGAGACAGCCTCACCTCCGAAAGCACAGCAAGTTTTCCCCTGTGCGCTGCTTCCAGGTCCTCCACACTCCGCCTACCGCAGCTCACCGCAGCTCTCGCTATATCTTGCATTTTTTGACGTCGACCTACTCCATGATCCACGGCAATGCTTGGTAGAGCCAAACAGCGTGATCGCGACCAGGATGGCTCTGCTTCGCAGCCATTGCTCAGTCGCTCTGAGGACATATCGCCGCGTCACTCAGACGAAGTGCTATTCTCGGTAGAGGATGAGGACGATTTAGACGAATCCTCTGCCCTCAGCATCCCGGACTCTCCAGAGAGCAGGCCTGGACACGTCCGCTTCCAGGAGGACGTCCAGGTGATTGGCCCACCACTCAGGTCGACATTTGAGAGTCGCGAAGCCGGTGCGTGAGTCGGTTCACTTTATGTCAAGATGCAAAGAAAGACCTGAACTGTCTCAGAATTTGAACTAGATACCGACGACCTTGACAATGAGACTGTCGCACAGCTTGAGTCAACCCCGCAATCGAGGTCTTCGCGTTCAAGACGGCTGCGCGATCAGTCTACGCCGTTGCTAGTAGGCTTGCTCGACTCGGCCTCGGCGCGGAGAAGTAGCGATGGTGCGTTACAGCTGCAACGAAGAGATGGAAGTGCAGAGGAGGAGGACGAAGAGGACGTTGACTTGGAGGCTCTGGCGGCGAAGCGGCTTGAGGGCGGTGGGATGCTTGACTCTGTCGCAAATATGGCCAACTCCATCCTAGGCGCAGGTAATTCAATGCCATTGACATTGGTCTGATTCTGAACGTATTATTTCCAGGCATTATTGGTATATCTCATTTAGCAACATTTAACCGAACATGTCACTGAAGCCTGCGTTCCTTTCAGGTCTACCATATGCCATGCGTCAAGCTGGGTTTGTCTCCGGCATCATCCTGCTCGTAATACTATGTGGGGTGACGGACTGGACAATCCGTCTGATCGTGGTGAACGCGAAGCTAAGCGGACGCAATTCCTACATCGAGATCATGCATCATTGCTTTGGCCCAAGCGGGCGGGCAGCAGTATCATTCTTCCAATTTGCATTCGCGTTCGGCGGTATGTGTGCGTTCGGCATCATCATCGGTGAGTGCCCATCCTCTAAGATCTCGTTACCCACCAAGTAATCCGTGCAGGCGACACCATACCGCACGTCATTCGCTTACTATTCCCCAAGCTCGAGACGATACCCGTGCTCTCTCTCCTAACAAAACGCCAGTTTGTGATCGCACTCTGTACTATATGCATCTCCTATCCCCTCTCACTATACCGCTCGATCGACAAGCTCGCGCGCGCTTCCATCCTCGCTCTCCTCGGCATGCTCATCATCGTTGCATCGGTACTCGCCGAGGGGCCCCGAGTCCCGGCTGAGCTCAAGGGCGACCCTTCCGCCCGGTTCACGGTGATCGAGCCTGGCGTGTTCCGCGCGATCGGCGTGATTAGCTTCGCGTTCGTGTGCCACCACAATTCGCTGCTTATTTATGGAAGCCTGCGGACGCCAACGCTGGACCGCTTCGCGAAGGTGACGCATTTATCGACCGCGCTCTCGCTAGTCGCATGCTGCACGCTTGCTATCTCTGCCTATCTTGTGTTCACCGACAAGACGCAAGGCAACATCTTGAATAACTTTGCGGGGGTAAGCTGTCTATGTTACTGCGTCTTCAAGGACGTCACTGAGCACGTATATCAACAGGACGATACGGTCATCAATGTGGCCCGATTCTGCTTCGGGCTGAACATGTTCACCACTCTTCCGCTGGAGCTCTTCGTATGTAGAGAGGTAAGTGAACAGCCTCAATCAGCATCCTCATTGCTCAAATTGTGAGCGCAGGTCATCGAGCAGTATTTTTTCTCACACGAGCCGTTCAACATGCAACGGCATGTCTTCTTCACTTCAGTCATCCTTTGCTCCTCCATGATCAGTACGTCTTATTTATCTCCAACGCGTTCTTTTTCTGAACCTCGCTTGTCTTTCCCAGTTGCCCTGATTACCTGTGACCTCGGCGTCATGCTCGAAATCACCGGCGGCGCCTCCGCCACCGCGCTCGCCTTCATTTTCCCTGCCGCATGCTACCTGCGCCTCGCTGACCTCGGCCCAGCATGGTACTCCCGTGGGAAGCTGCCTGCCATCGCATGCGTCGTGTTCGGTGTGGTCATCATGGCCATCTCGCTTTTCTCCGCGCTACAAAAGGTCTGGACACCCGAAGGAAATGCGCGAATATGTGCATAACATCAGGTACATACATTATGTCGCTGTGGTGCATCGCATACTAGCATTCGATGATCAGTAACGGTGCGAAAGGGGTGAGCACGGAGGTTCGGAGGGGATTGCATATGTAACCTGATCGGACTAGACTCGTGCATGGACTCCACTGCTTCTGGTAACCCTGGAGGAAATTTGTGGGGGAAATCCTCGTAAAGTTTAGACCTAATAATCGTGCGCTATGATGTCCTTGGCTCTGCCCGGTCACCACGGAGCGTCAATAAGTGCACTTAGCCCCGAGACCTGTGCTGCATCCTCAAGCCGCAAACCTTTCGCGGCACTCTCGGATGCCGAGAGCGGGGACACGTCGAGCGACTTGTAGTTTGCCCATACGCCCTCGACCCTGCTGGAGGGTAGCTCCTGGGGTGGGCAATTGGTCGGGTCGAGAACGAGTAGCCAGATCGCATCATATCCGCCCGCTGCAATGAAAAGCAAAAACAGTCAGCCGCGCAATAAGACGCTAGTGTAATTAACGCGCACCTCCTGGCACTCCACCGCCGATGACGCCTGCACCTGAAACGCATGCATCGAGCAGCTCCGTCTGCTCTTTCGGCTCTATCGGCACGCCTGACAGCTCGCCCATCTCTCGCATTTTTGCGCGGATGTCCTTTCCGTGCATGCCTGTGAGTAACTGGACGATCTATCAGGTACATTGCACACACCTCCGTTAGCTGGTGCGCCTCCGCGAACACATCCATGATCTTTTGATTGGCGTCGGAGACAGTGGGATTGAAAGCGAGCCACTAGAAACGAGATTGTAAATGCATGCACCTCCTCACCATCATCTGGTGCGCGTACCTGCATTGTCTGCAGAGTTGAGAGGTATTTGACCGCTTTCGCGTACGCCTTCGCATCACGCGCCTGCATCCCGGACAACTTGAGCAGGGTCTGGCTCAGCGCACAGTTCAAAATGTTGAGCGAATCCCAGAGCGACTTCGCTGCATGCCACAAGGTGTCAGAATCGCACAACGTTATATGGATCATGCCGAGGACGAACCTTCTGTGCTATTCTCCCTGCGCCATTCCAGAACCTTGCCCACCAGCGAGGGCGTATCGCTCCCCGCGTCTACATCAGCCAACATGAGCCTCGTGAGAGGCGGGAGTTTGAACGGCTCTATGCGGTAGTTCCATGCCTTGTTTGACGGCAACATCACAGGCAGGAGGGGCTGTGATGACTGCGGTGCAGGCAAGTCGCCGGTCAGAATCAGATAGGCACTCGTAGACCGCAGAGCGCGGGACTCACGGCATCATCGCCCATGAGCGGCTGGAGCACCACGGGGTCGAAGCGGGTGTAGAGCTGGCTGCCGAACACCGCGGCGGACACGTCGAAACCACTGCCAATCTTCCCCTGTGCGAGGCAGTGCACATACTGCGCAAGGTTGTGCACGAGTCGGCGCCCGTCAGTTGCGGACTCGACGGCAGTGTCAAAGGAATCCCGCGGGATGACGCCGAGATGGATGAGCAGGCTGGAGACAAGCGAGGTGATGAGCGCCGCGGAGGAGCCAAGACCGGTTTTGTGCACCTCCGGGAGGCGCACGCCGGTGGAGCTGAACGGAGGTAGCTGGGCGAGAGATGCAAGGGTGGAAGGGAGGTTCCTGGACGTTAGCTGATGGAGGTATACGCGTCAGCAGCAGACTCGAGACTTGAGACATGGCCTAGCTACCTGTGCTCTTTGAGAGTAGAAATCATTATCGCCGACAATTGTGATGTCGAGGCCGTAGGAAAGAGCATTCTGCAAAGCACCCGCACCGCGGGCCTCGAGCGCGAGCACAAGCGTGCGTTCAAGAGCAAGGCGCACAAACTTGTTGTTCGTCGACGGAGTCGACGCGCTAGAGAGCGTCAGTCAGGTCTTATGCACACATCTCGAGATGATGCTCACTTGTCGTGCTCGATGCGGACGGCGTTGTGGTCAAAGTGAACGGAGTAGACCCAAGTCGCGTCCACGAACTGGGGCGATCGCACGCGGATCTGAATCGGGCGATTGGCCTGTGCTCGAGCGACGGTGGCGGCCTCGCATCTGACGGCGGTATAGAAACGTGCGCTGGTCGAGACGACGACGCCCGAGTATGCAGGGTCGAGGACTAGGTAGCCTCCTGCGAGAAGGACCTTACCGGGGGCGGATACGACGGTGGTGGCCATGGAGGACGAAAGAGACGAAGCAGGCCTGAAAGCGGAAGGCGAGTGCTGCTCAATTTATTACGTTCGTGTTACGATAAATACGAGGCGCTGCCGAGAGTGACTTAGCGCTGCAGCTGTGGACAAGGCGGCGGAGACAGAACCTCCTTTGGCACAGAAATCGAACGTGCGATGGCGCCGACTGATCTCATTATTATCTCGCGACAACGTCGGACACTGCAGACGCGGACAATCGGACTCTTCCGCCAGTACGTATATTATCCTTCATCGCCTATCCAATCTTCCCTGCGGTACTATTGCAACCGCACCGCCCCCCAGTCCAGCCACCTTCACAGCGAAGACAATGACCACATCGGCACTCCCTCCCTCCCGATCTCCCAAGCGTAAGCATCGAAGCCTCGTCACCGGACGCTGTGCCCACATCTGTCGCTAGCGCCCCCCACGCGCGAACCATGCCTTCTGCTGCCCGCACGTAGCGTTCGTGCACCCGGGGCATCGTAGCCCCATCTGCACGCTCGTGTATCCCGCCCGTCCTACCCCCACGTCCGCCAGGTGTGCAGCAGCGAGGTCTGCCAGCGCCCTGATGAACACCGGTGATTCGTTCAGCGATTCCGCCCGGTGCACCTCGATGCCGTGCTATGTACAGCGCCCATCAGCATCCATCATGCCATGTCAGACTAGCGTCCCGCGACAGCTCCTCACCTCCTGTGCTTCTTTTGTGTACTCCAGATCGAGCTCGTACAGGGTCTCGATGTGGTCACTCGTGAATGCGATCGGCACTAAGACCACCTGCTTATGTCCGAGCCTCGCGAGACCCTCTAGTGCCTTGCCGGTTTGCATCCCTAGCCACGCCGAGGGCCCTACCTGCGACTGCCACACCAGCCGGTAAGGGTGCGAGTGCTTGAGGCGGTCCATCACTGCGGACACGGACGCAGACACCTCCAAGACGTACGGATCCCCGCGGTTTACGACCGACATGGGCAGTGAATGTGCGGAGAACAATAGCACCGTCTCCGATCGCTTGGACTCGGGGAATTTGGCAAGTGCACGCTCGATATTTTGCGCGACAGCCTGCGCACAGCACAATTGAGGATTTCATTCGCGTTGACATTGACACGAACGCACCTCGACAAAACCTGGATGCATTCCCCAGCGATCGATCACGCTCCATTCCACGTCCCCAAACTCGCCTGCCTTGCCCCTCCTATACAGCTCATTCAGACTGCTGCCCGTCGTACTGCAGCTGTACTGCGGGTACTGCGTGAACGCGACCGCGCGCTTGACACCGTCTGCCTTCATCTGCCGCGCCGTCTCCTCCGTGAGCGGTTTCGCGTATCGGAACGCGACGTAGTGCTTGTGCGGTGCGGTCGTGGGGCTCAGCTCGTCGAGGAGTGCGGCCATGCGCTCGCCCTGAATGTTCGTGTAGCGCAGGATGGGAGAGCCCCCGCCGATGTCGGTGTACTGCTGCTCGATCTGCGGTGTGCGTCGCTTGGCGATGATTGGCGCAAGGATGGACTGGAATGGCAGCGGGATGAGGTCAGCGTCCGAGAAGAGGTTTTTGAGGAAGTCGTGTGTCTCGGAGACCTGAGGAATAAGCGTGAAAAGTCATATGTGAGACAAGGCTAGCGGAGAACGTACGGTGGATGGCCCACCCATATTCAGCATGATGACCGCTTCGCGAGATGAAGTTTACCTTTTGCAGCAGCTTAGTATAGCTAGCGTCACATACCTGTAGGGCTGAACGATCTTCAACAACGCGAGAGGTAAAGCACTCGAATGCTCTCGTACCTCTTCCTTGACGGTGGAGTATGGATCAGAGACGCAAGCGAACGCGTGAACGAGCGCGTCGCCGCGCTCGTTCGTCCGATGCGTGCAGCAGCAAACATCATTCAGGCTTTTTGCTGCCTCGGAGAGGTGAAGGATGCCAGTAAAAATACAGTGAGAAACGGAAGGGAAAGAGCTCGGGGTGCTTATGCATTAGTGGTAAGCCGCGTTGGACGCGTCACGTTGAATCAAGCAGACCCTATTGGTTCGCACATGACGGTTACAATCCTCTATATACAGAGTCGTACGTAGCTATACGTCGTACATCACATACACACAGTGAGCTAAACATCAGGTCAAACTCAAGCACGATGCAGTCCGGTGAATGAGTCCGGAGTGCAGGAAGTAGTATACAAGTCCAAGATAAGATCAGTGAATGCTGTCAATGACTTATGTCCAGAATGCAAGAAACTCGAAACGGAAGATGCTCGTCAATCAAGCGCCATGAGTTGTCACCGCACATGAAACCAACAATATATGTCCTCAAAATCACCAACCATTGTCCCGCCTGACGACCAGAGAACGCTCATCCGGGCTCGAGACCACGTTTGAACAGCAGTGAATAGGCCATTGCATGCAACTCCCTCACGTTTTCATTGACGTGGAGCATGATCGGCCGGCCAGCCCGCATCAGCAGCTTCCCTCTCTCTGGCTTTTCGTAATAGCGATCGTAGTTAGGGATAGCGCATTCGAACGGTACAACGACCTTCACGACGCGCATCAATAGGCCACGGTTGCCCTTGTAGAAGGACCGCTCGAATTTGAGCACCGCCGAGCCTGAGAACATATGTCAGCAAAACACGAAACAGCGAGAGATAATGGACAGCGCGCAAGTTGACTTACCAGAGTATGTGGCGAGATCCCGATATTCTAGCCGGTTGTCGCGGAGCGCAGAATGGATTCTGCAAGGGAGGATGACATCGCCGTCATCGACATATATGGGGTTGTAAGGACTTTCGAAGTCCACAAAGAATGACTCTTTGGTCGTGTGGATGACCTGGAGGTTCATACGTGTCCCGTTACCATACTTCATACCCGCAATCTTTTTCAACAACGTGTCCGAGATGAGATTGTCTCGTCGCAGCATGTGCTGTAGCATCATGTAGGGCTTGTCCTGGACAATCTTGAGCAGCGGAATCCGCCACTCCATGCCGTTAGGAAACCTGAGGTCTGAGCCGTAGTCGAACGCTCGCACTTCGGGACTTGGAATGCGACGGAAGCGTACTTCGTGTCTAAGCGGCGGAAGATGCGGGGGGCACCAAAAGTATAAAAACCCATGGCAATGATTCGGAAAGGAGAGGTTCTGGCCCACTGTGTCCGGATCTGCTGTATAGCGCACTGTGACATGAGTGGGGGAATTGCTATGCTCGATCTCTACGAGGCGTTTCTCCGTCGCTGGTCGCCAAACCCGCTTGCCAAGACGCGTTTTAAAAGCTACAAGCGAGGCGCGATCATGGATCCTCGTTGTTGCGCCAGTCAGATGCAGTAAATCATTTCTATCGAGGCGATTTCGGTCCAGGGAATGTATAACATGCGAGTAGCCCGTCGCGGAGTATAGGTGTGCGGCCTTGGCCAAGGTCGAAAGCACTCTGTGCTCTGAACTGTTCGGGCCTTGCATGGCATGAGCTGGCGTCCAGGGCTTGCGCGTGCGAGAAGCCATGGGCGATGTGGGTCGAATGAGCAGCGCGACAGATGGTACCATATCAGCGATCGTTCATTGGAGTGCTATGGTGGTTCTAAGTTGGATCAGTGGCCCTCGACCGAGCGTAGGTTCAAGCAACGAAGTCACGAAGGCGGTGAAGATCGTGTCTTTTATTATATCGCCCGCTCCCCATCATGATCATGATGGCAGATAGAGTTCAAAGGATGACAATCGTTGATATCGGACGTCTCCGTATAGCCTATTGCTGAGCGTCGAAATTTATAACAATAAGGCTCTTCAAGGCAATTCGCGCCCCCAAGCTCGGTGTCAGACTCCTAAATACGATGTGCCTACATGTGCATCACATCGTGCGATCTTCCCTGCAGTTCGACTGAGGCTCAATGCCAATCAAAGAGAGAGTACTCACCATATGTGGGTGTACTTGTGGCCAAAGCAAAGCGGCTCGTAGTCCGCCCGTGGACCGGAACTGGCCGATGCGTATAGTACACTGTTGCAAGCCTCTTTGACACTCTGCGCGTATTACTGTTGTCTATTAAAGAACGCACGCAAGAATGGATGAGAAGTTGTTTCGTCATCCACCGTCAACAGACTCACTGGCACGAAGGGCAGCAACGATTCAAAGGGAGCCTCCGCTTCCTTATTCTTCCTGAACGTGCTCAGACCCCACCACTTCCGGACGACATCATCGAGCATCTCGACGGAGGAGCGTGGCATCCGTTCGCTTCGCAGTCGCGCTCTGATGAACCGCACCTGGCCACGTCGCGGTCGAGAGCAGAATCCCCTCTATCCGAGGTATTCCTCACGACGTCCTCGTGCAGTATCGTTCTACAGGTATCAATTCCAATCAAATTATTCGCCTTATAAATTGGATTCATATCTTCGAGCGAGCGAGAATACCAAAGGACAGACTTTTGCGACGAAGTAGAGGCGACTACATATAGAAGAAGAAATCATTTGTAGCCCTGGAGTCCTGTTTGGCCCGGCAGGTCTGAGCTCGCTGGGTGGGACTCAATGGCGGCTGGCTGTGGCCATTTCAATCTGGCGATCAGCCAGTCAAAATTCTGACGTGCAGATGTCCAGTACCGTCGGGCTTCCCGACGACTGAATGCTGCGAATACGGTTGGATGCTACTTGCTCTTGCTACCTCTGTCAACTTACTGCCACAAGGCTCTCTTCGGACTACGACAATGCTTATGACTGCGCTCGTGTCCTGTCTGCTCCTCTTGGGTGCCAGGGCTGCCAGCAGCGCGACCTCTGCTGATCCATCCTCCATCGCATCAAAGTACTCGCTTACAACCAGCACATCTCTGCCATTTCCGTCTGCGACGCTCGCCTCCTCAGCTGCTCAGTCTTTTATTGCGTCGTCTTGGTCTCTGAGCAAAGGCCACGTCCAAGACGGCGGCTCTGACCTCGCCTTTGTCGCGGACCCCTTCGCGAACTCATCTGGATCTACTTCGCCCGCGTCTGCCTCCAACGCATCGGTCCTGCAGGTCACATACCCCTCTGGCAGCTACTCTCATGACACTGGGGGCGCACAGTTCTATACGCTCTGGAACTCCTCCAACGCATCCACCACCTACTTCCACTCCGTGCTGCTCACCTATGAGGTCGCCTTTGGCTCCGAATTTGACTGGGTCAAGGGCGGCAAGCTTCCCGGGCTTCGCGGCGGACCAGACGTGTACGGCTGCTCCGGCGGCAAGCCCACGAATGGCTCGGATTGTTTCAGCGCGCGTGCCATGTGGCGCACGGACGGCGAGGGCGAAGGTGCGCGCTGATATTGACGTATTCATGGCTCATCTGGAGCGCATATCGTCTCTTGGCAGTGTATGCGTATTTTCTTGAGTCAAAGGATCTCTGTGCCGATTCTAATTTCCTCTGCAATTCTGATGGATACGGCACGAGCGTCGACCGTGGGTCCTTTGGTTTTGCTGTTGGACAGTAAGCCTGTCTCCTTTGATATTCTCGGTATGCGCTAAACATCTTGTGTCCAAGGTGGAACCGTATCAGCCTTCTCGTTCGATTAAACGACCCACCGGAGAAGGCGAATGGACAGGTCGCACTATAGTAAGTTTCCCGTTTTAATTTTGTCTCTGGAAGTGCGAAATTCCCTTGCAACTCCAGTTACAATGACGTAGAGGCACTCAACGAAGAAAACTTGCAATACCGCAACAGCACGGACATCAACATCGGCGGTCTCTTCTTCTCGTGAGCCCATCCCGTTGTTCTCTTCGAACCTGTTTCAATTTGCTACAATCCCTGCAGAACGTTCTTCGGAGGTAAGTGAATCAAGGGATATTTGTTTAGCGACGACTCACATGATTGCAGGCAACGACTCTGCATGGGCTACGCCACGAACGGTACATACCTATTTCCGAAATTTCGAAATGTGGGGCAGCGAGAAAGCGTCTGTCCTCACAGCCACCTCTGGTTCCTCGGTGTTGAGACCCATACCTGTCATGTTGACACTGTTTGTCACCTTGGGGGTTTCGTATGCCACTTCTTGATGACATGCATCATAAACATGCCACACTAGCATTTGATTGGATAATAATAGTTGTTGAGAGCATGTTGAGAGCAGATAAAGATTGGATTGACGAGACTCAAATATTAATATTTGGGGTGGTTGCACTCCGCGAACGAGTTGATCTGAGTTTAGAATCGGCATCTCTGTTACGTAAGACCGCCTAAGCCGCGTTCAATGGGCGCTAATGACGCCCGCGCGGCCATAGCATTCGGGCCACACCATCCTCTCTCGCAATTCTCCATTCTCCTGCCATGTCTCAAGATCTCGAGCCCATCGTGCGCATTCGCGAGCTGAAGAGGGACCGTGTCAATTTTGTTCTCGAGAATGTTGACCTTGCGTGCGCATAACTTTGCTTTCTTCCTGCGTGGAGTCCTGCATTGCTTACCGTTCGTATTGGTTAGATTCGCCAACTCCTTTCGCCGTGTCATGATGGCAGACATTCCGACAGTCGGTGAGCATAGCTCAGCAGCATATGCTGTCGCATGTCCTTGACACGCTCTCGATAGCCATTGACATTGTCGAGGTCGAGACAAACACCTCCGTGCTGCCGGACGAGTTCATCGCACACCGACTCGGCATGGTCCCACTTAACAGCCATAATTGCGACGAGGGCATGCGATATACACGAGTACGTATCTGTACGGTCTCGTCCTGTCCTGCATGGGTCTCACTATAATGCTACTTCCAGGATTGCACATGTCTTGGATGGTGTCAGTTCTGCGCGGTTGAGCTCTCTCTCGACGTCGCATGCAATGAGTCGGTCACCATGGACGTCACGAGTGCACATCTTGATCTTATAGGGCCACGGCCAGGTGGACAAAATTGGAACGATGAGGCGGATGGAGGAGACGAGCTTGGGAAGCGGGATGCGAATTTCGGGCTGCCAGTTGGCAAAGGCGCGTATAGTGACACGTCAATCGTGTAATATTAATTGAGGGAGGACCCTCAGATGACCCTACTGCGCCTCCCATTCTCATTTGCAAACTTCGCAAGGGACAAGCGATCAAGTTGCGTTGTATAGCCAAGAAGGTACGTTGTGACTACCTTTGCGTATCGCAGAATTACGCATATATTCTGCAGGGCATCGCAAAAGAGCACGCAAAATGGTCGCCCTGCTCTGCAGTGGCATTCGAGTACGATCCTCACAACAAGCTCCGGCACACCACCTACTGGTACGAGACAAATGCACGCGCGGAGTGGCCCTTGAGCGAGAACGCAAAGGAGGAGGAGGAGCCGCGGGACGACGAGCCGTATGACTATAACGCGAAGGCGAATCGCTTCTACCTTGATGTCGAGACGGATGGGAGCTTGGGCCCACAAGAAGTGGTTATGAAGGTACGCTATCTTCATCGCAATTCCTGCTCAGATCTTCATCCCTGTGCAACTCGTACGTAGGGTCTGCAAGAACTGCAAACAAAACTCGCCAACCTGATTCTCGGCCTCAAGCCCGAACCAGAGATCGACGCCCTCCAAGGTGGGGGACTCTCCGTCAACCAACAAGGACCCAACGGAGCCGGCGGCCTAGGTGCCATCCCGCCCGCCCAAACACACTCGGCCGCAGCAGGCTGGTCACAAAGCGGCGGGTGGGGTGGTAGCCCTGCTGCGCCAGGCGGAGCGTCAGCATGGGGCGGTGCCGCTTCGCCTCGAGCTGCTGGATGGGGGGCAACACCCGCGCAGAGCTGGAGTAGTCCGGCGGGTGGCAGTGGGGGTGCGAGTGGGGGTGGGGCCACGGGGTGGGGAGGCAGTCCGGCTGCTGGAGGAGGTGCCGGCGCATGGGGTGCCGGGAGTGGGAGCGGGAGCGGGCCTGCGTCTGGGTGGGGCAGTCCGTCGCCGGCGCAGATGAATGGATGGAACACGTAGATGTGGTGAAGAGCTGTTCATGCCATATGCTGTCCGTTCCTGCTGCGTGTAGTGTCGCATTGCTTTATTGGAATGTTTGGTGGGAGCTAGATTTCTATGCGATCTGACAACGTAAGGCGATTTCGGCCTGAAAGTAGTACTACATAAATTAAGCGATGTCCAGTAAGTCCAATCAACACGAGCGATGGTGAACACATAGGATAAGCTGATGGTACAGACTACATGAATCCAGATTTGCGCAATCAGAGTGATTATTATCGACAACAAGGGGAGCAACGACCGAGGCATAAAGAAACGGAATGCACGACACCGAATAAAATAGACGAACGACATGGCCAGCAAGAGGAGGTAAACCGAGATGACAGAACATGCTGCGTGTTATCATGTCCGCCGAGCACGGTTCTTCTTCTTTCCAGCATCCTTGGGAATCTCAACCGGACGCTGGCAGATGGGACATCGTCCGGAGACGTCGGTCAGCCAGGGGTCCACACAGGTTTGCTATTCAACGATAGCACAAAGTGAGCACGATCTGTAAGAGGGGTGCCAATGGGAAAACTCACATGGAAAACGTGTCCGCAACCCAGCAGTCGCAACGGCTGTGGTCCTTCGCCTGCATCATCCAGCTTGAGATGATCCCTCTCTTCCTGAGACACACGCTCAACTTGCACCTCCTGCCAGGCGTCCCCTCCCAGGAATCCTCCTGGGATCGCGCCCTCAGCCAGAATATCCGACTCACTTACAGCAGCGCTACGAGGCGCTGGGACCGCGACCGCGACCGCTTCCGCCACGTTCCTCTCCTCGCCCTCATCGATCCTCCTTGGCTCCTCAAAGTCCATCAAACAGATTGCACATACGGCGCGGTTGCCCTCCAGCCTCACGAATGGGTAATCGCCCGGCTCCCATTTGTCCTCCCAGGCCTGCTTCTCCGAATCTGTGCCGGCACTAGCGTGTTCTCCAGTACTGCCTCCGCCCTTCTCGTCTAGGCTACCTCCCGTGACTCCGCCCTTGCCCTTGCCCTTCCGCTTACGCATAAACGTGAAGCGACGCTTCGGCCTCGTGAAGGCATTGGCGGGTTTAGGAGGGTATGAATGTTTCGATGGTGTGATCGGTGTCGGCTTGCTGGGACCGTCGTCGCTGGATTGGTCTTCTGGTGGAGGCGGGATGTACAGCACGAGAGGGATCTGTTCGACCGCGGACTTGGGCAGCTTATCAACTTGTTGAGAGCTTTGCAGCGGATGTCGACCCAGACATAGTAGCAGAATGCTCCATAGTAACTAGAGACGTGCGTAAGTGATCGTCCCGTTCAGACTGCTGTGAAAAGCTTACGTAGATTACAGGACCGAAGACGAAGACAAGCAGACCCAACAGGAAGATTTCCATGATCATGACGTAGAGAATGCACAAGATACCGAATGTCAGCCACCATAGATGAGGCGAAGAGTACCTGCAAGTATCGATGCTGGTATATTCGAGAATGTGGGCGGTCAGAAACCATGCTAAGGAAAAGAATGTTGCCAGTAAGGTTAACCTTTTGGCGCGAGAGAAATACGATCAGATGAGGTCCCCTCCGATACTTTGACAGCGACATACCGGGAATATAACAGTGTGCGTCTGAAGTTAGCAGGAGGATCAGGATCGAAAGTGGCCGGACTGTTGCCATTGCTTGTATTTGGCCTCAAAGCTGCTGCTGCTGCAGGACGAGCATGCGAAGAAGACATTTCTCGATCTTCATCTCTTTCCCTCTGCGCCTGACTAGCATACGTATCAACTAGGACCGACATAATTACGGCATGAGTCACGTACAGCAACCTAGCAGCCTGTTCTTTTCTCCAAGACCAGACGGACAAGGTACATCCCAGCGCGACTCTTATCAGCCAGATAGCGTTCCATACGCCTAGGGGCCTGTCACATGCTTGCCACTCAGTCAGACCAGGCTTCGTGGGGCTCTCAGTGTGGGCGGAGTACGCCAGCAGGGTGATAATGATCACGAACTAGTGTCATGAACGACATCGGCACTATGTCAAGTGTCAAGCAGACATACGACATACCTGAGCTATAGTAAAGTAGATGTTCCAAACGAGTGACATTAGCTCCCTCCGCTCCTTCGCATGTGGCCCAGAGAATCCTATAAGCTCCATTAATCTGTCCGGGAGAGAACGATATCTGTCCTCTGGTCTTCTGTCCTCGTCTGGTCTGCGTACCGAAGGCGGACGAGACGGTGGACGAGATGCCGGGACCTGCACTCGTGTATGACCGCTCTCGGATTCCTCTGTGGATGATGGCGAAGTCGTTGGGTCGAGTCGTGGAAGGGTCTGATCAGGGCCCATAGCTCGCAACAGTCGGGAAACCTGGCCCTCCGAACGGGTCGAGCCATCAGACGCACGGCTTGGTCGTGAAGCCGCAGGATTGCTTGGAAGATCACCAGTAGACTGTACCCTTCGTAAAACATGTTCATCAGAGTCAGGTGTTGCTGTAGCCATCATGGACATTCGATGGTGACCGCGCAATCAAGTGTCTTCTCTGGAGAAACTACACGAGTTATGGTCGCTCCGGGAATCCTCTTTACAGCGGCAGAGAGTAGGAGAGAGGTATCTGAATCAGATTGATGCAGATGAGATGGCCGTCGAGGCGATGTCAGACTCGGCAGTAGAAGGCGCGCAGACGCAATCTCGTGTACAATCTCGAACAGAAATTTATGCCTTTAGGCCGGCGGCCATTAAGAGAGTCCGTCAGGTCTTTGTCATTCACGAAGAGCAGAGGGTTAACCACAGTCCGTTGTGGTCGAAGATCGTCAAGGAGTGGGGGAATATTGAGATCACACGGAGTGCGGAGCAGGATTTCCAGAGTTACAGTATCCGAGCACGTGGCCTACTACGTACGGTGGCCACCACCTTCTCCATCGTCGTCGTGCGCGATGGTCTTGAGATGGTGGTATACTCCAGGGACGATGCAGCAGGCACGAACGGATTCATGCCCTGGCCGGCGAAAAGTAACGGTCGCAGAGGATACTTCCTGGCAGGAAACAGACCGTGAAACAACATGGTGCAACAGCTCATTCCGAAGAACTGTACATTACAAGAGATCATGCTCCTACTGTACATCCGTTGTTAATACAGTGGGCCGCGTCTGATACATACAGGCTCGAGCCTTCGGCCTCCGGTATTGTACATCATGCCATGCCATCGGTGGAGGTAGGGGATTGATGGTATTACAATAATCGCGTTACGACACCGAGACCCTGGAGATGCCATGAGACTCCGCCAGAGTGGCTGTTCGCCGTGAGAATTATGTAACGCACTTTCGTCTTCCCTTCTCTGAACAGCAGCTTCATCCCTTCCTTAATGAACTCAGGGCGCGATATGAACTCGAAGGTGACAGTAGCTCGGTCTCCGGTACGCAGGATACCTTGCGGATGATCCATGTTGACAATGCGCACGGTCTGGCGTACGGCCTACAACGGGGGTGAGAGTAAATGCATCAGTGGCTCAATCGCCGGGAAAGCGTGTTTCATAACGTACGCCGCAATGGAGCATGGCCTGCACCGCGAAAAGATATTCTGAGTTGTGGTTACTAGAGAAACGATGCACACGCTGACCTGGTAGTTCTTCTGCAACGTGGTGTTGTGGCTGGTTGCAACTGACCGTCAGGAATGACAGATGAACGGAAGGCGGTGATGCTTACTATAAGATCAAGACTTGGCCCTCGAACTTTCGCACGGCTGTATGGCAGACATCACATTGGAACGTCGCCGAATGGATTGATGATCGCGACCTACCCTTTGGAACTGCTTCCGTTTTATGAACAAGTATCATTCCTTTGCGCACGGCACCTTTTCGTACACGCTTAAGCGCGAGCGAAACACATTGCCCGGCCTCAGCGCTATTCACCGGAGCACTAATTGCCGTGTGACCTTGTGGCTCAGGAACGCATGCTCGGAAACACTGGCTTACCGTTTTCGTTGAATTGACTTGACAACAGTGCTCTGGAAGTTACCATTGGCGTCAGGGCCTAATAACACGGCATCGCCCGTTTTGATGACCCCGCTGTTCAAGATACCGTCGACAACGGTACCGACATACGGCACGGACCTTCATGCAGAGTGGAGTGTGCCAGATTCAAAGGTCAGACGCGTGATACTGATATATCGCCGCAATCAGTTACGTACCATATCTCAGTGATTGAATACTACACAGCGGCCAAATCTCAGTTCGCGGAACGTAAGGGATAAGAAGGGCGTATTACCTCCAATGGTTGATCGGCAGCGAACTTCTCGCTATCGCTCTCGCTGGCCGGTAGGAGATTAAGGAACATGCGGAGCTGGAATAAGAGTAATTCAGCACGACTGAATGGATTTCAGTCAAGCATACCCACATAGTCAAGTCCCTCCCCTGTTACGTTGGACAGCAGAAATGTCGGACACAATCTATCACAATCGCTCAGACTTTATCCTCCCGTTCGGATATACACATACCGCTCCTTTGCAAACACTTGCGACAGTTCCACAGCAACTTCAGCGGACTTTACGAATACAGGCGTTTTTCTAGTAATGACACGTGTTCGAAATGTCGTAGGAGCATCTGATAGAAATGACCTACCGACAACCCGGGCTTCTCATGATCTTGGTGACTTGCTCGATGGTCTTGGATAGGACATTCGGCGGGGTCATATCGATCTGTCACCATATACACGAATTACAACAGCCAGACGAAGCAGCGACACGCACACGCACCTTCGTGATACAAACGACAACGGGGACGCTCAAGGCTAACGCAATCGCAAGATGCTCCTTCGACATACCTATCAGCCCAGCATTGGCCCCAACAATAAGGATAACACATGAAGGGGCGCCAGACGTCAGGCCATACAGGGTCGTCTTCAGATATCTTTCATGGCCAGCGAGATCTGCAGAAAGGTGACAATCAATTACGTGCGGCTGGACGAACAGCGAAAAAATCCACCAATAAATGAGACAATCTTAGATGCTTGCGCCGAGATCTCCTCCCATCCCATCTTCTCGCGTCGAATGGCGTCGTGGTCATTCAGATGAGCTGTAGACGGTAAAATTGGGGCGCCCGAAGGACCAAATCCCAAAATCTACAGGAAAACACTATTTGGGACCATGAAAGGTTTTGCCGAGCGGTAATGGTCCCTCACCTCCATGCCAACGCTGGATGTCCTTCCGCTCTCAATCTCATGTTTGTGCCTGAACAAGCTGACTCGAGCCCGCCCTCGACCGTCATCAAGTGCTCCTGAATCGCCCATTAGTAGCGTGCTGTTTTATGTACAAGAAGAGCATACCTCGAGTCAGGACACCTAATGTAGTCGACTTGCCGCTATCGACATTCCCCACAACAGCACATCGAACTTCGGGAGTTAATGACACATTCGCAGGGGGTAACCTGAGCAATAATGTTGCTCGAGGCTGATCCGATGTCGTCTCAAAAAGAACCGTGGCCTATGCGATGTTCACGCGTCAGGAAGTCTTGGGTAACTCCAGTCGTAGCCACATACCTTTCCCCCAACTTCTTCAACGATCTTGCTAACCTCTTTCCGCAATGTGGCAAGTTCATCCACTGTACGCGTTGCGCCTCGCCACTGGTCGCTGGTCGCAGATGCTCCGTTCAAGAATAGCTTGCCATGAGGAGGATGAGCTCCTAATCGTAAGAGGTACTCCCCCCTCCGTTGTGTTAAAAGAGAGGCAATTACATCTCGTGCTCGGTCGTGGTCTGCAGGCACGGGCGAGAGCAAGAGCACCTTCGTCCCCCAAAGAGCGTGTTGTGATTAATGCCCGCCATTCTGATTCATTGACCAAAGTTTACCTGTAATTCATCATCTATGTCCGAAAAATCGGGCTGCGAAACTAGAGCTTGTGTCTTGAGCGTGTCGGTAATGCCAGTGCTCTCAGTCGTGCCTGCGGAAGCAGTAGCTAGGAGTTTGACAGTCGGTAACTTCGCGCCAAATTCTTTCGCTCTCTCAGCAGCGAGTTGGTTCCTTTGCCGGGCAACCTCGTGGTGGTGAATCGCGTCGATTTCGTTCTGGAAGTCCCGTAAGCTAGTCATGCTGATGGGGACTCAGAAGTCAAGTCTGGTGTGAAATGAGGGTTTTGGGAATAAATAGACCTGGAGGCGCAATTTAAGTGCTCCACTCGAGTCAATCGAAGTCAGATATTATTGAGATGACCACATCCACTGCATAGCTTCTCGATGACTCGTCGCTGGACAGAATGCTGTGTAACAAGACGCATAGACTGCCAGAGAACTGCATTGGTAACACGGAACACGCGATGCAACGATACCATTGACATGGAATCACAGATATCAGCGAACACAGACTCACCCCAGTGCAGCTCAAAGCGGTTGACGGCGAACTCAAAGCAGCGCAAACACTTGCCGTAAGTGGACGTGCTCTCGATCACGTGCGTTACTGCAGTCGCTGTGGCGTCCACGGGTTCAACCTTCTCTGCCACCGCGTCCAGAGGATCTGTTTATCATCACCATTCTCTAAGGCTCGCCTCTCACTATGTTTGGTGACGAATTAGAGGGGGAATCACCGATACCTCCCTCGATATTTGGCACTGTGCCCGGTCAACTCGACACCTCGCAACCCACGCGTCTACATCGCGTCCCCGGTTCAACATTCTCATTCGCATCTTTCAACTCTTACACCGCTTCATCGCGTGGCGATATTCCAGACCTGAACAAGCTGTCTCTCCATGATGAAACATGTCGTCCTAAGCGCATCGTGATCGAGACTCTTCCGAACGGCCAGAGTACCTGGAGATTCGTACCACGCGCGCGTCTCGGACAGGGCATGGAGGACGAGGGACCTTGGCCGAGAGTCATTAAAATCTGCGGGTAAGTTTATAGAAGCAGTGCCGCGTGCCTTACGATTGATCAGCTCATAGAGAGCTGGTTCACTGTTCGCAAGAACAATGGGAAATCTATAAACTGGATCCAATTTATGATTGTTTCGTGCCATCGCCTCCTGACATGACAGTCATCTCTCGGGTCGAACCGAATGAGCGCGAGATGCCTTCGAGGCTGCCGAATCCATTGGCGGAAGCGACTTCTGCCCCGCCGCCGGCGGATGCCAAACGTCGTTTATCTCTGGATAGCATTCCCTCCGAGGAGCTGCCGCCTCCTAAGAAATCTCGGAAAACACCGCATGATTCTCCGGAAGCCCTTGGAAGCGATCCATCGCATCCTATTACTGTCCCCGGCGATGAAGAGGGTGGGGTAGAAGAGCTAGGTCATGGTAGCTCCACCGCCTTCGACTCGAAGGAGCATGCACAGTCTGGAGGAGGAAAAACGTCTTATCGAAATGGTCACCCGCGCGCAGGCGCTAACAGGGCTCAATCTCGCGGGCAGAGATGGCGTCCGATGAGAGATCAGGCAGCGGAATCAAACGATCAGGATCAGGAGATGATTGACCTCACTGTAGCAGACGAAGACTCCGTACCTCAGGCTGGTTCTACGCAAGCTACCAAGCGGAAACGTATGTATTTGTTGCTCATGGATTGCAAACCCCTCACAGGCGTGTCATAGGTACATCTCACGCTGATCATGTCAATGTATCCGAACTGGCTGCAGACGAAGGACCTGCTGCGGGACGATGCGATAGTCCCGAACCTAAACGCCTTTGCACTCAGTTGAATTCCGGAAGATTCCCGACAATGGGTTCCGGATTTGCTCAGCGGAAAAACGGGAAGAGAAAAACAGGGAAATGGCCCTTTGAAAACCTCAAATCGAACGGGCATCGGTCTCCAGAGAGTGATGCTTCGACCAATATTCCAACAGAGCCTAGCGCGCGCGACCATTCTACCGGTAATATTTCAAATGCATTTAATATTTAAGTTCGATGCCCGTGTGCTAACTTCCGTTTCATTCTCAAGATATGAATGCGGATCGGGATGAGGACTCTCCAATTGAAGACAACTCTGATCAAGAAGCCCAGCACCGTGCCACAATTGAGGAGTCACGCCGGAAGCTCGCCGAGCTTGAGAAGGACAGACCATTGTGGGAAGAGGCCGCCAAAAAGCGCCAAGCTGCGGAGCATGCAGAAGAGCATGCTCGGCGAGCTCGGAAAGAAGCCGAGCGGAGAGCCGCTGAAATGGAGCAGCAATGTCGGAAGCAGGAGGCGGAGAAAGCACAGGCGGAGCAGCGAAAGAAGCCCGCTAGAGAGCGAGCCCACCACGAGGAGGAGAGACGTCAAAAACAGCAGGAACGGCAGAAGCGGTGGGCCTATGGGCCTTGGACTACCTCGCGTGCCATCCAGTGGTACCAGACGCTCTCTGAAGAATTTGACACTGCAAAGTTCTCCGTGGACAAACCTGCCACCTTCGATTTAATCCCATGGCCCGTCTTGCGCTCCCGCGCGTACCTTTCCGTCGAAGATGTTGACTGGGATGCAGTCGAGACATTCTTCCGTACCGCAAGGTCTTATGTGCCGTATCAAGATTACAAGGTGTTCGTGGAAAAGAGTCACAAACGATTCCATCCCGACCGCTGGAGAGCCAGAGGGATTTTGAAGAGCATTGAAGATGAGCAGACGCGGGATTGTTTGGAAGTAATTGCCAACTGTGTCGCACAGGCAATCACACCGCTGTGGAGGGAGATCAAAGGTGGATGACCGTTCGGGGCAGATACATTGTAGGTTCATCTCGTTACAGCATGGTTTTCTCACGGGAATCTTTTGGGACAATCTATTTCTCTTCATCATTTTCCACAATCATATCACTCGCTGTCATTAATGACTGCGCGTGTAACGTTATCGGATTTCCTTAATATCCTGAGACTGCGCTCACAGACTATGCATAGCTTCCGACATGCATCGGAGACAACGCGGCCACAATGACGGTTGACATTGCCTTAGCTGAGCCTTAATTTCGGCGACTCGGCGACACCGACATCGGATATCGATTACATCATGCCGGCAGGTCCGACCACCGACGCAGCCTGCCCAGGTCCAAGGTAAAGGGAGACGGTCTGGCTGGAGTCAGGCTGCGCCGTTGTCGATCGCCCACGCATTGGCACGGAGTGTGCAATGCTCCATTTTGCGAATGAAGATCATTATGCATGTGCCACGTCCATGGCACGATATGAAGGGATGAATGACGGACGGCGGACAGCGCGTCGGTAAAGTCTGCAAAAAGAAGGAAGGGTTGTATGGTCATCACCTATGCAAGCATGTATTCCTCGACGCGATCACGCCGAGGCTGCTCTTACGGTGGATGTATCGTCTCAGAGGTGCGAGGTCCTTGCTCCCCAGTGCGCGGATCACTTGCTCGCAGAGTGCGCGACTGAAACAACAGAGCAGTCTGATCCTGCCCGTTAGTTGTGAGGCTTTGCCCTGCAAACCAGCGGCCCAATTATTACATCACCAACCGTCCCCTAACATCAAGCCAGGCTGTCCTCGATCGCTGTGAGCTCGCTGCTTGGACATGGAAGAATTAATTTGCATGGCCCTCGTTACCGTGGCCAGATGTGGTCCTGGCGTATTGCGTGATTCTACTTGCGCATAAACCAGATGAACACGGATCATACGATCAACATTACTTGGGCGTAAATTTTTCTGTTCCGTTCCCTCGGCGTTGCGAATCAAACTTGATCGGAATATGCGTCCTGTCGTGTGCAGTCCCGCAGCATCGCAGCCAGTTTCCATGCCGCGTCGGTAGCGAGGCGGTAAAGAAATGTTCCTCCTTGAGTGTAAATCGTATGCATACACGTTCTGCTACGAGGACATGCAAGCACTGCTAAGCACTGGCCTTGCAAAAGATCCGAGGACACGCGTATCCAACATTGTTACATTAGAGCCACAGCCCAGGGCGCGTCTTTGCACGTGCTGGGAATCTCCGTCCCACGCCTCCGAATCTGAGACGCCCTTCTCACCAAAGGCAGGCTATATCGATGTAGTTATGCCAGATACCCAGACTTCATATGAACCTGTAGCACGCGACCCTGCCGAACACAGCGCAGCTCATCCTGACCCGAAACCACCACGCCTTGCATATCGCGCACCTATCAGAGTACTCTTATTTGCTGCAACCTTCTGCTTGGTTGCCCTAGCGGTGTACAAGGCGAATCGCTGGTCCGTGGACCTCGCAATTACATCCGAGCATACGTCTGGAACGACGGTGCAGGAGGAAGCAGCGGAGATCACTGGCAAACCCGAACCTGAGAACGACAGCGAGATGCCGAGGCATGGGAAATACAGCGTCGGATAGTGTGTACATCGTTCCTTGAGGCTGTGAACGTGCTCACCTCACGTTCTCCGTAAGCTTTGTCAACTGGTAAACTCTCGATGCTAGATCGGCTCTCAAGTCGCTTACGCCTATCGTCGCAGGGGAATTTATGGGAGGAAGTTCCCTCCTTCACTGATACCAGCGGAGAACTTGACGTAGTGTCCTTTGCTCCGATTCCGTCAGCATATTAATCAATTCAGCTCATTTCCAATCTAGTCATATTCTTTACGCCTTCGCCAATATCAGAGGAGATACCGGAGAAGTCGTACTCTCTGACACATGGTCGGACCAAGAAATCCACTACCCCGGGGATTCATGGAACGATATCGGCCATAACCTATATGGCAATTTCAAGGCCATATACAAACTGAAGCAAGCAAACCGTCACCTCAAGGTGCTCCTTTCTATTGGCGGTTGGACGTACTCTCCCACGTTCCACCCGATAGTCGTGTCACCTGCTCTCCGATCGAAATTCGTAGCATCTGCAATCAGACTGCTCGAAGACAACGGTCTAGATGGCCTTGACATCGATTATGAATATCCGCAGAATGACGCACAAGCACGAGGCTATCTAGACCTCTTACGAGAACTCAGGGCAGGACTGGATGCGCACGCGGCGCGCAAACGAGCCAACTACAAGTTCCTGCTGACGGTATGCCTATCATCATGCATATGGCTGGACTCGGAGCTTTATCTTGCTTCTAGATCGCTGCGCCGTGTGGTCCACAGAATTATCAGAAATTGCACGCGCGCGAGATGGACCAGTACCTTGACTTTTGGAATCTGATGGCCTACGACTTCGGTGAGCATACTTCAAGACGGAAGTTAGTTATCGAATGCTGATATGGGCTCAGCCGGGTCGTGGGACTCAATTGCCAACCATCAAGCAAACCTGTTTGGCGGACAGATCAATGCGTCTCAGTCTGTCCAGTGGTACATGTCTAAAGGCATAGCATCCGACAAATTGATCCTTGGCATTCCCCTATATGGTCGCAGTTTCATGAATACCGACGGGCCTGGCACGTCATTCCAGGGCATCGGACAAGGCAGCTGGGAGCAGGGTGTCTATGACTATCGCGCGTTGCCATTACCGGGATCATACCTATTGAGAGACGAGCGAGCAGTTGCGAGCTGGGGATATAACTATCAGTCGAGGGAGATGGTGAGCTTTGATTCGGAGGAAGTGGGGCACTGGAAAGGCCAGTGGATCGCTCGCTCGGGTCTGGGAGGGAGCATGTTCTGGGAGCTGAGCGGAGACAAGGGGAGTACGAGAGATGGCATGGAGGGCGGTCCGGGCAAAGACCCGCAGCCCGGGAGGAGCTTGGTGGCTGTTGTCAAGGAAGCTATGGGAGAGTTGGATAGGAGTCCGAACTGGTTACACTACGAAGGGAGTCAGTTTGATAACCTGAGGAACGGGACCATATAGTTAAATTGTTCAGTTGGCTATTCTAGTATTCATTGTATCCGGACAATTGTAGGGGCCCTAATTATATACACGACGCTGAAAAACAATCCGGTATGAATCATAATCACCGGGGGCATGAGCGAGCCCATGATTCCGCTGGGAACATTTTGGACACATCACGATAACAGTCACAATGTAACTCTAATGTTACTGATGTAAACATCACGGAATGATTTGAATCATTTCGAGTGAGCACATTGTGGAATAATAGTGATATTATTCAGAAAGACACCAGGATGAGACAACAATTTTGCTCTGGCCAGCATTCATATAATATATTGGTATCATTTTGAATGGATCTTAAGGGTACATTACAAATGTGATCAACGTGATGTTACGATGAGTACCAGAATGCTTTCCATCATGTGCCGGCTGGAATCATCTTGAACGCATCAGGGGTGTCCTAATATGGTTAGCACATTACTATATATAGTAATAACAATTATGCGATCACGATGAATCCATTGGGAACATCTTGAGAACATCATGGCCACTCACAGGTATCATTTGAGATTTTCTCCCAAGAAACATTTAGGATGCTATTGCAATAATGCTTAAATGCTGTCATCTGCAGCATTGGGGTCTCATTCTTGCATCTTTATGAATGCTATCAAAATTGTGCTGCAATGTTGATGCTTAAAACATTTTAAAACATTCAAAATGACTTCAAAATGTATGTGCTAAAAACATTGCATAATTATTTGGACTGTTATTACAATGTGTCCAAAATGTTTCGGGCAGAATCATGGGCCCATGCCTCCGGTGATAATGGTGGCACTTCTGTTTGCCAGTATGTATCAGTTAGCTGCCGAAAGTCGTGGAATGCGGCGTTTGAAAAACTTTATCGCACGGAGCTCCTCAAAAGCGTTTTCACTTTCTTCTGCAAGATTCTTCAACGGTGTAACGCGAGCATGCTCCTGCATACAAGCCCCGAAACTTAACTTCATGGTAAAATGGGAGGGTTCAAAGTTTTGATCTTCCACAGCGACTACTATTCTGGGAAGCCCGGCAAACTCCGTGGCTCTCGGTGTGCAGCACGGTGGCCCTTTCGAGCCCTTTCGAACGTGTATCGCCAGCTTGTCGTTTCGAACCTTCATTCCAGTCCAAGTCCGCCATCTCGGTGTATTCCTGTGCGTGAGATGTCGCAAAGCTGATGCCTGCCGTACATCGCGCACCTTTTGCAGCGGGATGTCACCTTCAACGAGATATCTCATTTTCGATCTCCCCTCGCCAAGTATCCGACGGGGTTGTAGATGGATCCCCTTATGCGGCAGCGGACCTATCGTCAATTCGCTTCCAGACTGGTCTTTTCCTCCCAGCACAAATACGAGAAACGTTACAAGTCAGCATTGTTCCAGCCATACATGGGCGCTTCTCGGCCGCGAATGCACAGCATGCCGTACCATTTCCGCAAGCCACGAAGATATCACATCCTGGTGTAGACCATGCCGGGATTTCACGTAGTCTGCCTTACTCACCTATGCCCCACAGAAGAATTTATCGCAGCACCCGTGCTGGAGTCGCTTCTCACAAGCTTCTGGAGTTTAGAATCAGGACTCCAAGCCTACGTCCAATCACCATGGGACTTAATACTGCCGTATACCAGTCAATTCGAATCTCGGCAAAGGTACAGTTCATATAACTCACTTTCTTCGGTGCAATCTCATTCATAAAACTTTTGACTTTTAGACTCATCGAGGATCTAGCAGTGGAAATGAATAATTTGGTTGATGTACCGTGGACGTACATCGGTTGCGATGGGTTCAGTGCGAATTGCGATTGGCCGACTTGGGTAATTACTCGCCGGATAGTGTCAAGTGATCGCCCTGTTCATCCGTGAAGTTGGCGTGCCCCAGCTGCCTTCACTGTTCCAGCAGGTCAGTGGCGACTGCTTGGATCTTCGCTGCCTATTGTGGCAAAGTATGGTGTGATACGGTGCGTCATGATTCGGCAAGGGTGATGATCGCAACAGACATGCCCATCTCGCGTTGAGCGAAACGTGTAGCGCCCAATAAGAAAAGTACTATCCTTCTTCGTCGATGCTCCCACACATCGCTTCCCTTCTCGCCGCGACGAAAGGTGATGTGAGGAGGTGGGAAAGTCGTGGGAGGGAATTCACATCCATTCTGGTGGCGGGGTTGTGATGAACGTACGTCGTGGTGGACGCGACTGTGACGGACAGCCTCTGTCAATCGGTTTCTACCACGTTCCTGAATAGCGCAGTTTTTCTCGCTGACTGCAACATGTTTTCGAGACGCGAGCTCGGTTAGTAGTCTGGCAAGTCGACTCCTCGACGACCGCCCGTGTATCTCGGAGACCACCGTTTCGAGGCACTGCAAGCGGCGACTGATCTGCGCATATACAACGAGTTGATTTGATCATTGTCGGACAAATTCATTGCGCTTTGTCTCAGGATCTCGGCTATTGATATCTCCGCGAATGCTACGAGAAATTGCAGCACGAACAGCATTCCAGGCGTAACAGATGTCCTACTTAGTAACAAGATATAACTCCCAAGCAGTTCGGTCGTTTGGCCGTGAAGCAAGAAGAATTCAAAACATAGGAACGAAAGAACGCTACGACGATTAAGATATCATTTACATTGAGATTGCTCTTCCTCTACCAATGCCGCGGGTCTCGCGTATCGTGGAACGCCCCCTGTCTGTTTGTTCCTTACCGTATGAGTTCGGCGCCGGATCGAAGGCTTTGTCAGCCCGCACGTAGCTGATCACTCGTGGGCTCTTGTGGGTGAAACCGGCGAACGCCAGCGCTTTGCGGACCTCGAGAATTTCCTGACCGTGTATCTTATCCCGAAGGAGAGGATCGCGGGTGGCATCCGCAGCAGCACCGTTCGCCGGCGCAAGAGGCTAGCCGAATGCGATGAGCAGCTAGCGGGCAACGTTGCGGTTTCAGGGCCTCACCTCTGCTGGAATATCATCGTCAAAGTGACGTGTATCGCCTGGATCACACAGTTGGGGACGATATGGCGCGGGATACTTGTGGATATTCTCCCAATCAATGCCGCGGAACCACGGATGAGCCTAAAGCTCTCACGTCAATCACTCATCCATCATACTCCACAGTAGACTTGTACCTTGATGAGATGAGCCCCATCCGCGTTACCAGCCCCAGTCGTGGATATGAAACCGCTTCGTCTAGCCTGCACAATCATGGAATTCGGCCTGCTGACGGATGACGAAGTCTGAGAGCCGAGGCGATCCTCGGGCTCACAGAGGAGCTGCTCCATCAAATTAACGCCATCGCGGGAGACACGAGGACGAGACGGGAACCGCAAGGATTGTCGCCAATTCAAAATTTTCTGCCGAGTTACGTGTCGCTGATTGCGTGAAAAAATATAGAGTTTCAACACGTCTGGAAGCCGAGATCCAGAAGCCGATAGGAATAGCTTGTAAACTCACCGAATTGCTCACGAATGGTGGGAATCTGTCCAAAGCGAGCCAGTCTCAATAACGCATACCTTCCGAAGAAGTTTACATACCCATAAAGGCATTCAAACATGATTACTCCGAGGCTCCACCAGTCGCATGAAAAGGTATAGCCGTGACCTCGAATAACCTCAGGTGACACTGAAGCGCAATCAGCGAACGACAGCTTCACATGCAGGTAAGACTCACTGTAGGAGTTCGTGCCGCAACTGTGCCCATCATGTCAGTTCGGCACCAATGATGATCGTCTGTCGACAATGCGACTCACACTGAATATGCCAGCTATTCAGAGTATTAAATAAGCCGCTATACATTTTGACTGAGATGAAACCGCACCTTTCTGCGATTCCGCTCTCTCCACGTGAAGATGCCTGTCTGACCATCACCGCCGCCCATCAGTCGTTCCACCTCCTTGCGGTCCAAGCGTTTCGTTCGCATGCCGTCTGACGGGCGGTACGACTCTTCTAAGTCAATTCCATGCTTGTGTAAGAGGTGAAGGCGCTGTTGCTCATAGTCTAGACGCGATGACAACGACTCAGACGGGGGCAATGCAGAGCATGTGCATGTGGTACTGACATGAGGTGTCGTGCGCCCAATGCAGATCCGTTCTAATACAGCCATTGGAATCATGCGGTCAACAGAGCCCAATACCGGGGATGAGGCGGTCAGATACTCACGCAAGGCCGAAATCACTCAGCTTGATGTGCCCGTTCGGATCGAACAAGAAATTCTGCGATAGGAATGCATGCATTACGAAATTATCCGAGAGCGCCAATTGGCTGACTCGATAGACTCACGTCCGGCTTGATATCCCTGTGAATGAATCCATGTTTGTGACATGTTTCGATGGCCAATACCATCTAGAGGTGAAAGGCGAACATCGAACCGTTCGTTGCAAGAGAGCGAGACACGGTGAAAAATAGAAACAAAAGGACAGGTGAGGCCCCACCTCTGCAACATAGAACCGCGTAAAGTCTTCTTCAAATATATCTTTCTCTATCAGAAGGTTTAACAGGTCCCCTCCGCCCATATATTCCAGAACCTATCGGATATGAAATCGAAATGAAATCAGTACCCAGATGGTAAATTATATCGAACCTAAATGCAAGGAAGGCTGAACCCACTAGGTAGAGATGGTCACGATCTTGGAAGCTGTAGTACATTTTGACAATCCATTCAGCCCCTCCGGGAGTGCTGACCAATGAAGCTGACTTGAGGATGTCTCTTTCCGCTCGTACGTGTCCTTCTTGTCCCTTACGTAACATGTCTGTCTTGCGCAGCTGAAATAGATTGAACCGATAAGAACAAATGAATGATGAATGATGCCGAGTCATTAATCTGGAAAAAGATGAAGGCGAGTCACCTGCTTCATGGCAAATAGCTGTTCCGTAGAACGTTCACGGACAAGAGAAACGACGCCGAAGGCGCCTTTAAAACAATGGCGGCTGTCAGAGCAACATCCGAGAACGATGGCGACAGGAACCCACCGTGTCCAATTGTTTTCAGCTTGACGAATGCGCTAACGTCCACCTTTCGCCTCTGCTCTCGCAAATAGTCTGTCTCGTTCTGGCGCCATCTCGCCCGTAGAGACTCCTTTTGAACCTCCGTTAGTTGCATATTCGCCATGTCCTTCTCCATGGCTAGACGTCTCTGCTCTCTGGATGGAGGATGTCGCAGTAACGGAAAATATAAATTCTCGAAATAGATTTTCGCGGAGACGGCCTTTTCCAAAGTAGCCAAAGACGGGTTGATTTCCTTCCGGGGAGGAGGGATGGTCGGTGTGTCTCTGCCTTCGTCGGGACTGTCCGCATTTTCATTCTCGTGCTCGGCGTGAGTCGTAAGTGCAGCAACCCATCGAATGGTGGAGCTGTCCGGCTGTCCGATAGCCTGACTGGGCGAGGAAGGCGGCGGCAAACCAGGGGATGGCAAAGTCGATATGGGGACATTCTCTCGAGCAGCCGTTGTAATCGTGGATGACGTTGTTGTACTCATTCCGTTCACAACGTGAAGTGGAGTAGGTTCTGCATCAGATCTGTATGAAGTTGTCTGCGAAGGTTTCATGGCATTGACGACCTCATTGATAGCTTTAGCTTGATTATTCTGTCTGATACACCTCTTGATGGGTTCTGCCCAGCGGGGATCTACATGACGGCAGTGAATTAGAGCAGAGGATGTCGACGAGAACCTGAGATCTCTGACCTCCTAATTTGCCTTGTCCTTCTGGTCCCCATCTAGTGAGCAGAGCCTCGGCCTGGTCCACGTCGGAAGCGTGAATCAAGTGACTGGCACAAGCACGCGTGAAACGCATGATTCCTTCACAAATGTACTGAACATACATGAATCCTGTTGGCTTTGATACCATGTCCTTACTGATTCTTCGCCCTTTCTTTGCAGGCGCAGCAGATACCGGTGGGCTTGCCCTTTCAGGTATATTCGAGATGAAGTCCTCATATTTCGGTCCTGCTATTGGCTCGGGATCGTCGCGCCAGAATAATCGTGATGGAGACGGTGTAGGAATCAATGCGAGTAAATCGTAGAAGCCTTTATGTAGCAATGTACCACCCCTCAGGCTGGTGGGCTGATCGTCATTACTCGTTGCTGTTTGAGGCACGAACGGAGGGTACGGATAAGGAGAGTTGTACGGATTACCGAAAGAATACAGATCGGGGAGACCACCTGGATGGACCTCTCGCGGGACGTAGTAAGCTTGATATTCCAGTGGCGGAGGCCCGGGGGGCGTGGGCAGCGCACGACGCGGCTTTACGGACATGAAGGTCGACGAGAAAGCACTAGCTGTGCGCGGCCACAGACCTGGTGAACACTGATGCCCTCGGCGGCAGCGCGACACTACCGTCCCAATCTAGCAGGCGCGGTCACGTGGGAGAGATCTGAGTGCTGAGGTGCCACACACCAAACGCATGTCCCCTTCTTGCCACGTCCACGGTCAACCGTCGTCTCCATGGTGGTCCTTCTTGCAATGGCCGAGAACAGAGCTGCCGCTGACGTGGCCCCCGACCTTCGCGAGGCGCATGCACTCTAGGCTGGTATCGCCTCTTCTGAACGTCTTCGTGCAGATTACTCGCATGGCGAATTCGGGCGATCCTTGTACTTTCGAGATCTCACCGCATTGTTATCAGAAGCCAAATCTATGTTTATCGGAAGATTCCTTCTGTACGGATACAAGCAACAGAATCCCCGGTCCGATTCAAACTGGTCAAGTTTTACGTGTCCAATACAGTAGCTAATAGTCGGCTGTATGTTTGCGTATTACTATGCTTAGGGTCAATCACCGACTTTGACTCGACACCCAATTGTATGCCGCGATAATTTTTGATGGAGCTAAATCGGCATCCAGAAGACTCGTAGCCTTCGTTTCGGTTATACCTCCGGTCGCAATTGCCAGTCCTCCGTCTCCGCTCGACCCTGCACCAAGACAACGGATAGACTCGGGGAAAGTTACAGTCTAGAGGCTCCTTCGGCGGTGTTCACATCTGGGAAACTATCTGCTGGAGATGTCATGGCGCGGCAGCGGCACGAGGCATGTGGTGTGGTCCCTTCCGAAGCCAAAGTCGTGTTTGGTCCTGCATTTGACCAGCTGCATCATAAGGACGCCGAGCCGCCGCGAGGCTATTCCAGCCTAACTGTGATTTTAACAGAGCGTCAACCTGCAGTGCGTGCCTCCATCTAGCCTCGCATCGTCGTCGACACAGCCTCTGACGATCGCAGCGTTCACTCAGCGCGTTCTCCTAGGTCTGGCAATACTCCGGCAGGGCACGCTGCGTGCTGTGCCCATCTACTCGTGCCCATCACCCCAGACCTCAGCTTTACCTCGTGTACTGTATCCGGTGTACGACTCGGACCCACTCGCTTGTTGCGTCCATCGTACGTGTAACAGCGTTGGCGTGCCCTAGTCGCTAGGCGATCGCATTGGCCGAGTCGGCGAGCTCCGCTACCTGCCATTTGAGCATTGACGATATGCATAGCAGACCTCGTGCCTCTGAGTACTTAATGGTCGAGAAATATACGCGAATTTCGGAGGATTTTCTTCATTTCTCGCTTGGATTTGCGATGTCGCATCCACAGGACGATCACTTCTCTTACGGCTGCTTCTCGAGAACACCTCGCCGCAGTACTCCGACCGGAGGTAACGCCAACACCCCCCGTCGCGGCCATGGAATCTTTAACCTAGGACAGGGTGGGCGAACTGTGCTCCCTCCTCTTCATCTACCGTTTCGAGCCTCACGTTCTCCAGGTCCGTTTTTATTCAACACCACTCATACTGTATGAATGCACGCTCAATATCTAGCATCTACTGTAGTTCCTGACCTCTCGTTTTCCTCTAATCAATATCCTCAGCAAGAACCCACGCAAGCTCGTGCTGACTATACTGCAGCAGCGTTCAACCAAGCGGGCTGGTCCATAAATCCACGTTAGTAGTGTGCGAGACAGCGTAGACTACTACTCACGCGTCATCCACAGAGGCTGCGCAGCAACAACCGACAGCATATGCAACCGATCCTAGATATCCTGCTGCGCAACAGCCGTTTGCCGCATATCCTGCCAGGGGTCAGTCGACCATGCTGCAGGATCCACATGAATCCCGCATTTTACCACCACTTAATATGCCACAAGGGCAGGCTCATGCCGGCGCTATGAACCCTTCAATGATGGCTGGTTCCCACGTCAGACCACAGAACAACGCCTACCCTACCGCCTATAATCCATATACAGAACATCCACAGCAGCCTCCTTCTTATTATCCCCCTCCCGACCCGCGCAACCTCCCTCCTCCCATTCCTGCCATGGGAATAGACCCCGCTACTGGCGGTATACCAAGACGCGCCTCGATGTCCGTTGATCGTACTGGGCCGTCACGGCTGTCAGTGCATGGGACGTCGCCATACCCACGCATACCAGGCATGGCGTCACCGTCGACGTATAGCCAAGAAGCTTCCATGTCCGAGCCCACTATCAAAAAGAAACGAAAGCGAGCCGACCCGGAGCAGCTGAAGGTTCTGAATGAGACTTACAATCGGACTGCCTTCCCATCGACTGAGGAGCGGGCCGATCTTGCGAGAAGGCTCAATATGTCTGCGAGGAGCGTGCAGATTTGGTAAGCGATTGTGCTTGATTTGTCAAAGCTATCATCGTCTGATATACAACCCTCCCCTGCTCGACGTCGATAGGTTCCAAAATAAGCGGCAGGCGATGCGGCAGAGCTCACGTCAAGCCTCCAACGCTGCGCCTCCCACTACCAGCGAGCCATTCCCGGCTGCTGGCAGCGGACCCTATGGTGCTCATCCGTCGGGCGCAGCCACTGTCGGCCAGCCATATGGGGTCGTGCGGCCTGGTGATGTGTCCCACCACCCTCCCGGCCGTCTCGTACCATCGCCGGCCCCTTCGATGCAGCATCGAACCCGGAGCCCCGAAGAAGAAAAGAGATATCAGTACTGATCCGGGACTCGCATTCCTCTTTCGTTCAGGTAAAATATTGGCCTGGTCATAGCCGCTCTCGTCCTCAGCCATTGATAAACTGACATTGCTATGCACGTAATGTATTTGCATTGAACACTCGGGTATCACTTGTTTATCATTCTTTATTATACCTTATCATCTCATTTTGCATACATCCGGACGGACTTCCTGATCCCATTACATATACATCGCACCATCCTATTCACCCACATATTCACTGCAGTAGTATGCATACTTCTCTGGTCTATATCGTGTAGAGTCGTATGCTAGCAACGGTTACAATATGCGTATATGTAGAATATGCCACTAATGCCTCCCTCTTTCTACTGAATATGACGCTACAGTTCTACTAGATCTTGCATTGTGTCGAATCGTGACATATGTAGCGAATTACCTGTATATCTTATTCTTCTTGTGATCTAGTACCCGGGAGATCTGCTATGGTTGATGCACAGGGTACGATAGAGAGGCGATCAATCGTCCTCTCCTCCGTGTTTCAATGGGCGAATTGGTTATTTGCAAGCGATTCTTGCTGCGCAAACGTAAAAGACTGAATCGCAGAGAAGTAGAAGTGCTTCACGCATCAGTCCGTCGACAGGCATCATCGATTCTGAATCTGTTGACGTGTCCAGCTGTGGAATTTTGGACTCGCAGTCGTACAAGGACGGCGACTCGGAGTGAATGTTGTTACAGAAACGCCGACACGTTTCATGCTACCTTCGACATCAGAGCACAAAGAAGAGGAAGTTTGATGTATAGAGACCGATCGCCAAGTTTATCGATGAGCTCGCGGCTGTGGTCAATGCTCAGGATCCTGGCGCCCAAACCTCATGTCTCCTAACTTACACACATTGCGCTATCTTGCCCATCTTACGCACCAATGCGACTCTGGAAAGATACACACCACAGCTTGTGCATCAACATTCAAATGCTTCGGGATGCGCGGCGTGGAAAGGCTCCCTACCGCCGGCCTCCATGCGTGGGCTTCGACTTCGCGCAACTAGCCTTGAGCGAACAAGGGTGTACAAAATACGAGACGGCGATCATTGTGCAAGGTACCCATCATGACTTGCCGTAAGGCAGAAGTCATGCGCGGCATCTAATATAACTTTTTATGAGACGACAACGATGGCAGAAACGGGCAATGAGCGCCGAAGAAAGGGCGTCGAAGATGCGTGAAGATGTGCGAATGACTTTACCTCATTTGGAACAAAACATCAAATTCCTGTGAAGAGTGCTTCTAGTCGCGAAGTCTGCAGCATCTTCGTGACGCGGCTATCTTAGAACGCCCAATTGTCACCCGTGCATGATGCGCTGGTGCGACGACGAGAAGTACTAACATACCGGAATCCGCGTAAGAACAACCATCTAGACTGAAGCAGAAGAACTAAAAGATATCATAACTCACCCGTTAAGTTTGCAGTGGATGACCGGAGTCATGAGGAAGAAAGCATCAAATTCCACATGAAGGCACGGTCGTCGTCACGACAACAACAGACATCTTCGAGGCATTGTCACAACAATAGCATGATCACTGGGTGAGCGTCATCGGTACATGGTACTTGTGGTCACCGCTCGGATGTCTCCGCTCAAAACGAACGACCTACACAGCGGGCAGCTTATCGACATGCGCTATTGGCTCTGCGCTACCTCTCAAGGTGCGATTCAGGTTTTCCATGTACAAGCAGTCGGATGAAAGTCTGGGCATACCCTGTATGAGCCACGCACTACAGCAAGAACCGCTTGGTGCTAGCGCCGAGATACGACCTTGCACTGACGCGATCCCGTGACCTGCATTTAAACGCGCTGATCGTAAGTGTACGCTCAAGTTGGCTCCCGGATCGTTCAACAGGCTACGTGAGACTTACCTGCACTTGGATTCAGCGCAACGACCGAACAGGCCTTTCACTGATGGTAGCATGACTGCGACCGTCCTATCTGAACTGCCACGTCAATGCATATGCTGAGCAGACGATGCCTCCCGAAATCACAGATTGATGGTGACGCTTCGCCCCTTGTATAAGGGGCTGAAACGCTGAAGTGCAAGAGCCCGCTTAACTTCCTCAGTTAAGCTATCTCCTCAGTTCTTCAAGCCCTTCACTTCACTTCGACTTCTTGCATTCAGTTCCCACTGCTGGACTTCTCTTCCTCGACTCCTACACGTCATGATATCGGCTGGGTGTCTGACATGCCGCTCACAATTGATGCCTGCCCCAACAGTCATTCCCCGAACCAGCAGTCTCGCTGTTAAGCTCTCAGCCACCTGACTGTCTGCTTTTCACAACTGACTTGGGCGCCGGAACGAGACTGATGAGCGGTATCGCTAAGAGAAGTTCTTGTCCCTTGTATGGCTGGGTTCCGTGTCAAACGTGACATGAGTATGAGGATTCCGGACGGGCGACCTACAGTCCCTTCCTTTTCCTCCTCTTGTATTCCGGCTTCTTTTCCTTCTTCTTCTTCCGCCTTATACATCCGGCGACAACAGATACGGGCCGGACGGGCAGGATGAATAAGTGAGACCCGACAGTGAGGCTAACGCTCGTGGATGCTCGACATCGATTGGGAGTCTTTCTGGGGCCTCTAGATGGACCGTTGCACGGGTCGGGCAATCGTCAAGCCCTTCGTAGGTTTCCGATCCTCGCAGCCGCGCGACGTCCATCCGTTCATCGTCCCCTGTCCTCAAGTTATGCATGACGCAATCGATAATCAGGCCCCTCATCCTCGGTCCTTGGACATGAGTTACGCGAAAGACAATGTTCTATCGCGGTATCAGTCCAGAACTTAGATGACGGTGAGGCTGCATTCGTTAGCAAATAGCCGCATTAGCTCGATTGTTCGGCCGGAACTCATCAAACACGCATGTCTAGTGAGCTGTTCGCGCGAAGCAACGAGGACCCATCCTGTCATCAGAGGTCATTTATAACGTATCCAAATAATCTGCCAGGCATACATGTACACCGCATCGCACTCTAGATGAGCCTAAGGTTTCATGAGCCCTATATGTGCTATCAGCGAGGGACAACTGAAGGATGTTCGAAGGACTCAGCAGCTTTATCCGCGCAAGCTACTCGACACCGGTGACGAGAGCAAGAGCCACTCTCCGATGAGAAGACCATTTGGAGCGGGTCGAATGTTGTTGGTTTCTCCACGGGGTACTACGTCGAGCCGGTACCTCCTGCCCAAAGAGAGCGTTTGTTCGGCATATGCATGCATGAGCATCAGTGGTGTCAAGCGTGGAGCCTCCAACTTTAGAATTCGTGGTCGATTGCAGGCGACCTACTGCCCAGAGAGGTGGACGATCCAGGCAGCCTGGCAAGCCGGCTTGTTGCAAGCAGAAAGCTCCGTCGCTGGCAGCACACATCTCCATGATGATTCACTTCGTTCTGCCGACGTGAAGGTTCTTGACAAGGCATCATTGAGCTTCCAGAGAGCATAAGCAATATTCTCGGCAGCTATGGAGGAGAAAGAGATCAATAAATAATCCGCCAATTTTGATGGGTCGCAATTACGAAAGGCCATCACCGAAAGCCGATCACATGTGGAAAAATTTGGGACTCTGACAGATCTCGCGTCCTGCCCTCTGCCAGCTCTTCCTCGTCCGGCTACCGACCAGTCTGCTCGACTGTCTTCTCCATAGACTTTGCATCTGTACATCTAGCCATCCATTTCTCTCTAGGACTCCACGATAATTCGATAGATTCTCCAGCCTCTCTCCAGACTGCCTGCTGCACTCTAATCACGATGTCGCCTGTCGCCGTCTCTCCAGCTCTCGAATCTCGCTTTACTCCTGTCTTGGATGCACTTCGCACAGCCCCTACAGCGCCAGGTAAGCGATGCAGATTGTGAGGTGGCTTTGCTCGCTAACTCACACGTTAAGATGCAAAGGCCGCCGCTGACCGCCTTGCCCGGGAGATATCCAAAGCTGGTCTCGAAACATTGAGGTGAGATTAAAAAATTTGCACTCAAGCATTGTACTTGTTCTGAGCGGCCCCCAGCGATGCCAATATACTGTCCACACTACACGCATTCGCCACAAACAAGAAGTCCGGTTATGAGCGCGAATCTGCTGCTGTCGCCTTCCAATCGATGTGCACTATCATTGGTGCCCCCGTTGCACCATTGCTCCTGCCTTCGCTACCCACTCTCTTCGACCTATACATGGACAAGGGAGATGTGGTTCGTTCTGCGGCAAGCGCCGCCGTCAAAGGCATCCTGAAGCTGTACCCGCCGGAGTCTACCCGAGTGCTGTTTCGAGCGCTGGAGGACATCCTCGACAGCGGTAAATGGCGCACGAAGGTCGGCGTACTAGATTCTATCAAGAGTTTCTCCACTACCGCTCGGGACGCTGTCGCGAATGAGCTTGGAACTACCATTCCGAAGGTAGAGGCTGCGATGCATGACACGAAACAGGAGGTAAGTCGCACTACCCATCACACTCCGATCTTACTTGACTCTTTCATTGCAGGTGTCTTCTGCTGCTATCAAATGCGCGACAGCGCTCTGCTCCACACTCGCTAATCCCGATCTCAGCCCTCATATCCCGTCTCTCGTCAAGTGCATGGCCAACCCTGATTCCGTCCCTGCCTGCATCAAGGCCCTCTCCTCAACGACCTTTGTGGCCGAGGTCACCGCTCCGGCACTGGCTGTGCTTGTCCCGCTAATGATTCGCGCCTTGAATGACCGATCGATGGAAGTGCAACGGAGGACGGTCGTTGTCATTGACAACCTTGTGAAGCTGGTCCGGGACCCGAACGTGGCTGCCACGTATTTGAGCCCTCTTGTAGATGGTGTGGATAAGATTGCGAAGGGGGCGGCATTCCCTGAGGTTCGTGACCATGCGCTCGAGTCCATCACTGTTGCTGAGCTATCTGGGTTGGCTAGGTCCGCGCATTCGCAGAAACAGCGTTGAACACGCTCCTCAAGTCCGGCGCGTCCAAAGATGGTGCTCCCCCAACTCCCCGCGACATCGTAGCGGAATCGTCTTCTGTGCTGTCTGCGCTGCTCACCCTGCTGCCCGGCGAGCTTGCTGTCATCTCTGCAAAAAATCCGAACGGCCCGCGTATCCCGTGCCATCCTCTGCTAAAGGCTGTTCTCGAGTTTGAAGCAGACTTGACGGCCGATCTGGTCCACGACAGACGATTCTCGGATGCAGAGGTCTGGAAACGCTGCATCGCTTCATTCCTTGCGCCTTGGTTCACTGGCGGGAGCGAAGCCGCATCGAGCTTCGCAGAGCTCGTCCGCTCACACTTCTACGCTGTCGACAAGGTAAGCATCGACTACGAGCTTGCGTATTGCAGTCATTGAAGTCGTCGGTAGGCAAAGTATGCAGTAGCAGACGATGGGTCTTCAGAGGAGGGCGAACTCCTGTGCGACACCCAGTTTTCGCTGGCATATGGCGCCCTCCTCCTGCTATCGCACACGCGCTTACGCCTGATCCGTGGTCGTCGCTACGGAATACTCGGTACGAATGGATCAGGAAAGTCGACGCTCATGCGTCAGCTACGCGATGGAAAGGTGGAAAACTTTCCTCCGCAGGATCAGTTGCGATGCGTCATGGTCGAGCACTCGCTCCAGGGCGAAAATATCTCGCTGTCTGTCATCGACTTCATCGCGTCAGGTACGTGCTCCGGTCCATGATGATGCGCTCAGGCTGAGCGGTGCGGTCGTTGTTTCAGATAAGGCCCTAGCTGGTATTCCACGGTCGAAGATCCGTGATCAGCTATTGGAAGTTGGCTTTGATGATAGCAGACAGGCCGAGATTGTCGGCGGATTATCTGGCGGCTGGAAGATGAAGCTGGAGCTGGCCAGAGCGATGCTTTACCACGCTGATTTGCTGTTACTTGACGAGGTGGGTCTTTGAGCTGATCTGCCTGATTACGTGCTGACGAAAGTGGCGCATCTGCGCATGTAGCCTACCAATCATGTAAGTATCCTGGCTAATCATGTTAGCATCGGCACTGAATACCGTCTAGTTGGACCGAGCATCTGTACAATGGCTCGAACAATACCTCATGGCCCAGAAGAACGTTACTTGTCTCATTATTAGTCACGACTCGGGGTAAGTAAGTGCAGATGGTTGCCCGACAGTTGCTGATTCGCAACCGCTCAGATTCCTTGATACGGTAACGACCGATATAATTCATTACGAGTCCAAAAAGGTTGGTTGAGTCTTGTAACTGCTGGTTCCCAGTTAACGCTGATGGATTGTACAGTTGGTGTATTATCCGGGCAATTTGTCCTCGTTCGTCGAGGAACATCCAGAGGCCAAGTCGTACTACACTCTTGCGGCAACGTCCGTCAAGTTCTCCTTCCCCCCTCCTGGGTCCTTGATGGGCGTGCGCAGCAATACGCGCGCCATCCTCAAGATGACAAACTGCACCTTCACATATCCTGGACGGAGCACGCCGAGTCTCTACAATGCCAGCTGCGCATTGTCGCTCTCGAGGTGAAACAATCTGTTTTGTTATCATGTGCTCCGGGCGCGTCCTGACTGATGATGTTCTGGTAGCCGAGTCGGCATCGTAGGCCCTAATGGCGCTGGAAAGTCCACGCTTGTCAAGCTTTTGACGGTGTGTATCTTGCTATGGAGAATTTCATGGAAAACTGACATGCTGTGCAGGGAGAGACAGAGCCGCAGGAGGGCACTGTATACAAACATCCTGCTCTTCGGATTGGATATGTCTCTCAGCATGCAACGCACCATATTGGTATTTGCTTTCGCTCATGTGGCACTGTCAGTCGACTCATAATGGCATGATTAGAGCGTCATCTTGAAAAGACCCCGGTTCAATACATCCAGTGGCGTTTCCAGGACGGCCACGATAGTTCGTGTAGTTGATCTCCGTTTCGGAACGTGTGTCTGATACATGAACGCAGGGGAGATCCTAGAGAAGGCAACGCGCGTCCTCACAGACGAGGATAAAGCTTTACTAGAGACCGAGTTCGTCGGAAGGAACGGACAAAGGCGCAAACTAGAGGTCGGTGTCATCCGCATCACCGGATCACATAATCACTGACGTGCGTTGCATAGCTGATCATGGGAAGGCAAAAGCTCAAGAAGTCTTTACAATATGAGATCAAGTGGCGTGGTAAGTCGTCCCAAACTCTGTTTGACAGATCTGCTCTAACGTGCGGCTGCCACCAGGGCTGGATCATCAGTTCAACAGCTGGATACCGAGGGAAGAATTGCTTCAGAAGGGCTTTGGAAAGTTGGTGCATCAGTTTGATGACTTGGAGTCCTCGAGAGAAGGAGCAGGCCAACGTGACACGTCGGCTCATATCGTTCGTAAACATCTGGAGGATATTGGGCTGGACGGAGATATCGCCCAGTACAACGAGATATCTGGTCTTTCTGGAGGTAGGCATGATGCTTGTTCCTGACCAGCGTGGGTACCGATTGGTATTTTTACAGGCCAGAAGATCAAGCTCGTCATCGCTGCGTGTCTCTGGAACAATCCTCAGGTACGGCATGAGTTTTCGTCGGGTCTGGCTACCTGCTCATTCTGCTGTGGTCTTTAGATCTGTGTGCTCGACGAACCGAGTAACTTTTTGGACCGTGAAGCATTGGGTGGACTGGCCGTCGCCATTCGTGACTGGGCAGGCGCTGTGGTACGTCTCCTCCGTGATCGGAGCTATCTAGCGTCTCTGACGTGGCGACGTTACCTCCAGGTCATCATTTCTCACAATGAGGAGTTCGTGTCTGCATTGTGTACGTTCATCAGCATCCTTGACGTGCCGATTCGCTGAGCTGGCTCTAAAAATTCCTTTTTTCCCCACTTCACTTGTCCAGGTCCGGAGATATGGAACGTCGAGGCTGGCCGGATGACGCACAAGGGCAAGGTTGCCGTCGTAGAGGAGGCGTTCGCATTCAAGTCTCCGAAAGGCAGCGGTGCCAACACGCCTGTGCGCTCGCGCCTGCAGACACCGGCTGCCTCGGCGAGTGCCACTCCTGCCGGAAGCGGGGCGGAGGACAAGCCGCCCGGAGATGGCACCGCGTTGCCTGTCATCAGGAAGAAGAAGAAGCTGACCCGTAACCAGATCAAGGCCCAGGAGGAGCGCAGGAGGCTGAGAAAGCTGGCGTGGCTCACTCATGGTGGCCCGAAGCCGGAGGATACGGACAGCGACGCCTAGTAGGATTTTGCGCCGTCGTTTGACGTCTAGTTGTCTTGATGGTGTCTGTTGAGCTGCATGTAGCGTAACTTATTGACCTAGATTTGCAATCGTCATACAGGGTATTATCTCGTGGCCGAACGGGGTTTTTCTCGACATAGATCGGGGGTACACAGTTATACGCGTTCACGGTACACATTGTGCTTTATAGCAGTACAGGTTAAGCGGATCGTGTAATGAGATTAGTAGTAGTATGTATGCGGATGAGTAGATTGCGAATAAATACGGCGAGCCCTGTGTTGTGTCTAAGGAGGATGAGCAGGGACAATAAATATACGTACGCGAGAGCGCAACTCTAGACAATGCCGAACGATGGAATGAAAGAGAATAAGTTATGTGTAAAAATAAACTTGTGCAGGCGCGAAGCCCACTCTAATCCGCTCGAGTGCTGGACCCCTCCAAATGATGAACTTTGCAGTCAGCGCAGGCCCAAAGCGCGGATGTCGCTCGCCTCAGCGGGGCCAGCACTCCTTCTAGCGGCCGCTCTTTCCAGCGGACGATTCTGCGGGCTCCTCTTCGTCCTCTTGGCTATCTTCATCCGGACCAGGCTGGGAACCCCGCTCGTGGACGCGAGCGTGTCGGCGCATGTTGCTCTGAACGCTAAACCTACGTCCGCAGCCCTCATACGGGCACGCGAAAGCTAACATCGTGACGAAGACGACGACAAGTTCGGATCACTTATTACGGGAGAATAGTAGTCGGGGCGGATGCTTACGTTTCTCTCCGGTGTGGGTGTTGATATGTATCTGCAGCGTTTGAGCGAGTCAGACACCGATCATGTCCGGGGAAAAACGTCCTACCTTGAGACTACTGGGGCGTGTGAAGCCCTTCCCGCAGTAGCTGCATTCGTACTTGGAAACTCTATCGCCAGCAGGCAATTCACCGACGGTGCCCATGCTGCTGGAGCCAGCCATGGGGACGGACTGGTGGTACTGCTGAGACGCGCCATACGGGAACTTTCCGGTGGCTATGGTACTCTGGGGCGCGTACATTGGAGCAGACGCCTGTCCAGGCACGGGCTGCCTCTGGGTGGATTGTGGCGGCGGCACACTGTACGGATATGGCTGCTGTCCCGCGGGAGCATGCGGCGCGTGCTGAGCGTGGGCTCCCTGACCGGCAGGAGGGTGTTGGGCAGCGGACGAGTCGCGTCGCTGCTGGCCCCCCGGCACGCCTCGCGAAAGCTCCGCTGAAAAACAACGGCTCAGCTGCGGTGACTTTTTGGAGGTGGGAGCCACCTACAGCCGAAAAGCTCGCGGATCGGAGGCAGAGTAGGCCTCCGCTCGGGTTCTCTGGAGTCGGATGGTTTGCGAGATGACATGGCGATGGAGGAGTCAAGGTATGGAGAGTGGAGTGAGTTGGCGGGTCATGGAGGAAAGTTGGAGTATTTATCGGTGGAGAGAAACGCCTATGGCGCGCGCAGCGAACTGTCAAAGATAAATTCACGTCCTCAGGATGTGACAAATGCGGATGTGATGATCGAGCCGGGCACAGTAGGGATATCGCGGCACAGATTGAGCAACGAGCCCACAGCACAAGCCAGCGTCGTCTCTGGGAACAACCAGCGCGGCCGTCAATACCGGGGCTGGCACCTCACGGCCGTGGGCCATATTGTCCATTCCCGCTTAGATGCTGTCATCCGTCCATCGACGTGCATCGCTCCCAAGCGCGGTCCTTTGCCCGCCCTGTCAATCAACAGATGAGTGCTCCAGACCCGACAGCTTAACCGCCAGTGCTCCAAAGCAGTGTCGTCGCGCCTACCACTGCACGAATCAGCGCCCTCATTGGGATGCCAATAAAGTGCTAAACCGCAATGAGTATGATGCTGCTGTGATAGCATCAACAACGATCGCCCGTAACCGTGTGGCCGCGATGAGTCCGCACATCACCATCTATGACAGGCACTAATCATCGCACCAACTCTCTCTCATTTGAAAGCAACCCGCCTGCACCCACATCCAATAATGGCCATGATCAACAAACGATGATCTGACCTCGGCAAACCTCGGTGTATCGCGAGATTGACGAGCGTTCGTCTCATCCCCACCCAGATGTCATGTTCTTTGATTGAGAGAGTCGCGGATCAGTAGCGATTTGATCGCAGAGCCATCTTGTCAATCCATTCGGGGTCTGCAACGCGCCGAGCACTCACGAATCGCGGAGCAATCCGGGGTACTCTCTCGAATTGAACATTGCTCAGCCATCTCACCAACACCTCCGCTAGGTACGGAAGGACACTCATCACTATCTGACCAGTATCAGCAAACTAGTGCATTTCCCCCGTGGCGAACTCTGGCTAGACGTACATAAAGCGCACAACGATCGTATTCCGCCCATTAGCGAGCGTGACCACCTGTGCCACGCTAAACATCATCATAACGGGCACAGATCACCTTGAACATGCGGCAACAAATCTCAAACAATCAATCGTATGGTCACGACGCCCCCGCCTTCTCCTGTTCTTCAGGGGTCTTTGTCTTCAATGATAGCGCATGCAGTCCCTGAGACAACTGTTCCGAGAGGGCTGCGTAGATCATGCGATGCCTCTGCATCGTCGTCTAGTGCCGCGCCGCGGCCCATGCAGCACATTAGTAAACGCTTATATCAGGAAACGCGCCGCAGCCCGCGACTCACCTTGCCCCGGAACTCCTCTGAAACGACCTGGACGGAAAAGTCTGGATCCAGCACAGAGTCAAGTTAGCAAGCGTGAGTTTTCGGCCCAGATGAACCGCGCAGTGCAGATTGCGCTTCAGAGATGCACGAGAATGACGTACGTGTTTCCCCGGTTGGGCCACCTTGAGCTCTCATGGCGGCATGATGGCGATGCTGCCATGAGTCATTGGTAATGCTCAGCTCAGACGGGCTGAGCAAGCAAGTGAGCTGCAAGCGAAAACAAAACGTCAACCGACGCGAAATTAATGCTGCGACCAGCGACACCGTCTCTGCACAGCACCAGCACACCTACCTTCTCCCGGATCGACCTCTCCACGGGACCTCCCCCGGGCGTGTCAGACGACGACGCCTGGGAGACAGACACAGAGCTCGACATGGGCGCACGACAGTTGCGAACAATCGAGATGGGCCAGCTCCTGATGGCGAGCATTGACACGCTTTGCCGAGGGCTAACACGTGTTGTATTGCGTTCCGAGGCGTGCAGTGCGAGCTCTGCTCGTCGCCGGTCGTTCGTCGTCTCGGGCAGAGAGGAGCTACCGGCAACGCCCGGTATTTCGCACAAGTTTAGCGCTCGGCGCTCAGCTCATGTGCATGGGTAAGCTCGCGACCGTTTCGACTTTTGCTGTACATTCCGCTACTTGCTGCACAGCTCGTTCGGACCACCAAGTGGGTTCATGGGAGCAGAGCTGTGCGGAAGAGACATAATTACAGCGGTGCGAGGAAGTGCCCGCGTACCACGGCAACAACTATCCACGGTTACGCGCTATATGCGGCCTATGCCCGTCGTTTCTGAATCACGCCTCCTCGTCGCTCGCTGCGCAGCACCAACTCACTCTTAGGCTCAGATTGCAGTGAAGAGACACCTCAGATACATTAGTTGCCCACTTCCACATACGGCTAGAGTGGTTGATACATTTTCAATTGTGTTTCAGTTCGTGCTGTTTGAAACCTGTAGGAAGTCTGGACTCATCGATAGGTTGGACGCATCTCGCTTCGGCGATGCGCGCAACGAAGTGTCCTCTGCTCGGATACAGATGCGTAAGCTGCAATGGCTAAGTGTGCGACATTTTTGAGGTTCAAAGGAAGTCGATCAGTCATCCTTGACACGGTTATTCGTTCAGCCGATCAGTACTAGTACTTACTGATGGTGGCCGTGCCCTAATCACATCTTGCATCCCTCCCACCATCTCCCATCTGCCTCATCCGTGATTTTCAAACATGTCAGGCTCCTGGCTCATCGTAAAGACGCCCTACTACTCCGCCTATCAGTATTCGGGCGGAGCAGTCGGCGTCGTGCTCGAACCTAGGGCGACCGATGCCGATCCCCACAACATACCGCCCCAAACCACGCGCGAGCCCGACGCAGAAGGAAAGGTGTGGTATTACGAACGTGAGAACGAGGAGAACGATAAGGACTGGAGGAAGAAGCTCGGCGAGGTGATTGCGAGACAGGTGGTAGAGCAGGATGTGAAGCGACAAAGGGATCAATGTGCGTCGTCTTCACATTTCTGAAGTTTGACGGGATTAGTGACGCGTCGGTTTCGACAGGGAGTGGTAATCCAAAAACCTCTATCCTGTTCGAATTTCCTGTTGGGTATACCCTCTGGGTTCATTACACGCAAGATCGACATGTCCCCAGGCACGACACGTACTTGTACGGTCCGTAGTCTCGCTTCTATGTGTCTCGCCTCGATCCTCATCTTTATCTCCCTCTCACGCAGGTTCTCGTACCGTAAACAACTTCCGCTCGCCCGCCGAGTTCGCCGAGCACCTCATCTGGCTCATGAACGGGAGTGCGGTCGACCGGGACGGCAATACGCTCTGTCGATGCGTATACTGCTGTCCGGGTCGCACGCAAGAAGAGATCTCTGCGGAGCTCGGGGTGAGGCGCCCGTCAGATAAGAAGGAGAAGAGGAGATCTGGGCAGGAGGAAGGGAGTGGGAGTCGGCCGGCTGGGAGGCGCCGGAAGAGCACGGTGGTGACGACGATTCCGGCGAAGGATTATACCAAGCTTAATACCAATCCTTCGACCTGAAACAGTTGAGCACTCGGTGCGCGTTTCCGTCGAGGCTGTCGACGTTGTTGTTTTCGCGATTATGAACGTCCATGTTACTTCCACTGTAACCATAGCTCGTGGGTTGACTTTTCCCTTTGCTCCGTCTCGTTGAATGACCGTATAGTTCCGATAGTTGTATTTATCTAGCCTTTGACTGTGTGCGATACTATGTTATACATTATAACTTATATGTGATCGTGACCGAGCCGCGAATACGAATAGAGTGACCGCACTGTACCTTTGTCTTTGTGCGATTGTGACGCACCGCACGTGCTGTGTGACCGATCGTGTCTTCAGCGTACCTCCCGCACTGCTTGTGGCCACACTGGTCTTCTCATTCGACGTCCAACTGCCGTGTGCCTATATCTCATCCAGCTGTGCAAAACATGGCCGCCGAAAACACATCTCTCGACTGTGACGACGTCGAGCGGGATATGCCCGTTCACCAACGAGGCCTGGTCGACACATGCTTCGAGGAAGGGCAATACGAGGCAGGGATCGCCGTGTTAGAGCAACTGCGGTCTCCGAAGTACAGGCCATCTGGGCAAGTCGGCAGCTCGTCAGACATATGCCTCTCTCGTGTAACTGACCACCAATACTCAGACCGCATGTCCGTCAACTCGTGTACATAGCATTGCGCCCTCCCCCGCCCGCAGAAGACCCAAACACCGCATCGCACCCCAAATTGGAGTCCGGCCAGCCGAGCAGGATGCACGCCTCCCTCGCGCCTTCCCCGGCTGCGAGCGATGCCGCGCTCAGGCTCCTTCATGCGTTCGCGGGCACGAATACGCCCGCCGCCCTGTTACATGCTTTTCCGCAGTACGAGACGATCGACCGTGCAGGGAAAGGTGCGAGCAGGGGTCAAGGGGAAGAGGATGACTCATTCATCGCGAGGGAGTCTATTCGCATTCGGAACGCCAGAGACTGCTGGGCTGTCCTTCACGAGGGCTTCCTTCAGCGTAAGGACGATGCGGCCGCCATACCAAGAACAAACCCAGGCAGCCTTGCATCGAGCAGGCGGAAAGCGGACAGAGGATCGTCGGACGCGGACGCGTCGCTGCCCAGTCCGGTCGACCAGCATGCATGGGGCGTGCTCGACTGGCTCCTGAGTCTATTCGAGAAGGACGAGATGTTAGCCGAGCAGAGTGGCCAACGTGCGCACGCTTCATGACAGGGCGAGCACAACGCTGATCATACGGCGTGACAGCTTCACATTCTCCCTTACTCCTCTCGCAAATACCCTTACCGCGCGCGGGCAACGCAAGGTGGGACATCGCCGCGCCACTCGACGTCGTCTTTCACTGTCTCCATCAGACAGATTCAAAACGCAAGCGGATGGGCAGCCGGCTCTTCACCTTGGTGCGCTCTCCACACACACCCAGTCCACATACACTGACGCTGACGATGGCACAGCTGATCCACCTCGCGTCGACGACGCTGATCGACCTTCCCATGTTCCTTAACGCAGCCAGCAGCCGCGTCTTCGCGCTGCCCGCAAAGGACCTTGCCTCTCTGCTCGCCGCACTGCCCGTAACCATGCCCGTGCTGCAGTTCAGGCTCGTGCTATGCAAAAGCTACCTGACAGAGACGCGCAGCAGCGCTGTCCCGCAAACGAGAGCACAGCCGCGCCGCAAGCAGGCCGAGGTATATGGCAACGACGCACCGCCGCCGAAAGACGCAGCCTCGAACACGATCCTGCGCAAGTTCCCTCCAATCTCGTCTGCCGAGATCTTGCGTCTCGTCGAAAGTCGCTCCCATTCAGACGCATCAGACAGGGACATGTCTCTTCAAGTCAAACTCGAGCTGGCTCGTTCATTTTGGCTACTGCAAAAGCAGATTGCCGTGGATGCAAGAGACACAGAGTGGCCGGATGTCCTGCGCAGCGGGCGGCTCAAGGAAGCGTTCCAAAGTGCTTTCGTGGACACGAGCGAGAACGTGAAGAAGGAGGGAGAAGGCCTGCGGAATGTGGATCGGCTGCTCACGATGATTTGCGCTGGGTGACGCTCGTTCTCCCGCGGTTGCGCTTGATGAGCCCCGCTCCACCTCTCACAGCCAACAGCGGAATCGAGCTCAACTCTTTTGCGCGACAGCACCTTTTGGTGCTGTGCACCACCTCCTGCACGTCTATCTCACGGTTGCCTGGGAGGACGATAATCAATCGTGACACGAATCTCGGTCGAATGAATTCGGCTGACACTCATGCGGATCTACTCGCCGCTGTGCACGCTCATAGATGTGACATAGATTGTAGTCAGTGTTGTACAAGTCATATTGACCCGTGATAGATTGTTCCGCTACCACTCCCTGAGATGCTCCTGAGAATCCATGATGACCTCTGCCCATTCTTCGTCAGTGGCGGACGGGCTAGCCGACTGATACAAAGCCAAAGGTACGTAGCCAATGTAATGCTGACTGCCGAATCCTCCGACGTAGTAGATGGTCTGCGAAACATAGCGTTGAGTGACGAACGAGAACATGACGCAATCTCACACGTACATGCGGGTCGAATCTCGCCCAGTACGCCTGAAACAACCACTCAGCCTTTCATTCGCGCAGTCTTTAACTTTAATGCACTCACAATGTGAGGTTCTTTCGGGCCCGGGAGCCAGCGGCGTGCGTCAGGATGCTTGGCCAGATAGCAAGACTGGATCGCATCGAGGTCAGGGGCCGTGTTGATGTCCTTGAAGATGGTCACATTGCCGACCAGGGCAACCCGGGCACGGCTGGCATCTGGATGCTCCCCTGTGACAGAGATGGACGCTGAGCGGTGGGGCGATGCCATTATATTCTGGCTATGCCGGGAGATCGGCATGAACAGCAGTGTCAAGGAGCCATTGTTGTGGCAACTGCGAGCATAGCGATCGGATGAATGCATCTACAGTGTCAGGATTGTGAGATCAAACCTGGCATAATATTCCTGTAAGGAGAAAGGCTCCCCTGGAGATTATTACGTCCTTCAGCCAGAAAGTAAAGTGTACTGCTAACTACGGACCTGCTAGCGCTGCATGTTCGGCTGGGTAGACAGTAGCCATCGTTCCTATGCTAGTTGCAGACAAGTCGACCAATCGCCTAGCAAAAATAGCTGATACAGCCATGATAGATGAGTACACAGGCCCATCGCAGTATAATTATGCTGTCAGGTCCACACCTGCATCTTCGACTGTCTCCCTAGCAATTGACACGAGAACGCCCTGGAATACCAGTGACGCAGCTGCAGCAATCCGCAGGAGCATCATCAAGTCCGCAGGAGCAGAAGAGCAGCTGAGGCACGACGCGTTGTGCACGCGGCACCTGACCCAAGAAGACCGGAACCGCTGATCCAGTGATCGGTTCGAACTGGAAGACAACCGGCCGAATGAGGCAACCGTTCATGTTCACGCGTAGGATCGTCCAAGTCCCTTGACGATTGTAAACGAATACAATTTCATGAAGTTGCGCTCATAATGTTTCATCTCCACTCTTCTCTACAGATGACTCTTCGCTCACATCCACCAACTCCCCATCATCTGCACCCGCTTGATCTTTACCCGTAGCCTGCTGCCTACGATACATGTCTGCCAAAAAGCCTGGAGTGCTCGCGTCTTCGAGGCCCTTGTCTTCTCTGATCCTCATGAACCGGGGGAACCTGACACTGAGCCCTCGCTTCGGGTTTACCAATCCCAGCGCAGCTACAGACACGGGGCTTACGGTGACGCTGTACAGTTGTTAGGAGAATGACGCAACCGCGACGCCGATCAAAACGCACTCAGCTCCGCGTATCTCCCAAACTTCCTGCGGCTTGAAGAACACTTCTGGTCTCAGGCCTACACGCATGATGTCAGCGCGCCTTCGGTTAACCGCGAACATGACGCTCTACCTCCGGTCTCGCACTCTGGTTCCCACAATGGCTCTGGAGAACAAGTATCAGAATTCTCCGGGTAGCGCTCTGACAAACTCTGTAGTTTGACGTGAGCCGCGGTATCAAGAGGAAACGGACTTCTTGATTTCACCTTATAGAACACATCGGTAAAGCCTGACCAATCAAAGGCCAGTCAGTGATGTACCGCGAAGGGTGTTACCTGGATTCAATGACTCGCCTGACATGCATTTGCAGACAGCTACCAGCTTGCCGGCATCAGGATCCCACACGGCAAGCAATATTGGGCTCCACCACTGCGCCTTCCGGCCGTTGCCATGCCAGGCACCGATAGGTACGAGATCGAGACTATCTCCAAGGCCAGTGACATAGTCCTTCTTGAGCTTCAACCACGCTGATGTGCGCTTATCTAAAGGCGAGCACCGGCCCTCAGTAAGCCGTACATAGACGCGAAGGACTTGAAAATATACCCGGCTCATACGTAGCGGGCAACGGCTTACGCCGTGTTTTCTCCTTCTGGCTCACTTCCTCCAGGATATCGCCGCTATCGAGCAGCTATGTATTACGGTAGGAGAGGGCCCATAGCAACGCGACGTGATGATGAACTTACCTTAATCATGAGCCCCTCGCAAGGGCTATTCAATGCAACCTGCCAAAATGCCTCCAAAGCTTCTCTGCCACCTTCGCTCTCACAGCTCTGTACATGGCTGAATCGGGCAGCATCCTTCCGGTCGGAGGTAAACGGTGAAATATTCGACCTCAGTAGCATTCTGCGTTCTCGAAAGGGTCTTTCTAGTAGAACCTGTAGTTCAATTAGTCTCAGAAGTCCCCGGAGGCCAGAAGCTCGAGCCACTTCCCTGTCCGTTAAGGTACATGACATCGAATGCGAAGACGCAAACGGTAACCTTAACATCATCAAGTTTAACTCCTTTGCGTGCACGATTCGAGAGTTCCTGGAATGATTTGATGCCTCCATCGCTCGGGTTGATAGCCACGATCTCTGAGTCGATAATAAAGGATTCCATCTGAGACGATGCTTGATACATATCGTGGATGAGAGAAACGACATCTGGATACTGCAATTACCGTGAGCTGCGTGCACTGCACGCTGTATTTGCACACGTACCTTGTCTGTCATGTCCTCCAAATGGCGCGAGAAAATTTGGACAGAAATATTCGTACCATCACGCCTTGAGGCATGTATTTGGGCACGTTGTCCATCATATTTGAATTCTGCACTGAACGGAAGCAGACCAAGCCTGTCATATATCTCATCAAGAGACCGAGTAGGTGACCCCAGTGTGGGCAGGAGTGGGACGCCTGTTAGCGACCGGTCAGCCCATGATAGACCGCACGCGCTCTATTCAATTTCTTACCCACAGTGAGCGGCAGACGGTCGCGCAAGCCGTCCAGCCCAACTTCGAGGAGCGCCTGCACGATGTGATCGTAGTTAGGATGCTGGACGTATATCCTCTTCAGCAGCGCCTCGGCGCTGGCGAAAATAGAGTTGATGCTATCCCTTGCTGGGTTGGCAGCCTTTTTCTTCGTATCAGGAGCTAACGGTTTGACTTGCGCTAGTAGCTCTGGGGTTACATAATAAGGGGAGTCCGGAGGAATGGATGAAATAAGACTGTGTGGCGGAGTGAGAGCCATCGCGCGGCTTAGGGCAGTCAATAGAGAATTGCGTACGGCACCAACCCGCAAGTTTTGACATAGTGTGCGGACGAGGAACCGGGTCTCCTCTCCTCTGGCAGCGACAAGCAGTTTCTCTACGATTCTCTGCTTCTGACTGGTAGCTCCCTGCCCTTTTGTGTGGGCAATCTTCAGCAGAGATTCATAGACTCCCGTTATAAGTAGCGGAGGGTGCGGGACCAACGTGCGGACGTTGGACTTGGCCTCGAATGCCACATCACCTTACGGAAGGGCATGAGCTTCATGACTCACGGTGCAAATGCAGAAATATTACCCGGATCTCCTGTTTTGTTATACAGTCGTCGTAAAGCCACGGGTGTCAGACCTGAAACATGCTGAATTGCTTTCGTGATGATGGATGGCCCTAATCCTAATTCGATGGGCGAATACGGTGGTGATAGGGAATTCGAAAGGAGGTACAGTGCTGGCAGAAGAGATGGCGGATGCTGTTTCGTAATGATCCGCAGGGAATTCGTCAAAGTGTTCGAAATGGCAATACGAGAGCGGGTTCCAGAAACGGTTGCGAGAGTATGTGCGAGGAATGAGTAAGCGACCGGAGTCGTTACAGGCCAGATGTCAGGAACGGCGAATGATGCGGGATCGACCGAAAGAGAGCCGTAACTTGTCTCTGGAATCGAAGCAGTTACAGAGCCAGCCAAGGAGAATGGGACGGGAGCTTCAGACGGACCAGAGGATGGGCCTGCATGAGCTTCAATATCTCTTGGAAGTTCAGACGAGCTGCGAGTACGCTGCGGTAGTCTGGGAGACGCAGCTGGCGCACGGATATTTGTTTCATTCTCAAACGAGTCGACATCGATAATTTCAACAGAATTTGTGGAAATCGCCGTCGACGGTCCTGCTTTGCCGGCAGTCTCCTCGCGCTTCTTTGATGCACTGGCATCTTCCTCGAGCTTCTTCAGTGTATTGGCATCAAGACCATCGCGTTCTGCCAGCTTCCAAGCATACAATTCGTCATCAAGACCTGCAGAATTAGTTCCGCGAGCGTGATCGTCGGATGGCTGCTTGTTCGTATTCCCAGACGGCGCCGCGGGAGATACGGAAACCCGTCCCTTCCATGGACTAGAAGGCGATGGCGATGACTGGGTCCCGAAGTACCTGAGGAGACTGGGCTGACCAGGCGTAACCTTTGGTCTCTTTTTCGATGGGGAATTCGGTGCTGATCCTGAGCCGCGTTTGGACATTGCGTTCTTAGGATGTTTGCCAGAATCCACGAGATCTTCAGGCACGGGTCCACAATTTGACCCACGCGCTGGCTGTAGACAAAGTGCGAGAGAATGCGTCGCTTGGCTTGCCAAGCTTTTCACAGCAAAGGCGTTGAATGGATGCACTAGTGCCGCCGCTGTGTACATTAACGTTGTTGGCGTCCGAAAGGCGCCCGCCACAGTTGAACCCGTTTCCTAAAGGGGCAATTCTTCTGGACTGCGACATAGCGGTTGCACATCATCCTCACTGCCTCTGCTCGAGAAATTCCCACAGAAATATCCTTAGATCATCCCCATATCACCCAGTGATGTATACGTCAGCCGATGCACGGTGATCCGAGGACTCGAGTCGCGTTGGCAGCGGATGTCATTCTGCGCAGCATGAGGCAGCACATGTATGCCACACAAGATTTCGCGAACATGTTCGACTGTCAAAATGGCGAGTTGCATGTATGAAAGATCGTCTCTCAGCAAGTCAGGCAATAATTCCCGGTAACACTACTACTAGAAGTGATCTATTGAACTACCGTAAGAATACTGTCGACTCCCAGGCTCGAGCCCAAGCCGCCCGCCCAAGCCGGTTTAACCTGACAATCAAGATCAGCGTAATTCTGGTTGTTACGATCAACGAGACATTCTAGGCAGTGGGCGCACTGCTGACTTCAGAGTGCCGACCGGCGCTATCTATATAATTCTCAGGAGTTTCTGGAGCCTGTCTCGGGGTAAACTCAATCCCCTGATGTCAGTCAGCTGCCCTTGCCCTGATCTGCCCTCCACTCGTCCAAAGCCAGCGTGAGCTCAGGAGCAGCCGTTCGCAGGCCCGGCAAATATATCATCACTGGCGTTCACCACCCAAGGAGCAAGCTTCATATATTGGCGGGAGACTTTTACCCCGCCAAGAAGACGCTAACGCCACCGCGCTTTGCGAGCGATGCCACAAACGACACCACGATCAAGGCCTGGTGCCGCAAGTTAAGCGCTCGCTCGGGCCCTAAATGGCCTGGTGAAAGGGGCCAGGCAGCTATGAAACGCATGATGTCAAACCTCATACTACGCTAAGGGCGTGATCACGTTCTGCGGCGACGTCGCATCATTTCCGGTTTCGACAAATTCTGTGCAGGCTGTTTTCCGGTTGCATGACACGTTTGATGCACCGCAGACTTACATATGCCTGTGACAAGGAAAATAACAGCTTGCACCGGTATAATCGCAGGGTAAACCAGCTAAGAAATGAGTTCTCAAGATGAGTAAATACAAGATCATGATGATACTGCGCAGTTCCAACCTTTTCTCCTGAAGGAGCTGTCCTGTGTCACTGTCGGCTGACGATCGCAGGATGGCATTTTTGGTCACCGCAATCATCGGCTCGGTCGAACGTTATCGTGTACCTCGCCCGCCAGTGGGTATCATGGGCATGGGCGGAACGCGGCGTGGGTTGCCCCGGATCATTTGCATCGCGTTCCTGAGCCATTGAGCGGTCGGGCCGTCCGATGAACATCTATGATCGGGGCTGCCGAGCACCGTTTTAGTTAGATTGAAAGTTCAGCTGGAAACCCGTATCCTATGCGGCCCCGACAGCTGTACTGCGATAGCTGGTGTAGGATGAATGAAACTAGCTCTGTAAGGTCCCTGCCGACCTGCGCGGCATCAGCTCCCGTATTTGACAGATCATTGCTCGTGATGCCATACTTGTTTAGTCTCCATTGCGAAGCCTTGGAGCCCCGTCATACCTATTGGCTTCGTGGCAGTGCGATTGTGCCTGGAGCGCGCTATTGCGTCCAGCGGCTATGCGAAGCACATATGAGCGAGGACGCGTAAGGATCCCGTTTCCCCCATCAGCCCGAAGCTTCTGCACAACATGTCTGACAGGCGCACTCACCAATATCCACTGGCAGGTGACGCCTCGTACGGTGGCGCACGCTGGAACGAACCTGGCCAGTACCACCTCGGACATGCTGCATCCCCGAACAACTATTCCTCTTCCTCCTATGCTGCACCGTACCCTCCCACTCATTCGAGCTCAGTCTCCTACGACCATTCAATTGGCCACACGTATCAAATGACCAACCAGCCTGGTTACCAACTCGCAAACCAAGATCCGTCTCACGCACGTAGCAGTAGGAGCGACAGACCATCGGCCCCCGTGAATCAGCAACTAGCACACGGCATGCCGATAGCGCAGGCGGCGATGACCACACGGGCCCCTTCGTATCTGCACGCCCAGACACACTCTCACGGTCTGACCACTCCTTATGGTACACCAGCGTCACCGCCCCGTCATTCATCTGCGCCATCAGATTTAGTCGGAGGGCCATACCCCGTCCCTGCGGGTTTCACGCAACACGACACGCTCATACAATATCCGGCATCGCCACAACGGCCGTTCTCCTGCGACATGTGCGCCCTGTCCTTCAACAGGCAGCACGATCTCAAGAGGCACAGAGATACGCACACCGGCGAAAAGCCATTCCTCTGCAATGGCGGCTGTGGCAAGACGTTCACGAGAAAGGACGCACTGAAGAGGCACCAGGTAAGCGCGACGAGGTATCCAAAGCTGCGCTTGCTGAAACATGTCCCAGCTTGTGAAACGCTGTGGGATCGACGATAGCTCGTCTTGAAGTAATAATTCTGTTGGATTTATGCAAGTAAGTGTGTGTACTGCTTTCCTCGATATCTGCTCACTCACGGTTATAAAGGGTCCACTACACTACATCGCATATAATGTGTACAACAGCTCAGGATACAGTATATCTGTTCAATCGCGGAGATGGTCCCTTGCCATTGCTAAAAGGACGTGTATACCGTACAACATCTGTAAGCTAGGGACTACAGATCTAGGCGAGCAGGATCACTCGTCAACTTATTATATATGTTGCAGACTAGTCTCACTTACCGTAGCACCAGTGTTCTCCCCGGATTTCTCTGCATCTCTAGCGTCGCTACTCAGTTCTCTTTCGAGGATCCATGCGTCATGGGGAACGATCTTCTTGTAATATCCCTCATGCACTCCCGTTTCTTTGAATCCATGCCGCTCGTAGAACTGCTTAGCAACTATATTCGAAACTTGCACGTGTAGGTATATGGCGCTGATCTTTGGTTTGGTGTGTGCAGCTGCCGCATCGATGATCTGCTGTAAGCTGAAAGAGCCGAGGCCCCTAGATCTGTACGGCTGCTCGCTGCTGTGAACCACCGAGAACAAACAAGAGAATATGGGCACGCACGGCCAGAACGCCCATCGTCATCAAGTACAGCCTCGTCTGTCCATCTACGGTCTCCAATCTACAACAGATGGTGCCCACGGGGATATCATTATAATAGACTATGGTGGGATGATCGACCTGGAATCAGACGACGGCGGTCACGGACTGAGGTAGATGACGGACTGAGTTTGCAAAAGTCTTCTGCTTCTGGGAGGATGATATCTTGATAAAACTTTTCGCTGTACTTGATGGGGAACAGCACCGAGTTGAGCTTTCGGACTGTCCCTGCAGAACAGTCAATCGCAGCTCGCGATGGAGACAGCAGCGAGTACCTAAGTTGTTGGGAGTTAGAGACGAGAGCGAGACCCGCGACTGGGTCGAAGACCGCGAAAGAGACGAAGACATAGAAACCGTGCGAACTCAAGTCCCAGTAAGGTCGACTTCGGCTCTTTCTGCACAGGTTTACCCAAACTCTGAACGCAATCAGCTCTCGTTCCGCCTCGAATTCGAGAATCCCCGCCTTCCATGCTTCCTGCACGAAAACAGTCTATCTGACCTGTTCGACGCGCACGGCGAGACCACCATAGATTCGGAACTTGCAGAGAAAGAAAATTTTGCAGGATGGTGTTGCGGCACAGACGCTCAAGCCGGTTGCTCCGCTGCGGGTTTCGACCGCTAACATCGCCGTTCTCGCTATATCCATCCGGTGCTAGGTTCTTGTGTCCCCGCCAGCTGTTGAACGCAAATGTCATTCATGACGCGCTTACTCAAGACGATGGAAGAGAGGCTTCCGACAAGCGTTGGAGTTTTCATCGAATAGCAAAGTTACAAAGTTCAAATTGCACCCCCTGGTTTTTTTTCGCTTACGCGAATGCTGATGCTGCTTGCGCTATCGCAAGTGCTCTGTCGAGTCGGCACCAGGCATGCCATGTCCTCGATAAGTTGATGTCTCGGAGAAATTTACAGAGACCGTGGGTGGTTCATCACGGACAGAGCGGCTGAAACACTTCGTGAGCGTCCATTCTTGCTGTACATGTCGCCGTTGGGCAGGATGCATTCATTTTCAGCGGCTAAAATGCATCCCTGAGTTTTCCATGCTCACGGAATGCTTTTGCTAATTCCGCTATGGTCTCGGCGGGTCAGCGGCGAGGTTTTCTTTATTAGGATATTCGTCATGGCGCGGGACGGCATTGTTGCTGCGCTGACACGAGTTGTTTCGTGGTTTATGGTTTAGAAAATATTTATGATCCAGGGGTTGCTGCATGATACTGACACACCCTTGTCACAAGGATTGACGACCCTCCATGAGTGGTCCGTCCTGTGATTAGACCAGAGTTTAACGGCCGCTATTGCACATATTCAGAGAAGTCATCCCTACTTATGTGGTATGTCGTGGTGCTATCATCATCAGGCGGAAACGATGAATCTGCTTTCGCTTTGCTTTTAGTCGAAATTTTTCGGGGTATCCCAAACAGTGGTATGACGTTCAGATTTATATTCCCATCGAACAACACAATGGTTCAGCGCTCGGAGAGCGACGGCCCCGGTTAATCTCCCTAGATGTCTGTGTGAACTCCGTCTTGCGTTCGGAGTATGAGCACGATGTTGACGCTTTCTGCCGAACACAATCCAGACTAGCTGCCTTTTTACCGCTCATGCGGCAGCCCTTCTTGATGGCTGGTCGCCTTTCCCACTCGTCGGACTCGTTGGCTCAATCACTGAATTAGCGCATTCTCTATGGCGACCAGACACTCAGCATCAAGGGTCCTCCGCCGAAGTCTGCCAGTCACTCGGATGCAGTTTTAGCAAAAAAAAGACCGAGCGTCACGCATAATTAATTATGATGCGGTCCTCAACGGTGTTCAAAGCTTGCATTGACCGGTTTACTCTCCGAGATAATAGTTATTGCCTCCAGAAGGATTTATATTTGCAAAGCTTACCACTTTAATTGTCATGTAGTGTGGAGTTATGCCACAGTGAGCCGATGGCTCATGCTGATAATGTCTCTGCCTGATCTGCAGTGTGGACGTTACGCCATCTTCAGAGTATGTCTTCGAGGTCTATGACTTCTCAGCACTCCTGATAACTCAATACCACTCAATTAGTGGACGTTGCTAAGTTCAATCTCATGAACATATGACAATTATCTCCCAACTTCACTACCTCGCATTCGTTTGGATCGAATAGACAAGCATCAATTGATATCGCTTCGAGTATGGATGTGCAGCGCTTGGTTTTCAAAAGAGAATCTTAACGACAAGGGCATCCGCGCAGCACCGTACCGCAGGCAACGTCTGGCATGACAGCTCGGCACTGGAGCCTCGTCGTTTGCCAAGCCCGCTTTAAAGTACTAGTGACTCCTGGTGATTGATGCGCCAGGCTTACGCCCTCAACCAGCCCTACGTTACGGCACAAGGACGGTGAGCATCGCGGCCAGCTGCTGATCTAACAATAATTCTGACATCGGCTAGGATGCAATTTCTGACGCAAGATTCAATATACATAGGCGGAGCGCCGATGATGGATTACCTGATGATTGCGCTAGAGCCTAGATATGCATGCACAGCCCTCTGACTTCCTGTTCTCATACTGCGCCAATCCATCAAAGCAGTTGACACAGGCACAGGAACGCAGATACATCACCCAAACTAAACCATACGCTAGGGCGCAGCGGATGGAGTAGAGTCGTCGTGCCTTGCCTCTCAGATTGCGAGCATTTGTGACAACAATTGCACCCCAAAAGGTTGGCTGCAGCACGGCCGGATCCTACCGTTTCGCCGAGAAGGAGGATTGACGTTAGCGTCAAAGCAGACATCCAGCGCACTTTTAGCTAGCAAGCAAGCTTGAACTGATCTTCTGAGGTGTTCTGACTGCGATTCATTGCCAACTGTGTTTCGGATGTCATGAGCGTGGCATACAGCGCGTTGACATACTCTTCATCGCAGCTAAGTCATCATATATTTCAGTCACGAGAATAACTAGAATGTCCGCAGATATTTATCGTCCCTCCTGATCCTACATGTCATCTTCCTGGGACATCGGTGCGCTTCATGTGTGGTTTCCTATTCATCGTATCATGTAATCGCTGAGTGCTCTATCATATGGTATCCTGATAGCACTTAAACGCAATCCATTCATAATGTCTCGGCACCCCGAAGGTGCTGATCATGCACTGTTATCCACATGGTGGGGCACGGACCGCCTCGTTGCCCTAAGGAATGTTGATCATCACCACAATGATGATGGGCGTTGTGTGTGAGGAGTTGCTAGTGAGTCGAACGGTCGATCAGTCATTTTGGGTCATCCGAGTCTACATTCCACAGACGGCGAGCGATGGTGTTGGACATATCGAATGAATCCTCCCTGTGGAATTGAGAAAACGTGTTCACGGGCCTCGTGGGATCTTGGATAAGGCAGGTATAGCGAACTTGGAACCACCCCCAGCTGCTCGCATCCCAACAACGCGCATTCCAACTTATGTGACATTTGAAAGGCCTGTTTCGCCTCAAACTAATCTAAAGATTATATAAATGCTCAATGGCGGCTATCTACAGCGTCTACTCAGCTTGATAGTAACCTGTAGGCAATATGCGGCAGAACGACTGCGGCGACTGATCCTCATTCAACGAAGCGGCAATTTCTTCGAATTCTCTCACACATTTGATCTGGCGAATCGTAAGCTAGAGTCCCACGATGAGTATATCAAGCTTCGATGGAATGACACATAATGCAGAGTATTCGGATCAGGACTCGGGCCGCAAGATGAATAGGATGATGGTTTTAAGTTTGAACTCCCATGAAGCTGCAGAGCGGCCATTCAAACCCGATGGAAGAGTAAAGCGTACGACAATGGCTTGCTGAGCAATCTGACAATCATCGATATCATACCTGTCTGCGATGTCAGCTGGATCGCGGCCCTTTCACAAACCCCACTTTTTCCTTCAGCCACAGGCTAAAACACGCATTTCGAGACGGTGTGCGTTCATACCATTCTTCGGCTGTCTGTATAATAGTTTGATAACCGGTGAGACTGTCCCAGGTGGCCTTGGATGGTCGACAATAGACGAACTGTAGCAGGTCGAATCAGTGCCCTAAAGATCGAAGCATCGACGATAAATCGTTCCATGGACGCTGCTGGTTCAGAACAATCGCGCGCAGCACTTTCTGTCAAGAACATTCAACATTGTAAGCAGCTTTGAAGTTTGGCGTCTGGGATCAGTCATGGCGGACGCGGCCATATCACCGCAACAGCGACAGCTCTTCGCCCGGTGACGTGGCGCCTCGCTCACCACAATGGTTGCTGTAAGATTCTGCACTGCTGCTTTGTTATGAGACTTGAAGCTTGACTCATCCGCTCTAGCTACAGGCTTAGAAATGTAACCAGTCAACCACCCAAGCCCGAGATGCTCGAGCTTACGCATTGCAAGTATGAATGCAGCTACCCGATCAGCCGAGCCCTTAAGTGCAGTGCCTGATATTATGATCGGCGAGAACGGACGGTATCATGCGTTTCGTGCCAGTTGTACTGTGCCACCACTTCGCAGAGACAGATACCAAGCTGATGTTGCCACTATTTGGGTCTAGGAACTAGACTGACCACGAAAATGCGCCGCACTTCACCTATGGACGTTCAACGAGAATGTTGCGCTGCAGACGGAACATATACAACACGAGTGCGGTGTACATGAGCGCCTCATAAAACTCCGCCTCCCAGCCATTCCGGGACGCCTTGGACCAGGTGTCAGTCAGATGCGTCGTCCTGCAATTGTAACGTCTTACCGTTCGGGGCAAAGCCTATTCGCTGGTTTGTCAGGTCCCAGGCGCTATAATAGTGCTTCAATAGACTGCCTCCAACCAGGTCCAGACCCTCCAATGCATTGATCATCGTCTGACAAATTGACGGATCACCTGTGAACGGCCCAACATTGAGCTCGCTACTAGGGATCGTGAGGTTGAACGCGGCGCCCTCGATATTTGTGAAGGTGATATCGATCTGAGCCGGGAGCTCATCGATCTTATCGCATGAAATGGCATACGCTCCTGGTTCAGCTGTGTATGGTTGGATATCCGGCGAAATCAACGCGTATATTGCCTTGTGATGGTCATGGTGAATTGAAGCGGAACGAGTTGGAGGAGGGAATACTTACATTGGCAATGTCTGGGCTGAAATAGACGTTACTTGTACCACTATCGAATATTATCGTGCGATTGCTGGTGAGCAGTAGTGTTGTCTTGCCGTTGACGGAGATTCGAGATGAGTTCAGCTGCCAATCACCATAGGGGTCCACTACCTTGTCAGCCCATTCTATCGTTCCTGTATAGCGAATATCAATCAGCTGTGCATCCCAGTATCAAGACAGAACTCACCATTTATCTTCGACTCGTCCACTCCACCCAATGTGAGCTCCGCATTACCCACGGTATGGGGCGTGAGATACATGCCAAACATTGCTAAAATGGTTGCATTCATAGCTGAGCAACGTATCGAAAAGAACACGTACCAGGCAGCCCTTGCTCGATCAATCCCGCGAAGAAGCCCTGAGCAATGGCTGACATCCCTGCAACGCTGCTATGGCTATGATGCTCTACTATCCTATGATGAAGCCTCACCTTGGATGCCACTGTAAGGATCTGGTGCGAACGCAGCTGTTTGGTTGATTATGGTGTAGAGTTCTACGTTCGGAGTGGCGATTCCACCAACGGTCACGGTATCATTCCCGGCACGTAACCAAAGTACGTATTCGTCATCGGATACAATCGGATTAACCCCTCCACCAGTCGCGAAGGCTATCTCGAAAGTGTCGTTGGATCCGACATACGTAGAGCTCAGACTAGGGTCAAACTTAATCTGGTTCGCGCATGCGGCACCGCATTCCGTACCTAAACAACGTCAGAAGAGCAATGTTTCAATGACCGATGCACGTACTGGCGAATTCCAACGTCGAACTTCCCGTGTCAAACACTACAGGAATCGTCTGGGGCGGAGTCCCGACTGCAAAGTTCATAAACGTTCCGATCACGTCTCACAGTAGGTGCGGCTGACCTGAAATATTACCAAACCACCTAGAATGTAGCACCTCAGATATCATCCACGTCACGTATGATGAGGTCGACCCACTGTAAATCAGTGCCGTTGAACTCCTCAGCAAGGGGGATGCCGAAGGCAGACAAGGATCGCTTCCGCGACCGAGCAACTTCACCTCTGGGTACTTGACGAGAGGTGAGAAGCAGTCTATACGGGCTTCCAACGACCTCCAGAGTGGCTGCCACCGGTCCCGTCAACACGAGTCCCAGTAAGATGAGAGAAGTGGATGCAAGCAGCATGTTGGACCAGAGGGAGGGCGGACAAGCTGGAGACAGAGCGGGTGACAATGCTTATATCGCATCCTGATGAAGAATTCGGCCTGGAAATATTTGGGTGAGAACGCATGGTCAGCCATCCACGATCTCAAAGATTCGGGATCGCGAAGCATAGCGAGCATACGGGTAGCAATTCGCAGTTCAATGTACACTCGCGGACACGGCACGGGAACGTGGCATCGTCCCTGCGTCCGGCTTCGGATTCACCGACAGCGCATGTGGTGGCATCAATGCGTTTCTCGGGACCTCGCATAAATCTGCGGCGAGCGTTCCGTGCAGCTCGGCGCACCGAGAAAGCCATAACGACCGAAAAGAAGTGTCGAAACAGATGGCGAAACAATCGCCCAAGTGGAGGCCAACGCCGCGGCCCTTGGCGGCGCGTTGGGATGATCCGAGCTCATATTAAATCTCGTGTGATATGATGTTGAAAGTCGTGTCCATCACTAAACTCCCGCCCCATCGTCAGGCCCGAAGGAGACGTAGATATCCGACAACCAACAAGCTAGTCCATAAACGCGGGCACAGGGAAGAAGCTCGGACGATGCATACGACAGCAAGACTGCAGAAGTTTACAAATGTGAGTACAGACCACCAAAGGAGGCGCATGAGAAACGGAGACAAATAAAGACGCGACAATGTATACACAAGCTGACTATTATGAAAAAAGTAAAAATCCGTGTCTGAGAGTGTGTTCCACTCTCCTCTCTTTCGAAAACGACCGAGAGGACAGGGAACTGTCTTGCCAGTACTCGTAGAATCTATATGCTGTGCGCCGTCAAGGAGAGAGTCCGACGTAAGTTACATCGCCGCCGCCGCCAGAAAAGCCAGCGCCGAAAATGGTGAGCGTCTTCGCGCTTGCAACATGGCCGTCGCCAGCGTATCGCCAGCGCTCTACAATTGGCGCCACTTGATGCGGTGTCGGCGATATGACCTCGATGGTAGTCGACATTTGGACAGTTCTTTCGTCAGGTCCATCTGACAAAGTCGATGATGTTGACATCGGCGAGTAAGAAAGACTTGGCGTAGGCATAGGCGATGCAAGGAACTGTCCAAACGTGACGTTCAAGGAGCCAACGTTGGCGTTGAAATCCGCCTCTGCCTCGACAAACACCCGAGGAACAGGAGGACCATCTTGACCGGCAAACGGAGGAACAGCAGTGCTATCCAGATTCGGCATCGTGGTACTACGGCGCAACGAGCTATAGGATAAACCCCTTGGCATTTGCGATGGAGTAGACGGAAGAGGCGCCACCCAAGAGTTCGACCATTCCGGAACGTTTGTGGCGAGTGGCACAGGCTGGCAGGATCTACTGAGCAGATCTCCATCACTCCTGGTTCTTGCGACGGCCCTTCCATTCGATGATGTCCATCCAACGTTGAGGTTCTTGCCGACCCACAGGCGCCATTGCAGTGCTTCGCCGAGAGCCCGTTCACAACGGCCGATCTCACGAGGAGGCAATCCGGCGAGCTTTGCCCAAGCGCGGTTTGAGTAGGACCTATCTTGCAGGAACTTCGAAGCGAGGATAAGACAAGCGAGGAAGGTACGGCGAGGACAGAGAAGGGGGGAAGGTAAGGGAGGAAGAGGAGGGAGGGACGGAGATGGCGGTCGAGCAGCGGAATCACGAGGTTGATGAGCACGCTGCTCCGAGGAAAGGGTAGAGGATGAGGAGACGGTGGAGACATCCACAAGGTCAGCGATGCGGACGGTGTCAGACAGATGTACATTTGAATCTGACATATCGCTATCGGATTGGGAGGTACGTATATCGTTGAGCAGCTCATGCTGCTCGACTCGCATAACTGATGTCTGCGACTGCCCCTCGGTGTGTCGTCCATTCGCATCGCTTACTTTGGACTTCTCTTCTCGTAAAACATCCGGAATTTTAGGGCGGACTGCTTCCAGGTAGCAAAGTGCTGTCTGCAGGACACTGGCAGACATCCGAGACCGACGCAGTACTTCATGAACAAATCCCTTGATGGGAACAACATGGGCGGAGCGAAAATCTTCAGCAGTTTGACAGACCACATCGAGTATGGGTGGGAATGGAGACGATCCGGTAGATGGAGAGACAGGAGAGGGTAGCTGTGTGTTTCTTCCTGGTATATTGGTAGAAGTGGCTATAGGCGACCTGCCATCCTGTTGGACTTGAGAATGATCGTCCTGGACATTGCGCATAGGAATCTTGAAGACAGACGGAATGTCCTCAGGACGCCAGATCTCGCACAAGGAGCGCACTGCCTGATCTGATAATGCAAAGGGATCAGTGAGCATCGGCAGTTGAGATAAAAATGGCGATAAAGTCAATGGAGTTATCTCCAGAACAATCGATATGTTCGCGCATTTGTGATGCGCGGATAGCAACGTCTGAGGGTGATACCAGCGGCAAAGCAATGACGCAGAAGTTGGCAGTGTAAACCATAGTGAAGGAATAAGGAGAACTTGTACTGACCGATGAGTCGGGTCACATATCTAGCCTTTTGCGCATCGCGCGCAGACTCAACTCGGAGGGGTCGCAGAGATGGAGGAAGCTTGCAGTGTTCGGCATCAGAGGGTGGGTTGATATTGACGGTTGGAGGCGATGAGGTGACGGATGAGGCTGGGGTAGGTAGATAAGGTATCGTGGGGGAGCGCGAAGGGGTGGGTAAGGTGTTTGGTAACGTGACCGAGGAGTACGGCTGCCAGCGGGCCCTGGCGCGCGTTGCGGTAGGGCCGCGATGGGGCAGACGATGGGATATGGCATGCATTTCGAGGAAGCAGACTGTGCGAGTCAAGATAGTAACTGAGCGAAAAGGTGAAACCGACCAGAGTGCCACAGGATTCAGAACAAAAGAGCATGGACAGACGAATCGATAGACTTGTGAATAAAAATAGACGGAACGAAGAATCCAAGGTAGGCTGGGGAGACTGTGGACACTGCGAGGGACGGTTCGAGGTATCGGTTTACGGATATGGAAGACATTTCGACGACTTGAAGGCTAGCGGACGTCCAAAGTCACAGACTTGGACGATCCGATCAGGTTACGAGTGACTTGCTTGGGAAAGCAAGAACTCGCAGATATTGGCGAAATTGGAGGTTGCAAGCAGTAGGGAATGCTCAGATTGCAGACGAAGGTGAGGAAGGCAGCTGGGAGAGAGGGGAGTATATAAGGCGGCAGAGGAGTCAGAGAGTCCTAGTCACGGTGGCACATCACGCCGACATCAGCCACATAACAAATATCTGTCAACACACAGCAGGAGTCAGTTTCCAAATTTGACACAGCATTCCTCCCCAGCGGCTCCCAATCGCCATGCCAGAGACTCCCTTGTACAGCCTCCCAATTGTCCACCGTTCGCTGCACGTTATATCCTCCTTCGATCTCTGCGTCAATGCTCACGACGGCAACGAAGGTGTTTTCCTTTCTCACCTCGGTGGCGCCCGCGTGATGCAGCGTGACTCACTGACCTTGAGCGCGCCGCTGAGCGAAATCCCGGATGGCGGAATGGCTTAACCGAGACAGCAGACTGGAGTCTGGGGTGTGCAGAAGAAATTCGTATCCGCCGATTGACGTGTGTCCTCGTGTTTTCACCGCCTGCTGTGCGATCGCATCGCCGTACACAAGGAACACCCGAGTGCATGGCATGGGCATGGCCAGCAACCATGAACGATTGTGCGACCGATTTGTGTCACAATGGCGCCAAGAGCGCGCTCGAAACAGTATCGACGAATACCTATCATATCTCTGAGCATTTTGGGTCTCCCCCTAGATTGTGCATCGGGCATCCGAGTACATTCAGCCAGGTGGCTGTTGCAACAACTGAGTTGGTCGAGGAAGCAAGACGAATGCCGTATTTCCGTATCGGTCGGAACATACGGATGCAGTGTGGCCCTCGTATGTTCGATACAACGTACAACCCGTACAGCAGGAACTGGGCAATGCTATGCATCTCGTAGCATCCTTTGTCCTGCAAGCTTACCATAAGGGAGGCCGAGCAGCGCTATTGTCAGTCGTGTTGCAGGATACAGCTGCATAGTATACACACCTCCGCTGTAAGTCTGCGACACTTTTAGGAAGATATTAATCCGGTGACTACTAGCTAGGCCGTGTCACGGTCGTGGGCGACTATCTCGAGTCTGAATTCGTCTCTCGCTTTCTTGCTCACCGAACGTTCTCCGCATATAAGCCTCACATGAACTGTGAGCTGATGCTTACTCGGTTACTATGATGCAGTCTATAAGGTTCCCCTCCTAACTTACAGGTGCCGTGCCACTATGACAGATGCGTTGTGTCCTCATCTTTCTCAATATTTGGGTTCGTCTCCTTGTTTCCTGTGGAAGTTTCCTTCGCTTACCAACTGTGGCACACAGCAGTCAATATACATTATGTACCTGACAACGGCTTTGTGCAATATGTCCGCCTCAGCCATGCTCTCGTTTTCCAGGCTGTCCACGTTGCATGTGCATAGCACGCCGCGCACTGCAGATATCTCCAACTTTTCAATCTAGCCTGAGCTTATCCGCAGACGTAACGTGACCATGAACATGTTCTTCTCTGTCGAAAGCTTATACATATCAGAATCATAGCAACTTCTGGATGGGCCCAATCCACGGAGTGGGTGCATTTGGTCAGTCTCTGGAGATCTACCATATCCATCCGCTTCCTTGGCTGAGCCCTTCTTTTCTTGCTAGAAGCTGCGATTGATCAACGTAGGGAATGTGCTACGCCGTAGACACCTCCAGATGCAAAATCGGTTCCTTAGATTTGGGCATTGACACCGCGAGTTCCCTGTCAAGCAAATGGCCAGACCTACGCTTAAATGGAGGCAGCTAGCACAACGAAGTGGAAGCCTCATGGATCCACCTCTGAACCCGAGCCTACAAGAAGAAGCAATATTCGAGCTTCTTCAACGAGCTTCTGTGCCGCGGAGTACGGCTGAATCTACCGGGTCTATTACTGGCACATTGCGTGCAACATATAGCGGAGTAATGCACTGTAGACCTTTGCCTCGGCCGAAGATAGCGTACACAGCACTATCGTCTTCACAGCGGAAATTAAGATGCTTGTAGAAGTTAATGTCGGATCATATTTGTTTCTGATTGGAACAACACTTATATACATCCACTAGAACCCACTGTGTTCTACTAGGCAAACATTCGTGGTCAGCATTCATACACGTCGTTACGTTATCACAGGCACTCATATCTACAGTATGAGCGCTCTAAGGTCGTGATCAGACAGCACAGATCGCCAGTCAGCCCCTGGCATTTTTTCGTCTAGTCGTTTCCAGACCTAAACAACATGGATTAGAACGGTACCAAACGCAGGAACGCTATACTGACTTGAAGCACGATGTGTTCAGCAGTTTCGATTTCGTAGCAACCTAGCATTATGACGTTAACAATGAGCAACTAAGAGAGTTTACAGTTAACACGCACATTGAGCCCTAGAAGCACAAAATGAACAGGTCGGCGGCACTCGAGAGCACCAAATAAAAGAGTGGCATACCTGAAATATTGGAAGATAGAGAGGACACGAGCTCGATTCGAACCGAAAACTTGCGACCCGGCAATGATCACAGGCCAGTTGAGGCTATCGGGGCTCAGTACGTCACATGAAAACTCGAGACATATCACTTACTCGACACTCATCCTGCATTGACCGCAATCCATACAAAGCGACAGTACGGTATCGGCATGCTGTTGCACGAGGGCATCCTCCGGTCCCAGACAAAGGACATCTCGTAGTAACATGATCTGCAAGACGATGTCGAGCTCCGGTGACACATAGACAGCACTTGGGCACTCACCTGCGCGACGTTGCGGTACACACTGTCACCCATGGTAATTCGGGGAGGCGAGTTCTCTGTGCGCCCTGTCCAGTTGTCTAGGAGGGCATACAGTGCACGAGCGTTGTTCGCGTCATCAGCATCTGTCATGGTGTCGCCCAGTTCCTTGATCCTCGAACGCTTGTGAAGTACACGAGCGACGAATGCAATCACCTAGCGGCCGGCGTCGAATAGGTTCACTAACAAATCATGTCTCGTTTTGCAACCGAACGTACCCGGGCTAAGAGGGGTATCAACTGACGGGACATCCCAAACACCTTTTCTACATATGAACGCGAGTCGTTCGCATTCGCATTTTCGACCCTGTACGGCTATCAGCATTCCATTCAGTGAGAGAGAGGCAGTACGCGGATCACGCACCACCAACTGCTAACGTTAGGCGATAGGAGGGTGGGCTCCTGCCCGTTTGCCAAACATCCTAGTAATTGCAGTTAGGCTTCGACGATACGCCCTGATGGTCAGCTCACAATGCTTACCGAATAGCTCATATACCGCCACAATTTCCAACAGCAAACGAGCACGCCACACACCGCTGACGGTACCAGGTTTCGAATGAGGACTTCGAGCCAGCAAGACAGCGGGACCTCCTCGCATGTGAATTAACGACTTGGCCAAATTAAGGGTCGCAGCCCAATTCTGCCCGGCGGAAAAGATCTAACTCATCGTTGAGCATCGCGTCTAGATGGCGAAACGACCACTCACGTCAATGAGTACTATGGCGACCGCGGCCCCCAACGCGACGTCACTCTGGAGACCGTCCGAGGTCGAACACGCAGCAGCAAGTAGACGCTTCGATTTGTTGCGGAACGAGAGAGCGAGTTGCATCGCTTCATCTGCGCCACGCTGGCCGACACGCGAAAACATGAATGATTGGTGGACGGCGGCAGTACCCAACAGTGCCATTCGTAACGATTCTACGGCTGAGTCGGACCCACCGACGTGGTCGAAGACAAACTGGAGGTTGGCAGCCACAACTGGATTCTCATGCGGAAAGGCCATTATGATGCTCATTGCGTTGTCGCAGTAGTGACGGATCTTCAGTAAAAAGAAAACAAATGGATTCATTGATATCTAACGTTGTGAACATTAGGCAAAGATTGCCCCACCAAGGTTCTCTCCTGGACCGACGTGAACTAGACGTACTCCACGGTAAGTCGATACGGTGTTGCTATATACAGCTGACTCACATAGGGTTCCAGGGGGTCGGGTTGCATCAGCGGAGCTGGCCACGATGGAGTATTAGATGACACATCTATGTGTCGTTGAGAGGAGAAATGGCCATGATGTGGGGTAGCGCGCGGAAGAACAAGTGAGGGCGTCTGCATGTGGTGAGAGTTGACAGGATAAGCGCTGTGGTATGATTGATGCGCGGAATATGATGTAGAGAACTCAGGGATTGCCGGAAGCATCTGGGTATGTGCGCTAGGATGTAGGGGGTATGCATGTGAAGGGGCAGATGAGGAGATTAGACTATGAAAAGAGGTCAGCAACAAGTGGCAGAGCGAGGCAAAACTGACCAACCTTGTGCGACGGGCTGCTGAAGCATCAGTGGCTACGGTGGGTAACTGCAACATCGGCTCGCTGACAAAAGTTCAGCGGGTCAGCTCGCATAGGATCAGGTAGAACCAACCTATGGCGACGTGAAGCAAGACTAGGTATATTGACCTCCATCGGCTCGCGCTTGGTAGGAGGGGTAATGTCGCGCGTGGGAGGGGTGGACGCGTCGGACACGCTAGACGATCCAGCTGTCGACGGTCTGATATCAAGGTTCATGTCTGCCGCAGGTTCCCTCTTCGAGGTAGGCTTCTTTCGAGCGGGCACGCCCTCGGGCCACGTGCACTAGATTTGTGCGATGGTCATGAGCTGCCTGTGAGAGTCTCGCGAAATGCATACCTCTCGTTGACCATGAACGCATCGCACGCAATTGGGCTTCGCCTCATCGCACTATAACAGTATAAGCCACAAGAACGCCGAAGGTGATATCAGATGCGAACCTTTATCTTCTTCGCCCTGCACGTCAGACATCCTGTCTTGCTACGGGTATATTTTGGGCGCTTCCTTTGTGCACCACTTTCTGGACGTGGAGAGGTCGTCATAGCGTGCATGTGCGTAGAATGATGGGACTGGGGGAAATAAGCGGGCGAGACGTAGTTGCTGGGCGACGAGCTGTAGGTGGCGTCTAAGTCCCAGGGTGACCTAGAGCAGTGAAATATGCAACTCACTAGTGTAAGGTGTCGGACATGACGCCGAAGGTATGGGAAAGGCTCTCCTGGGGAAGAGGACCGGTCGTCTGATCCATCCTTTAAAGTAGACTGTGTTCATGGGGGATGGCAGCAACACGGCAGCACGAGTTATGGCGGATCAGACATATCGGGGTTTGTCTCGATCCATATCTGAGGGTTGCGCGTGAATGTCGCAGATGTCCACAAAATTTCTGAGCATGGCGACGGAGGATAATTCTTTTTCGAGGTTTTCCTCCAGAATGATTTTGGAAGCAACGAGCTGCCACCGGCCATACGGGAATCTCCTTTCTCGTCTAATTTCGGTACAGTCCGCTCTGGGCAACTTATCTCCTGCGTATCTCCTATGGTCCGTCATGGTTCGGGATTCCCTTGTTCGTTCAGTGCTCTGGAAAATGCAAGACGTAATCACAACGCAGAAGCCTCTGACGAGAGGGATAAGATCCATCAAGCGGGCATTGGCATAACTCGGCAGCCCTTTCACACACTAGGTCAGGGCCGCTGACTTTGGTGTGAACGATCACGCCGAGATGTTCCGAGTCCGCAAGAACTCATGGCTGCCACGAGCGCTTCCTCGTGACATAGGGCATCGAGGATAAACGATTTGGATGACTCCCTTTTCGTCAATTTCTGGGAGACGTTTCATCGTGGGCTTGGTCAACTTAGCCATCACGGGCTACGTCAAGTAGAGAAGACTCCCTTTGATGAGCACGCTCGACGAGGCTGTACGCGGAGGCTCACGCAAATGAACTGATTAATGCCATCGGACGGCGCAGTCTCGAGGCAGCTGGACAACACGAGGCAGCTCGCGGAGAACAAGTCCATCGACTTCCCTAACGTGGAATGGAGGACTAATAGTCTTCTCATCCAGACTTGTCTGGAAAAGATGTCACGAGGATTATGATTAATGGAACGCCTTGCTTAGCTCACTTTCCCTGAAACATATCTGGACTGTAACACATACACCCACATGCTCGGGTAGCAGCATTCGCGGAATCCATTTGCAGCTACGAAATTAACAAAGGTAATGGCAGGCAGATCGCAGAAGACTGCCCCATCGCCTGTGCCTTGAAAGAATCATCATACATCATTTGCCAAGCGACCGCATCTCTACCTGCAGGCCACGGCTAAAGAACTGATCCACCAATACGATCAGGACCCCTGCAGAGTTCTTTCCACTGCTCTATCGACGTAGCAGGAATCGCATGGTGCGTTTATGATCTACTTCGCTGGCCAGAACCTCGTCAGAATATGCGATAGCGAGGACTATTACGTGAATCAAGTTCCGCGAGGGCGCAGCGTACGAGGGTGCCACTTACCTCAGACCCGGGGTTGCCAGTACAAGAGTCAACTCTGGCATATTTACATGAGGCGGGAGAAGGCTCGACATTCCAGACTGCAGGCATCAGTGGCTGGTTGTTCGGCGTTTTAAAGACTCGTGGAATTCGCCGAACCGTTTTACAAGTCGCCTGGCGTCACATCGCGTAACTGTCCATCTCTCACACAACGCATAACGAGATGTGGGCGGCGATCATAGCTCGCTTACCAGAATACCTACGAAGCTACAATTGGAAAGCACGCTCTGTCTGTCAGCGCGGCAGATGACGGATTTGATCCTACTCACTGCTATGTCAAGGTTTGGATGATATTGAAACCAGTATTGCTAGTTTTTCAACCTGGACCACTTAAGGGTCTGGAATTGTCGCAAGTTGACAATGCGACTTACAACTAGGTATTCGAGTAAGATAGCGAGCGTGGAATCCTGAGTATGAATGAGTCAGGGTCCTGTGTGAAGTCGAAGTGCTAGAGCCTGGTGGCGCCTTCCGGACATTGTATGAGGATCTCAAACTGTAGCGGTTGACACGTAATACCGTTATGCGGAGCTGGCCAGACCAATACAGCGCCGGCGGCGTCGCGCCCTTACAGCTCGTGCTGCGATAACGATACCTGTCAAGACTTCATCCAAGGTCCATAGAAGAATGTCAGCGCGGAGATCTCCACTACCTTGTGCTATCTGTGGTTGTTCGAGAAACACAAATATCAACAACAGGAATCAGAACGACTGAAACGTACATTTTGAATCACAAGCCCAGGAGATTGCAAGATCGTAGGCAATGATTCTTCCACCATGTACCTCCGCGCACGTCGTACTACCCCCATTAGGAGGCGCCTTTCACATCGAACGTAGACTTCTAGACAAGTAGCGTTCCCGCCAGCGGCCCGGCCGACGGGATTTCCTAACAGTTTCGGAATTCAGTGTGTAATTGCATCGACATGACCGAACCTTCGCGACTACGGCAAATTAGATGGACGTGCATGTCTCTCACGATCAATAATAAAACCGCACTGTAATCGGCGGTAGGAGCTACGTGGTGAGAGTCGTGAGACTCTTGACCGCAATATTGCGTTTGACAGTAATGATTAGAATGTCGCGCCAAAGCATTGGTTGTCTGTCATGTCCACAGACAGATTTCATTTAATTCGAGCGCTCTCATAGGGCCAAAAATGAAGAGGCGAGCGTAAAGTGATGTTGAACGTTGAATGTTGAGTTTGCGCGACAGCCACAAGAAAGCTTCGCGGAATCAAACTCTACCAGGATGTCGGTACCCGCTGGCTCGTCGCTTATCCCACCCAGTGCCGGCTTGTCAGCTCAATTGCCATTCTCTTTCAGAGCCCGTGCAGCTAAACAGCCTGTTTAGTCCGCTTAATGAAGAAACATCCGCTTTGCTCGGATTCTTCCATCCACGTTCAAGCTTGAAGGGCACTTCAATACCATACCCATTAACTTCCGGCGTGGTTGCCCCTGAAGGAGCAAGGTTCAAGCAGGGTCCTAGACACGAAGCTTTGGAGACACGTAGCTTGTGCAGCGATGTCGCGACACTTACCCAAGATGTAAAGCAGGAAGCTCTTCGCTGTAGGACCCTCCGTGCCTGCAGGGACTCGCATGGATTGCAACCGTTGTTCGTACGTACTACGACTGGTGGCTGGTAAATCGCGAAACAAGATTTGGTGACCAAAATCAAATGTCGTCTTGATGCACTCAAGACGTCCCGTATTATGTGCGGTCGCACTGGAACCTGTCCATTGGCCACAGAAATGGGGCAAGACAGTAGCAATTGCGGTGAGTGTGTTGCTCTACTTGTGTCCAGTCCACTTGCTGCAGCAACATACTCAGCAGTCACAGCATCGCGTGTTTACATTGAAATGCATATAGCTGCCGTACGCTTGCCTTCTTTTTAGCCTCTTCAGCAGGAATGAGGTTGAGGCACCGCATTGCTCACAGTATGATACCTGTCCCGCCCATTATTCCCGGCGGCCTTGTCTGTCATATGACATGCTGGGACGCGACCGTTGTCTTGGTGCCGCCCACGGGGACATATCCGGTGACTTATGTGGAATGAGGTTATCAACCACGAACAAATCGTCTTGGGCTCTATCTCTTAGTGCCGCAGCCGGTCTCCATTGAAGCGCTAGTTTTGACAGAATGTCCATTAGTTCGGATTGCACTCAACAACGGCAACTTCAAACGCCGTGCACTGGTAAGGGTCAGTCTCGCCCCTTCAGCGACCGATGCACCCGGGGACGGACCCACCATGTTTCCTCATCATCTTACGAGAAATGAGTCATCACTCCGTATACTCCCACCCCAGGCGCTTCTGGCTACCTTGCTAAGGTGAGACGGTGCAACGGTGCCGCGCATTTTGCGCATGCGTCTCATCAGCGGCAGCTGCGCTACTGAGCATATGACCGTGTTTCGGGCATCATACGTGCATCAAGGCCTTCCAGAGGCAGTGATGATAGAGTCTCACGCCAAACTACTCACCGAACACCGTGCGCAAGTGGAGGTGTTATCCCCGTACATGTTGCTGACCTCGTGTGGTCATTCCTCCGGTCGTGGTCGGAAAAGCGCCTCGTTCAGCCACATGTGGACATGACCAAGCTCCAGAGGCATCGACGGACCACATATTTGTTCTCGTAATGTCTTCTTAACAATGATGCATACTGTATGGCGCATTAAGAATATCACTTGGGAATGTGATGCGCGCTTCGAGTCCCGTGAAGGCGTGGACGGAATTGTCCCATAAATCCGACGTGTATGACATATGTGACAGCGTGAAGAGCACTAAGCGCGGGGTCTGTTACTCGCGGCGGGAGAAGATTATTGTTTCATTCATTTCCATCATAACAACCCACACATAGTACACCATTAATGTACAGAGATGCAATATCACTTGAGATGATCTGCCATCAGCGGAGCCGAAAGACTTGTTGATCGTCGCAATTCCCAACGGTCACCATATGCATGTAAGCGCCGGTGAGCTGTCGATCGCGGAAGCTGCGGCTACCAGGAACGCCAACGTAATCACGCCTTCACAAAGAGGTCGGTGAACTTGTCGACCGGCAATTTGAAGAAATTCGCCTTGTCTTCCACGATCTCCAGGATCCTGAGACACAAGTCGTCAGCAGGCTGAGACGGCATAACAGAAGGAACAATCACGAACTTCTTTTGGTGGGCCACGTCGAAGTGTGGTCCGATGTGGTTCTTGAACTTCTGCATCAGGAGCGGCGTGCCCTCTGCACGGCGGCGCTTGTGGCCAACCGGATATTCAACCTCGACCTCGTCCAGTACGGTGCCATCGTTGAGCGTGACCAGCAGAGCATTCGAGATCGAGCGCTTGCTGGGATCATGGTAGTCGACGCTGTACCGCTTCTCCTCGACACAGGTAATCTTCGCGCGGAGCGCATCAATGCGAGGATCGGCGGCTGCCGCATCGATGTATGACTCGGAAGTCAACTTGCCGAAGATCAGGGGATAGGCGACCATGTAGTTGATATCGTGGCTAGTCATCAACTATTAGTCCTACAAGCCAACACGCTTAGCAGGCGTCAAGAACTCACTCTCGGTCAGCGAAATTGTCCAAAGGACCCTTCTTGTTGATGATGCGCATCGCGGCTTCCTGAGTCCTGATGCGGATGCTCTTGATGTCATCGCTGGTCTTACCGATCGCCTTCAGCTTGTTGTGGAGAATGTGGGCGGCTTCCACCGCAGTCTGTGCGTGGAACTCCGCCGGATACGAGATCTTGAAGAGGACATTCTCCATGATATACGTGCCGTACGGCATCTGGAACTCGAAAGGCTTGCCCTACATGAGCCCGATAACGTGATGGAATCGATATTGTTAGAAAATCCCACGTAGCAAATGCGGCTATCTCACTTTGAAGAGGACGTCGTAGAAACCCCACGTCTTGGCAGTGAGGACCGAGGGCATGCCCTTCTCGCCCTTCTTCACTAGATAGGCGAGATTTACAGCGCGCGAGCACGCGTCACCAGCGGCCCACGACTTGCGGGAGCCCGTGTTTGGCGCATGTCGATAGGTACGCAGGGATTGACCATCTGCCCATGCTTGGGAAATAGCATCGATAGTCTGCTCACGGTTCAGGCCGCTGATTCGTCGTCAGTGAGACACGTGTGGTTCCGCATGCTAGAAGCTGATACTCACAGAAGCTTGGACACGACCGCAGTGCTGGCGACCTTCACAAGAACCACATGGTCAAGACCCACGCGGTTGAAGGAATTGAGGAGGGCAATGCCGCCCTGTATCTCATGCGCCTTGATCATCCCCTCAAGAATGTCACGCACAGTCAGCGGCTCCCCCTTGCGCGCAAGGTGGTCGGCGACGGCGAGGATGGCACCAAGGTTGTCCGATGGGTGACCCCATTCCGCAGCAAGGAAGCAGTCATTGAAGTCGAGCCAGCGGATCTGGGTGCCGATGTTGAACGCTCCGCGGATAGGATCGACCTGATATTTGGTACCAGGAACTCGTGTGCCTTGCATTGACACTTAGAGTCATGGAACGTGCGTATGGAAATTACAACTTGGCGTACCGTTCGGGACAATCGTGCCGTCGACCACGGGACCCATCAACCTCGCACATTCTTCAAATCGAAGGCCCTCCAGTCCACACCCGATCGTGTCAATCAAGCAGAGCCTTGCGGTCTCAAATGCTAAATCCGACTCGATCTTGTAGTTGTGAACGTAGTCCGCAATATCTTGGAGCACTTTATCGGGCTCTGGACGGACGGCAGACTCGGCGTGGCTGGACATGCTACGGGCAGTGTGAGGAATGGACCTGTAAACAGATGCCGAAATCGGGAGAGATGCTCGATGGATTAGCGGAGTTCTGAACGACGAGACGGTCGAGAGAGCAGCAACTTGGACACGAGAGACAGATGCTCTGGTGCCGATAGCCCTGGGGATTGAGATACGAGTCGTAGACAGCATCTGACGGAGAGCAGATCACGCAGGAGACAGGAATGCCGATGAGGACGTCGCACGCGCGCGCATATATGTGTCGGTCTCGGTGTCGTTCGTTGCCGGTCGAGATGCTTGAGTCGGATATGCAGCTGTCCCAGACGGGTGAAGGTTCACGAGCGGGCGTAGAGGACAACTTTCGAGGGGCAGCGACCAGGCCCTGGCAAGCCACACGTGCCAGTGCGGGGATGCGGGGTGCGCTGATCCCCCCGGGGCGCGACCCCGCCCTCCGCCAAAGTTCTTCCTCCTTCATCCGTTTCATCCCATCAACGTTCGACGGGCTGCAGAAGCGATCCCTTGCTCTCGCCCGCATCCTTTCCCAGCTGTGTTCTCGCTGGCGCATGCGATTTCCGGTTCCTGCGTTTACCGGCACGCTCACGTGCTCCAGCCAGCAAGTGCCTCCTCGAGGAATTTGAAGCTGAGCTACCTTGGCGTTTGCAATCATCATCACCTCCTGCTCCGGGGTTCGCTGTTTCTAGTTTCGACGCGCACTATCGTCGCATCTTACACGTAATAAATGAGTCTGCTTGGGCAAGGTCAGGCCCATGAATCGCATCTCGGGCCCGCCTCCGAGGGCATCAGCATCGCCAATTTCCTTCACTCGGCGGAAGAATTGCATGTGGAACATCCTCCTTCGCAATTACCCAGCCCTGGGGTAGCTCCCTCGAGTGCCACGCAGCACATCTCTGCGGAGCAGGCCGCGATAGCCGCAGAATGTAGGTGCGTGTTTTAAATTAATCGCGACGAAAAGGCAGGACATTCGTGGATGAACGTGCGAGGAGAGCGAATCTGCGTTGGCATTATCAGGCGCTGGCTAGATGTGTCAAGAGACAGTCTGTTCTGTGAGCTCGCACGACCTAGGTTGCATTGGCTGAATTCTCCGATGGTTGGGCTCTCAGATGACAAAAGCTGTTGGACACCGATTGGCGCATTTGCTTAACGCTGCCTCATTCCCCATGCTTCCCTGCTTCTCCTGATTAATCCGCACATTCGCGGCTCACGGTTGCATCGCGCAGGACAGTGTCGACGATCTGCGAGATTCCCTGAATGCTGTTCTCATCGATCCGAGGCTCATGGCCAACGTCACACGGACACACCAGGCTGCGGTGCACTCAATTTACGAAACTGCAGACACATCAAATCGCCGTAAGCGACGTAAGGTCACTCTTCCTGAGCCGACAGAGGAGCCCGTTCAGGCCCAGATGCTCAGAACGATGATGGACAGCATTCCGTTGAAGAGCTGGCCGTAAGCCCGCAGCATCTAGTGACCTCGGCTTCTACTGACCCCCGGGGTAACCTGCAGGCTGACGCTGCACGCCGCGTCGTTCATTCGACCGCCGAAGCACTCAGACCGCAACACGTTGAATCGTTCGGTTCGTGGTCGTATCGCATGCCGTACAATGTGTAATTCACAGAATCTCGCCATATCGTAGAAGCAATTCCGCGTTGGCTCCACGACTTCGACCACGCACCAGGCGCTGATTTTCATCACGATTTTGAACAAACTCTCGTGGGGACACCGGCAGCTTTTCCGTTCATCACAGCATGTTCTCCTCTCCTCCCAGACCCTCGGTGAACTATCTGACGTGATCCCATGCACATCAAACGAGCTTCCCAGAGAACTGCCGGATACACCGACGGAGCGCACTAGATACGAGCTTCCCACGGGGAGTGCCGCAGCCGCGCGAGAAACAAATCTGGGGTGCGCCATATGCATCGACGAAACCGTCTACGGCGACGGAAATAGTACAGATGATTATTCCGAGTCAGCTTGTTTGTGTGCATCGTTCAGTGTAACCAACTAACGTCGCCTCGCACGATTTGCCAGCAAACTACTCCCACTGCTCCGCAGGCGGGTGGAGGAGCCAGTTAGCGGCGTATCGTATCGGAAGGGCGCATCCATTCGTGAAACGACATTCGCATCGTTGTCGCTGCAACTGCACAAGCCCTACTGGATGCTACACTCCGGCAACTGCGAACACTACTTTTTGATCGATCAAATCAGGTTCTTCGTTTTCATCATCACGTTTCATAAATCAATAAGACACGCTAACCTACATTTGATATGCAGACTCCTGCATGCATCCGATCCGCCGCCCACGGCATATCCGCTCTCGACTCACATCACACCGCCGCTCCTCGACCTCTGTCGCGCATGCAGCAAGGTGCCTGCTGTGTATGCGATCAACGGCGATATACGCTTCGGCGAGACGCCGTTCGTGATATGCGGGCCTTGCTGGCGATGGATGGGTCCGCCGCGCGGTGCGGGCGCGGAGAATGTCGTGGTGGTTCCGTTGCCGAGGCATGAGCGCGGATGGGGAGGCTGAAATCGAAGTCTTGTACCTTTAGTGTTGGTGTGCCAACGATTGGAAGTCAGAGATTTCCTCCAAAAGTTTCTTCTATTGTTCGCAAGTGTAGACGCCCGTGGCTCACGTGGACTAGACGCTCGTTAGATGTTGGCAGGGTGGCTTAGGGTAGTGGCTTTCACCAGCACGTCTCTGCGACTCAGTCGAACATTTGCCGCAATCTATTTATCTGAACCGTTTCCTCAATCTGTATCTCAGTGAGCCTGATGCTAGTGTGCTATTAATCCGACTTGGGCCATTAAAAATTGCACAGCACGCAATGGACACCGCGTCGCACCTTAGCGTGATCGTAGACTTGTCGCCAACTCAATGGTATCTCTCCTCAAAGACTGCAGATGCCAATCCATATCCGCTATCTCTGGATACCTTTTTCTCACAACTATTTGTGTTCCTGAACTCGCATATCGCCTGCAAAGATGAGAATACGCTTACTGTGTATGGTGCGTTGCCGGGACGCAGGTGTGTCTCCCTGCCCTGTTATGGATGCAGTAATCATTAAACATGGATGTGGGTGGCGGATGGACACAGCATCCTTCTCTACTCATCAACAGGTGAAGCAAAAGCCGACCAGGATGTTGTGGCGGATGCGAACACGTACAGGCCGTTCAATGTGCTGGATTCAACTATCATGAAGTCGTTAGCGGATTATGTACAGCTTTTGGGCGTATCTGAGACCGAAAGTATAGCTACTTTGCTTCAGTGTGTTAACCGAGAGCCAGCTTACCGTTCATTAGCACCAATCGGTCTCGTAGGTGCTCTCACCAAATCCTTGTGTTGTGAGTTGTCAAGCGGCTCGCTCTCTCCTACTTCAGCACCGTGTCGAATTGACTGCTTATAGACATCAATCGCATTAGCATGATTTCCGCGCAAAATGAACAACACGTCGGACTCGACCCAAGGATCCTCGTACTGTCTGTCTCACCCGATCAGTCGTCGTCGTATATTCCAATCATGAACTCTATTTTCTCGGCGCAGAAGCTGGTCCGAAACAACGCGTATAGATTTTACTGCGGAATGCTGATATGTCATATAGAAAGTGACGGTAGACGTCTGCAAGATATACGGGCCGAACAGCGTTTTCTTACAACAAGCCGCTCATCTCACTGGCGGCTCATATGTCCACCTTGACCACCCAAATGCTTTGTTACAATATCTTACAGTCAAACGCCTTTCCTATTTTGAGCGCTGCACTTGCTCACGGCGTGCTTTGCTTCCCGCAGATGTCCTTCTTACCGCCACCCGGTATCCGCCAGCTATTATCAGTCCCTACGCAAGATAAGATCGACTTCAGGGCCGCATGTTTTTGTCACAAGCGCATCGTCGACATAGGTTTCGTATGCTCCGTCTGTTTGTCAAGTGAGCCCCTGTCCAGGTGTTTGGAGTCGGCGGAATACTCACAACGTTGGTACCTCATCAGTCTTCTGTCAACCAGTCCCTGTGTGTTCCACGTGCCGGCAAGTCTCAGTTTCCATCTCTTTCTGGAAAGTTTCCCATTCGGAACTACGGCCGTTTGCTCTGTCGCGGCATGCCAGTGCGAGACTTCTCGATTTCAGCCTGCCAGGCATTAGTGTGGGAGTGTGCAGACTGAATTGGCCATTTCGTTATGCAATTCAGCCATTGGATTCAAGAAGATGCTCAGCTGTTCCTCTGTATCTTTCGGTGCTAATGCTCCATTATTGTCTAGGACTAAATTCCCCATCAAGACCCTGCAGCGCCTGAATGCAGCTCGGCCGATGCCAGTTGCATCGATGGATCCGTCTGCTCCTTCACTTCCATCGTCCACTTCGATCAGGGTAAATGCGGCAAACGGGAACGGCGTACGCCTGAACGGCGCACAGCGCTAATTCTCGACCTGATGATAGGTAATAATATCCACCCTCGTTCATGATAGGGTCAGCCGTTTTACGTTTTGCTAGAACTTCGTGCAGTTGCGTTCTTGGTACATCGAGGTGCCATCGCCTATGAAGAATCCCTTTGAACTAAGCGATACCGTTGCCTGTTAAGTGTATGGAAAATTTAATGTCCACAAGGCCCGGTCGTCCATGACACCTTGACTGCCCGTAGGGTGTACCCTCTCAGGGTACGTCCGGCCGGGAAAGCTATAGCTGAAGGCACCCATCAAGAGCCAGCATGTACCGTCGGCTCCTACTTACCATATTTGATCGATGACAAGGAAGCTGGATAACGCCGAAATGAGATGCATCCGCTGGGAATCCGAACGAAGTTCAAGTTCAGATCGAAGTTTGAGCGCATCAGCTTCTTTGGAATTCCTCCGCATCCAAAATCTGATAGGCATGCCGGCACAGTGTACTCAGCACCGTAGTTCTAATGAGTGCTTTGGGGCGACATTAGAGGCTCGGTCAACAACGACGTATGAACTAAAAAACATTCAGGCCCTTGTCAAAGGCAATGCGGTGATGTAGAACGGTCTTCCATTGATGCGATCCGCAGAACTCCGCCGTAACACTAGCGCCTGCAACGCGTCACAGAATGATTGATGCCTAAATGTCTGGATCTGATGAGCAAAAGTATCGCACCTTTGGTCTTGGGTCTAATGAAGATGCATAGGCAATAGCCATACTTTCCGTTGTAAATGCACACCACAATCGAGCTATTCGAAATTTGAGACGGACCATCGGCTTCAAGAATAATGCCGGTACAGTCAGACTTACGTATAATCCTATGGTCGTGCATATCACGTTCCTTCACCAGCAGCAGCAGCCCTGTCTCAGCTTCACGGATCTCTTCACCGGCGCGGACCGCTTTCCGTCAAGTCAATTGCCGTGGTAATATGCAGAGTAGAGAGCGCTTGCCATTCAATCGGTCCGCCAGAATAGATTGGACTACGGCGTGGGTGCGGTCCCCTTCTGACGTTTCCAGCGCGTCACATATAGTTTTTGCCAGCGCGGCACGGATAATATCTTCGCCGGCTCCTACACACGGATTAGCGCGGCCCGCAAGACGATGAGCGCAGAATGATCGCGACCAGAAACACTGCACGTCACGCCGCCAATGGTCTCACTTGAGCACTCCCTGGCCCAGCAGCCCGCACCGTACACCGCAGCCTGGTTGTTAGGAAGAGAGGTGTCATGTATGTACTTGACGCCAGTTGGAATGATGTGATGATACCTCACCGATCCGACCGGAGTGTTTCAGCAACAGACCGCCGCTATATTGTGAGCGGGGAGGAAGATGAGAACAGCCGGAGACGGCGAGAGCCAAAGTTACCTAGATACCCCTGCAGCGAGCGTTTTTCCGGAGTCCCATGAGACAGCGCCAACCGTATCTTGCTTCTGACGCAGGTCAGAAGACACGGCATGCCGGTCGCCAGCTGAGGTTGCGGCTCCCATCTGAACGGCATCTTTCTGCGACGATAATGCAGAATCGAGGGCCGTCTTCCACTTGATCCATTCCTGCTGAGGGCGGGGAGCGATCATGGATGCCGCAGGCACGTCCGGCAACCCTCGCGATCTCGCGAAGCTAAGCGCTCCGTCGCCAACCAGTATCCTTGCGAACGCGTCAATAAGCGACGAAGATGTAGGAGCGATGTGCCACAAACATTGGCGCTATGCGGCCAAGGGGATCAGGTACAGAGGAATACTCAAGGACCGCTCGCGCTCCTTCAATGGGATGCGGGAAACCTAGCGGGTATATCGTGTTGCAGCTGACATGATATCCAGCTGTAATCTTAAGGAGACGAACGGACCAGAAATTGCACCGACACTGCCGTAGTTTCCAGTGCTGCCGTCCATGATGGATGCGTCGCATTCAACCTTACCGTCTATCGTCAAGTTCGACCCATATCCTGCATCCCAACTTCAGCAACCTGGTGCAGATGGAGCAAGCAAGCATATGCTGCGATGACCTGCATTGAGACACTCCGCGTCTTCCAAGGCAGTTATGGCCACTTCTACTGCATCAAGGGAGGGCCTTCCTTCCTGAAGCTTCAACAGCGCTTTCCGACAAGCCCTAGCTTGGAGTAGCAGCAACAGATGAGACTGAAGAGCACAACAGCCTGAGGCCCAAGACGCACAGCTTGAGAGATCTCTTCACTTCCGCCTCTGTAGATCTGGGATGCACGCCGGCACCACCGTGGACAGCGATCATGTAAAATCTCTCGGACATCGGGAAGTGGTTGGCCACAAATGTCAACAGCCGGTGTGTGTGCGGATGATAGCAAAGCCAAGCGTTAAAAGCTTGTAATGTTCGGGATTTGCTTGGACAGACTTGGGTCTCGGACAAGGCGCGAACCTAAGCCTATTCTAGCCGATTAGCCACAAAATAAATATGAACAAACATTGCGGTCGCGTCCGCGTAGTACGTTGCCACAGGCGCGTCTTCCCACACGCGACCTCGGCTCTCGCTAACGTTTCTCGCGAGAGGCACAACACCATCGGCAATCTCTCCTATCGTGACGCGGAGTAAGGAAACATATCTCTACGGGAGCGTTCTTCGGTATGCCGCATCATATTGCTGTTCTTCCGGAAGGTATGTGTTGTTTCCTGTGGATTATGAAACCGCTGAATAGTGAGCTCTGCTGTCTGCTAAGGCGTGATCTCTGCATTGGTGGGTCAATTGAATGCTTGTAATGGAGGATTTGGAGCAAGAGAGCGACGTTTCCTGATGCTACCGCATCCACGCACAGGTGAATAGTTTCTATGTGAATCTGTGTCGCTTCATTCCGCTCACGCTGACTGCCAAGGTCTTCCAACTCTATTCTTGCCCGTTCTTTCCGAGAATAACGCGAAGGATGAGATTCTCGAAGTGCAAGCAATCTCACCTTCGAAACCGCGCTCATGGTTCATGCCTGAAGGTGAGGTGGTAGATGGTGCGTCAAGTCAGTATCTACAGTATGCCATTGTTTTGATGTGTGCTGTATAAGATGGAAAGCTGCTCCTGCTGACTCCCATCGACCCTTCATTCCTGTTGATATCTGTTCTCCAATCCACTCAACCGGTAAGCAACCACGAAACTGCATCGAGAAGCTAATTAACTACGACATCATGCATCCAGACGGACGGGTCGTCTGGAAATTATCGGTCATTGGACGATATCTTCGAGGATGCTGCCTCCAAAATAGCGGAGGCACAGCCCCGAAGCCTTGAACAGGCAGCATCGTGCTCGGTCGATGACATTCTTCAGCTCATGTCGCTAGCATGCATACAGAACGCTATGAGATGTATCTGTAAATTTAAGAGTACGTCGACGATTGATCAAGTTGTTGTCCCGTCTGATAGGCTTGCACAGAGGTCGCAACAGACATCATAGTCTATAGATATTCACACGAAAAGGCGATTGAATATCTCCACACCAAAGTCGCCCGTTTAGCGAAGCCAGAGATATGTGAAGTCTCGAAGACCGTAATCCGGCAGTTGGCGAAGGACGGCTTGATGGATGACGAGAAGGAAACTCTGCTCCATTGTGAGTACCATTGTAATTCCATGGTTCACAGTGCCTAACGGAGTACGTGCAGCTGCAAGAGTCAAAGCTGCCTGCGACTTAGTTTCACAATACATCTCGCCTGAAACTTACTCTTCGTTGCTTGCGAAATTCGAGTTAGTCTGAATCGTCCTCTTCGATGCGCTGAATTCGTAGCTAATGAAATTCTTATAGCTTTGCTGAGTTACAATCATATCTGCAAGCCATTCAGACCGAACAAGCGGCCGCAGCAGCTGAGGCAACGAATAGCGGGAATGCGAAGAAAAGCAAGAGCAAGAATGGCGATACAGCTGAGAAGAAACGCAAGGCGCAGAGTAAAGCTTCGCAAGGAGTCGAGAAGCTGAAGAAAGCGAATGTTAAGGGAATGGCGAAGATCTCGAGCTTCTTCCAGAAACCTGATCAATGAATCGGTGAAAGAGACCGAGTTGTTCGTACCCAGAGACTGTCCACACATATACCACAGCACATAGTCTACGAGTGGAACGAGGGAAATGCAAGTAGTATATGTATACACCATTTATGCAGTCGACTTCACGTGCTATGCGACAGCGCGCACGCGTGACGAACGCGTCCGTCGCTGTCAGACGGATTGAGACTCCGCCAGTTCGCGCTTTCTCCTGAACGTTCATCTTCCGACGCGCTCCTTCCAAGTCCAAATCCCCTTCTTCATCCATGGAAAAGACATCGACGTTGGAAGGGCGAGACATGAAGCAATACGTGGAGCGCGGCGTTCAGACCGAGCCGACTTTCACGTCCTATCCGACCGAACCATCATCCTTGATCCACAACGATCCGTTCAAGGACGATGCCCCACTGTCTCCAGGAAAGGTTCCGTCCTCATCTCCATATTGCTCTCCGACATCGGCACAATCCGAGGGCGAGTATAGCCTCCTGCTCGAAGAGCACTTGGACATGTTCAGCACAACTCGCTCGACTTCGGCTGCCGTACGCACACTACAGGACAAGTTATCGATTGGCAGATATCCACGCCCAAGCTCTCACAAGCCTCCGGCCCCAAGAATCGTGTCACTACCAGAGACTGTACCTGAGTATTCTGCGAAGGCAGCCATGGAGAAGACTACCATTCGCGTAGTGTCGATGCCTCTACCAGTCCAAGGCGACTGTTCTTTTCAATCAAATGACATCGACCATATCGGGTTGTCGTTCACATCTGACACCGAAGAGCAGAATCGGGTGCGCGTACCATCGCATGCCTCGGAACTGCCGCATACGCCGTCACCTCCATCGTCCCCCGAATCCGTAGTAATCATAGCGAATAAGGACCAGCTCGCAGAGGGCTTCCTGCGCGGCCCCCATGTTTCTGATTGTTTTGCACATGCAGACGATGAAGGTTTGGCGTACGCCTTATCAGCAATTCAGAGTTAAACTCACGAGAGCTATCACAGAATGGGTCGCTTGGGCGAAGTCCCCTCCGCGTCCCATACCGGCCCTACATGGCCCGTTATCACTTCCATACGCTCGTTGTCCATCGTGCGTACTCTCTATCCATTGATGGATTGCAGCTCAAATCTACGTGTAGCGGAGCAGAAGGAACTGTGATAGAAGAGCAAGACAATCTTCCTCGTATTATATGGGGTTTGGAGGGAGAAGACCATGCTTCGTATCGTTCTCGCTCCGAGAATGTTGATGTTAATGTGCCTGCGCAGGCGCTTACGCAACCGGTATCCCAAGCAAAGCATCCCGCGGTTCCGCCCAGATTGCAGAAACCAAAGTTTGAAACAAACACGCTGCCACGACCGCGTTTTTTGCCCGCCGGAGGCAAAACGCAGACCGTTCGGGTTGAGCCGCCGCAAGACGCTATCGGCTATCCTCTGCGTGGTCAAGAGCCTATTGACCTCACCAAGCTAATGCACGGCGAGCCGGACACTTGGTACGGCGACTATCACCATCAGCTAGACTACTTGAACAAGCAAACTATGGGAACTTCCAATGCCGGTTCTAGGGTTGACCGTCTGCGCGACCAACAGATACTCGACTGGCAGATGGCGCTCATGACTCCGGAGTCACTGCAAGATGCTGGGCATTTGACTAGTATTTCTCTATCAGCCAATGAATTTGGCGGCGACTTGCAGTCTAATGCAACATTGGGATCTCTTTCGTCTCGTCGGAACGTAGACTTGCCTCGGAACGGCGATTTTCTTGAATCTTCTGGCCGGCATGTGCAATCTGTTCAGCGCGCTCCGTCTCATCGTCTGTCTGCTTTGGATATTGCTCAGCAATACCGCCAGCAACAACTTCAGCAGCAGCAGAGTTTGCTGCCAACCCCGCCGAACTCCTCGTCGCCCAGATGGTCCTCTAGCTTCTCTCCATACCAAGGCTCTTCGCTGTCACCTGAATTGTTAGCCGCATCTAGTCTGCCAAAATCATCGCCTAATCTCTTCCAGCCACGCAGTGCTATATCTCGTCAAGAGCGTCCTTTGCATACTCGTGCGACGGCTCTTGAAATATCCAACAACCTGGGCATACTGGGCAACTCTGTTGATCTGGCTCTGCTATCTGCGCTTCCTCAAAGCAAGTCCTTTGCAAATGGTTCTGAGCCTCGCTCTGCTTACCCCTCTGATGGTCTTCCTGCTATTTCTCTCTCGGTTTATGCGCAAGGCCAACGAATACAGCAGTCAAACATGATCCGACCCACGAAGCAAGCGGAAAGGTCTCTTGCGCAACCGAGGCCTCCCCCGAACACTCCGCTCACCTCCATGAGACTGCGTGGACCCATTGTCGCAAACAGATCTTCACGCTCACCGGCGACTGCAGTTCTGCCTTCGCCTATGTCTACGAACCTGCACATACGCAGTCTAAGCCATCAGCAGACACGCTCAATACCTCTTGCTCGTCTGATTCAACGGCGGCTGTCGTCAGTTCAAGAGGAGGATACGACTATCACTTCCATTCAAGGATCGCACGCCATCCAAGCCTCTTTCGGGCAGTCTCGTACTCGCAGTCGCTCCTCAGAGGAACCTATCGGTCACACAGCAAGAGTTCCTCAGGTGCATGCTCTCTCGTCGCCTAAGAGTCCGCTTCACGATAGTGGTAGACAATTGAGAGAAGCAACTATCAAGCTCGCCACCAACAAGCAGAATCATGCCGTACTGTGCGATGCATTGGGCGAAGGCACGTCGCGGCGAGAAGATCCTAAAGAGATTTCTTCGAGAAGCCACGACAACAGTAAAGGAAGGGGCAGAGGCCGAGGTGGGAGGGGGCGGAGAGGTAGGGGCGGGCAAGAAGGTGCCCGTGTCATCAACCGTCCTGAAAGAGTTGACGGTGGATTGGTAGTGAATACCTAAGGTTCGGTCAATGGATTATATCGCATGCACAGCTGACACTATTATGCAGCATTCCAAGTTCTTCACAGCATCCTTCGTCGACACCTCCCAACCGGATACCCTTTTTCGATCTCGTCGCCTCGTAGAACGCTTTCTTGCATTGCACACTTTCATTCTCCATGTATAAAGGACCTCTGTTGAGCTGTGACGGAAAATCGTTAAATTTCAATCCTCGTGTTTTATCCTGCATGAGACGGACATTATGGAAGTCGTCGAGATGTATAAGTAGTCAGAAATAACCTCGCAATGAATTGAAGAAAATTCCAGCCATTCGCACACGATCGCCTACAAGAGTAAACCAGCATTACAGAAACGTAGTACATGTGTGGATACTCATATGCATTCAACGGAGTCCGACATCCTTATCCTAATCAAGCCAGGCGCAATGCCGCGCCGTTCCTCTTCGCTGCAGCACCTTCCATCCTAATCCAATCCCCTCGCGCGCCATGCCCAATTCTATGCACAATAAAAGATACGGAAAAATGGGATCGATTGTATGTAGCGTGCATGTGTAGCGCGCGATAGTAATTTTTGGATATGCGTTCGTGCCGAGAGGAGAGTAAATAGATTAGACAGTCATACGGAGATGAAACGAAGCAGACAGCGAGAACTAGCGTGGGCAGATGAGATCGAGTGCGAGATGGAGGAGCGAGACGATCATGGCAATACAAGCGCCCGAGGAGAATCCATGGTGACAAGGCTATTCCTTCATGTTTGCGCAGGGGCGGAGTCTTGTCCTAAGGAGAGTGTGGCCATCGACGCATCAAGCGATGTCTGCTCACTACGGCTTGAACCTGGTCGCGAAGAGCTGCAGGACCGCGAGGGTACATCAGTACCTCGACCTATTCCGAGCCCGCACGAGAAAGGAAACAGCGAGTAGTAGGTACGACTCACGTGTCGCCCGACTTCCTGCTTTTTCGCCAACCCCACACCTTGCGTATCCACGATGCCATGTTGACCTCGTGCTGCATGACGTTCTTGATCCATGGGTGGTCGAGCAGTTGGCTCGGCGTCGGGCGCAGCGTAGGATTTCGCGTCAGCCTGTGGTTCAGGAACCGAGAGCGTGAGATCCAGGATATTTATAATTTGAACGGCAGAAGCACGATGACGGGGACTTACGCTGCCCGAACGAAGTCCTTCATCTCGGCGCTCCAGGTGATATCTTCCTCATCCTCTAATTCAGGCGGCTGCAATGTGGGAAGGATAGGCGTCAGAATGCCAGAAGCAAACGAAGACACTGCGGCAGAAGCTCGCCGAATGAGCGTCCTACCTCATACTGAGTAATGTACATCATGAGTTCGATCGCGGCGAGATCAGTGGGGAAAGGGAAGCGGTTCTGGACCAGCTCGAGCAAGGAGATGCCCGTAGACCAGACGTCCGATCTTATTGTATATTCTGCGCCCTGCATTCGCTCCGGCTGTGGACAGATAAGTCAGGATATGGCATGTCTCGCGCAGAAGCAGCATCAAGGGGCACCCACGGCCATGTAGAGGCTTGTGCCAGTGAACGTGCCGGCGATCGAGTTGACAAGTTCACCCGAAACGCCAAAGTCGGCCAGCTTGACGACGCCATCGCGTGAGAGGAGGATGTTCGGCGGCTTGATGTCGCGGTGGATGGTTTTTTGCTTGTGAAGATACGCGAGGCCCTGCAGGATCTGCGGCACGTATCAGCATCAACAAGCGTCGCCAAGCAGGACGATGGAGCGATAGCGCGCACCCCCTCAGCAAGCCGCCCTGCAACCTTCTCACCCACGCGTCCACCAATCTCTTTCATACGTTTGCCGACAGACTCGAGGCTGCCGCCCTCGCAGAACTCCATGAGGACCTTGACCTCGCTGGAGGACGGCGAGATGTACGCGCCATAGAAATGAATGATGTTGAAGTGAGATGTGGTGGATGTGATCTTGATCTCGCGAATGAGCTGTTTCATGGGAGCCTCGAGCGTGGTGATTGTCTTGCGGGCCATGATCTTGCCCGTGCGTTTGTCGCGGACTTTGTACACGGCACCGCCTGCGCCCTCACCGAGGCGGCTGAGCTCCTCGAAGTTGTCATCAGTGTAGTGCTCGAATTCTTCGACCGTTCGGCGGATGTTCTCTATGGAGACGATGCCGCTTGGCGGGCGGGCCTGCGGAGAGATGGTCTGGTCAGGCCGGACGGTGCGCTCGCCGGGCGAGTCGGTATTCGTGCCCGCATGCGACGAAAGTGAAACAGTTTGAGAGCCGCCAAGGTACCCTCCGTTGAAGGCACCGCCCTCAACTTTGTCGAAGTCGATCTGTGGCAGCTTGAGCTTGGGCTTGCGTATGTTGAGGGGAGCGACCTCGGGGAGGGCGAACTGGGAGGGCGACGCCGCTCGCTGAATGTTGCGGGGACCAAGGGGCCGCGCCGGGCTCGGATGAAGGGAGTGCATCATGGAGGACGGTGAGGACGATGGTGGCCTGGCAAGGGCACAATGCAGCTGCTGCTGCCCGTAAATTTGGTACATCGTCTATGGGCGTCAATATTCGCGTACACTCCCACGTGGCCACCCTTGCTTTATCCCCGCATGTATTCCTCCTGCACCCGAGCGAGAGTCATATCCTCGTCACTCAATTGTAAGGAAGCGTGAAAAGCAGTGTGAGGGCAGTACGCGTGTACTTTGATTCGTAAATATTGGTTTGGTCATTCCGAAGCAGACAAGAAATGATATTATATAACTATAAAGGGAGCTTGTTACAGGCAGTGTAGCCAAGTGGTTACGGCGTCACGTTTAGGCTTATGAGCAAAACCGTGATGGGTTTCCCGCGCGAGTTCGAATCTCGTCACTGTCATTGTTATTTTTGGTCTTTATACATTGATTACAACTTCGTTGTGTTTCGACCATCGTGGCTTTTGTGTGCGTACATATATAAAGCTGGAAGAGTTCGGCCGGCTGAGTGATTACCCGCACCATAATCGGCGCTTATTAATCCACGTCTTTAGTCGATCCTCACGTGCGCTCTTTGACATTCATCTCTCATTACCACCGCCATGGCTTCAGCTTCCGGTGAGTCTATTTTTCATCTCGAGAAGTCTTTGATGTCTAACGAAAATGTGCAGCAACTGGAAAGCTTTCCCGTGAAGAATTTCGCCGGCAAAAGGATCTCGATGCTGCTCGTAAGGCCGGCACAGCACCAGCAGCTCTGGATGAGGAGGGGAAGGCCATCAACCCCCACATTCCTCGTACGTGTGTTCAAGTGTTCTATGTCAACGACTTGGATGCTCATCTACTACCCTTACAGAGTACATCGCACAGGCACCATGGTACCTCGACACAGGTGCACCCTCCCTCAGCCATCAGCGTATGCCAGAGTACGACCGCTCAGCGGACAAGCTCGACAACTGGTACGACAGGGGGGTTAAGGCGGGACCTGCGGCAAAGAAATATCGCAAGGGCGCATGCGAGAATTGTGGTGCGATGACGCATAAGCGGGCGGACTGCCTCGAGCGACCGCGGCGGCGCGGCGCAAGGTACACGAACAAGGACATCGCGCAGGATGAGGTGATTCAAGATGTCGCGTCGGGCTACGATGCGAAGCGTGATCGGTGGAATGGGTATGACCCCGCGGAGCACAAAAGGGTGTACGAGGAGTACGCTGCGGTGGAGGCGGCGCGGCAGAAGCTCCGTGAGGAGGAGATTGACAAGCAGACGACGACGGACCTCGCGGCGGTGCGCAAGATTGCGCATACGGGGAAGGAGAAGGGAGAGGGACCCCATGATGATGACTTTGGCAGCAGCGATGAGGAGGACGAGGATGCAGACAAGTATGCGGAGGCGGCGGATGCGGTGGGCCAGAAGCTGGATACGAAGACGCGTATCACCGTCCGGAACTTGCGAATCCGAGAAGACACGGCGAAGTATCTCATCAACTTGGATCCGTCGAGTGCATACTATGACCCGAAGACTCGTTCTATGCGCGACAATCCATTGAAAAACGTCCCACCAGAAGAGGTGTGTACCGATAGTAACCCTGCTGACAGCAATAGCTTGCTAACCTTCATTTGTCAGGCCCGCTTTGCAGGAGACAACTTTATGCGCTTCTCTGGAGAGGCACCAGAAGTACAAAAGCTCCAGCTATTCGCATGGAACGCGGCCGCAAGGGGCAACGACGTGCACATGAACGCAAACCCGACGCAAGGCCAGCTGCTGCACCAGTCATTCCAGCATAAGAAGGAGCAGTTGAAGGACATCACCAAGTCCAGTATCCTCGCCACGTACGGCGGCGAAGAATACCTGCAGAAAGCGCCAAAGGAGCTGCTGCAGGGTCAGACGGAGGAGTATGTCGAATTCTCGCGGACGGGCCAGGTGATCAAGGGAAAAGAGCGGACAGCGGTGCGGTCAAAATACCCAGAGGATGGTATGTTGTTATCTACGTTCAGATCATCGGTAATCGCTCACACTAGTATTACAGTGCACGTCAACAACCACATGGCCGTCTGGGGCTCATGGTACGACCCAGCATCGGGAGAATGGGGCTATGCCTGTTGTCATTCGACCACCCACTTATCCTACTGCACAGGCGAGGCCGGCATCGAAGCCGCCCAAGCCTCCAGCGCACAACGCCTGCTCGCATCCTCCCTCTCCTCATCAACCATCTCTGAACAGCCACCCGCGCCGAACGACGCTGCAGAGGAGCGCAAGAAGAAGGCGGAGGAGCTGTATTCGAAGAAGCGATTAGGCGAGGGAGAGGTTGCACTGAACAATGAGCGGCTGGCGCAGGCGATCCAAGAGGAGAAGAAACGGAAGGCGAGGGGTGAGGACGCGGACACAGACGAGCGATTTGGGAAGCGGCAGAAGGGCGGGCAGAGTGGCAGCTCTGAGGTGACGCAGGAAGAGCTCGGTACGTCCCTTTCTTACTCGTCTTGGCTGGCGTGGAATGCTAACGGTCTGGTGCAGAGGCGTACAGGATGAATCGCCGGATGACGGAAGACCCGATGGCCAATTATGTGGACACTGATGCTTAGCGCTGTATGATATATCTGTATCAATGTTTTTATTTTCATGTCTGTTCTGTACTCGTGTAGACTGCTGAATGCTGTACTGGCCACTGCGCCCCGGTCTGTCGAAATGCGGGAGCTTGTGAGCACGTGGAGGAGAGCTCACGGCAGCCTCATGTTGGGACACTCTGATTGAGCTCAGATACGCTTCGCGACCCCTCATCCGTTCCCCGCCAAACTCCAGTTGACAATCTGCTACTGGCTCTGTTTTTGCTCTCTGTGATGCTCTTTGAACTGCATGCATCAATTTTATGGAAATAACAACCACACTCCCACTTATCCTTGCGCTCGGTGCGCGCATCCTCCTCAACTCGCTCGTCTCCAGCCCTGACGACTCGCCGCCCTCCACACCAGACTTCCTCCTCACCGGCCTCTTCCAAGGCGTCCTTCTCTACGCTGCGCTCACGCATCTCTTCGTGCTCGCGATCCCCGTCGGATTCGGCATCGCCGCGAAGCTCACCCTCGACTTTTCGCGCACCTATGATGCGACGCAGTGCGTCTGCACGCTGCTCGGCGTTGCCCTCGGAGTCGTCTTCTCGGACGTGCTCGCGCGCATCTTCGAGGACGGCACGCCAAGGGACGGCGCACGGGCGGGCGCAGCGACGGTGCATGTGCGCGATGCGCCAGATACCAGCAGACGACTCCGCCTCGTCTCGTTCGGCCGCAACGGACAGGACCGTAACCGCACGCACGGACACAAGCGGGATGCCGGACGCACCCACCGCCGCTCCGGCGACGAACGCGAGCGTCCGAGAGACCGAGACAGAGACCATGGCCACGATGCCCCTCGGGATCAGGACCCCCGCCCACTCACACCCGCGCTCACCTACGCAAGCACCTCGCCCTCCATCTCACTTGACTCGGTCCCATCCTCAATCGACCCCGAGGGGCGCCTTACCCCGCGGGAGCGCGAGATCGCCGTGCTGCGTGCGCGCGCGAGCCTCGCCGACTCGGAACGCCGCCGCTTCAAGGAGGAGCGCAAGTGGGCGCTGAGCCAGGGCAACTATGCGCGCGCGAGCCAGCTCGCGTGGCAGGTGCGTCGCTTTACGGCTCTCATGGAGAGCTTCCACCGCGAGGCAGACGCGAAGGTCGTCGAAGGTGGGTGTATGTTGCTTGTGCGAGCTTTTGGCGAGGAAGGGCGGGGTGCTGATTGCTTGTTTGCTTGGTGATGATTAGCTGCGCGTGCGGCCGCTCCTCTTTCCGTCACCCACGAAGCAGAGCGCAAGGCCGCTCGGCGCTTCCCGACAGCACATCGGAGCCAGGCGGGGGCATCTACCGTGGTTCCCTTCCCTTCGCCAACTGCGGGCCCTGCAGAAGGCCAGCAGCTTGTCAGTGTGACAGTGGGGACATCGGGCCGCCGCCGCAAGAGGAGCACGAGCGCTGCGAAGCCTGCAATCCACGTGCAAGGACAAGAGTGAGTGCATAGCCGGGTCCTCTTTCCCAGCGTGATAACTCACAAGACCTGAACTCGCACAGGATTAGTGTGACGCGATGATACTATTCGCTACTCAGTCGAGGCTTTCCCTGTGTCACGAGTTCGCTCGGGCAAGCCGTCGCTGCGCGTTTGCCGGATAGTCTAATAGCACCGGCTCTCGGCGTGCACTGCGGTCGGCGCAGCAGTCGTCTCGGAAAGAGACGCATCTACAATTAGGGCTTTCCGAGATTGCCCTTCGAGTGGGTGGAGTGGAGTAGGGCAATGGGCAGAGGGCGCGCAGCGAGTCCGTGGTTGTAGGATGCTACTCGCTCCCTCTGCGCTCCCTCAAATAGTGGCCGAGGCCGGGGAGTGGAGGATGGGAGCTGTACTAAGGTGTATCATGATGTATTATATGTATGCTATTGGACACTTCTCGGACTTCGCCACCAACTTACCAGATGACGTCTCTCCGTATGATCACTCAGGCGGAAACAATATCGCACTTCCACAAGAATGCAGCCTTGAATTTGACGGGCTGATAAAGAGTGGAATTGTTGTACAGAAGCGGTGACTAGCGAGAGCTGCAGATAAAACGAGACAATGCATGATATGAACACAGTAGACTAGCGCCCGTATACCGACCAATGTCCGGTACCAACAGGAACAAGACTCGACAGCGACAGGACAAGGATAGGCAAGAGTGATACAGCGGCAGGAAAGGGTATCAGAGAGAGAAGAGTGCAAGGTCGAGAGAACTGTGAAGCAAGAAATGCCGACCAAAACGTGTCACCGATACTTCCCATGCGCATGCGACGAGGGGGTAGATGCCGAAGGGAGCGATGAACCGCTACTCCGAGACGTCGTCACGCTCGTCGACGTGCTTAGGCGTGGCTTCTTGGCAGCGCCTGCCCCATCGCTCGTTGACGACGCACGAGGCGCGCTCTCCTTCATCACCATCTTCGCGTGGATCTCTTCCAGCTTCGCCGCCTTGACCTTCTTGGGCCAGAATAAGGTGACAAACCTGCGTCCAAGTTAGCCGACAGCGACATGTTCTGGTAGAACACAAACGTACGTCCAAAGATGCCGACGCCATTTGTCTCGGTCCTCACCAACTGCTTCCTTCTGTGCCAAGACCAGCTCGATCCGTTTTCCAATAGCAGCAAGAGACTCCTTCAAGATGGTGACTTTTTCGTCGCGTGGCATGTCACCGCCAGACAGTTTCAAATTTTTCTGAGAATAGCGGATCAGATGGTATGGATATGCGATGTCGAAATGACCCACTGACCAGTTGCTTCTTGACGGGGCGAAGCTCCTCCTTCGTAGCCGCCTCGTCCATCGATGGACTGCAGCAGAACTTCAGCGTCATCACTTACAGCAAAAACGTATACGACATACCATTCGTCCGAGGAGGAAGAATCTGTGAAGGTTGGCGTAGGTCTCCGTTTCTTCTTCCTGATGCTACCTTCGTCTACAGACGCAACTGCTTCACTCTCTGCACGGCGCTTCATTCCATTGCTAAACGACGACGAAGCAGCTGGTGGAGGAGAGGCTGACATGCCGATAGGATGACCCTTGCGACTGAGCGTAGTTGTGATAGCTCGTAACTTCTCATCGTGCTCTCGAAGCACGCTGAGCAAGAAGTCGCCTCTCCGGACAAGGTGGATGGCATTTGGGATTGGCCTGCTCGCAGAATCCTCGCCCTTCTTACCTTCCTCGAGGAAGAATTTGCCTTCAAGGCCAAGCCTCGCATCCTTCGCCATCGTCTCCCAATTGCCGAAGCCATACAAGTACGCACCGACCAACAACATGGAGTCCTCCTGCGGTCCCCATCTGCCTGACCAATTTAGCGTCGGGCGGATATTGTCGACGGGGATCTGCCATGTGTACACGTCCTGCACGTCTTGAAGATAGTTGTACAATATTCGCAGATCACGGTGGCGAGATAGAACCGTCTCCGCATTGATATTGCCAACATTGCGGTAAGTGACCAGGACAGCTTTACTCTTCTGCGCATTCGTCAACGTCTCCCCCGCCTGTATGCGTGCCCGTTTCTCGGCGTTGTTCTCTTCAACAGCACGAGCACAGAGTTCAACAATATCATCGGCGGTGTCGATGATCATGGCACGATTCTTGTCCTGCAACTTGGCCTCGCTGACCTACACCATACCGTTAGCATAGTGCGAGTAGCAATATCGGCATTCTTAACTCACAATGATATCGTATCGCTGCCGAATGTCACCCCATCTCTGCAGGCTACGGATCAGCACACGGACGTCACGTTCCTTGAGCTCCATAGCCTTCTGGGTCGCAGTCTTTCGCTGAGGCGGTGGGTGCTTCGGTTTCTTCGCGGGCGGCGGCTGGTTCGTATGCTCAACGTCCATGCCCTCGTACGACACTGTTGCGTGCGATCGCTTCCTGCTTTCCTTCGCCTCCTCAGCAGCCAACTCCTCCGCCCTTCTCTGGTCCTCCTCCCTCTCGAACTTCTGCCGCTCGTCCAGCGGGATAATGTCTTCCCAGCTCATATCGTTCTTGACGTCACTGACGTTTGCGAATTGTGCAAGGAAGCCCTCGCCACCGAGCGATGCGCCCTCGTTAGTAGTAGCTATGGTCTCGTGGTGCTCGGCGCGGTTGAGAATGTCGTCCAAGTCCATCTCGTCTAGCTTCTTGCTCTGCTGGCTGTCATCCTTGTCGAAGCTGATAGCCCCGCAGAAGTTAATAAATGGTAAGTTTCTAAGAAGCACCACATACATCTTCTGAGCGCCGTATTTGAGGACGGCGTGGAGCTCGTCTTTACTCAAATCGTTCGGCTTGGATGGATCCTTCGTCAATGAACCGGCCTTTGAGCTGAGGTGCGCTTGGGACGTGTCCATTTGATTAATGACTGCATGCCATTGGCGTCATCGGGCAGCTCCGTAGCCTCATGTCCGAGAGTACTCACTGGCATATTCCAATACCATCTTCTTCTTAGCACGCTCCAGCACGTCCTCCTCCATCGTGTCCTTGCTCACCAGGCGAAACACATTAACGTGCGACTTCTGGCCAATACGGTGTGCGCGTGCCATTGCCTGCAGGTCGTTCTGCGGGTTCCAGTCGCTCTGTGGGTGCCTTAGCAACGTGTCCTTTGCCGCAGGCGCGCTGATACGAGACTCACGTCGAAGATGATGACCGTGTCCGCGGTCTCTAGGTTGATGCCTAACCCTCCGGCGCGTGTGGAAAGCAGGAACGCGAAGTCCGTCGAACCGGGTGCATTGAAGTGCGCGATCGCCTTCTTCCGTAAGTCAGAGGAAATCATGCCGTCCAGCCGCTGATGCTGGTAGTTACGCATAACCATGTAGTCCGTCAGGATATCCAGCATGCGGACCATTTGGCTGAAAATGAGGACACGATGCCCATCTTGGCGGAGGCGAGCAAGCAGTTTATCGAGTAACACCATCTTGCCGCTGCTCATCACCAAGCCTTTCAGGGTCTCTTCCTCGTTGTCAGTCTTGGTCTCGGCACCATCAAACAAATACGGATGGTTGGCAGCCTTCTTCAACTCCATTGCTATGCAATATTCAGCACTGTGCACGTAACGCGCAGTCTGCAGGCACCTTACCGATGTTGAGCAAGCTAATGTTGTTGTTTCCATTGGCGCTCTTGACCAAACCTTGGAAGTTCTGCGGTAAAATTGCCCATCACAAACTATCACCGGAGTCAATGCTCCAAGAAGACCAACCTTGGTCAAAATGTTCTTGTAGAAATGCGTTTGCATGCCACTCATTTCAACGCGCAGGATGCGCTCACTCTTGGTCGGCAACGATGTGAGGACGTCGCGCTTTAGCCGCCGAAGCATCAAACTCTCAAGCTGCTTGTGCAACTCCTTGATCTTCTCCTCATGATCGACGTCAGTCAAATCGAACTCGTTGCTCAATTGAACTAAGGGGCTCTGTCAACAACTGTACCTGAACCGAAATCAAAAGAAACTGCTCACACTTCTCTGGCATGAGGAAATGCATCAGTGAGAGTAGCTCTGGAAAGCCGCGAGGCGAAAGTTCGATCAGTTGAGATGATCGCAAGACAAACTGCACCGCCCACTTACCCTTCACGTTGTTCTGCAAAGGCGTGCCTGTAATGAGCAGCTTGGAGGCTGCCGGGAAGGACCTCAATGCTTCATAGAGCTGGCTCTCGGAGTTCTTTAGCCGATGGGCCTGGATTAATTCAAGCGTTAATCAGAAGCTCCGCTGCATACCGCAGAGCGTCGCACTAACCTCGTCCACAGCTAGGACCTGCCATTTGATGTCGCCCAGCTCCTTGGAGTCTCGCAATGTGATCTCATACGTCGTCAGCAAAACGTTCATCTTCAACTTCTTAAGAGACGGGCCAAAATCGTAGTTGCGAATGACTTCTCGCGCTGCAGCTGTTCCAATGTAAGTGATGACGTTGATATCCGGCGCCCATGTCGCAAATTGCGACTGCCACGCCGTGATCGTAGACAGAGGAACGATGACCAGGAAGGGCCCGTATTGCAACATCTCATGGAACAAATAGGAGAGGAATGCCACTGTCTGAACGGTCTGCAGACATCAAAGGATGAGCGGAACAAGCATGGAAGCGGCTAACACGTGCTTGCTCGTACCTTCCCAAGGCCCATCTCGTCTGCAAGGATACCATTCTCACCCTTGCTCCACAAGTATGCTAGCCAGTTAAGACCCGTCAGCTGGAAGTCCTTCAGCTCGCCCCCTGTAGCCTGCAAGTACTCTGGATCTTCCGTGATCTTCCCGAACGGCGGCCTTGAGTTCTTGGAGTAGAACGTGCTCTTGTACGGAAACTTGGCCTCCACTTCGCGATTCCTGAACGCGTCAATCTGTTCCTTTGCAATGGGACGAATTTCTTGCTGGGTCTCCCACGTGCAATGATCGTAGTTTAGGCCGTTCCACTTGCAAAAGTACTCAACTTGACCCTCGGCATTCTCTCGCTGGGAGATGATGCGCTCAACAGTTTTGTATGTCTCAAGCTCTTCCTTCTCACGCTCCTTGTCCAGGAGAAGGATTTCCTTATCCTCGCGAGAGAGGTCCGGTGACGTAACGCGCTCTTGGTATGCTTTGTATGCCTTGATGTAATTATCGACACGCTTCAGACCCTTCCAGCGCTTGAGAAACTCGTACATCTCGTCCGTGTTGTGCAAATGAGAGAAGCCCTTCCATTTAATGTGGAAACGCTACAAAGATCATGTAAACTGATAACATGAGAGGGAGCGGCATTTTGGAACACATACAATGTTATGCATCCAGTCATCTTCCGCATCGTCTTCGTGCCCTTCCTCTCGGGAGTGCCCAAGGACTGCTTCAATCTCGTGCAAAGGCTCAGCGTTGGAGTCAACATAGGTTCCAGTGTCAACCTCCTCTTCGTCAAACTGCTCGAAGTCTTGCACGTCGTCCACATAGTTGGGGACTCTACCCGCTCGGCTGGAGACGCGCAACTCTTCGCGAGATGAGCGGGATTTCTTCTTTTTCTTCGATCGAGAACCATAATCCGAATCCGAATCCGAGCCGGAAGGACGGGACACCACTATATGCGGTATGAATAGCATATAGCAACATCAGTGATGACATAAAACCAACTACTCACCTCTCGGCTTTGACGGTTGTTTCTTCTTCTTCGGCACCTTTTTCTTGATGGTACCGTACTCTTCGTCTGCATACGACGCATCCTCATCGTCATTGTCGTCTTCCTCCGGTTCATCTTCGTATCCCTGTATATGTCACGCGCGCTGAGTATGAAATCGGACTATAGAGTTGAGGCACATACGGAATCATCTTCGTCCTTGATCTGAACCAGGCAGATCTTCCTTCAGCACGCATCTCATACGACCCTGGACAAGACCACATACCGCACGATTCTTCATGTATGCCGACGAGTGACCATTGGGCTTCGCGACGGGTGGCGTCTCATCATCGTCGACTTCGTCGGCGTCGGCATCGGCATCGGCATCGGCGTCGGTGGTGTCGAGTGGGAGCTTCTTGATGTCGACGTCGGACTCGACATGGACGGAGACGTCGCTGCCGTCGCTGTGTGGGACGGGGGAGATAGGTTGGCTGAGGGATGGGGTGTCGTACTCGCCAGGAGGCGACATGGAGGGATAGTCTCTGGCGAGTGAATTCAGCTTGGAGGACGACGAGCGCGAGAAGAGGGCGGGACGACGAAGGGGGGATGTGGGAAGCCGGGGCTGGCGTTGACAAGGGGTTTTACGAGCGCCAGAGCCGACAGCCCAGCTCGGACATGGTTCGCACGCGTGCGCCGGGCCCACACAGCGCACGAGCTCGTCACTGGCCATGGCGAACTCCGACCGCCGTGCCTCTCCCGTCACCTTATCTCCATCTTCCACTATCGCCCACCGCTACGACCAACAATGACTTCTGAGCACATCCTCAGCGCTGCAGCACGCAAAAAACAGCAATTCCTGGAACTCATAGCCTTCGCCGTCGGCATGCACAGCGACGGCGGACGCGCAATTCGCCGCGTGCCCCCGGCCCACCGTGGGACCCGTCTGATGTCCATCTGCGCGCTTCCATCATCGCCCGCGGCCCGCAGCGGTCGTGGCTCCCTCGGCAGAGCGTTCTCGAGCGGTCGCCGTCGTCGCCACCAGCGGCCACCACCGACGAGATGTCCGTCACGCATGTCACGCGTCACGCGGCGCCCTCTGTTCACGGCGCCTGCCCCCACCCGGTGCATCACCGGAGGGTAACTCTATGCTGCCGCCCCTGCTCTCTGCTCTCTGACTAGCTTTCTCCTTCGCTCGACGACGACAGTGAAAACGAGTGAATGCGTTCGCGACATTGGGCGCCCATGCATTGCCAAGGGCACGCGGCTCTACTCGCAGCCGGCTCCCGCGCATCGCGGACGCCGTCCCTATCGGCGACGGCGTCTTCAGTTCCAGAACCCGAAGTATCCTCCGTGACCAAAGGTGTTTGTCTCCGCGCACTGCCCTTCTACAGCGCCCGACTAGCACCTTCTCCAGATAAGCACGGGTCGTGAGGCCTCCTCATGGCTCGATGGGCGGCGAGAACAAGAGCGATAGCGTTGCGTGCTACAATAATTTAATACATGATGTGTGAGTGGTCCGTTGCCCGTCACAATCACAGCGGCCCTAGTGCGTTGGTCCATGCAGAGTCCAGTGTTTCATTAGTAGCGACGGTACGGCCGCTCGTAACGAGGGAAAGGTGGTTGTTCGTAATGCAGGCCTGCGGGCGCAGGCTCGTGCAGTCGCTGGTACGCCTTCCGGCTTGGTCTTGTCAGGAAGTAGGCCACCATCACAATAAAGAAGATCCCCAAGGCCACGCTGCCGGCGATGATATAAGGTACATATGGTTTTATTTCCCCCGCCAGGGAGGCGTCGGTGGTATTGCTTGAGTCATTGCCCTGAGACATATTCGAAGCGGAAGCGGGGAGTAGGTGGAACGATGATGTGTTGTCCACACCGCCCAAACGTTCTTGCACAAAGTCTTGGTGTGCTTGCGCAGGGTCGGTGGTGGAGAGTAGTTGAATATAGGGCTCCGCCGTTTGCGAACTGGAGCCATCGACAAAGTCACCAAAATCGACCAGCAGATAGGCATTCCTCACTGCAATTGATCTAGTCAGCCCCGACGCTTCGAGTGCTAGCGTGTAAATATGTACACACGAAATGCCATCCCCAGAATCATATCGTACTCTGATGAAGCTGCAGAAGTGATAGGATGGAACGAGCTCACACAGACAGGCTCTCCATCAGCGTTGCGCTCGTTGAACATTGCCAGGCTCGCATCCAAAGGGTTTACGGGAAAGTTTATCCCGCCAAACTTGAACGTGATATTCAGCTCTGCATCGCACGGTATTGTCCATACCTCGCCAGCACCAGGAACATATCGTGAAGTTAGTCCCTGGCACTCTTGAATAGAACGCGTCAGCGACTGTGCTGAAGTGAAGTATTCTAAGGTGAGAAGATTATTCGTTATATCTCGGCAGTCACAGCAACGCACCTCGGAACTTGTGGCAAGGAGAACCCCGAGTCAAATACCACCACAAGCTGGTCCAGTCCCTCCACGACTGATTGCACTTGCACAATCTCTCCACCCGGCGCAACACTCCCATCTTTACCCAATAACGTCTGCCAATGCTGATTGGACCATCTTCTTCCTTCACCACCACGAGCTTCGGCTGCGCCGTGACATTTTCGTACCCTTCCAGCACGCGCCCGATGGTCAGCTCGCCTGGGAACGGATTCGTTGTGTCGTCCGAACGGCCAAGGAGGATGGTCAAGATGTTGGGGGCTGAGACGTTCTGACGGAAGATCCGGTCGAGCGGTGTCGCCCGCTCCTGAATTGAATTGCGCGAAGATACGTGAGTCGCTGTTGGGCCCCAGGCCGATGGTGCCCTGGCCCGAGGGGTGCGAGCTGTCGGGAGTGACGCTAACTGGATGATAGTATGAATGGGAGGTTCGACGGAGTCGTGCTGATGATGCTCACCGAAAGCCTGGTCCTCAACTGTGTATTCATCAAACTGGAGAGGAGCCGTCATTGAATACATATGCACCTTGATACACTTGCAAAATAAAGCGAGGAAACCTACCGTCCGCCGACCCAATCGCATAGTCTATCGTAGCGGTCTTTCCTGTGCTCTGCACGCCAGGTACATTCCCTGCTACCCACAAGTCCGCACTGCAAAATGTTTAGCGTGAACATGCCATCTCTCTCCGGCTAGACTCTTGACAACGAGTGCCCTCACCTTCCCGTGTCAATTAAAACCTGGAACGTTTGTCATCCCAGCGTGACGTTGGTATAGTAATTGAGGTCCCCCGCGTCCTTCAAGTCCAGTCCTCCCTTGGCAGAAGACATACTTGCCCTGCGCCCCAAGCCCCCCAAGCCACCCGTCGCCCTCCACCCATTTCCATGATCGACACGCCTTCTGGCCACCGGCACTCTCACTGCACTCACAGCCCAATCATCAATGAGGAAGCAGAGGTATAGCAGCAAAGACCCAGAGAGTAATGAGGGCCTCATGGATGACGACACACACCACACGAACGCCGCACATTGTGCCTATAGCCGCATTTATGAATGATGAAAACACCCTTCGAGCCAGATAGAGGCGATGCTGTCGGTGACGGCGAGATGCGTTTTGGACATGGTGGTGTTGATCTGTTGCCAAGTGAGCAGTTCACGCTTGTCACCGGGGCGCGTGTCCAGTGAGTCACAGCTCAAGTCGGAATGATGCAGTTGTTTATGCTGATTTCCGTGCGCACACAGTGCCGAACGAGTTCGAATGTAAGTGTTTTATTGCTTCACAGCATGACAAAAGCAATGCAATACATCTAGGTGCCGTACAGAACATCTGCGAATAGATAATGGAGAATGTATTATTACATGCTGCCAGTCCAGAGTCCGGAGCCCGTCTATTTGCCAAAAGGAACCTATAGCAGGGAATTAGTCTCTAGAAGCAGCACGATAGCTGCAGAGCATCATCAGCATCTGAATAGCTGCACGGAGGGAACTTGACTTCACCATGAACGATTTCCGGCACACTCTGCTTTGTAACATCCACAGTTAGATCCGGGCGCTCGGGCGTCTCATATTGCTCATCGACACCCGCAACGCCAGTCAATATGCCCTTGCGCGCAAAACCGTACACGCCCCGCCGGTCATGCGCCTCGCAGTGCTCGAGCGGTGTCGCGACGTGGATGGTAAAGAAGTTCGCACCGGCGCCCGCGGAGTGCAGGACAGTGTCCTTGATTGCGTCGCGCGACGCCTGCTTCGGCGCAATTGGTGCAGCGATCACGGCTGCGCCCGCGCGAGCTAGCTCGGCCGCAACGAATGCGACACGTTGAAGGTTCTTAGAGTGCTCTTCAGGGGTGTAGCTGAAGGCTGGATATCACATTGTCAGCGGAGGTTCATTCAGTGTAGACGAGCACGACTCACGAGCATCGAGGTCAGCGCGGATGTTGTCTCCCGAAAGAACAGATACACTGCGGCCACCCTGCTCGTTGAGCACAACTTGGAGCGCCTTCGCAATAGTGTCCTTGCCAGACTTATATAGACCGGTCAAAAAGATCACGAAACCCTGTTTCAGGCGTGGAGGGTAGCTCTCACGGAGAGTCTTCACAACACCCTCATAACTGAACCAGTCGGGAATGGGGGCGCCGTTCCTCAAGCGCTTGCGAAGCTCCGTACCCGAGATGTCCAGCGTCTGCGCGCCCTTTGGTACCTCATCAACTGGGACATACTCGTCCGTTGAGGGAAGGTAGGTCATCTGCTGGAAGGGCACCATCTCGATTTGGAGCTCCTCGTGGTATTTTGTGACCAGGTCCTGCGCATCGTACGGGCCGTAGAAGTCCTTACCCTGAGAATTCTTGCCAGGACCTGCATGGTCACGGCCAACAATAAAGTGCGTCGCGCCGTAGTTTTTGCGGATGATTGCGTGCCAGACGGCCTCACGTGGTCCAGCCATGCGCATAGCCAGGGGAAGCAAGGCAAGGTGGCCCATGCCGTTCGGGTATTTCGCCATGATGGCCTCGTAGACACGGACACGGGTGTAGTGGTCGACATCGCCTGGCTTTGTGAGACCGACGACGGGGTGGATGAGGACGTTTGCTTGGTGCTGACGGGCGGCGCGAACCGTAAGCTCCCGGTGCGCTCTGTGCATCGGGTTCCGTGTCTGGAAAGCGACAACCTTGCGCCATGCCAACTTTTTGAAATGTGCGCGCAGCTCCGATGGGGTATCTGTCACATGGTCAATTGTGATAACGAGACGTAGCAAAACACGTACATCTCAGAGCAACGTAGTCGAAATGTGTCGGTAGCTGGATTGCCTGAATTTTTCCCCCAACGTAATACTCTTTGATTTTGTGACGGAGATATGCGACCGCAGGGTGCGCGGGGTCATCCGCACCGAAAACCTTGATGGCCTGTTTTACCTGGTCGGGCCGATACACGTCCTCAACTGGAAGAGAGTCAGAAGCGCGCGAGATGATCCTGATGCATACCCACCGGTTATGATTGCCAAAGCCTGATCGTCACGGGGGTCTCGCAGCGCAAGGCGGGAACCGGCAGTTACAGAGAGCTGGTCAATGTGCTCACGAGACACATCCAGAGTGATGGGCATAGGGAAGAGAGTTCCGTCTGCCAGACGTAATGTGTCAACGACACTGATATAGCCGTTAGACGTCGTCGGTGGCTTCAGAAACGTTACGCGGAACGGCTTACCTCTTGTAGTCTGCCTCGTTCATAAAACCCTCCAAAGGACTGAAACCTCCGTTCAGGATCAGTTCCAGGTCACAGAGTTGACGCTAATGTATTCGCGGTGAACTCATTGCTTGCGTTACGAAGGACATATGATGTACCTCCGTAAGAATGATGTCAGGGAGCGATTGAGCCTCAGCTTTGAGATTTTCGTGAAGGTGCTCATCCCGAGCAACGAGGTCCTGCAGGCAGACAGATTCGATGAGATTGGCTTACCGCAAAGTCATCGCAAAGAAAGCTGCAAACCTTTAGGATACCACCGTGAGGAGTGTTGGCCATTGCGGCAAAAATGTGTGCAAAATGCGGGAGAAAGAGTCAAGCTCTCGTATAGGACACGCCTCTATGGCTTTGATTGCACTGAGGAAAGACATCCTGCAATTGTGTTCGTATTATATGAAGGAGTGAAATTGACGATGGTGAACGAATCACGCAATCCACGCGCCGTCCGTTCTCGGGAGTGAGTAATTGGCGCCTACGTACATGGAGCAAAGATCCATCCTTCCCGCAACGATCAAGCTGTCTTACCGTACAACACAGGTGAGTAGGAGTCGACACATATTCATAGCAGCTCGAGTCTTGCGAATGATCAAGCTTCAAGGATGCACCGCTAATAACATGAATTCCGAATACGTAGGCTTAACCGCACCGAATTCCGAATAACTTATTCGGAGTAACGATGCTTGGTCAACAATCGAACAAGCGCCTCTCGACTCGCGGAGATTGATGTAAAATAATGCTCTTGCAGATTGAGACTTCGTCCATCTTCATTTCCTACCAGATCCTTAGCACCAAAAGAAGGCATGTGATTCTGCAGACAAGCTATGCTCCACAACTGAGTGCCATGCGGAAGATACACGAGGCAGGATGCGTTGGAGGTGACCTTTAACCATGGGTGGCCGGGATTGCACTATGCACGGGCTATCTGCAGGAGGTACTTCATGCCCATAGCCATATATCCAGGATGCAGCGTGCTATGCGGCAACCTTTTCGGGAGAGGCGATCTCCATCCACAACAACGTGAAGCAGACAGTATGCAATCAGTGTCATGAAACATAGCATATCAGGTGCATCCAGCATCGCTGACGTCTAGTAGCTCTAGACTATACTGAGATCTCAGCGCGATAACATTTGATACCGGATAGGATCCATCGCAGCGTCGTTCAGGAACTGCTCTCCAGCCCTGACTGTAAGATTTTTTCCAGGCTTCTTGATGGCCGCTCTTCAATAGCATGTTCGATCCGTCCATCCATATGAATGATAAAATGACTGCGTTGTCCGGATCCTTACCCTTCTAAAAAAGTGCCAATTGAATCACCTCCATTCAATTACCCTTGATAAAACACAGCGCCTTGTCATGTATCGTCCAGTCTGTTCGCTGGTTCGTGAATGTTCTCACTCGGTGATTAGACGATGAATATGTCCTATTCTTCGTGGCTAGGAATGGTGTTGTAGTAAACGATAATAACATTAGGGCGGAATTGCAACGCGCGAGACGCGAAAAAAAGACTATGCCAACAAAAATGACAAAAAGAAGGAACGCGTGTATTACGTTCACAGCAACGGACACGGACAGCAGCATAACGGTTGTACCGAGAGAGAAGAGCGTCCGTGTTCCCACCTTGTCCCAACGACTAAAAGTACATTACTCTACATGACAGATCCCTGCTACGTACTGGCCGCACTCGTACGCACGCCATCCCGAGGTACAGACCCGCCCGTCTGCTCTCGGAACGCGCACGTACCAGTACTATGGACCCAGCAGCAACGCGACTGGACTGAGGGTTGACATGACCTCGATCGAGCCTTGCCCACTATGGTGTTTTGGTCCTGGTACGGCTGATGGCCTTGTGCCGGTGCCTACCCATCCGATGATCCTCGATGTATGGATAACATCGAAGTCCACATTCCGCTCAGCTGCCGAACCAGGTGTTGTACTTGATGACAGCGCGGACTTGTACATGCTCATGTCGTAATCCGACAAAGCATTGATACTGTCGACCGACGACGTGAGCACTTCCGCCGTAGCAAATGTTGTCATGACGTCGAAGAAACCGGTATACATGTTGTCCACGCTCACAAGCGCCTCGCCCATGCTATTCTCGACGCGGACATCCAAAATGCCAGCCGCCGAGTTAGGATCGTGCATGATGACAAGTGCGAGGGGAGCGTTGAACGTCTGGAACCTAGTCATGAAGTCGGGCATCCTGCCCTCGATTGTCAAGGTAGGTGAGAGATTCAAATGGACAGCTGCGGACAATTCTCTGCACATACTATCAGGACAGCCATCCACGGGATGAACTCAACTGGATACTCACGCATTGCCCGTGCCGACGTCGAGAAAAACAGGCCCATCGCCGGTGTTGGTCAGGGTGACATTGACGTTGATGGGACTGAGGTAATGTCAATTGCCAAGACTTAATATGACGCAGAAGACACATACGCAGAGACGGTGTCCAGCACCAAAGACTCTGTCACATTGAACGTTCCCTCTATCTCTGCTAGTGCAGTCTTGACGACAAGTGAATTCGCATCCATCGACTACACCTCGTATCAGCCATCGATTCGATATTGTTGATATCCTTGACTTACCCTCACTGACACCTTCGATCTTGGCCCGCCAAGCGAAACTCTGTCGAAAGTCACATATGGCGATAGGTTGGTAAACCACTGCGTGAAATGCGGCAGCATCGTCAGGAATTCGTTGACGTGCAGTAATGATGGTGTTTGAGGGAAAAGGAAGGTCATATTGAAAATGAGGGTGTCGTTTGAGGTGAGGTTCGACGGCACGTAGAGATACACTCCATTGCTGTCGGAAATGTTCATCAAGCACACGTGTGTGCGCTCTTTCAGGGCTTCGTCGGAGTATTGCATAGAAACCGAGACAATGGCCTCGGTGACCGAAGGGTCCGCATTTACGCCGACGTCCAGGGTGCCTGAGATGTCTTGAACGGTAGTGGAATCGGTAGCATAGGAAACATTCGACTGAATGAAGACAAGGTCTGACAGCGGCAGCGCGTATTCCAGCCTACCGAGAAACGTTCAGTAGTAACACTGGGACGGCGCACTTTTACTCACATCGACTGTGTGCTGTTCTCTTCCGACCATTGATTGCACCCCACTGCAGAGGATATAGAAAATGACTCGCTTCCGCCCACAATGAAACTGACGGAATCGGAGGCAGTCGGCCCAGGCGGGAAGAGTTTCTGATGTTGGCTTGATCGTTGTCGCAGCTTCTGTACTCAGGTCAGAGCAAGTTTTCAGATCGCATAGGTTACTGCTCACTATAACGATGATAGGCACGCCGACGGTAACGGTGAGGAAAAAGTATATCACCAGCGCGTACAGGAGTGCACGTCGGAAGCGGGCCTTGGAGTACCTCTGCCACCATGTCAGATATTTTGACTCAACCGGCTCTTCAACGGGTTGCTCAAGAGTGGCGTCCCGGGGGAGATTGAGCGCTTGGGAGAATTCGTAGCTAGGGAGGGAGGGTGTGGGTGTTGAGGGGCGGACTACTGAGCGGGAGTCGTCCGAGAGTTTGTCGGAGTTGTGTGGATCGTCTGTGTCGTCAAGTATAATCATGTTCACCGACAAGCGGTGAGGCACATTGATGGTTTGTGTGGTGGCCTGAGCGCTGAGCAGGAAAAGAGAGCGCTGATCAAAGAGTCGTCGACGTCGTTGGGCACTCTGAGGCTTGAGCACGAGCCACAAGGCTGCACGGTCACAGTACCGTCACACAGTAATAACAGAGTTCCAAATCTGGTCGGCGGACTCCCGCGTTACGTAAGCAAGCGGTCCAAGCTCCCCGACGTCCACTGACTGAGGAGCACTAGGTCTAGGTCAGACACAGGAGGCAGCCGCGGGCACGTCGTTCCTTGGAGTTCTTGTTGATGTACGGTTCTACGGATGTAGGCCACAGTATGGGTTTTCGGCCTTGAGCCTCATTTTTCCTCGCGATGCTTAGCAACGGACCAAGTCCAAATGGCAACAAGTTACCAAGATGAATTTGGCTACATATACATACATCGTAAGTGTGGAGTCAATTAAAAACTCTTTCCTTCGAAAACAGCTGGCAGTCTACGTGCTCATAGATCGCTTCTAGCTCCCTGACCCTTCCCGGATAATGCAAAGATGTCCATGACGGCACTCAGAAGGCTCTGGAATACGTCCACGAGCCCGTGTACACAGTCCACGGTCCCATCCTTGCATGCCCGCACCCAGCTGACCAGATCATCCATAAATTTGCCGCTCCAGGCGAGCTGCTTTCCTGTCACAGGTGAACGCTGTGCCTAATTGCCCGAAAACACATTGTCAGCAAAACGTCATCGTAAGCTCAACTTGGCAGCCAAGACTCGCCTTCGATGCGCTCGTCGCAGTCGAAGCGGCCGCCTTGATCAGTCGCGCCTCCTCCTGGGTATCCGTGCCCGACCACATCTTGCGGAAATCGTTCACCGCCGCGAGACTCTCGGAAACACGGTGTAGCGTGTTGATCAGCGCAACGACCTCGGACCGCTGAAGGAGATTCTGGTTCAGGCGAGGGCTGAATAAGAGGCGACATCCTTAAGAAACATCTCGACGGTGGAAGAGGACGAGACGTACTCTAGTGCTTTCTCGTCTAGCTCGAACACAACCTTCAGTGCAGTCGCAATACCAGTTGTTTGAACCTTGCCCCAGAGACGACATTTGTCACAGCCCACACAATCCATGATGCGGGTTACGTTCCGGAAGTGCTCCTTGAACTCCTCCTTCAGGATCTATACATGAACCGGTATTAGATCGTGTTCCGCTACAGGAAAGAACGAGCGACTGACATTCGCGTTCTCTCCGCGGAAGAGCGCTGTCTCGTCAAACTTGCCGACGGCCTGTGCGATGTCGATCACCTTCTTCAGACGGGCAAGTGTCTCCGCATCGCCTTCGTGTGTCTCCGTGCCGCAGTAGTCGTACGCCGAAAGGTATGGCCCGAGCCGCGCAATCGCACGCAGGAGCAACACCTCATCGAAGTACATGAACTGCAGTCGTTCGGGGTACGCTGCAACTCTGTTGATGAAGCATTGGAGGTCCGGACCCTAAGGTGAACCATGGGATGAGCCACCTACGACACAGTGATTGCACGAGCTAGCCACTCACCCACTCACCCGTGCTCTGGTTCATCATTTCGTGGCAAATGTGCGTTGAGATGCTCGTATGCAGGCCTGTTGGGGATGATCAGCCATCGTAATATGAATGGAATTCTAGATGAGAGCACCTGAGATAATCTTGTAATACACGCGCTGCTCGAGGCACTCCCTAGGGCTCTCCACGCCTTCGGCAGGGAGGGCATCCGCCTTATGCTCCGGCAGCGACACGGCAGCGGGATTTGTCGATTCGTGAAGGTTCACTTCGGACAGACCAAAGCAGTTCTCAGAGTAGATTGATGACCAGACGCGGTGCGCGGAAGGGCCAATATAGCCAGTAAAACGCTCTGGGTTCAGTGTGAGGTCAACGTACTCGCCCTCTGTCATGTCATCGAGGAAACAGTAGTCGGAGTCACGATAGTAGCAACCAGGTAGTAGCGTCCTCTAAGACAAGTCAGAGGCATGACGAGCACGATAGACCGACGGCCGCACCTGGCCATCCGGAGGCATCTCCACCTTGCTCAATGAGGCTGCCCGCCACTTTTCTGGTATCTCGCTCTGTGTAGACCACGTCTGCAGCCATTCTCGACGAGTTTAAAGCCACACGCACTTCATCGACTGTGGTTATTCCACACTCTCTGTTCGCGCAGGTTCCGTCCTCTTCCCAGAAGGGACAGTCGCGATAGAGGTCAACGCGGAAATACTTGAAGAACGGGGTTTCCACTAGAGCATGTAATTGCGAAAACAGCTCATCGTTCACGCTTTCTACATTCTCGTAGTTGCAAAGTGTTGTCTCGATTGGACCTGTTAGCTATGCGCGGGTTGGCTTGAGCATATCTACCCGGAGAAGCAGTCGACGCACGTATTGATCACAAATTGGCTTCTTCACTGGCTGGTGTTTCATGACATTCTGGACTTTGTCCCCTTGGACGACGGTATCAGACAGGAAAGGGTGCGACTGGGTAGCATAGGCAACGAATGGATAGGTCAGGAAGACGATGGAGAGGGCGTGAAGACGTCGACGCAGCATTGATCACGTTGTAGACCACTAGATTTGCGAAACACTCACAAGAGCTCGACGAGGCGAGTTATATGGATTCAAAGTGAGTTTGATCAAGCCACGTATTCACCGATGCCCGAGGCTAGCGCGAGGCCCACCTAGTCAGGACCCGGCGCTTCCAGATCATACACCTTCCGCCCGCCATCAAACACTAGTTTGTCAGTTTGTCACAAATGAGGAAGATATACATACATAGGGAGCGCGCGCCCACAACGCACGTAGACAGTCACCACAGTTGTACACCTGTTAGTGAAATCAAGTGACTTCTCGAGGCTGGCCCAGATGAGTGGGTGTCAGCGAAAATTTTCTCCCCCTTTCACTTCACAAATCAGTGCTTTCTTTGCAGTGCCCACACAAGTAGAGTTAGTACAAGATAAATTCCTGAGAGCTTCGTATAGGCAAAGGAGCTGCCATTGACTTCAAAATGTAATGCCCATCAACAAGAACTTTAGTACATGGTCCGACAAAATCCTTATCCATGCCGTACAACAGTGGTTCAAAATGTACACGAAGAACAACAGTATATATACTCGCAGGATTACCCCTCTGGGTTGGTGCCATGGCTTGAGCCACTGTGAAGAGCAATTTCATAAACTAGTCCGTCCACACACAATGATGCATGGTAAGAAGATAGATTAGGGAGTAGCAAATGCAGATGTGTCAATCTCAGCGCACAATGAAGAGATCCGCCATCAATCCTCCTCATCCGAATCTACGAGCTGAAGGCGCCGCTTCTTCTTCGTCACTTGGACGATAGGGCTTCCAATGCCATAGGATTCAGCATTGGATATATTTGCTGGATCCACCAATGATTCGTTGGGGCTTGGACTTCCTGCTTCGCTGTCGCCGGATTGCTCCTCAGCTCTGGGCTCAACGTCCTCGTCCTCGTCCTCGGGCCTCCTCTGAGCCAAAAACCTGGGACGTGGACGCGGACGTGGCGTCCGCGCTTGGTGAGAGGAGGAATCGAGAGGCGAGGGCGATTTTTTCGGGGACCCAAAGACGTTCAATTCACTCTCGTCCGACTCATCTGCATCATTCTGCACCTGCATCATTTCTGATTCGCCCGCGACTTTCGTGCGACGCTTTCTTCGGCGTTTGCTAGGTTCGTCCCCAGCGTTCTTTTTGACGCGCTTTTTGGTGCCGTTGCGTCTCATCGTTGCAACATGGCCTGAGGCAGATGCAGCAAGAGCAGTCTTTTCCCGCAACATTTTCTCCTTTTCCAGGAAAGACTCCATGTCGCCATACTCCGCATCGCTATCCTCGATGAACTGCGCGGACTTGTATTGCTGCTTTTCCTTAGCCTTTTTCTCCTTTCGCTGTCGCCGCGGCGCAACATCATCTGACTGATCGTCATTCGCGTCTGGTAATGGCGAATGTCGTCTTCTCCGACGCGTTTTCTTGGTGAATAGCTGTGATGCCTTCTTTCCGCCAAGATCAAGAGGCTTTTCGAGGAATTGTCTGATCACGTTGAGACTCCGTTGCAGTTCGGACGGAAGTATGGCCGCAGGGATGTACCATTCAAGTTCGTCAGCATCTGAGTGAATTTACGGCTTTAGTATTGGTACCACCGTGTATACGTCAGAAATGTACCTTCTTTGACCACATCGAATTTGACCAGACGGAACAGCAGCTTGAAATGGGGATCCCTCGTTGCAGCTTTCGCTCGTTCATCGTTGATATATGGAATCACTGGACACAATCTCAGAGCCTATGTGTGAACGCAGACCGTGCAACTCACTATAGTCGGTGAACTTTGCAAGCACCTCAGTGGATGGGCCTCTGGACGCTTCCGCGTCCTTCATGATCGCGGTCTCGTCCCGCTCCTCTTCTGCGTCTTCATGCGATTGAACCGATGGGTCATCTGTATCATCAATTATCCGCTGCCTTTGTCCAATAACGAGCATTAAAATCTGTCAACCGATAATATCAGCGCCCTCACGGCTGTAGGCGACTCTCTCCGGTATACCTCTTGAACCCAATCGATCAGGTATGCTTTGCCTGCCTCAAGCAGATGGGCAATGACGATAGCCAGCTGCTCACTCCAAGAATAGCCCTTCTGTACTTGGACATCTGGTGGGAACCTCGAGTCCTCTGCGGCATGATCTTCCCTCAAAATCCTCTTCTCCGGTTCCCAACTGGAGTACTGCTTCCAGTGACCTCTATTCATCGGGAAGAACGCCTGGAAATGATTGAGCTATGCGACCCAGTAAGCCAGCAATTAAGAACAAACCTCCACCATAAGCAGCGGCTCATCTTCTAATGATTTGAAGAAACGGCGCAGAACAAAGTCGATGAAGTTGATGAGGTCCTGATAAGGTCGGTCCTTGGGCAGCGTTTTCTTATCTGTCAGAATAGCCTTGAACAAACTCAGAGTAGACACCTGAGAATGCCCGATGAGCGGAGACATTCGGACCACGACACGAGCGGACAAACATTGAAGAACAAGCCCTCCGCTTTTGCCTTGACAGCTTGCCGATGCATTAAGCTAACGACACGTTTCATCTTCTCCGCAGAACTAGATTCCTTATATCTCGCCAAATACGCCAGAAGTGTACATGTGACCTCGGTATGCGCGAATTTCTAGAAATGATGTGGGTCAATATGCCATCAATGTACTCCATACACACCCACCGACTCAAACATATCGAGGGTGAACATTGTCTCGTGTATCGTTTCTTCTTCCTCTTCACGTTCCGCGTCCTCGTCGTGCGAAGCTCCGCCATCATCTGCTTGAGTTGAAGGTCGCATAATGAGGCAACAATGATAGGACGAATGGTAATAATCTTACTTCTGCGTTTCTTCGCCTTCGCCTTGCGTCTGACGTACATCTCAGCTGCTCCTCCACGTTTCTTTCCCCACCTCTCCAGCATCCTGAATATAGCGTATGCTAGATACACGCTGGAATCGAGATACGCAAGGCTCTGAGTTCCCTGTTTGTACGTCCGAAGGCTCTCAAAAGCAATGTCGAGTACCTCGCCGTTATATATAATCTGCTGTTGCAGCGTGTCCGCAGCTTCTACGACGTCCGCATCGGTAGCGGAAGACATACTATCGATGACTAAGATAAGCTGCGTGAGGCATTCAATCCCTGCCTGCAGCTCATTCCACAACTTCGGCTACGTACAAAAAGGATGTCAGCGTGGGATGGAGAGCGCTGTGCGACATGCTCACTTTGTCCTCAGAAGCCTCACGCATTCGCCTGAGCACCCAAATAATCCATTGCCGGTCGGTAACCTCAGCGATTAGACCGAACTTCCAGTTGTTGTTTTGACCTTCTTTTGCCCTCACGGCAAGAAAGAATTCCAGTAACCACTTGGTCACGTAGAGCAATCGCAGATTGTCCTTTTCTGTGATCTTCGGCCGTTCAGCCTTGATGTCTTTCAGAAGGGAAGAAACGAATGCTATACATGCGTATAGTGAGCGCGATGATGGACAACCCTAAATTGACAATCGTACGATTGAAACATGCCTCCACAAATGTCCTGGCGAGGTTCTGCAGAATGGATTTTGCTTCAACAGTGAGATTGTCATCGTGTGCGAGCTCGTCCGCCTTTGGGCCTTTTTGGCTTCGATGACGTTTTGCCAGGTCAAGTATGCTTCCTGCGTCCCGATTAATGGCTTGCTGTCGGTGAAGAACGTAGGTTTGCGAGGAGCTCTGTGGGTCGTCCCCAAGATTGCTCTGCCCCTCCGCTGAGCCCTTATCGGCGGATTGGGCCTTCTTGGAATTGAGCTTAACGGCGATGGTTGTACCAAATCGCGAATGCCGCGATGTGGCCGTACGTGTGAGGTTTCGCTTTCGCTGGTCCTCGGCGGCAAGAAGTCTCCGCAGGCTCTGAGTTGGTTGCTACATGAAAGAATGAGCTTGGGCATACGAAACACTGGTTTTGAAATTCGAGATCCACGCACATCAACTTGATTCATGGCCAGAGACGAAGGCTTGACACCTCGAAATAACAGATATAATATCTCAAGCACGAGGGCGTTCCATCGGTTGAACATCGCATCCGTGGCGATGTTGGACGCGATGGTAAGTAAGAAGTCGAATATGTTAGAGTCAGAGAGAACTTTGATCAGCTGTGTCTGCTGAGAAGACAGCTCGGCTCGGTCGCTACTGAGATGCATGTTAGGAGGCATATCTCTGATGAAGGCGAGATTGCGGATGAGGTATAGTACGACGCTGATGATTTGGATGTCCCTTTCTTTCCTTTCCTTCTCGTCCTTCGCAAGGCAAGGAAGAACGATTCCGAACAATGCCGGCATGACCCCAGGTCTCAACAGTGCCGCCTTGTAGTATAAGTGACTGATGAGCAACTGAGTATAGTCCACGGCCTTATCGTATACTTCATCTAGTTCCTTCAGCTCCTCTGCCAAGTCAATAGGCCAAGTCATTGCTGTCATCAAGTCCGCGCATGCTATCGCGCACTTGTCCTCTAGATGGCCTTTCCCGGCGGTCTCGAGTATGATAGGGATGAGGTCGTTGGGTAGCAGACGCGTCTCCCAGAAGATACGCGCAACGGTACGGTCGTCATCGGTATCATCCTTCCTCCAGAGCTTCTTGAGGTCCTTGAGACAGCCATAGCATTCGTCTCCGAGCCTGTATGACCCTCCTTCGTAGCCACCCAGCGCATGCACCACGTTACGAATGGCAGGCTCCAGAATAGCGCGCCTCGCAATAAATTCTTCCTCGTCAGAGGGTTCCAATGATATCGAAATGGCGTCCTCGTCCATGTTTCACCCTACCGCTGACAGAAGTCGGTGCAGCCTGGTATGTTTCGAGACTCGACGCAAGATGGAGATAGTGACAAGACAAGAAGGGCTGTATACGGGGACGCTACCACGGCCAAATAGACGTGCTCGAAATTCGAGAATATGAGGTGGAAGTAGCTAGGAAGTGAAGGATGTTGATGATGGTTCGCGTCTGCCGTAGGCGCGCCTACGCGTAGCGTCACGCGTGACCATACGCGTTACGTGCCGCTGGTTTCGAACGACGTCAAGGGCGTGCTGCATACTATGTAAGTGAGGACGATGGCTTATAGGCTCTCAAGATCTCAAGGCGGATTGCATGAACGTATATAATATTTGTCTATGTGCCCATAGCGCAAAGCGCGAAAACGGAGGTATATGCGATAGCTAGTTTGTGTATGCATCCGTCCAGATTCGTCCATCTGCCCTTGAACCGACCTACTTACCCTATATAAAACGCACTGAATAGCATGATGCAGACATCAAGCATCACGGCGGCCACGAGAGCGCGTGTTGTTCGCCGCGATCTTGAGGATTGCCTCTTTTGCGATTTCGATAGCACTCTCGGATCCTGTGCACCAACATCAACTCGAGCCTCGCGAATGGTGGACTACACCTACCAATGATCACAATCGTGCTATCCTCGCGGCTGACCGTAATGTCAGCACCACTCTCGTTGCGAAGCCTTCCAATGTTGGCACCCTTCGTTCCGACAATTCTGGGGAATGACAAGCGGTCGGGAAGAGTGAGGAAGCCAACGTGTGACATTTTCTCGGCATGCTCAATGGCGTCTTGAGTCAGCTTTAATGCACGATCCAAGCTCGCCTGGTCCCAAGCTTTGAATGTCCATTCCGACTCGCCCTCCTCAGCATCCTGGTAGTTGGGCACGACCTGCCATTGCACTTCAGGTGCCGCAGCGCCAGCGTCAGGATCATCGATGCGAGCCTCACTTACACCCGCCTGAGATACTGGATAAGGAGGGACTGCCGGCCGCTGTGGAAGTGCAGACTGCTCGGCATGAACGCCGAATGAGCGAAGAGTGCGGAAGAAGTTCCCTTGCTGTGTGACCGCATGGTGGTATTTCAACGGCACGATGACTGTAGCGGTGACAGACTCAGGAGCAGCAGGCTTCACCTGGGTCTAAATTCACAGGTTAGCAAGGAGAGCAAGGGAGCTTTGAGTCCACACATACCTTCAACTCTTCGACAGCCTTTTCACATGCTGTGCGTGAGCCCGAGATCTTGACAATGTCCGCAGGGTCGACCGCATCCATGTCTGACATGTTCTCCGGCTCCCCTACCTGATGGTAGGAGCGAGAGCCAGGAAACTGTATCTGGACGCCCAATCGGTTTTGAATGTCGTTTAAATGCTGTCCTCCCCTGCCAATAAGAGCACGGTGTTGGCTAGCAGGGACTTCGGCTGCGAGAGTGACGCGGTCGCGAATGGTAGCGACGGTCTTCTCCAACTCAGACTTGATCTTCGCAACCAGCTTGGGCTCTCCACGAATGCGAACCTCGGTGGACGACTCTCCCTGGCGAGGGCTGCAGAAAACAACATGTAAGCCAAACCGAGAACTTCAAGAGCGTGGAACTTACAATCGAACCAAGCCGGCTTGAGTCTTTGAGTCGGACGGACCGCCACAGCGGATGATAAGATCCCTGAGACCTTGACCACCAGCTCCGATGATGGTACGATGGAACTGGCTCTCCACTTCCACGGTTTCGGTAGCTTCCTCACCCACTCGATCTGAGATGACCAAAATCTCTGCCTTAGCCTCAGCAATAGAGTCCTTCGTACCACGAATGGTGACGTTGGTAACCAGGTCATTGGCCTTGTCCACATCGATCTGTGCGCCTGTCTTGTCCTTGATCTCGTTGATAGTCGCACCAGCTTTGCCCAGAATCCGCGCGACAGCCCGGGTGGGGACTGTGAAATGCTCCTCAACGTTCGACTCCTTCTCGAACTCGACCGCCTTGACAAAGAATAATGAGCTTAAAGTAACGTTGGACGCTCTCATGACCTACGTCAAGCAGCTCGGCTTTAGCACCTGAAACTCCCTTCCGTCCCCCTTTGAGGAGAACTTCATTGAGACCGAGTTGTTCTCTGGTTCTGCCTTCGCCGTTCTCCCCAGAATCGCGAGGGAAAGTGATTTTGACGCCGTACTTTTCCTCCAAGCGAACGACATACTTGCCACCATGTCCGATGAGACTTGAATGATACTTGTGATCGATGTTCAGCTTCTCGAATGTTTCATCGGCCTGGATAATTAGCTATAAGCTTGCGATGCTAAAGAAAATGGTGTTCTTTAACTTGCCAGTCTCTCCACTTGGGTGAGAATGCGCTTCTTCGCTTCTTCGACGTTCTCCTTACGACCGATGATCTGCAGCAAGTTGTCATGACAAGTATGCGCAACGAATGGATCCACCAGACCTTGACATGCGACTTTTGGTGTGCCGCTTTCTTTTTTTTGCCGACAAACTGTTCCTCCCTCTCCGTCTCGTCAACGAAGTCGATTTTAACACCAAGCGTGTCCCGCAGCCTGTTGACGCTCGCGCCCTGTGCACCCACAACCCGGCCGACGTATACCTTATCAATGTCGAACTCGACCGCCTGCGACAATGCAGCGTCAAGTTAGTATGAATCATGGTTAACGGACGGGTACGCACATAGCTGTTGACAATCTCGTCGTTCTTGGCATTTTCAACGATCTCGAGGATCTCCTTCACTACACGGTCGACATCGGCACTGATACCACGGACAAGAATGACGTCCTCGGTGGAAGGATCTCCAGCCTCCGCTCCAACCTTAATAGAAAGTGTTTTGTCCTCACCTATGATTCTACCTCCAACATTGGCATTAGGCATCCAGGAGACACTTAACAACTCACGCGTTCAGGGTGGTACCGCCCCGGCCAGTAACAGCATCGTGCCATTTCTTCTCAACAGTCACTACCTGGGTCTTCACATCCGCTGCATCGCGCGCCATCTTGAGCAGCTCTTTCTCCACTTCATCAAGATTCTTTGCTTTCTCGACCGGGGAGGGAGATGCAGAAGGCGAAGTAGGGTCATAGACGAGAAGAACAGAGGACTGCTCCTCGTCTTCGGGCGGGAAGAATACCAGAACATTCTGTGCATCATGGTACGCCTTGATTCTACATCATGCCAACCCCATCAGTGCTTTTGAATAATATGTCAAATCTGCAGCATACTTCTTCGCATTCTTGTGAGAGTTGATAAAAGGATGCACGAGCCAGTCAATCTGCAGCTCCTTGGTAGCACCGATAAGCTTGCCGATCAAAGCCGATAACTGGCTAACAGCGGCATCGACGGCAGGCTTCTCGCCAACTATATCCACGTTGAGCGCAGATGCCTTCTCGATAGAAGACAACGCAGGCGTATAGACCGAAGCTCCTGGGTTGTTCATGCTCAGTGCCTTCGCGTATCCGACCCGTATGATGTACGTCAGCAGCTGACGAGAGACGGAGATGGGGCCAGGGAGCGGGAATTCATGGATATACGCCGAGTTTGCCTTCTCCATAACTGTTTGCACGCCAAGACCAATATCCGTGGGTTTGCCCCAGACGACGATTTCCTCGCTGGTCTCCTCCGGCTTGGGAACAATTACAACGCATTTACTCTTCGTCATGATCTCCCCTGCGTCCTTGCCCGTGAGCAAACGATGCTGGCGCTTGGGAAGAACTATCTTCAACTGCGTAATCTCAGCGGTGAAGTAATTAATGGCAGACCGAATGGAATCTATGACATGTCCGACCGCCTCGCGTTCACCAGAGACAGTAATCTCGCGTGCCGGTTGGTTGAGCGAGAGGGAGATCTCACCACCGTCGGCTGCGGTCTCGAACTGGGCGCGGCGCGGGGTAAGGAAAGGTAGGATGTGAGGTGCGATGTCGCGTACACGTTGTGTCGTACGGGAGCGTTTCGCAGCTATTATGACATTAATCATGTCCGCCGCTTCCTGCACCAGCGGCTGAGGACCAGTGATGGTGACTGGAACAGTAGCCTCTTCCTCTTCCTCTCCGTCATCGAGAGATGTGGCTGCGCCGTGAGTAGCTCCATTTCCATTGAGAGCGGGGATGGAGTCACGACGGGGAATGTCGACCTTCACGCCGGTCTGTTCGCGCACTTTGTGAAGGTTCGCGCCTTTGGGACCGATGATGATCGGGATAGTGGAGGCAGGAGCATGCAGCACCGAAGTGACCTGAACGTTGGTCAGAGACAATGCATAGGGCGCGACATGACTTGCGTACCACTGGACTGAGGTAAGCGAGGAGCATGCGCTTTGCCTTCTCCAGTTCCTTCTGCAAGTCGCTCTTGAGATAGAACGTCGTTTGGTGCAACCGATTATTGGTAGATGCCTCAAGCTTGACCTTAGGGCACTGAGACATGATCCGCTTCATAACCTCGCCTGTCGACACGGGCTTGCCATCCTTTCCAGCAGCAGCAATGTCCGCTTGGGATAGATTAAATGTATCCGAGTATATGTGCTGTTTGGGAACCGAGGGTCTGATAGCTGGAGGGGCAGAAGAGCCCCAGGCGGGGCCTGTTGTCTTGTTCGAAGAAGCAGCAGCGGACGGGACCAACGACGGGAACTGAGACTCGATATCCGGCTCACCGTTCGTGGGAACAGGAGGGGATGCAGGGGACGCCAGAGGTGAGTCTTGTGCTTCAATGCCGTCGTGCTTCTTCTGCATGTGTGTTAGCCATCATGATAGATGAGCCTAAACCAGCAGCTAGCACATACTTTGAGTTCGGCAGCGTTAGAAGCCATGTCGTAGAGATGACGGGTGTCCGAGAAACACGAATCCTATGACGGGAAAACCAAGTAATGCGCCGCAGATACGAGCAGGTATCGCGACAAGGCGTAGCGGTCCAAACGGGGAGACAGGTTTTGTGTTTTGTGTTCTGACCAGATGTGTGTATACGTGGGCCTCCGTGCTGCATCGTTGAGCGTGTGAACGAACTGCCTTATTTGAGTGGCCCGTACGACGCCTGCCATTACGATTGATCCTCAACGGTGCCTTGATGTTCCGACTGTGAGTTTCTGCTTGTCCCCCCCCAGGCAGGCAACAAAATATCTCCTTCCTTGAGGGAAGAAGATCAGGAGATAAGTTTCCGCTACGGAGACACAGCGAAAGCTGTATTGCTTCATGACAGCAGTGCTCAGATCCCAGTGCTCGCACCTCCGGGAGTTAGGGCCTGTCCAACGTGAGATCTCAGACTCAATCCTTTTCGAAACGAGTAGGCCGCACTTGAATAAGAAACAAACACTAGTGCAACAAAGAAATTCTGAAAAGAAACATTACATATCTACCGGGACACCGTCAATGTCGTCCATCGGCTCCCCTGCCATGGGCTCTCCATCCAATGGTTCGCCGTTCAACGATTCTCCGTCCAAGGCTGAATCGTCCATCGGGACACCATCAATGTCATCAATAGGTTCTCCATCAAGATCGGCGCTGATTAATCCGCCATCAACGTCGTCAATCGGTTCCCCGTCCACGTCGCTTCCGATCTCCATAGGCTCGCCATCGTCAGATGTAGCTCCTGTAGATGCAGGCTGCGTTGTGGCTTCCTCCGCAGGCTTGAAGAAGCTCGCCTTGAATTTTGACGTGAATGTGGGAGCATCCTCCTTGATCTCGGCAGCTTCTTGTCCTGCTTCAGACGTCTCCTCCTCAGGAACGGATCCCTCCAGCCTAGCTCGCAGTTCTGATGTGAAATCGGGAGAGAACACGATCCAATCCTCCCAGATATCAACCACTGAAGTGATCTGCTTCTTGAATGTTTCGGCAGTGATCCTTCCAGGGAACGAATGATAGATTGTTGATAGGTGATCAAAGACCAATCCCAACCGAGATTGAAACTCTTGCCGGAACTTCCAGGCCATGGGTAAAGGTGCAGCCGAATTGTGTAAGATGTCGCAGATGAGATGAAGACGCGCGACCTTCCGCGGCACGGGTGTGCCATCAACCACAAGGGATGAGATGATGATATCTGACACCTGCAAGTACAATCGCTCAGCATGGAGATGTGAAAGCATAATGTATACGAACTTCTCCCGCTGCTTCTGCATGCTCCAGGCTGAAAGCCATGCATCGTGCAATCTCTCCACGTCTCCCACTCAATGAACGTAGCATGGCTTCAAACCTGCGTCGAGCCAGCTTACCGAGCTCACTCTTCCGAATGCGCTCCCTTTCGGATTCTTCAGCTGAGTCAGTTGAATAGACGGAGTTGTAGCCCTATAACAAAGGCTCAGATATGACTCAGCATTTGGATCTATAACATGCCTCTCACCTCATCGTCGAACTGTGGGTCAATCGACTCCCGCCGCTCTATCAGTGAGCGATAGTAACGATTTCTCCGATGCTGCAATTCTAGACTTAGGGTTGGACAGTGGAAGTCGTGAGTCAAGTACTCACCTCCCTCTTCAAGAATGCATATCTCGAATTTGCCTTCTCGCGTTCCCGTAAAGTCTGCTCATACTCTGCATCGTGTCCTTTGACCTCGGCCGCTACCAGTCGGATGAATTGATCAGAGGTCTCGTCTTCCTCCAGACCGAGAGCTCCACGAGGACTTGGGGTGAGTCTTCGCGGAGAGCGGCTAAGGCTATCATATCGACGGCCACGACTGTGTGAGCGGCGGCGGCGATCACGGTATTCTCCAGGAGACCGTGAGCGATCCCTGTCCCACGAACGACTACGTGACCGTCGAGAAGAGCGATAACGGTCCCGATCGTGCGACCGTGAACGGGATCGTGAGTGAGACTGACGGCGGGCACGATCATGAGATCGGCTCCTGCTCCTGTAATCTCGTGGGGACCGCAATCTCGACGGGGACCTTGACCGGGAGGATTTTTTGAAGACTGAGTGGAATGCTGAATCAGCATGCTATCAAGACTAAGCATGAGTCTACATACCATACATAGGCTTGGACGCCATAGGAACAGCTTTGCTCCACCCGACTCGCAAGACAGAGCCTCCCCAGTCGAAGCCGTCCAGCTCACGAAGAGCAGCTTCAGCATCTTTGCGCTTCATGAAGGATACGAAACCGCTGAGTCCTGAGTTCTTCGTTCGCCGAGTGGCAGTCATGTCTGCACCAGGTCCCTGCGTCGCATCGCCGCGAGGCCACATGATCTTGACCTGGGGAACAAGTGAGAAGCAGAGGGAGCAAAGTGTGCTACTGCACTCACAGAGCCAACAGGGCCTACACGAGCAAAAAAGGCACCCAAGCTTTGCTCATTGGCATGGGGAGGAAGGTTTGCAACGAAGACATTAGAAGTCTACGAGATATCCATCAGAACCCGCGACAATCCCAGGCAATGCTGAGAAGAACCAACCTCAGGATCTCCTCGATCCTTGCTTCCGCTTTGACCCTCGTACGCTGCCAAATACTGAGCGCCAATCACGATCTTCCATTAGCAGCGCTCTTACCTGCAATAGATGTGACTGTTCGCCCGTGCGTGGCTGAGACTCATGTAGCCAGACCCCTCGCAGTAAATAGCTCCTGTGACTCACCATGCCGAGAAAGTCTCATTTCTCGATCTGCTTGCTCCCTGTTTAGAAAAAGGTCATGAGTCTCCGTCCTCTTTGGTGTGATCGACATGCATACCTCTTAATTTCTTCGAGGAACGAGTCCATTGCACGTTTTCCTTTTGGCTTGGGTGCCGTTAGAGGGGATGGCTGTTGCTGTATATAGCATCGTCGCCCAATCGTCCTATAGGCATCGAGGTACATGCTCACCATCAGGTCCTCCTCAAACCCTCGCAGTGCCGCCGAGCTAGTCGTCTTCCCCTTTGTTGATGGAGCGTATGCAGCAACCTCTCCCTCCTTGACAAAGGCTGATCCTGCCTTCTTCCTGTCCGCACCTTCACCCTGAAACGCGTCAAGAAACTCTGCATACGCCTTCGCGGCATTTTCCTCTTCCTCCTTGCGCTTTGCTTCCGCAGCCTCTTTTTCTTTCTCCCGTTTTGTTTTGCGCATGGTACCCTGTGTGTAAATGGCGCGTTTCTGATGATCAACCTCCTTTTGCTATTATACATGGGAGTTGGTGAGCGTTCTGGGGTGAGAAGAAGGTCGTATCCATCGCACTGGAAATGAAGGATCCTCATCATCATTGTCAAAGAAAGCTGCAAGCCTGGATTTTGTTTTATCCATTGCGGTTTCCGAGTTTTTACAGAGTGAGAATGAGTAACTGCCTGATGAGATGCTTTTCGGATGGTGATGGTAAGCAATGAAGTGGCCACCGGCAATCGGCTGACACGCTGTTCCAGATATGGCAGTCAGTTCGCGGACAAAACGCATGCCCGCTTTTGACCAAGGTCGTAATGCCATCGAAATCCGATTTATGACAATGTGTTAAACAGGATCTACATGAAGAAAATGGAGCCATGTCCTCACTATAAAACAATGCAAGGCAGTCATCGCAAGAATGGTCGCTACATTCGTGATCTGTTTGGAAACTGTACCGATACACCGATAGCAAACGAACACACGGAGGTCAGAACATAGCTATGTCAGAACGAGATGTAATATCATTGCAGCGTCAGATCGCTCGGCAAGAGCATAGCCGAACGATACTGTGGTCCAGCCTGATCCACCTACATCAGTAGACTCGCCAAACCACCCGATGCGTACGCCATCGGCTTCATTGGTGGATGAGGCGTCGCATCGAACTGTGTGTATTCCTGAGATCCTGCAGCATCGATGCGGATCTAGAGAGAGATTTCAGTGACATTTCACATTCAAGAGGAGGCCCACGGAGTAGAATAGAACGTACGAAAGCACCCTTGTTCCCCCCCTGGTCTACATAATTCGGTGCAGAGAAGACCTATGATAATGCATCAGCTGTGTATCCTGCAAATACTACCATGACTAATGCTCGCACCGTAGTACAGAGGCCGTTATGCTCGATAGTATATCCATCTGTTCAGCGCCGTGAGATATAGCTTGCAGGATGCACATTATGTCGCACCTTGGCGAACTTCGTGGCTGCGGATAATCCCAGTAATACCATTAGATTGGCACCACCTCCATGTGACGTCGGGCCCGAACGCGATCCCAACACCCTAGAAGAACTGATGAGAGGTGTTGTTTGGGAAAATGCACGAGGATGTCACGGACGCGTTTGCTAGGACCTCGACCAGGCGCTTCCTGAGGATCGGTCCAAAGCAACTACAGAAGAATGAGGACCCAGTTGATATACGTCTGAACGCCATCATACCTCACCTGTATAGTATGGCGTGAGTAGATCAGATCAGATATAGGAGGGAACTTGAGGACATACATATCAACCCTTCTTGTCCTGGCTGACGACCTATTCGGTCAATCTTGCGGATGTCCTCGAGTGTGACACCGTCCTTGCTGAACAGACCACCGTGAACCACGAAGAAACGTTTGCGGCCTTCAGGCGATAAGATGGCGCTACCAGCCGGACTCGTTGGCGGTTTTGTAGCGCAAATCAAGGTTGAAAGGGGCACTACGAGAAGAATGAGCTACAGCGGTGGATTTGGAAAAATCGAAACACACTGGTCGTGAAGAGGTGAGCGAAGAGCTGTGCAGAAATACCCCGTCAGCTCATATCTCACTCAACCTCGATTATCTGCTAACCTTGTATGTTTGCTCGCCATGCTTATGCTTAGCTTCACCTTCAAAGCCATATGTACGATTCATCTCCTTTGATTCATGGTTTCCACGATTAATGAACATGGTCTTGGGATACAACCCTAGTAAACCAAATCGTCAGATAACGTAAATCCTGAGACTTGCGACTCGCGCACACTTGTAGGCAAGCGCAGTGAGTATAACCTCGATCGACCAGGACCCACGGTCGACGAGATCACCATTCATGAGAAGGCAGTGTTTGTCCGTTGGGGGTCCAGTTAACGAGTATAGATGTAGCAAGTCGTAGAATTGTCCTTCAGCAAAGTGCGTGTAAGTTTGATTCCGATTTGCACAAATGTCAAACACAAAAATGCACGCTTACCGTGGACATCTCCGATGACGTCGCAGGTCATGCCGTCTTCGAGGTTCAGCGTCACGAGGGACTCCTCCTGCACAAAATGATTGTGTGCACCCAAGACAATCTCCCAGACGTATCTGAGACGGGAGGTATTCAATGTTACTTCAAACACGATTCAAACAGACCCCTCACCGTCTCGGTAACGCTTTACCCTCTTTGAACCATTCAAGCATCTCGTTAACGAAGTCAACTGAAATTCCATATTTGCCTCCCTCTACCGCCGGAAGTTTCGGCCCTTTGTAGTCTTTGTCGACCTCACATCCACCTACACCATGATTGAGAGACCTGCAAAAACAGCACATGCTGCAACCAATACCTTCGGCAATAATTTCCAAACATCTCTCAACGGGACTTGCCTCTTCCTCCATCTCGATTGCCTGGTGCACTATCAACCGCTGTAGAATGCGGCACGCATCTGATTCTCTACCTTCTCAAATTCTGCCTTTCGCAGAATTTTCTGCGTGCTGTCCATCTGTTGTCGGACTAGCTGATTCTGAGGTTCCAAAGCCAGGAGCTTGCGGAAATCCGCTATAGCAAGCTTGTACCGCATGGTCTGCAGATAACATGTTGCTCGTCTGTGTTTCGAACATATAGGAGACGTAGCAGACAGGAAGGCAGTTACACTGACCGGTAATATGCCTTAGCATAGTTGGGATCCAATTGAATTGCCGTATCTCCAATCAATTATCGTTCGTGAGGCTATCCGGAATATGGAAGAGTGTTGGAGCTTACTGGCGTCATTAAGACCATAGCCATGTTCTTCGAGCTTAGTCCTCGTGTAGGCGCGGTTGCACCAAATCGTAGGGTCAAGAGGATTCAGTTCGATCGCCTTCGTATACAGTTCTGCTGCCTTGTTGAAATCATGACCTGCAATTCAACAACGGTTCACGATAAATAGGACACTGTCCAGATATCCAGCGCACTCCTGTTTGCTACAAAGCTTACATACTCGTGAACGCCTTATTGGCCTCGGCCTTAATCTTCGCGGCTTCCTGTTTCGCCTCCTCCGAGACATCCTTCAGTGTGAGTTTGGAAAACGTTGGAGAGGGCGGGATCGAGGATGGCGGAGTGGATGCGGAGGAAGGGGAAGGTAAAGATGACGATGGATCGCTCATTTCGATCAGTTTCTCGCAATTCCAGTGATTTGAATGACAGCCAAAGATCAAGTGCTCGTCCTGCAGAAGAACCTGGATTTAAGGGGACCCTCGACTCGGAATCCACTTTCGATAAAAATATGCTTATATAAGCAACACGTGCGGCACGGGCCGGCACACGACTTTAAAAGAATCGGCCTGTCCTGCGATGTGTCTTGCACGAAGACTGATGGTACGCAGAACGCTAGCAGTCGAGCATTCAATATTAAAACGTCTGACCTCAACGTCCAACCACAGCGACATTGCAGGCGTAGCGCATTCGTTGAATAAAAGTCAGAACTGTCGACAACGTTTAAGCAAGCAGCGATATCAGGCGAAACATCATGGTTACACGACATTCGTCAGATCAAATGCATCAGCACCCGCAAGCTTCACCGCGACTCCCTTCTCCGTAACAATGGCTGTGATCAACTCTGCCGGCGTGACATCGAAGCTGGGGTTGTAGACGCCATCCAGATTTTCTGGTGTCACCATCACGGTTGCTTGCTCCTTTATCCCATCTGCATTCAGCTTGGTAGGGTAAAGAGCACCCCGCACAAGACACGCTTCCAGTGGCGGCCGTTGCTCAATTGGGATCCTGAAATGCAGCGTGAGCCCAGTTACTCGATTTTAGGAAACGCCCGGAGTACTCACGCACTACCATCCTGGATATCCAGGTCTACGGTGCTGACTGGGGCAACCACGATGAACGGTATCTTGTGGCGGAATGCCAGGACAGCTGCATTATACGTCCCGACCTAAGGTCGCTCAGCCACAAAGGGCGTACACTTGCTCTTCGAAGCAACGCACCTTGTTAGCGGTGTCTCCGTTCCGAGCTATCCTGTCGGCACCGACAACTGTAACATTGGAGAGGAATGAACATTATATAAGTCGACCATAGAATTCAGATTTTACACTGACCTACCGCGTGGATATTATGATGCTGAAATAGGGAGCCGACCATGCTATCGCAGAGCATTGTCGAGGGTATCTTCAGGGTTTTCAGTTCGAGAGCCGTGAGCCTATCGTGCAATCAGCATATAAAGTGAAAAGCGCATGTTGTGCACCCACCTCGATCCTTGGTGGTACGGCGTAGACTGAGTGTAGAAGGCGCGCTCCAGTCTTCCCGTTTCGTGCAGGTAAGTGATCACACCTAGTGCAGTCCCATACCCCTAGATGTATGCAGTCTCTCGTTGGTTTTCGCAGACTAATTGAGCCGTCCTGAAAGACATACCGAAGTGGCAAGCGAGCCAGTGTTGCAAACGGTCATGACATTCACTTTGGGAGTCGATGCGTTCATCGCCCCGACTTGTCCAACGATCCACTCCGCTCCCCACTTTGACATCTCCTTATTCCTGCCCACATCCTCAGCATCTATTTTCTTCGCTTCCACGATCAGGTCCTGAGCAATGGCTCGGGCGTCCTTGCCCGCCTTGAGAGAGGATTGCAGCGTGCGAGACAAACGTCGCATCGCAGCACCCAAATTCACCGCAGTCGGGCGTGCGGTGTAGAGAAAGTCAAGTTGCTTGTTGATATGCGCTTCGAGTGCTTCTGACGACGAGAGGAAGTCGGGCGGAGGGCTTCTTTCCAAGGCACGGGAGAGATGCGAGGCGATAGAAAGTGCAGCCAGCGACGCGATCGCTGGCGCACCCCGGATCTATAGCAGGTTATCCAAGTCGTTCAGCCTTGCCAGAGATGGACTTATGCGAGCAACCTACCTTCATAGTCTTGATCGCATCGTGAGCCTCTTCGATCGTGTTGATTTCGATGAACTCGGTCGTATGTGGCAGTAGCAGCTGGTTCAGAATTTCGATTTTGTTACCCGTGGTCCTTACGGATGTAAGACCCGACATGACATATGGCTACAGAGGACGTTAAAACGAAGACTCGCAGGTTCCCAAAGGCGAGACTTTCAGGGATAAGTTGTCACGATCGATCACAAAATTAAATCGATCAGCCTTACCACATACCAATCTCCGTAACTTAGTCCGGATTCTTCTTGTGACCGTCGATTCGTGGCCTCTCGATACAGTCGGTCTTATCTCATTATGCGCAAGGTCCGTTCCCGGGCGGGGTCATGCGTTATATAAATTACAGGCTTTGTGACGCCGGTGACATGGTATCACTTTAGCCGCGCACGGCTTTAGAGATGGCTTTCGTCCTGGCCTTCAGCTTCAGCAAACAAACCCTGTACAGTAGTACTTTGCCATCGTGTCATGTTAAAGAGTCAACTGGAGTAGAGGAATGGGACAACAGATCTTGAGCTCTGTCTCATCATCTCTACCCAGCTGCCTCATCAACACGTACCTAGCCAACGATACCGTTATGGCTACTAATGCACATTCAATGGCATCCGCAGCTTGCTGGTGAGGAGACTCTCGGTGGGCATAGTTTGGAGCATGGATGTCTTCTGAATCCACACAGCATGCTCTAACGATATTGGGACTCTGCCGCAAGACACGTCGAGTCGAGAGCGGCGGTTTCGAGGACGGTTGTTCAAAACTCAGTGCGCGCTTTCAGTAAGTGCCGCAAATTCTCGGGCATCTCGAAAGCCAGCACGAAACTCATCTCGAAAGCCGCGCGAAAGCCGAACTGTGAAACCCACTTGGTACTATTCAATATGAGATGGAAGGCATAACTCCCTTGAGAAGTTCCCAGGTCAGGCTACGCTTGTGACATAGTCAACTGTAGTTTAGACTATTCGGCTCAAAAGATTGTCTGAGCAGAAGATAATCCGTATGAATATTATAGACATATCCATATATACGATGTACTTTACATAGACGTTCACAACGAGTACATCCTGGTCATGCTTTACGCAAGTTGGACTTTGTAGGACGCGCCAAGGTCTTCCAACGAGACAATCTCGCAATCCCGATCGTCTCCGTTACTTGTCTGAGTCTCAACGCAGGTTAGGTCCATCGGCTATCGAGCAAGAATCAGTAATCCGCAGAGCCCCTTCGCAATATATGACCTAGGAAATTCACCTGTTCAAGGACGGCCATCGGGTGGTCTGCAAGACGACATCAACATCAAACTTGATTAAGCCATGTGAACACCAATACATACGCCATGTTCCCGTGTTATACAAGATTCCTTGTCCAGCCAACGCAACGAACGCTCTCATGGTACGCAAGTCAGGCTTGTCGTCCTCACCATTCTGCGCTACAATAATCAAGTACTTCTTCGCGGGGTTCTGCAACTCCTCTCCCGCACCCATCGGGATGAACGCCTGATTAGTAAATGGGTGCCTCTCCAGGAGCTTCACCTCCCACTGGCCGCCGGCCTTGACGTCGATTGGCTGGCACCGGTACACGGACAAGCCCGTCGTCGCGCCCGCATCCGGCGGGTAAGACGACTCGAGCAGCGCCAACTTGTGGAACTTGACAGCCGTTCCTTGGTTCGCGCTGGTGATGCGCGTGGTCCTCGGAGACGGAACTGCGTTGACATCTGCGTAGCCTTGTATCACCTTGCCAAAGGGCGCGAACGCCTCCGGCGTGAGTGGCAGCGCCGGGATGACGGGCCCGCCGAGTCGCTGAGGCGTCGGCGCAGTAGAAGCAGCAGATACCACAGACGTGATAGCTTCCTCTTCAGTCGTGATGGGTACTGCTTTCTCATCTCGCGTAACGGCGCCACGCGCTGTGTCATGACTGCCGCCCGCACGCCTTCCGATGATTCGGACTCGCTTGATGCCCCCGTCGGGATATATGGTCACCCTGACGTGCGTGAATGGAGCACTGTCCACGTTCTCGAGCTGGAAATAGTGTTGTCGGTGCGGTCCGAGCTTCGTCCGTGGAAGGACAAGCGTCCATTTGTCCTCGGGAACGTCATTTGGGATGAGCTCATTGCTGCGGGTGGCATGCAGTTCGCACGACTCTGGGAAGTTGCCTTTGAAATGGGCGGTGTCGATCTCCGCATGCGAAAGGTATCCTATGTCCCCCCTGCGACATGAAATGCGAGGCTTCGTCAGCAGATCACGAGAAGGAACTTGGAATGCTAACAGTTTGATGATGGCCCAGTCTTTATGGCCTTTCTGACGGCTACGTTTCGTCTCCCACCCATCGCCCATATCTTTGCCTACAGAGCAACGCATCAAGTTATGGCAGATGACAGGATACGCTTTGCAGCTCACCTCTCCCGGGAAGAATGAGATTCGACCCAACACCGAAGTGTTGGTCTGATGTGAAAACAACTCTTCCTCCGGAGAAGACGTGGGCAAGATCAAAGGCAACGGAGAGGTCAGACGGGAAGACTGGAGTTACCAGCCCATACACACGGAAGCGAGCCTGTAGGGATTGTATCGTGAAGCTTTGTCGACCTCACCGTCCCGCTGCGCACTTACAATACCTCCATCCGGGTACATGTTGAGCTTGACGTAGTTGACCATAGGTATCGCGTTGATTTTGAACAGGTGTCTCGAGCTTGGACCGAGGTCAACTTTGGGCAAGATCTCTGTCCACTGCATTCAATCAGCACCGAACACATCAAGCGATCGCGGCTGATCGTACTCGATGGTCATCCACGTCAGGAGGAGGGGCATCTGCGGGCAAGTACATCGCGTCCACACTGACTTGAGGTGCTTCATTGCCTGTTCGCAGTGTGATGAGCGTGACTTGCCAACATGGCCGAGAACGCTTACCATTGAAATGCGCAGTGTCCACGTCAAATCCGAAGACGGAGCCAGTAGTGCCCAATTTAATGATACACCTGTGCCGATGTCAGAGAGTCCGTTCTGTCTGGTCAAGCACGCGTACCAGTCATAGGTGGGATTGTGGCGCCGCGATTCCCATCCACTGAACAGCGCGCCTTTGGGTCCAAATTGGCCTTTCAAGCTGGGCGCCGGCTAAAGAGCTCGAGCAGTCCACTATCAGACTGCATGCGAAGGGTGAGCAAACATTACCTCGACAAGCAACAAGTGAAACGCCTCTGCAAAGAACTCATCAGAGACGGAGACAACGCTGCCTCCGAGAGCGACGCTCGATAATTCTGAGATCTCTGTCAGTCTACCACGAGCATGGCCATGTCATACTGCTGTTCAACTCGTACCGGTCGCGGTGGAGAAATGCGCTAGGAACTGATCGAGCGCGATGCGTTCGTAGGCCATATTCGACTATACCTGTACACGGACTAGGCTACCTAGCTGCGACTTGTCAGGATGCTCGAGGCTCGGAGTGAGACGAATGGTGGCAGGCTCCATTGATATTCGAGTGAGCGCTTGATATCGGTGGCGATCAAACGCTCGATATCGGGATCGTGCTCTTCGCAGCCGGCATGCTCAGCTGCACGTATAGAAATCCGTGCATACGAAATTCTTCCTCACTTCTTCGCGAGATAGAAAGATGCATAAATCGCTCGGCTGCTTCTGCCGGCCGCGATTGGCCGCTGGGTCCTCATGCGACTGGTCAGATGGTTAGGTCAGCAGAGCTGCCCAAAAAGGGAGGTGCCCGTTTGTGGCGGCTGTCATTCCACAATCACATGCATCTGCACTGCCCTTTTACTGAAACGCTAGCATGTCCAGCCACTCACATAATTCAGTCTTTCTCTCTCCAACCACCACCGTGTCATGATAGACCATCTTTTGGGTCGCCCGAATCCATCCTGGAAAAGAATCCAGGTGCGCTGAACCGTCGCGACCTTGTCGCCACAATGCAACTTAACTCCGTGCCACCAGGTGGTTCTAGTAATATTCTTCTGGCTGTGGAGGATTCTACGCGGGAATCCTGGCGGACCGCGTCTGCTGTGGATTAGGCGTGCCAATAGAGCTCTTCGTGCGTGGATGTTATGTGTCTTCTGACAGTCTATGCTCACGCGGCTTTAGGACGCTTCACTCCATGGCAACTTGTCGTGAGCACTCTGACTGGCGTGTATGCCGTGCGAAACCTTGACAGGATCCTGGGTCTTGGCTGTAAGTGTTCCCACATCTAGGTTGGACGTGGTCTGATAGAACTGATTCGAATACAGCACCGGAGCCACTTGCCGAGCTGGTATGACGTTTATTGTTCAATGCCTGACCGCCGTTCATAATTGTTCTTTGTAGTATTCTCCAGCCTACTATCGCGCCACATGGATTAGCACCGGACTGGACGCCGGATTTGCTACCGCCATGACCATACGGCCTAAGTGGCTGAGGGACCTCTGCTCAGTGATGTTCTCGCTGTACTATATTGTCTATGCTAATGAAGCCGACGAGAAGGTAACATTAGTACTCACTGTGGTTCACATCGTGTGTCACTCACGTCATATTGCAGCTACGCAAATTCCGCGCAGTTCCCACTGTAGAGATGCTCAGATCGACATGGGAGAAGACGACTAATCCTTATGTACGTGCAGAGCGTTTTTCATGATATTCTGATTTTAATATTGTCTTCACAGATTCGCGCACTTACCTACTACCCCAAGGTTACCATTCGCCGCAAGCTCCTTCTATCGCGACCTAATGATTCCACTTATACCCGGCGCGTCACGGCATGGCTATACTTTGCACCTCCAGAGCATCAACTATCAAGGGCTAACGACCTAATTCTTGACGTTCCCGGAGGCGGCTTCATCTCAATGACGCCGGAACATCATGAAGAACGCCTGCGTATGTGGGCGGTGCATACGGGAAAACCGGTTCTATCCATTGATTATGGCAAGGCGCCAGAATGTAGGTGCTGTTCGAGAGCCATCCCGTGTCGGTTCTCACCGTTCATTTACAGATCCATATCCATACGCCATCGACGAGTGCTTTGATGTATACCGGATCCTTATGGAAACTGGAGGTCGGGTCATCGGCATGTCTGGTCACAAATTGAACGTAATCATCTCGGGAGATTCAGCGTGAGTGTTCCCCATGTCGTGCAAATTGTGAACAATGTCCTGACCATCATCCAGTGGAGCTCAGATTGCGACTTCTGTAATGTTCAGGATATTAGAGACCCAGCTGAATGTTCCGCTTCCGTTGGCGCTAGTGCTGAACTACCCTTGTCTTGATTTCAACTTCACATCATGGATGTCACCCTCCAATCTGCGTGTGCTACAGTCCGAGGAGTCATTTGGCCATCTTGCCGGCCTCGCAGCACAGAAGGACCACTATGGGCATATTAGTCCATTGTCCATGGTTGGAGACCGCCGGCCCATTCGCAGGCGAAAGAGCTGGCGCGATGCCCTGCGCAACCTGGCGTCTCCAACCTCGGATAAGAAGCCGCTGCCCCGCCCACGCCGCCCGTCGCCATCCGTGAGAAACGGTAAGAACGCGAAAACAGACGCAAGGGCGGCCAATGGCCATTCTGTGCTTGGCTTCGACGAGGCTGGTGAGATGGCGGACGTAGAGGATGATGCGGACCTGACGCCCCTGAAGGAGGAAGACAAGCCCATCTTGGCCCGTGTGAGGTTCCATCCTCAGGTGGACGAATTCATATTGGAACAACAACAGAAAGAAGCAGAAGCGCAGCAGGTCCAGTTGCCAGTAGACAAGGCACCTATCGGAACCAGACTGACGATGACGAGCCGCACGGGGTACTTCTCGGACCGCATAATTCCGCCTAGTATGGTATGTTTTGCCGTTAACAGCGCGCGAGGAGTGTGATGCTCATGATCTAATGTCGAAGATGCGTGCCATGGCCATTCTGTACATCGGGCCGTATCGCAACCCTGACTTCAGCACCGATTACTACATCTCTCCGATCCTCGCGCCAAGTCACCTGCTTGCGCGACTTCCTCCCATCCTGATGTCGTGCGGCGAGAAGGATCCATTCGTCGACGACACCGTCATCTTCGCTGGACGTGTGCGCGAGGCAAAGTGGGCGCGCAGGGCAGAGTTGGATGCTGCGCTCTCAGGCGAGAGCGCCAAGCCCGTTGAGCACTTGCTCAACGGCACGGCGAGGACTCTGAGCCAAGAGGAGACGCAGCGCGCGCTTCGGCGCGAGCGCGAGCTGCTCGCCGGGCAGGGCGAGGAGGACTGGGTGACGATGCGTATATTCTCGGAGTGGAGCCATGGGTATCTGCAGATGCCGATGCTGATGCAGGAGGCGCGCACGGCGATATACGACCTTGCTGACTGGATAGACGAACAGTTCGGGAAGAAGGAGCTCGGCTCTGCGACGAAACGTGATACGAACGGGGCAGCCAACGGGTCGGCGCGCGGGAAGCGCATTTCGCAGCCTGCGCGTGGGATGCGGCTGACGATCCCCTCGCGCACGGAGGATGGGTTCACGTCCGTGACTTCTGATACCGAACTGGAGACGGAAACGGACGATGCGTTGACGTTCTCTCCGAAGAAGAGAGTGACGCCACCGCTGTCCTCCGATGTGACCGGTGCTAACGGGAAGTCCCTCTCGCCGCCTCGGGTGCTTGCAGGGTCTTTATCTCCTCCTGGTAGGGGGAAGCACAGCCGCTCGGAGAGTGCCTCTCGTAGGCGTGCTGGTAAGGCAGACGACAACCCGTCCGAAACGGAGCTTCCAGCAACTCCGCGGTTTGATCTGCTTCAAGATGTCGTCGGGCAGCCCATCGCACAGGGCACTGCCGGCGGACAGAAACCTAGACAACGCGAGTCGTCGCCCGGGTTCTCGAGCAGGACGGGGACTCCTGGAAAGTCGGGACAAACTATCTCGGAATCCGAATTGATGAGGAGACGTCGTCTGCTCGACTCTCATTTGATCTCTGATCCGAAGTAACTTTGATGCTTTAGCTCGTTCTTGGACTATGCTCTGCTTGTAGTGGTATAATTGATGTATGAAGTGCGATAGCTGGATTTGTGTAAGTGTAGAATGGAGTGTAATTACGGGACATCGATCCGCATAGGAACGCATGCTACCTATCTAGTCTCGTTCAGAGGACCTACCTCGGTGCGCCGCCGGCTGATGATGTCTGGAGGCCGTGATCATCAAGCTACGCCAACTAGGCGAGTCGCAGCCTGGAGGGCGATGCTGGTGGTAGCAGAGTTGTGAGCTAAATGATGATCTGCGGACCCCTTCCCGATTGAGACAATTGACAAGACTATCGAGAACAGCCCGAGTGCCCGAGTATCCATGCGTCAGAAAGTCTCTCAGTGTATCAAAACTCAATCAGGTAAAGTCTATTCATCGCAAGTATGATTATGTGTCACACAGCCAGGCTCATGACACCAATCTGGCGGTCGGAAATTCCACGACGAATCAGAGCAGAGGGCCTGCCGAGTATCACAAAGCGGGGGAGCATCAGCAGAGTCGCAAGACTGATCAGAACAGAACGGACTAGCCAACATGTTTTAGGAAGATGCGTCGAGCACGGGAGCAGTAAGTAGGGCGGCTTACGTAACATGCAGGCGCCGGAAAGTTACCATCAGGGAAAACATCTGAGATTGACGCGCTTTCAAGGCTCCGATACCGCTGTGTGGCAGTGTGCGGCGGACTTGATTTCGCTGCTCTCGGGAGGGGGGCGCGCACCAGAATCCCGCCTAACACTGAATGGTGGCAGTGTGGATGCATCACCGTCCAGCGCAGGCGTGGGGATGGCGCGCATCTTCCTCCCGACGCTACCCACCAGGGGGGAAGGAGGGCCGGCATAAAAGGGGAGCGTTGCACGTTTGATTTTTTTCCTGGCCGGAACACGCCAACTGCATGCGCACCTCGTTCCCCGCTGCAAGCACGCCCCGTCCGTCGTCTCACCGTCCAGGCCTACTGACTCCGCTGCAAACGCCAGAACCGCAGACGTCGAATATCAGAAAACACGGTTATCTGCAGGCGCCTGTCAGTCACAGTCAGCCATGGAAGTGGTGGCCTCGAGAACGGCCGCTTCTTCTGTCCTCGTTTCTCCTCCTCCCCAGCACAGCTTCGCTTCCTATCGCTTCTCCTCCTCTGCCCACTCCGTCCGCTCGCCAGGCATGTCCAGAGGCTCCGCGAACCCCCAGAGCGATTTCGCGGATCGCCCACATGCTGCGGAGGGCGACGCGACCTTCTACGCCACAGCGTCTGCAGGCCACACCCACGCCGCCTCGAGCTATCTGTCCCTCGCACCATATCCTGGCTCTCTGAGCTCGCATTTGCACCCTTCAAGGTCTGAGACCTGGCCACCGACGCGTATACCCGCTTCTAGCTCCAATACCCAGCGACCGGTGCTGCCCCCGCTCAATACCCTCTTAGCAGTGACAGGCCGAGACGCCCGCACAATTTCCCCGGAGACTCCGCGTCCTTCCCCGAGCTCAGTAGTCCACCTGCATCCTCACTCGTTGACCCCAGCGCTGCCCCCGCTTTCGAATCCTCATGGATCTGCGCTCGCGGGGTCTCCGGCCTCGTCGACGATGCTGCCCCGATTGCCGCCCATCATGCAGGTCGAAAAGCAGCAGGTGACGACGAGCGCGACGCAGGCGGCGAGCGCGAGCCGGCGCAGAAACGAAGCACACTTTGTCTGTCCCGTCCCTGGATGCGGGAGCACTTTCACCCGTAGGTTCAACCTGAGAGGTCAGTATCATCCGGCGCTGCGTCTCGAAGCGGTTCTTGACGTGGAATTGTTGTGCTAGGGCACTTGCGATCGCACACGGCTGAGCGCCCGTTCATGTGTGAATGGCCAGGCTGCAATAAGGGTTTTGCCCGGCAGCATGATTGCAAGTACGTGATTAATTTGTGGTGTGCCATCCGCATCGGAGGCGCCAATGATAAAAGATTACTCATGTGCTGATGCTGGACTCGCTCTTGACATCGATAGAAGACACCAGGCGCTACACACTGCGAAAAGCCAGACGAACGTGTGCGGCGGCTGTGGCAAGACATTCAGTCGGTTGGATGCGTTGAACGTGAGCTCCCGGTTTGTCTCATGAGTCCACTGATCTCAATGTGACGCGTGCGTGTTCCAGAGACACCGTAAGTGTCTGAGACTCGGCCACGTCATGTGCGCTAATGTGTATGTTGCAGTGCGCTCGGAGAATGGAGCAGAGTGCCGAGAGACGGCCGAGGCGGCGGCGGCGGCTGCGCGGTTGAGTCCGAGCGATGATATGGACGACTGGGAGAACCGAAGCGCGAGTTCAGATAGAAGCGGGCGTTGACGTCCAGGACGCCTCGTTGTTGATTTACGAGCTAACGATATCCAGCCATGTCCGGCCCCGCTGACCGTGTATATTAGCCACGCGCGCATCCAGCCCGCTCGGGGCATATCTATACCACGATGCCATGTACGCCCACGTTATCGACTTATCGAGGAGAGAGTGACGACGGGTGATCGCGGTGGGAAGTGGCGGACATATTTGTGCCTCGCTGGGCGGGCGCCAATCAGAGGTGTGCCCGAGAATGGCACAGCATTCATATGCATCCTGTTTCCGTGCACAGCATCGTGCCCGCTATCGGTCCGAGAAGCGCGGAACTTGATGATCTGCATTGCGCAGCTCCTACTAAGCTCGGCCAGCTCCCCGAGCCTCCTGCCACTCGTTCGAATATCTATATCATTCATTCGCACGGAACTCTAACCCACGCTCCAGCTGCGGCCAGCTGTGCATAGGTGGGGAAGGCGACCCGGTCACTAGGCGCCTGCAATCGGAGAATACCTATCACCGCCCGTCGTGCCGCCACGCAATGCGGCGTCCGTGGGTGGATGAGAGTAAAGGACCATCAGACTGTTCTGTTCGCTCACTCTGACAGCTGACAACACAAGCGCGCCCTCCATGCCATTCTGCGAGCCCCGACGTGAGGTGAGACGGCAGCTCACCAGCTGAGGCCACTAGAATTTTCTGATGGTACGCTGCGACAGTGCGTGAGCGGCGCCCCGTCGTTTACTCACAGCGCAGTTCCTGGTAACACCCCGGTTATCGGAGAATTTGCTCAGAAGCATGCGAAGACTGCGACAGTCTCTGGCACGCGGGTGCCGCTCCCACATGAGCATGTCCTGTGTTCCGTGGATTTCTGAGAACCGCCGCGGGATTAGCATAGTCGGATTCGACAGGGCTATGTTCTGCAGTTCTAGTGCGTAGCAGCGGCCGCCTCGGATAAGCGCAACACATCGAAACAGCGAGGCTCTCCTGCCTGCATCAACGTCGTAGGATGGAAAGGCCTTATCACGGTGCCGATGTGTGCCACGCTCGTGCCGCTAGCCGATATCAGACGGAACCTGGACCATGACCCCCGCGGGGCAGGCAGGAACTGATGATGTGCCACTCAGGCTGCACTCGCCCGCGTCCCGAAATTGGGCGGACCTTCTGTTCCATCATCGCGCGGTCAGCCTAGCCACTCAAAGATCTCCATCCGTCAGCCGCCAGCAACTAGCTGCCTAGTAACCCACGAGGAGGGACGACCTGCCGTGCAGCCGCACAAAGAATGCGTGTATCTGCCGCCACAGGCACTGGACAACGCACTCCCAAATCAGGCAGGTGTTGTAGAACGTCGCAGAGCTGCACCGCGCTTCTCTGCACAGCTTCCCGTGATCAGAAGACCACAGCGAGCATCTTACTCAGACGCACCCTCGCCGACGCTCTTCCTCTCAACGTCGCCTCTCGCGCCGAGCGCTGCATGCTCACTGTCTGGCCCACGTCCAGACGATGGACACCGGCGAATCTCACGCTCGCCCACCACGCCGGGTGCGCGTTCCCTGCAGTAACTGCGAGCGACATCGCGCTGTGCCGATGCAGAGAGCGGCCGGAGGCGGATCGACAGGCTTTTGGCGTGAGGAGTGGGCTCGGGTACGCGGTGCGGCTATCCCCTCCCCCAACGCGTGCGCGTGAGCAAACACGAGTGACCACGTTGCACGCTCGTTCACGCGGGCACCGAACTGATTGGCTGCTGTGAGTTAAGTATGGCCCATAGAGTCCGCACTGCCACGCATGCAAGAGGCACGAGAACGGGCCGATGCCGACATGAAGGCTTCGTTGAATTGAACCGCTTATCTGTAGGACCCGGCAAACGCCCTTCCATGAGCAAGAAATGAATTGGTTCCCACGAGACAGCCTAGCCGTTCGTTGGCATGCACAACCACCACGCCTTCGTACAGATCAAAACGTCCCTAATGCTACACGTTCATTTTACGCACGGCAGATACGGATGGCAGCGCGACAGCGCTGCTCAGCAGGTTTGCGACACGCCTAGACCTCACACCATCTGGAAGTTGAGCCGGAAAGCTGCCAACGAAAAACATCGTTCAGCACGTATTCTTTCACTGCTATCTACGGAGACGTACCTTCCAAATCCTCGCGGTCACACAGCGTCGCCAGGTCGATCCTCTGCATATGCATGCAACACGTCTTCAAGCTCTCCCAGAGCGCATGCGTGGTAACGCCCCGCTTGTCCCCAGAGGGCTCGTACACGCTATCACCGTCCTGGAGCAACAGCGCGTCCAAGATGTGCTGCGCAGCTTCTCCATATCGCTGTACGTAGAACAGCCGTCAGCCAGTGAATGATACACGCACGCTCGACGCAAACCTACCCGGAGATTGATACAGGATATACCGAGGTTGAACCTGCGACGCAGTCTGTCAGAAAAGTCCGAGCTCGCTGATAAACTGATCACATGCCTGGCGCGTATGTAGGCTGGATTCAGCTCGATGGCTCGGTAGTAGTACTGCAAGGCCTCTTCTGGCCGCCCGCTATTAGCCAAAGTCGCGCCTACCCTGTTGTACAACAGCCAGTCCTTTAAAACGAGTCAGAGGAAAGGATATACGGATATCTGAGAGACACGGACATCAGGCCGCACTGCGAGCGCGGTGTTAAAGCAGTCCTGTGCCATCGCATACTCCTGAGAGGTATTCAACATCCGCCCCAACTTCAGCCAGCCAGTTAGACACACCTCGTTCGTGTTCAACAGCACCGCCAGCGCGATCTGTATATCTGCATTAATCTCTCTCCCAGCGTCCTCCCGGGCCATATAGATCAAGCACTGTATCAGGTTCGCAAAGCGCTCCGACTGCAAAGTCTCCTCGCTCTCGGGGTTCGCCTGCCGAAACTGCTCCACGGCCGCGCGGTACCGCTCGTTGCGTTCGACCCATTCACTGATTGCATAGTACGTGCCCTGCCGGTTGCCTTCATTCGTGTGCGAGACCGCGAGCGCGAGCCAGGACGGAAGGTGTTCCGGGTCGAGCTCGAGCGCACGCCGCAGCGCCTGCACGGCCTTATGCTCGCGCTCATTTTCCTGCTGCTTGACGCCGAGCTCGAACCACTTTAGCGCATCGAGCGGTTCGCGCTGCACCGCGGCTTCCATTTCCAAGACGCTCTATATATGAAAACAAAGGGGTCAGCCGCTCCTTACGTGAACCGCCGACCGCAGCGGAACGAACGTACGTCGAACAGCGAGTTCCTCGCGTCCGCGTGTAACTGGTGGGTCCGAGTTCTCGACGCCTCTCCCAAAACATATGGGTTGTGAGCCTGGAACTGGTAATGCGCAAGCGGCCGAATACCTGTCGCGGTCGCCTCGAACGCGTCCCAGTCGCGCTGCAGTCGGCCCCAGTCCGCGTCTTGCGAGCCGTACATGTCCATCCAGCTGTCTCGCCGGGGTACGGTCGTCGGCGGCTGCGCCTGTTTCTGCGCCTCGATGTAGCGCTCGTTCTCCTCCCGGAGATAGGCATCGATGGGATTCTCCTCGTATTGACTCGCGAGATCCGCTGGTGCGTGCTCGGCCACAATGCCAGTTTGCGGCGTGGACCTGTATGCTGTTCCCACGGCCTGCGGTATCATTGCTTCGGATACAGCTGCGGAAAGCGGCATCTCTCGGCCTTTTCCCTTCGCGTCCGAAGCACCCTTGAACTCATTAGCCCAGTTGCTCGCACTTGCCCCGGTCGAGGACGTTGGATCCTTCGGTACCATTTTATCACCCTCGACGACGACCTCGCCATCGCGGAGTTGCCGCATGAGGCCCATGAACTGGCTGTTCTTGAACTTTGGGTTTTGCTCACTCCGGACCGTCTCCATGAGCCTGCCTGCAGTGCGTGCAAGCTCGTCGTCACCGACGTTCTGTGGAGAGGTGTTGTTCGCCTGCTCGGTCGCGGGAGCCTCTTGCACGACTGTCTCCGAAGCATTCAAAGCAGCTTCATGTGATTCAAACACTTGCTCCCATTGTATTGCTGGATGGACGAATTAGTATGTGTGCTACCCTGTTACGAACTATAAGAATGCGGACCATCAGCTTTGTGACCTGCCGCTTGGACCTGCGTAGTCATTCCTAAAGGCATCATGCTGGTTGGGGAGAGTGTTCCCACGTTGTATCCCATAGACATGGAGTTCCAAGGGCGGAAACCTACCAGCCAAGCTCAGCCATTCCACCGCACTATCCAGCAAGTCGACATACTCTGCGAGAAGCCACCCGGCGTGAACTGCTGTGGCTGGACATGCGTGACAGACTCCTGGGCAAGATCGACAGAGGAGCGCTGAGCAAGAGCACCAAGAGACAGCTGAGAGGCAGACGATTGTTTGGCCGGTTGCTGCAGGAAGTCGGTCGCCCAGGCGGCAGGAGACAGCGGAGTGTGCGTCTGAGGCGATGGAACGGGCGATTGCAGATGCGGCGGAGGCAGCGATGCGTGCAGAGCGGAGAAGTCGAAGGCGGACGGGCCAGCAAGGAGACTCGGAGATGTCTGCGATGACGAGAAGAATTGTGCTGCATCTTGGCTGGATCCGGCAGCAGCAGAATATTGCGAACGGAAGGTCTGCGTGAAGATCAGCGTGATGCATTAACTATCATGTTGATGACTTGCACCTCTTTGGAAGAACCAGCACGGCCGGCCCCGAAATGGTCCTACAGTTACATCGATGAACATGGCCCGACAATACAAGAACAGACTGCCCGTACCTGCTGGATGCCCCGATCTTGATCGAACCTCTTGGATAGACCCTGGAGGGGGTTGGAGGGACCGCAGTCTGCACCGCTGACGAGCAGCGGCAAGGACATGGTTGTAGGCAAGGAGCGTGGGGAGGAAGATGCGAAGAACGGTGGTGGCTTTTGAAGGACGGTCCCCCAAGAGCTGGATATAGTCGAGCCCCGCTTAATTAGCGCCCGAGTATTATGTCGCGTGCGTCTGTCATGTGAATAGTCCGAGACTTAATTCCCGCCACAATATATCCGTGCGGTGCTTCAGATACTGGTCGGTGGCCTCTTAATGCAGCCACGTTATATAACAAGCGCATTTCTGATTCAAAAGTCACGCGTACCCCGAAAGGCACAATGCCGTATACTTTCAGGGGTTAACGGAAGCGTGGTCACACTCGACAGAAGTGCTTCGTTCTCCTAATATCAGCCTCCTAAACTACGAAGCTACCAGCCAGCCCTTTGGTTCATTCGTTCCTCGGTTGAGAGACCTGACATGAATGGGTGTGAGCGAAAAGAGGCTGGACTGAAGCATCTTCCTTCAAGGACAGACCAGAGTGGCGACGACGCACTGCAGATTCAGGGAAAACACGGTCGGCAGAGAGCAGTGCGTTGACTATTGCTCAACCGGTACGACTGTTACAAGGTATTTACATGCGGGGAGAGGACAGCCAGCGGAGAACAGGCCGTGGGGACACCGTGCACTCGTTGTCAAACGCAGATAATCCTCGAGATCGCCGGTGACTAGAATTGGCTGCAAGGAGCCGGAATTTCGAAATTCGACAGATGTGGGCCATAATAAGCAGTTTGATTTCTTGTCCTTAGTCGCTTGCTCTCGCGAATCGAGAGATCTGACATTGGAAGGGAAGTGTGCATTGCGATGGAACACCATAAGGAGGTAGCAATTGCGCTGTTCGTTCGACACCAGGACAAACATCGTCTCGGGTTACCTGTTCACCTTGTTATCCATCAATGAAGAAAAAACAGACAGACAGACGCGACGTACGTTCGACGCAATCCCAACCGCTCCGCCCTAGACATCGCCTCCCTCCTCTTCTTCGCATCCTCAGCAGCCACATACGGCTGCCCAAGCTGCTGAGCACCACCAGACGCAGCAGGCGCCGTTCCCTTCATCGCCGCGAGCGACTTGGCCGCGTCCGCCTTGCGCCGCGCGTCAACAGCTTTGCGCACGTCCTCCACGTCCGAATCGCGCAGTAAGAGCTGCGTCGGTGTCCTGCGCATCATGTCCGATATGCAGCCTGGCGAATATGAGTGTTGTGAGCAAGAGAGGCAGAGCCACGCCTGCGGCGCAGGCCCGAGACGCGCACGCGACGCGGCGCCCAACCGGAACACGTCTCTCTCTCACATCACCCCTCTTCCACCGCCATCTCCCTTCTACACTACTCAACCCTTTACTCAACCTAGCCTCTCTCAACCACTCTCCCTGCCCATACCCATATCGCAGAAACGACTACGACTATGGAGGCCCTCATGCGCGTCACAGATACCGTAAAGGCATTCCGGGTGAGACTTCCCGGTCGTAATAGTACCAATAACACGCTCGTGAGCGCATCGACTTACGCTGCTCGTTCGTGACGCCACGTCCGTGTAGGAGACCCGCCTGAGTGCGCTGCGCCCACTCGGCGAGTTCTTCGACTACCACCGTATCTCGAAGCCGGCGGACATGAACACCGCCACGACGGTATGTCCCTTTCGTATCTTACGCAGTTTATAGAGTTCTCAGATGTCTGCCCTTTGCCCAGAGGATATCATATAACACACGCTATTTCTCTGGTGCGTCCTGTGACGGACAGGTATGATAAGGCGCTGTGGCTCACGAGATCATTCATCGCACAAACAGGGAACTACGGAGTCATCGTCGCCACCCTCGCAGTCTACGCACTGATCACAAACTACCTCCTCCTGGTCTCCCTAGCCTTCCTCATCGGCGGCTTCATCGCGATCAACAGATTCGGTGCGTGGCACATCTCTCTTTACTTCCACACCTCCTTGTCCTCACGCTCAACCTCGAATAGCACCGGAGCCGATGCAAGTCGGCGAGCACGTCGTGACGCAAAAGTCGTTGTACACCGGTCTCTTCGTCATCGGTATCCCTCTCGTCTGGTTCTCCTCCCCTCTCTCCACCTTTTTCTGGCTCTTCGGCGCATCATCGTTCCTCATCATCGGCCACGCATCGCTCATGGAACCCGGTATCGAGAGCGAGTATGCGGCAGTCGGGGAGGCTGTCTAAATGCTCTAGGCTGTCTAAATGCTCTGTGCATCGCACAATGCAGTGTGGCAGGGTGGATTTGTAGATGAAGAAGCAGGAGCGAAGGAGAGGAAGACTTCGTTCCTATTACATTAGGTCACACGTCTTTTCCGCTGGTAGGATAGTTGTTTGGTTTATCATTTGAACATTTGGTATACAGTACGCCCTGCAGCTGTTGTTGTACACGCAGAAAGTACATGCACCCTCTCTTTCTGTCAGCCCGATTACATGATGAAAGCGCCCCGGGCAGGCTGTCATGACGGTGTGTGGTAACGCAGTCATTAAGGAGAGTTGGTAGGAAATTAGCGCAGTCGGGACTCGGAAGGCAGTGGATGTGAAGAGACGGAGAGAGTGCAAGTCGATAGCGAGATAACGTTACAGATTACAATTTCAAGGCGATGATTCCCTCCGTGGATCTCGAATGGTCATAGCAATGGCAGCCATTGTCCTACGGGAGGCACACATCAGAACATGAGGAAGAGAAACAGAACGCGACCCACCAATGACGAGGCTCGGGAGGTCCATGATATCCCTCCTGATGGAGAAGCAAAACGTGCACGGCACGGGCGCACCAGAAGGCTTTAGCAGAACACAATGCGAGTACACACTCTGCGTCGTGTTCTCGAATGCGTGATTGGCAAAGTTCTCCCAATACTCGACGACGGACTGATTCTCGAACAACTATCAAATTCAATTTGTCAGTTCACTGCATGACGCACCAGACGGGGGGCGCACCTCATAAATATATTTCCTCCGCCCAATCAGCTCTTCCTTCTCCCAGCCCGTGAGCATGCAAAACTCCGGTCCAACGAGACAGATCTCCCCCGTCCGCCGCCACGCCACGGTAGGCGTCCCGCTAAACGAGACCAGCTTATCAAGCTCCTGCACAACGAGCCCGATGAGGACGGCCGTAGCCCACATTCAAACAGAAGCATGCGCACGATGAGCGAACGCTGGAAGCACTTTTCTACAAACACCTCATCCTCCTCCGAGAGAGGCATCTGCAGCGCGATCAGCGACGGTCGAAAGATCGCGAGTGCGCGGACGATGCGCAGTATATCATTCTTGTCGAATCTAAGATCACCATATGCAATCAGCACCATACGCCACAAACCTATAATTAGCCCGATCAGAAATTGAGGACCCACCGTGTCGGGAGGTGCTTCATCAAAAAGTGGTAGCCTTCGGTATAATCATACGGCTTCGTCACCGCCTGATATACCACCGCGCCGTTCTGCGGGCCGACGGCGATAGCTGAGCCCGCCCCAGCCGCCGTCTCGCCCGCCCACGCCGCAGTCCTGTTCGCTCCCGATATCGATGCGTCAACAGGCTGTCCGCGCTGCCCATACGACGAGAATCGCTGCGTTGTCGAGCTCGGTGGTGTTGATGGCTGCGTGCCCGTGGACGTCGCATAGTCCGTATATGCGAGCGGCGGTTGCTGCGGCACGTTCACCGACGGCGGCTGGCCCTGCCCCGGCGTGAACTGTGCTGGTGGGTATCCGGTGTAATCTGGTGAGATCGTCTGGCTGGGGAGGTTCGAAGAGGATGAGAGTGTCGTTTCGGAAGGCTGGATCGCGAGCTGCGTCTGCTCGCCGTAGTTCGATGGGCCTGTGCCTGTCGTGCCGTAACCGTTCTGACGCGATGCGCTGGGGTACGGATCATTAGGCCATGTAGCTGCCACAAGGTTCGCGCCGGACGTCGATGCGTTGTATGACGCTGATGGGGCGGCAGGACTACCGGCGTTCTGCGCACCGGTCGAGTCGGGTGAATTGCCAAGGATGGCGGAGAGGATGCTGTATTCAAGGTTCGCGCCCTCGGATCCAAGAGCGTACGGTGTCCCGCCGTAAGCGGAGTACATCGTGTCTGAAGGCACGTATTGCGGTTCGGGAGGCGCTGGGGACGTGCAGGCGTTTGTCATCGGTCACGACAGCACGAGAGAAACGGAAGCGCTTTACATTGTGGTACGGGCGCAGGTTCGGTGCTTTTTGATGAACCTTCGCTGGACTTTGTGTGTTTGAGGGCCTCTGGAATATGCAGTGAGGGCTGCTTCGCAGGCGACAGTTTCCTCCAACCTACCGAGCTCCTCTTCGTCCAAGAGATACTTTGCCTTTTTGCGGTGTCCTTCGGTGCAGTTATCTGCCATGCCGCGCTTTACGCATCGTTGGCAGGGTCGTGCTGCGAAGGCACAGCAAGGTCAGTCGGACTGCATGAGATAGATGAGACGCGCAACTATGAGATTTCCCCATACGCCAAGACCATTCTGGCCCATCAATTACGAAACACTACCACAAACAGGTAGCTGTGACCTGCACTACCCCGGGCAGTGTGGGGAATTAGAGTGTGCCTCGAACAGAAGAACAGGGGCGGTGTGGTCGCGGTCGGGCTAGCCAAGCTTCCTCTGATAACCTGAGAAGCACCAATCTCCGGAAGGCTGCACGGACGCGGGCTGCGGGTCCAATCTGCACAGAAAATAGCTTGACATGCAAGAGCAATCACGCGCAAGACATGTGGTGGATAACGCGATTGGCAATTGGTGGGGATCGGGGATCCTGAGCATCGAGCGGAGAGGACTCACAGTCGTCGCAAGTGAGGTGTGCCTTCTGGCAGTGGAAGCACGCGCGGTTGGCCTTTTTCTTCTTGGGCCCCTCGCGAGTGCGTGAGGGCTGGGATGAGGAATCTGCGCTGTCGCTGGTAGCGTCTTGGGGCCGTCTGCGCTTGGGAGCCGACTTTTTCTTTGGGTCGGCGGCGGGAGTGTTCTGTTCAGAGGTGGAAGCGGAAGAGGGGGCAAGGTGGTACGGGGGCAAGGTGGGCTGCTGGGTCAGTGCAGTCGGCATGGCGTTGGCGTCGTCGATGTGGGACTGGGAAGAAAGCATTTTGAAGCGGACATGGAGATATTTCAAGGCGTAATAGCCGAGGGAAAGAAGCCTACGCTCTCATCAGGCGCCCTCGGCCGATGCGCCGGCCTCCTTCCTCTTAAGGATGCCAGTGATCCGGATAAGACCGCCCTGCCCGGCTGCCGGCTTCCACTGCCGGCATCTGAATCTGCGCAAAGTGCTCGTCATCGACGCATCACGTCCGCATTATTCTGCAACACCCGTCATTACATCCCGCTGCACACTTGCTTAATCTGCGAGGTATCTCTGGCGAAACGGCATACTAATGAAGTGGCGGAGGACGAGTGCCCTATGTCAACGAACTGCCTTTGTCGACACAATCATCTCGTAAAGGCCTTCAAACAACTTCCATTGACCGCTCTATCTCCTGCCATGGTACTCATCGACTCCCCACTTACGATAAGCGGTGAGAATCAGGCCACCTTCTGCCGTACGGAGCCACCTGCGAGCGCTGGAACCTTTCGAGTGCCACCTTCTCTTGCTCATGCCCTGTGAGCATGCTTATCCGCTTCGTCGTCCCGTTGCGAAAATCGTAGCCGCTCCCATGCACAGATATCTGGACCAAGTCGTCGGCTCATCAGTTTGTCGTACCGGTTGACATTACCAGCAGAGCTGCAAACCTAGTCATGAAGCAGACGGAAATGGTCAATCTGAGTGAGTGCACCGAAGAGACAGCACTGGCGATTGCTTACGATGTATCGATCCTCCCCAGTTTGTCACTGAACTCATCATCAACTAATTATAGGCCGCAGCTCGCTTCAATTATACGCCATAGGGCACCGTGTGCGTTCCCTGCGTGCTTTGAGCTCGAAGGTTCCACAGGACTGGCTGGTGCGGATAACGATGCGAGATGGCTACTCCATATTGCGAGTTCCAGTCATATCCACAAAGACAAGGGATGCTTGATCTTAATCTCGATCCTATGAGCGCGGACTGGGACAGCCATGCAAACGGCAGTAGCTTGGATTACAATTCATGTAGACCATTAACGGCATATTCCAGCTAATCATGGTGAATGCATGCAATGACCAAATATAAATATTTGTGGAGACCAGATAGAGACACAATAATCGAGCCAGCAGGGACAAAACTTGGAGATGGATCTATATAAAGAGTGGATGTCAGGATAGAGATGACGAAAGTGATCTCTGATGAACATGCTTACTATACCAGCCAGTGGGCAGTGTTGCGAGAGTTTATGCTCTTTGCTACGTATGGTGGAAGCGAGTTCAAGGGCATGGGGTTTGGTCCTGGAAGTGGAGCCGAGGGGACGTTTGCAGGGACGAGGTTTCTGGGAGTCATGGCCAAGAGTAAGGGCGAGTAGGCGCCGCCCAACTGTACATTGTAATATCAAAAACATCCACAGGAATCCTGAACATCTGGCACCCTTTCACGACAGAAGGAAAGATCCCAAGCGGCTTGAGGCGGTGAAGTAAGAGCATCACTGTCCAAACCCATGCAGGCAGTGTATTGTTGACTGATACACGGAGTAGTACTGGCCATGGTAAAAGCCTTGAAAGAGCAGAAAATGAACTAAAATTCTATAGATAGAAGCTGTTGGACTGTCAGTACATGAGAGCATTGCGAGAGACAAAATTAATGCACCAGTGTGGCAGCACCAGCCATTAGGCAGCGCTTGCTTCATGGGAGGAGTACAGAGATCATAGCTTATGCCCCAAGTGCCAGGCAGCTGAAAGAAAACAACTATAGGAACCGGAACTATCAAGCTAACGGCAAGTGAATCAGTGCACAGAAACGACGGGACTGAATCGTGGTTAGTACTAACCGGCAACTAAGTTCGGAGTGATTTCAGGAGCAAACGAGGCCAAATGATATGAGAGGCTTTTCAAGTTATTCTTCACACTGTTGCATCTTTGGCTTGTCATCTCTCACAAGCTCGCTCACGCCAACGCTGTGCTTCATCATGCCGCAAACTGCCCACAGTCTCTCTCCTGAGACTACTGAATCCTACATCCAGCGGCTCACGCACTACTTGACTATCTCCCAGCTTTCAATGAACCACGTGTCCAAGCACTTGAACATGGCCGAGGCCGAACCGTTACACTCACAAGCTGTCAGGATATGGACCCAACACAAGCTGTATCATATTCCTCCACTGCACTCTGTTGAAAAACGGCAGCAATGGTTTCACGAAATCGATATCATATGTACGCAGGCCCCTGCTTCTCACGAGTGAGTTCAATTTCCTTCCTCGCTGGCAAGTGTTCCTAGTATTCAGCCTCATTGGCGATTTGTTTCAGCTATCTTAAATGGATTATCAGGGTTTTTGCCTGCCACGGTGCCGTTGAGGCCATCCATATGCAGGAGTTATTACACATGCCGAACAGAGCCCTTGCCGCTATAAATGTTGAAGTTGGAAGGCGCCAGTAAGATTCATCATGCTACTTTTCTCGATATCGTGGCACCGCAAACTCACCAGTTACATGAACAGATACAAGAACGTGACTGGCAAAGATCAGCCCCCTTTTGGCCCTCAAACTTCGCGCGACAAAGAGATGGCTGCAAACCACGACCTCATCGGTCATATTGTTGTGCGCCCGAACGGTTATGGAGAAGTCGAACAACTTACCGTCGTTGACTACGTCACCGGACTCGTGGGAAGGGCTTTCTTCATCTTACAGAATGTTGCACCCGACGAGGATGGCAAAATGGAGCACATTATGGAGGAGAAGTTGAGGAAGCTGCAGTTGCTACCCGAGGAGGACGGGTAGCTTGCTCACCGGTACTACCAGTGGCCTGTTACGAAACGTACCGTCGCTCATGGTCACGTGATCCCCATGAACAAGCGCCTAGAAGAGACGCCCAATCACGGTCAGGTGATATCAGTCACTATGTGACTGAGGACAGCTTCTAGTCACTATGTGACCGAGGACAGCTTCTATGGTTCTCAAACTCTAACCCCAGGATCTGCGATCCAGGACTTTGGTTCTCATTTCATATTTCAGGTATTTCACCTACGCTTTCTTAGCTCGCCAATTACCTGGCTCGCAGCAGCTAAGCTCCGGTGTGTTTCACCTATCTTTATCACTGAGGCAGTGTAGAGGACCCCTTGTACTAGTACCCCAGACTATAGGTCTGCGACTATATAAAGGGGCGGAGCAGCAGTGGGAAGACTAACCTCTTCCACCTGTGACTCTGAACGTTCTCAGTTCTAGAACCCTCGTGCAATCGTACTCGCTCTCAAGAGGTAGTAAGCTCGTACGCTTGCTAGAGTCAGAACAGCGAACCTAGTAACCTGCGGGTGAACGTGCAATAGCTGTAGCGGCCAAGGCCTAGCAAGGGTAGAGTGAGGACCTCACTGCTACATCGTCTACTAGGCTTGACCACACTATAAACCCTGCTAATAGTCTGCCTGACTATTGGAGATGTTAGGTATATTTGGTATCTAAGTCTCTGTCCACGTTGTGGACTAGTACGTGTGAGAAAGCACACGTGGTTCTGAACGTTCTAGCAGAGAACACTTCATAACATTTGGAAGAGGTTTTTCTATAAGTCAACCTATTTAGGTTTAGAACCACTTACAAGAAGTGGGGTCTACTTGGACGCTACAGAAGAATCAAGACTTGTGTAGTCACTTCCAGGACCTGTGTGGTTTCCTTGGTACGACAAGGAAGGGAAACCTGTGTGGGTCAATCAAATCTGTGTGTTCATCGAACTCAAGCACTAGCGGTTACCCGTGTGGTAATCCAGAAGAGAAGCCCTCATCTGAGGCACACGTTGAAGACGTGCTAAAGCCCTTCCCAGGGAAGGCAATTCGGAATCAAGAAGATTCAAGGAACTAACGGTAGTCCGTGTGACTATCCAGAAGAATTCTGTGTGGAGACGCGGACCGGTGCAGTCGACGAACAATTGATTAAGGGCCACCAAGAAAAGGCAAGATGTCATATCGGGAGAATCCAGGATACGAATCAGACTCCGGAGATGAGCCGGTAGGCTATCAAGGAGACAAAGGATACATGACGCCGTTGTCATGGAACGATGCAACCAATGAAGAATTGGATTGGTTCGCAGACGTCAGGAATACGCGAGCCATTACATTGCGAAGACGACAACGGCTGGGGAACCTTACAACCCCAGAAGAACAACAGGAGCTCCGAGAGCTCGAACATGACGTTGAAGAAATTCAACGGGTTATCAATAATAGGAAGGACATTGCAAAGGATTTCGAGGACGAATTCCTAACGCATACGGACCTTCCTAGAGGAGAAGTAATACAAGTCAATCCAAGGCCAGAGGACGCCGAAGGATCGAACAAGGATAAAGGACAGGAGGAATGGAATCCTCTCGGCATTAATCCAAGTCTTCTAAGGAGTGGCGACTCTAGCGTTACGCCAACATCCAGGAAGCCTTATGACGGGTTAGGATTATGGAAAGGAGTCAGGACGACACCTTTAACCAGGACATCCTCCGAAGGAGGAAGGCCAGTAACGCCACTTGGAGTACCAATAAGGCCACAGTCGGCCATGGCGCAAACAGGTAGTTTGGGAACTACTAGTCAAAATCCCACCAAAGCACGGTACGATCCAGCCAATGGACCGCCAGTGCATCCAGGACCGACATGTCTGGAATTTCAGTGGCAGGAATATCTCCTGGAAATGAATCTCTACGCGCTGTATAATTCTGCACAACCAGAATTGGAAAAGGAGGAATTACAGCTGGGCGAGATCCGACCGTTCGCAGGAGATAAGCGAACATTCACGTCATTCCTCCAAGCCGGAGAACGACACCTCCAGGCAAACATCCACATATACAACGACGACTATAGTCAGATAACGTTCATCCTATCCCACTTCGAACCTGGTTCGGCAGCAGCAAAATGGGTCGAATCATGGGAAGCAGCAATGATCGCATCTACAGGAAGATCGGACGATCTAGGACTTTATCGCGACTTTCGGATGACTCTCCAAGAAAAGTATGGAGGAGTCGCAACTAAGGACCAAGCATGGCAAACGTTACTCGACAATCAGTGTAGGCAGAAGAAAGGAAAAGTCGACGATTACATTGGGAATCTCGACATCCTATTTCGATATGCTGAAATCGATGACGACTACACCAAGCTCGTCCATTTCAAGCGAGGCTTGGAATCAAAGTTGGCAGAAAAGGTCTTCCTTACCCCGAATCCTCCAACCACGTATGAGGATGCTTGCGATGTGGCAAGACAAGTCAACGACCTTCGAAACGTCCATAAGGGAAAAAGCAATATCTTCGATTTCATCACGCATAAGGATCAGGGCCATTCAATGGATGAAGGAGACTCGATGGATATAGATGATCTCAATGCAATGGACGTCGACAGGGCACGACGAATACGACAAGTACGGAACCTTCCAGTTAAGAAACGCCTATGCTATAGGTGCAGGAAGCCAGGACACGAAATGGATCAATGTCCCGCAAAGACGCCAAACATTGATCGAACCCTGCCCGTACAGGCCGTATCAAAGAAGAAGCAGAAGAAGACTTCTTCAATTAAGAAGAAGGATGAGCGCGTATCTATCGGATCGAAAGAATCAATAAAGGATTCATCCCACGGATCAAAAGAACCCTCAATTGATCCGTCGATCACGAAAAAGATGCGAAAGCAGATTGAGCAACTAGTGACAAAGTTGGTCAATGCAAAGCTTGTCAAGCTTCTTCTCGGAGGCGATAATCGAGATCACCATGTCGATCGGAAGAAGAAGGAAGCCGAAGAAGATGATGACGAACCTATGGATATCGATCGAATGTCTAAACATATTCTTGGCATGAATACCATTCGAATTGGCGCCATACGAACGCATTCATCGCATAATGACCAGACAGCCTTCCCTACATCAATATGGAAGGAAGTGCTTATGGCATCGCTCGATCTCAGTCAAAAAGAATGGCGTGGTATCAAGGCCATCGTCCAAAGGAAATTTGACAAGAGACAGCAAGGAGGTGACGATGAAAGTACTTCATCAGTTACATCTTCCTCTTCAGCAGACAGCACGCCCCGACGACATATGAAGACATGTCCTAATCAGAAAGGCAAACAGAAGAAGACAAAGCAGCGGCAGTCGACCAAGACTAACCAGCAGTCTTCACCGTCCATTAACCAATGGATCAACCAGCCATTCAAAGGGACTCGCGAAGATTCTCGCCGTTCACAACCAGGACAAGGACAATTCTCTGGTCGATGCTGGAATTGCAATCGTGTTGGACATCACGCATTTGAATGTCCAAAGCCGCCTCGGAAGAATGATATCTCTGATGACAGTAACCGATCAAGGTCATGACCATTGCGACCGAACGACCGATGGAATGAAGGACGAATCCCCGATTCATTGTCCCCCAAGCATCCTAAGGCAGCCTACGCACGAAACTCCAGTATTGATTCCTCGAATCCAAGCACTGGTAGCAATGCGAAGCAAGGAACTTCTCCAAGTCCCTCAAGCCCTCAAGCGCATCGCAGTGGACGTACCGTCGAGTTGTTTAACAGTGATTCTGAATCATCAAGTGCCAATCAGACCTCCTGGGCTGATCAAGTCGAAAGGAGATATCAGTCTCGGGGTAGCCCTGCGCTGGAACAATCAAGCATCGGCACGAATGATCAATCCTCTACTGAATCACACGACAGCTCCACGCACACTGTTTCAAGAATACTTCCTTCCTCGAAGCGGAAGCGCAGACGGAGAAGAACGGATCCTATGGTTTAATTGCCAAAGGGTCTTGGCGGTTGGAGAGGGAAGCTTGTGTTACGAAACGTACCATCGCTCATGGTCACGTGATCCCCATGAACAAGCGCCTAGAAGAGACGCCCAATCACGGTCAGGTGATATCAGTCACTATGTGACTGAGGACAGCGTCTAGTCACTATGTGACCGAGGACAGCTTCTAGGGTTCTCAAACTCTAACCCCAGGATCTGCGATCCAGGACTTTGGTTCTCATTTCATATTTCAGGTATTTCACCTACGCTTTTCTTAGCTCGCCAAATACCTGGCTCGCAGCAGCTAAGCTCCGGTGTGTTTCACCTATCTTTATCACTGAGGCAGTGTAGAGGACCCCTTGTACTAGTACCCCAGACTATAGGTCTGCGACTATATAAAGGGGCGGAGCAGCAGCTGGAAGACAACCTCTTCCACCTGTGACTCTGAACGTTCTCAGTTCTAGAACCCTCGTGCAATCGTACTCGCTCTCAAGAGGTAGTAAGCTCGTACGCTTGCTAGAGTCAGAACAGCGAACCTAGTAACCTGCGGGTGAACGTGCAATAGCTGTAGCGGCCAAGGCCTAGCAAGGGTAGAGTGAGGACCTCACTGCTACATCGTCTACTAGGCTTGACCACACTATAAACCCTGCTAATAGTCTGCCTGACTATTGGAGACGTTAGGTATATTTGGTATCTAAGTCTCTGTCCACGTTGTGGACTAGTACGTGTGAGAAAGCACACGTGGTTCTGAACGTTCTAGCAGAGAACGCTTCATAACATGGCCCCACAATGCAATTGCAACCCTAATGCAATTCACATCTTTCCCGTCTGAATAACACATTCAAAAATCTGAAAAATTCACACAATGTACATGCAAGTATTAAAGTCAAGGTTGCCTGTTCAGATTTTTGACATTGCATGTTGCTGGCATATGGTATGAGTAGTTACAGTGAAAAGCCCATTTTGATGCTTTCCTGAGGCTCTCTTGCTCATACAGCTGATCATGGTCTCATGAGGCTCTCAGGTAAACTTTGTATATATGTGAACTCTATGTTGATAGAAGCCGACATATATTGCGCGAGCCCTGCGTTCTCTGGGAGGAGTGTAAGGAGTGAGTGGCTGCCAGAATGAGAATCATACCCAAATAAGGAAGGTTCAGAAGGTCCCATTCGAGCTGAGAATGGCGGAGCTGCGTCGGAGAACATCCATTTTCAGTGGTGCCGGATCGGACTGTCAAAATGAAGACGTTCCCACACGGTGGCTGATGATTCTTGACAATTGCATTGGTGTTGCGACTGGAAGTCATCCTCGGATTCATCCACTTCGCATCCTGTTCACTCACAAATATTTATCAGTGCTCTCAAGACCCAGTCTTTGTAATAATAAAATCTCCGAGGGGGTCTGCTCACTGACAGCAGAATAGGACGCGAAACTCTGAAAAAATTGCATTAGTGGGCCAGTGATAGTAAGCAACTGGATTCATTGTCATTTCTATTGTTCTTCGCACGCTATGTAACATGTCACGTGCATAAGTCACAAGTCACAAAGCCATCCCACGGCCTGTTTGCAGTCCAGTCTCCGACGTCCATGCGAGTTTATACCTTTGCTTGCTCTAAGCTTTTTGAGATGTGGTAGAATTGGTGCTTCATGTCCGCAAATCTGCGCTTTGGGACCGCGCAGCTATTCCGCGCCCTTCAATGCGCTATTGGCGCCGAAGATGCAGCCCAGGAATTGCGATGGATGAAGGATGCACTAAGAAAGCACCCATCTTCTCCAATGCGTCCTCGGAGTCTCGATAGTATGCTCGAACGGAGAGTGAAGGGAGAACCACTGCAGTATATTATCGGTGTGTGCGGGATGTATCGTTCTTATTCGTACTGGTCGCTGAGCTTATCCGACTATAGGCACTCAGCCCTTTGGCCCACTAGAGCTGCTTGTCCGTCCGCCAGTCCTTATTCCGCGTCCGGAGACAGAAGACTGGACGATCCGGATTTTGCAGCAGCTGTCGCCGTCTAGAGATAGGCCGGTGTCCGTGCTTGACCTCTGCACCGGCACAGGCTGTATCCCCTTGTTGCTATGTCGTCTATGGCCACCAGGATCCGTGCATGCAACGGGCGTCGACATTTCCGAAGATGCGATCCGGCTTGCAAGGGACAATGCGGAGCTGTGTGGTGTCATGCTCCATGAACCTGGGCAGAACGATGCAGTGCCTGTCGACATCGCTGGCGATCGGGAGCACAATTGGTTCAGACCAATCCTGGCTGATATACGTGATCCCGATTTTGTTCGCAAGAATGAGCTGCAGAGGCCGTTCGACGTGATCACGTCCAATCCTCCGTACATCTCGAAGCGTGACTACGAGAAGCTTCCGTCCTCCGTCAAGGACTACGAAGACTGGCGTGCGTTGCTCGGCGATGACCCAGGTGTCGACGGCCAGGGCCTCACTTTCTATCATGATATTATTGGTCTGCTCAGCAATGGCGAACTAGAAATGCTGAAAAAGGATGGCATTGTCGTGCTGGAGGTTGGTGAGGGCCAGGCGGGCGATGTCGCAGAATCACTCGAAAGGCGAGCACAACTTCGCGATATCAAGATCTGGAAGGATCCTTGGGGCAAGGAACGCGTAGTCATTGGAAGATATCACAATTAATCATACATCAAGGCAGCGGCATTTCTCATGCCAAGAGCATAGAAGTATAGAGGGGAAAGGTAGCACAATTGACCTACACGGTACGCACACACGCACGATCCATTCAGTCGCTTTTCTCATCAACTTGCAGGGACTTTTCGAACCCGTTTGTGCCTCCCTCTGCAGACACAGCTCCACTTGCCTCTACATCTCTCGCTTCATTTGCTCCTTGTTGATCTCCATCTTCTATCTGCCCTCCCGCCCAACGCAGTGCTCGCCCAAGATAAAGGGCTAACCACGTCAGTGCTAGCAGCACGGGGACCTCAACCAGCGGGCCGATCGTCGCCGCCAGAGCTTGGTCGGAGCCCACACCGTACACGGCAATCGTGACGGCTATCGCAAGTTCCTACAACATGGTTGTGTCAAGGTCACGGCAGATCTTCGCATTGAAGATGCAGCACGTACAAAGTTGTTGCTTCCTGCGGTGAAGCTCTGTACCACGGCCATTTCGTAGCTCCATCGTTCGCTGTCTCTCTGTCCCTTCGCAAGCGCTCGCCGGCCGAGCCACCACACGAATGCGAATGTGCCCGCCCACATCACGGTGAAGTACAGGACGAGCGGTACGATGACACGGAAGACATGGCCGATGTTGTGTATGATGTGGTGCCCTTGATATGCGAACAGCACGATCACTGTGTACAGCAGGCCGAGTGGAGCTAACGGGGAGATCACGGGAAGGAAACGCTCCGTCAAGAATTGCCGCGAGGTGAAGTATAGCAGGAGAGCGCGCGTCAGGAGTCCCGCCCCAAGCGGGATACCGAGATACTATGTTTTCGGGATGTTCAAGCGAACATGCGCAGACGATGAAGGCAAGACGTACGATGAGGACGGAGATGGCCACCCTTCCATACGACACATGTATATCTGTACCGGCACCTCCCATGATGTTCACGAACCAAACTGCATATGGCGAGTACAGGGCAATTTGCAGGATGCTGTTGACGACGACTAGGATGGCACAATAGTTGGCGTCGCCCCGCGCAAGCTGGTTCCAGACCATGACCATGGCGATGCAGCGCGCAAGACCGACCATGATCACGCCTGTTCGATACGTCGGAAGGTCTGGCAGCGTGGCCCATGCGAAGGCTAGCATGACGAATGGGGCGATGATCCAGTTGAGGAAGAGCGAGAGGAGGATGTGCACTGCCATAGTGCGTGTGGGCAGGATACGCGGGAGAGCTTCATACTGCACCTTGGTGAGGATGGGCCACATCATCACGATAAGCCCCACTGCTATGGCTGGAAGACCGTTGGCCAGCATCTCGCGAGATCGAAGGGGAGAAACTTACGGGCGGACACGCTGGCGAAGCGCGCTGTGTCGAAGGCTGGCTGGACGTTTGGGACGAATTCCCCAATAACGACTCCGACGATCATCGCGACCAGGATTGCCGGTGTCAGAATCTTGTCCATGAGGCTCAATTTCTTCATGAGAGCTTTGGGAGGTCTATTAGTCTGGGTGCAGAAGGCAACTATGAACTTGTTACACTGACCTTTCGGTGCATCTTCATCGCGTGTTAGTTCGCAGGGTGCACAGGAGCTGGGTTCGTTCACCGCCATGTTTGATTGTGTTGTTTCCCTTGTCGATTTTCTCAGCAAGGTGGGCAGACGAGATGAAGTGCTTGAAAAGAGGACGCAGCGCGCTGTTTCGTTCTGCTTAGACGCCGAATTTAGCTTGCAGTCAAATTCATCGTTGTTGCCAAATGCGGCATGCTGGTTGATGCCCGAGTGCAAATGCAAATGTCACTCTTGGTCCTTGTCCGTACGAGTGTCCGTCTCTGCAGGGAGGCTCGATGCATTAGTTCTTCGAGGTTCTGGAGATATTTTCAAATAAATATCGATTCTGCACCCTGAGCACTGAACGCCGGCGACCCGTAGATACATACAATCATGCATAAAAACAGAGTCGAGACCGGACTTCATAATTCGATGCAACCCTTACTCCGTCATCGGCAAGTACTTACAGAGTACTGACTATGCGTCGTCTGAGCAGGATATCAGCATCGAGTATCCACTCACCCCAGGCTGTGGATTTTTTTGCCGCCTCATACCATCACGAGGTCACAGGTTGCAATCAGAATCACATTGATACGTGAGGTCAGCTGCTGATGCCTTCGGCCATATATACCTCCGCGGCGTGAATCTCACCGCCACAATTGCTATAAAATCCAGCGTTCTCAGCACTAACGTCCTCGGTCAAGCACAGCAACCACTGGTCGTGATCGACGTTACGAGCTCCAGGTTGAAGTGGTTCTGACTTCTGCTTACTCTCACGATGTCCGAGTCGAAGCCTAATCCGTATGCAAAGAATAAAGTGGCTGCCGGTGGCGATGACTTCGTAAAGAGAACTGTGACGCGTCTTCAACAGATCCAGTCTCAACTTGAGACCACTCCTCGTAGTGGGCGGCTGCGGGGAAAGGTATGTGTCATTACGGGAGTTGGATCCATGCTAGGCATAGGGTATGAGGCCTACGTTCTACGGACGCGGGCAACTGTTTATGTCTGCGGAATTCAGGAGAGCGACAGCACTACAATTCGCTCACGAAGGTATGGTTCAACATGAATGCTGTCACACCTCACATAACGCATATGTACTCATAGGAGCGGCTCGATTGTATCTCATTGATTATGATCCAACGAACCTACCAAACCTCAAGTCGACTATCGAACAGAAATATCCCGATGTTAAGGCATGCTCAGTACGCCACTGCGTGGTATTTTGTTCTCTGACGGGATTATTCGATAGGTCACTACGATTCAGGCAGATGCAACAGACGAAGGAGCAATCTCCGGTGTCTGCAAGCAAGCCGTTCAAGAAGAAGGGCGTTTAGACGTATTCTTTGCTAATGTAAGACTAGGCATCCAATTTTTTTATATCAACACAACTTAATAAGATTTCATAGGCTGGCATCGCGACGACTAAGGCATTGCACGGCGTCACTGCGGAGGCTTTCATGCGAACTCTCAAGATCAACACGCTTTCGTGAGTGTCGTCATGGATGAAGTACAGGGCACGTCATGATTCCACAATCAGCTGTTTTCTAGCCGTCAGGTATGCCTCGGAGGCGATGATGAAGACAAATCCCTCTCGTGGTAAGGATTTCAGCGGCGGAAGCATCATCATGACAGCGTCAGGTATCACTCCCTGCGATATGCCGTAATCCATTGATTAAAGCTGTTCATAGTCGCGGGAATACGCTCCGGGGCTGGGCCGATCGATTGTAAGTTAGACTATCTCACTGCGACTATGCGTACATTAACGTTTCAAACGCCCCTTAGATAGCGCTAGTAAAGCTGCGTAAGCCATCACTCGTTTGTTGCGCCATTTCCTAGCACCTATCATCCGCTCTAGCGTGAACAACATGGCTCAGACGGCGGCCTACCAACTCCCGAAGACCGACATACGTGTTAATTCGATCTGCCCTGGCCTGATTGAGACCGGCATGACGGTAGACGTCTTCAATTTCGCGCGATCGAAAGGCGCTGGCCCAAAGATCGGCCAGCTGAACCCATTAGGACGTTACGGCGTTGCGCAAGGTACGTCACGGAAGTAGCAGACCTAAAGCAAAGCTGATGACAATCCGTCGACATCAGAGGTTGCAAATGTAGTGACATTTCTTGCCTCTGGTACGTCCTATCTTCCATCTCTGTAACAACGACCTGATCCCACGATCTTCAAGATGAGAGCAGTTATGTGAACGGCCAGAACATTGCAGTCGATGGCGGCCTTTCGAGCTCCGTCCCTGTCGTGCCTGGTAGATGGTCTTAAGCGTTGTTGCGAAGTGTCATGCGCCAATTTGCCGTTGGCTGGATCAGATTGATCGGTATCTCGTAAGCACGCTATCTTGACGTCCTTTGTAGTTACCGTTGGTGCGGTACCCTTTGTATCCTCTATGGTACAATCACGTTCGTCCGAAAGTCATGATGATATGACTCGTGAACAGGTCATCGCATTGCTCTCCGTTGATGCAAAGGATACATATGACGGCTCATATATGTGGAAGCTATCATCCAAAATGCAATTCCATGGGAACCATGAGCGCGATTCGAGATTGAGCGGACGTGATCATGATAGCTCATACGTGAGGAGGCTGCGATCCGCCGTAGTGAGAAGTCATGGAATCCATGAGGCGGCTCGAAGCGAAACGGACTTTCGACTGTGACAGCCCGTACGTGAGGAAGTCGTCATCCATATTCCGAAGCCTTGGAGACCGTGAATGCTATGAAGACTTGACTGATACCCAAGCGAGGACATTCAATCTGTCCGAAAACCATACAGGATGAATACGAGGTGAGATTGGCCATGCCGCCGTCTATATCTGAACAACGCACCGTTACTGCCCAAGAGCCAATTTCAAACTTCCATCGCACGCGCTCTGAAAATAGATGGCCTAATGACCTCTACCGCCCACACACCCAAGGCTGGCGCCAAAGAACTTTTCATACTTATGAATGGAACAGGAGCAGTCGAAGTTTGACTCACATGCACGCTGCCGGTGGTGTAGAGGTCTGCTCGCCGACAAGTGAACGAACAGAGGCCGCAGCTATTGCTCTTGTGCAGAACGCAGAGGATGAATAGGTGAAACAGACGCAGACGGGTGTGGATTTGATATATGCCAGGTAAATCAGCCTGCAATCGACGGGGATAATATCAGATAGAGGCTGTAATGTCGCACGCTCGATCGAGAAAGAACCAGAGATGGATTAGCAACCTCATTACTCTGAGTGGACGAGCAGTTCTGGGGAGAAACGTCAGACAGCCTGCATGTCCAGCGAGCAGCTGAGAGCCGCCGCTTATGTATGGGGCGAGATGTTGGGAAGCGGACGTGAAGGCAATCCGTGTCAGGGCGTTGGCTGTTCGCCGTAGCCGAACTGGTTCGCGAAGGTGACTGTGTTGATCAGAAGCACCGACACCGCTCGGCTTCATGCTCTGCCGTGGCAGTATAAGGTAGTTTCCACTCAAGCGCAGGGAGGCCATCTGCGCTGGTCGGGAATGTTGCACTGGTGAAAGGTCAAATTCGCGTTGTTCGACTCGAGATTGTTAGTCTATCAGGCTTACCTACTACGATCAGGTCGTTGCAGATCAGGTGCCGTCAAGCGAAGAAGCCTCGACCCTCGACCCTCGGAAAGCAACCGTTGGCATTGCAATGGCTCTGACTTCAGGAGAGGTGAGTATATGCCTGCAGCAGATCCTAGAACACAGAACCGACCTAAAATTGCCGGGAGAAAAACTGCCTTAGGCTGGAAATTTTGAATATCTAAACAGTCCAGTTGGCTAAAGTCAATAGCACAAACACCATAGAGGGGTTGTACGCGCAGTGAAATCTCTCATTCTTCCTGAGGAGTTGTAGACTGTTACTGAGGACAGGGATAGTGAGCTTTTTCAGACCTCTTCCATTCTCATGGTACGTGCTCCAGAGCTTCCCTGTACCCAAGGAAGCACCAGAGCACGACCCACGAGAGGGAAGGCATCAGACCGAGTGCCCCTCTGTAAAGTGCATGCTCAGCGTGTGCACTGCAGGTCATACGATGACGAAACGAAAAGCTGGAAAGGAGGCATCCATGGGATGATCTACCCCTTTCCGAGGAGACTGATGATATCTCCTAGAAGTCGCCCCGACGCGTTCGTTCAACAGTACAGAACGGCTCAAGGACTGGATTGGACGCACCCTGATACCCACGGTTGGACATAATCCTCAGGAAAGGCTCGACGAGTATTTGCGAACATGAGTGGTGTTGAAAAAGCAGGACTCGAGTGACAGTGAGGCCTTTAGAACTTGTTGGGGTTTTAGCTCACCAGTCCATGCCCTTATATCCAGGCCGCTTGCAGAGGAGTCCTCGGAGCAGTATGGACTCCGTGTCCAATCAAGCGGTAACATGACGAGGCTGCAAGGCTCGTTGGCGTGAGCTGTCCACCCGCAGTTTGGATGCACGGACAGCACGCCGTGATGGAATCTGAGACCTGAGACGGTGCGCGATCGTTTATGGCGACTATAACGTCCAGCCCGGCTACCTTGCACCCGTATCCGCTAGTACAACTCTGGCAAGCTTTCGACTCAGCTGATCCGGCTGATACTCAGATCAGCACTGACTCCGCCACTTTTCTGTCCGGTTCCAATCATCGTCACGAACTTGTCTTCGACGCGCTTCTTGCGAGACGGCTTACTGGCTGAATCCCCTGGATGAAGAGGGAAGTCACCGTATCGGAGGTAAAGATTGCCAGAATTTCGGATGACTCGGGCATGAGACGGCGAAACAACTGCATGCCAGCTTGCAAGTTTCGCTGCATCGCAACGCCGATCATTAATCATTGCTGAAGGGGACTTGGAGCGTTGACGCACAGAGCCGCGTCAACAGTCTCCTGCACCACTAGCCTGCCATGCCGGCGTCGCTCTGATTTTTTTAAACAGCCTTTTCTCGGCGAGGAAAACGCTCTTTTGTGACAGTAATGGCATGACCAACAAAACGAAGGCGTCAACTTGACGAAATTCCATCAGCCATGGGTCTCCTGTATGACTCAGAGTCTCAAGTTCACGCCCCCTCTTGCAGGCGCAACGCTACCGCATCGGTGACAATGCAGGTCCCTCGCTTGCCCAATGACCACCATCTGTACACCCCGTTGCTTGGGGTCGTACGACTGCCAGTGCATGTGAAAGCACACATTCACTGTTCTCCGTTCAATGGCCGTTGGATTGCTCCGCAGGCTGACCCCACTGATCTACGCCGCGCAGGCAGTAGAACTGTTGGCTGTTGAACCTCACTGGTGTCTCAGCTGACCACCGTGCCTTTGATGGAACTGTCGTGCCTGCTTCGGTGCGAGCTCCAATGTCGCATGCCTTTTTCTCGGCGGCATCACCCGCTTGCCGCGCGCTCACTGGCGTCTTCTTCTTCCCAAGACTGCACCCGGTGGCAAAGCGATTTTTTTGGGACTACTCATTGAGTATGTTGTTCTCTCACTCAGGTCTTGGGATGGCTGATGTCCGTGAAGATGGACCCTGCGAATACCTCCTCGTGCCCGATGATCGCGCTCTCACGATAGTGCAATCAGCTGGGGTCAGACATCGGAACAAAGTCAAATGCTGCTCGTCGCAATCCTCACTTGGCCAACGGCGATCGCACTGCAGCCTACTGCAGCTGGGTGAGGTCACGTGTCGTGACGCAGCGGCGGGTGCTGCTCGATGGCCTGCGGGGCGGCTGTCATCGTGAACAGGCTGACAGACGGGACACGATCATGGTTCCGCCCGGCAGCGACTCGAACCTCTTGTTCATCTACCACCATGTCGTCTGCGCCCCCTCCTCCCAAACGCGTCTGTATTGTTGGCGCAGGCGCGTCTGGGATGTCAGCTGCATATGCGCTCAGTCGACATCCCGAGAAGTACCAGGTGACGGTCTATGACAAGCAGAGTGTCACAGGGGGGATGGCAAGTTCCATTAACATCGACGCCGACAAGTATGGTGCCGCATACATCAATGATGGCGTGCAAGGCTGTAGTCCTGTCTTCGCGAACACTTTGAGAATGTTTCGGATGCTTGGCTTCGAGTCTACGGAAGTAGGGATGCAGTACGTTCTGATCATTACCGGTTGTTCTTCCATTTAATCTGGCTTGCAGGATCAGCTTCGGCAAGGACGAGAACTTTTGGACGAACGTCTTCCCTACCTCGCTCGTTTCACAGTTCCAGGGAGATATTAAGAAATTCGGCAGGGTGCTCTCTATCATCAAGACATTCGAGCCGATATTCGCCGTGATTCCCGTTCACGTCATGCTCAAGATGTTCAGATTTTCGACGGACTTCGGTGAGAAGATGGTGTATCCACTAGTGGCGCTTTTCTTCGGCACAGGAAATCAAACGCCTTACATTTCATGTGCTATATTGGTAATGTTTCCATTGTTCTCGCATATCGCAGAGTCCACGCTTACCGTGCTTAGGAACGAGTCTTCATGGATCCGAGTATGCGACTCTTTGAATATTCCGAGAAGAGTCTACTGGCTAGCATTCCCACCATGCTCGCGTTTCCAAAGGTGTGTCACTTACATATCTGCCGATATGTTCACCCGGAACTCACAATGCTACAGTTGCACGACGTGTATAAGGCCTGGACACATGAAATTACCTCCACAGGGAACGTCACTTTCAAACTCCATCATGAGGTGTTGGAAGTCGTTTCACGTCACACGAGGGGAAAAGCCTCCGTCTCTAGTCCGGTTCAGATCCGATACAAAGTTTCTCATGACGGATTAGAGTCTCATCCAAGGGAAGCTTCCTTCGATGAGATCATTCTAGCCGTCGACGCGGACTCTTGCCTTCATTTATTGGGCAAACAGGCTACTTGGTTGGAAAGAAAGGTTTTGGGAAATGTAAAGTATCTGTACGACGTCACCATCACGCACAACGACCTAGATTACATGCAGAAGGTGAGCATTTCAAACATTTGCAATATTGCTGTATTGATTGTATAATTGTCAGTATTACGAGACGCGGTACAATCCTTCACACAACGCACCTGTGGAATCCAGCGCGTCAGCTCAAGAGCGCCATGAAACGGAAGAGGCGTTTGCCTTTGCCGAGCGCAATTTCCGCCCCCTCTACTACACCATGCAGTACCCGCAGGACAAATCCAAGATTGAAATGAGCTTCGACCTGACGCACTATCAGCCTCAGTTTCGGGGTGCGAAGCCAGCCGGGCCGATTGATCTTGATAGCAGGAGTGATCATAGGAACGAATGCCGCGCTGCGGACGCCACATGTGCTGCACAGCATGCAAGCGAGGGCGAGATGGGTGCGCCTGCGCGGACGGGCAAGGACGCTAATGGGCAGCCGGAGCCGCCGCTGGAGAAGCACGTCTTCCAGACAATCTTCCTGGATCGTGATGGTTCGCAGAATTTGTGGACATGGAAAGACATCAACCCCGAGAAGAAGATCTTCGAAAAGTGGTGGAAGCAGCAATCTCACCGCTGGCAGCACTATGCGGGCACGGTGCCATGGATGATGTGGATCAACGGCAAGAACAACACATAGTACGTTCCACTATTCCTCACCTGTGACTAATAGATGACCAACAATACGTAGTTACGCTGGCGCTTGGTCTGGTATGTCTTCGTCGTGTTGACGTTTGGGAAGTCGTGAGGCTAAGTCATGCCGTAGTACTGAATATGCACGAGTTGGCGGTGACGTCCGGCTTCGCGGCTGCCTATAGGCTGGGCGCCGAGTATCCATTCCACGGCGATGAAGACTGCGAACGGCTCTTCAAGATGTACCTGGCCGCAAGCCACGGCGTCAGAATGGTGGGTCAAGCTCGCTTTATATGTGAATGGGGCTTATCACGCATTCGCTGCCAGAGAAAGGAAGATAGGAAGGGAATCTTTTCCTGAACTTCTCATTCCATCGCCTACGGCCGAAGAACCGTGATACGCGAAGAACGGCATGAAGGCATTGCGTTTCGTACCTTTTTTCAATCCACAGACTCGTTACAATACGGTTCATGTATCTCATCACGACAAGCGATATATCCGGTATATGTCTTCTTTTAATTTCCGTGCGTAGCCGGATCCTACAAGCAAGGTGAAGGACACGATTGAATGGCTCGAAGATTGATACCGCTCATAGCAGCAATGTGCCTCTCATATCGTTCGCCCGCCTGTTGGTAAGCGACGTCCACCTCAACTCAAGAAGGTTTAGACTAACTGATTGACTCAACCGCCGAACATGGCCATCTGCCATGCAGCAATAGGAGAACCTCTGCAGGCAGGTTTGCCGAGCAGCCCGTATCTGAGAGCGAAACTGGCCGAGAACCATCTGGAAGTCTTCTAGAGATGGCTGCAGCTTTTTCGCAACTAACGGTGTTTGTGTCGTTCTAGCCTTCATTGATATTTTCAATGCTGCTCGTGGGGATGCCATGCGACACGGCCCACTGGCACTCACGGCGCGCATAAGTGTATCGGTCCCTGATGCTAATTACCGTTCTCACCTCTTCCCGCCGGGTCGGGGCTCCGTATTATGCTGTATTGCTTATGTCTGCTTCTGTGTGCTATCAGACTCGGAGATTGAGACACGATCGCTTTAAACCAACAGATGTCCTTGGATCTCCACATTTCTTTCCTCTGGTTGAACCAGATAAGTCATTGGCGACGAGCGATTCACCGCACGGGCTGTTCGATGTACGAGAGACATATGCTATAGGGCCGAGCAAGGTTCGTAAAGAAACGTCCAGATAAAGTTACAAGATCCATAACATTTTCGATTCCAGCGGGAGTCGCGTCCATGAAAGTTAACTCCCACACCGAAAGATGGGTGTGATACTACCTGTTGGATCTGGGCGGTTATGAATATGATATTCGCAGCATTCGTGCTTCCGCTAAGCAGAAGATTGTCAACGCGAGGCATCTAAAACGTGGATCTGTACGTACCAATATGACCCACATGCTGTCAACGATAACTAAGAGTCGGGCGTTGGGCAAGAGAGATACCTCTTTCGCTGTGTTCCGGCTGGCAATGCAGTAACTGTGTCAGCGTTTGGGGGTGACGTTGCATCCTCTCAATACGTGCACAGAACCACACTGAGACCGTGTCGTAGGGCGTGATGAGTACCCTCGCCTTGGTATTGCACAAGCAGCGCTCATAATCTCTATCGCGAACGTGGAAGACATCTCCATTTTATCATGTCAAGGGTAGTGCAAACACGCCGTTTGCATCCCAGTGAGTAACGGAGCGTCTTTCTTAGACCTCACGAAGCAAGACCTCGGAAGACGGACGCCTGTGGATACGTCATCTGAATGGATGGAGTCGCAGCCCCCGGCGGACGTAACTTACGTTCCATCGTGGCGCCGTTCTTGGCGGAACAACTGCATGAAGGATTCCAAAAGCAGTCCAATGATGGTCAAATACACGCTCCGTCTATCCGTAAACCTTGAAGCAGAGTGGGCTCGTACAAATGCACCGGCTAGATGCTCTTGTGTAGATGTGCAGAAGCCGTCGGCGAGATTCTCGCCAGCTTTCATGACATTCTTGGGCCTTCCGGAAGCTATTTACGATGTTCAAAACGATGAGTAGTATGCTTGAAAGAGTATATAGACGGCAGTGGCGCACCACTTACCTTGAAGGAGGGAGGGGGACGTTTAGGTTGACAAGCATATTACGATGACGTGCTCGAGACAGTCCGAACGAACACATGGATCGATGGAAGACGGTTTCATATAATGTCTTCGATGGAACCAACCTGTTGGCCAGAAATAGAGAAGCCTATGGTATAGAAGACCTTCTCCATGAGCACTCGGAGCGCTGGGCGCGACCTCATGTAGAAATGCTCGCATGTCCCAACATTGGTAATGCCAAGCGCATATACACGTTGTCTTCACAAAGATCAAAGGGGAATCATGTGGACCATTGCATGATGCACGATGTCTTTGAGCGGCAATGCGAGCTATCATATGACGAAACCGTCTTGAAAGGTGGCGAAGAGCTGCATGATGTCTGATCAGAGTGGCGCTCCGATATGAAGTCGAACCCATACCTTGTTGTTTCTAAACAGGGCCAAGTCACAACAAAGCATTTTCTTGGGTTTAATGCCCGTGTTACATTCCGATATGAACCACGACAGTCCGATACCACTATGGATGCCCTGCACGATACCTTGTTCTCGCCAACGAGACATACTTGACCTGTCGAATTCGACTCGGGAGTCAAAGAAACCGAAGCAGAGACTCATTATCAAACCTTGTTTGTACCCTATAGCAAGCAGGATGCGTGGACCCTTAGGGTCACCAAAAAGTCGGATACGCCGTCGCTGCATCGGGCAGCATTCCGCTGGCCACCTTAGAACGTCCATCTCGGTCTCAGTTGCTGAGCTTGCCATCATCCGGCGGAATGGACTTCAAGGTACTTTGTGGCGCAAAATTGAGGCAGAAGGCGAACGCCACATTCCTGAGCTTCCATGCTATGTGTATCTCTCCTTCACAGGATGCGATATTACGTCATGGATATGTCCCACAGCCACGAGAATCAGCGTCATTCAGATGTTTCACAGGACTCAGCCTCGCATTGAAGATGGCACCTAATGGGAGCTGCCGACGCATTACCTTTCCTTGGGCGCATAAGCCATGGCAAGTCTCGGAAAGAATCGCTCGCGTGGCGGTGTTGACTGCCTCTTGGGGAAGATTCGCTGGCAAGCGTAGCCTCGGAAGAATTTTAGTGACGACAACGTTGTGGTAATACATTGTAGAACGCGCACGAGAATATGCGAGACAACCACAGCAACACCATATGGTCATATAGTCGTCAAGACGTGTCCAAGCTGTTAGTTCAAGACGACTGACGCACTCAATAAAAGATACGGCTACTTTTTGATCAACAACTGTGATATCAGAGCAATAGTCCTGGTATACGACCGAAAAGCATTTAGGTGATTTTGAGGAGCTTCACCTCTGTAAGATTGTTAGAATTAACAGAGGTCGGATGCACACGAGGGAACTTACCGAAGATGAGCGTCGAATTGGCCGGGATACCTGGCTGCTTCTTGTTGCCATATGCCATCTTGGACGGGATTGTGAGTAGTCGCTCCCCGCCAATCTGCATTCCCTCAATGCCAACGTCCCAACCTACACGAAATGAAGATAAATAGGCGCATTCGAGTTTGCGATGAGAAAAATGGACTAACCTTTGATGACCTCGCCCTTTCCGAGGCGGAACTTGAACTGTGCAGGGTCACACTTTAGCAGCTATTCGACTTGGCAACACAGCCGACAACACCCACAGGTGGTCCCGTCTTGCTCGAATCGAACTCCTGGCCGTTCTCCAGCTTGCCAATGTAGCGCATGTGGACCGTGTCGCCCTTTTTGGCCGCAGGCCCGGAGCCAACCTTGTGATCTCTGATCTTCACTCCACCCGTCAGTGTCTTCTCCGAGGCTTTAGCCTTCGTGGACTTCTCCTTTTTCTCCTTGTCCTCCTTCGCACCTTCCTTCTTTTCCACATGCTCCTTCGCACCTTCCTTCTTTTCCTTATTCACCTTCGCACCTTCCTTCTTCTCCTTGCCATGCACCTTCGCAGGGGTCGACTCCTCGCCATCAGCGGGGACAGCCTTGCCGCTCTCAGCCTTCTGCTTCTTCTGCTTCTTCTTCTGCGACTTGGTCAGCTCGCCTTCGGCCTCCATCGACTCGCGAGGGCGCTTCTTTCCCACTTCCGCTGTCACGATCTCTTCAATGCCTTCGATAACTTCCTCGAAACGCCTGCACACATTCGATTGAGCCCGATGACAGGGTGATAAACTGAGAGACCGTACCCTTCATTGTCGCTCAGGATTTCCACCTCCTCAACGTCGACCTCAACGTCAGAGCTGACCTCACGAAGGTCATAATCTTCTTCTTCGGACTCATCGCTGTACGGAGGTTGATCCGGAGTTTGGTCTATAGTTTACAAAAAAGATATCATCAGTCAACGATGGCTCGTATGCTGCAACATGCACAAAAATTTTACCTATGTAGTTACCAGTGAGATATACGGTGCTACAAAAAAGCCTAAAGTTAAGCAAGGGAAGTCGGAAATGGTCGAGCGACGCACTTTTTGCCAGAAAGCTCGAAAACGTACTGCTCATCTTGCTCAAGAACCACATCAACAGTCGCCTGCTCAATCTATACAGAAAATACACCTCGACTCGTATTTCTCGCATAGAAGAAGAGGAAGTGCATACCTTGCCAGGGGTGAGCGAGCAAAGCACGGTCATATGCACATCGTCCAGCTTCTTTTCCTCGTCCTCATCCTCGTCCTCATCCTCGTCGTGAGCGGAAGGAGTATGATAAACGAGCTTGACACTGGTACGGCCAGTCTCATCGTCGAGCGAGTCCCCAAGGGCGACGTTCGTGATCCTGATGTCGCTCGGCGTACGGATCTCAATGGGCCCACCGGGCTTCACGGCAAGACTCCTAAGACCATGGAGACCATCATTGAATACCAAATGACACGTAATGTAACGAGCTTACGCACCAGAGTGCGATAGCAACGGCCATTTTTTGAGGATGTGGATGGAGGTGGCGACTCTACGAAAATGCAGACGCGCAGAGACGCGCAGGCCAAATTGAAGCACGGGACCGATCTCCGCTTGAATCACATCCTCCTCCAGGCCTTACACGTCTAAAATGGTGCGCATATGGATTGTATAATTGAGCGTCCACGAAGCCCGACTTAATGCGAACGTTTGTATGACAGTCCAACACGTTACGGCCCTATCTCGCTGCAGTGCGGTCCACCCTGACTGCAGCGCTTACACTGGAGGACTTCGCATCTCAGGTACTTCACCAACTTGACCGAATCGAATCGTTGACTGTCCAGCTCATCGATGGGTAGGTCGTCGAACGGCATAACAAACCTGAGGTGGAGGTCGGGTAAGAGACTGTGCTGTCGATCTCAGGATACCCCGTTGCTGATGTGAGGTGGCTGCAGACAGTCGAAGGAGGTGCTGCTCAACCCGTTGACGATCTCGCGGAATGAAAATGAGCGCGTCCTCATTGAGTCTTCTATTAATTCTATCCGATTGAGCATCAAGATCAAGCAGGCAGACGAGATCGAGCGGATATTGTGCCACAAGTTCACGCGGTTTATGATGCAGAGAGCGGAGAGCTTCGTCGTGTTGCGGAGAAAGCCAGTGAAGGTGCGTCTGTGCTCCTTTGTCGATCATGAACGCATTTCTTCATTCATTGTATGCAGGGGTATGATATCTCCTTCCTTATCACGAACAACCATACGGACATGATGCTCAAGCACAAGATTGTCGACTTCATCATTCAGTAAGTCTTTTCATCTTATCAAGGAATAGGCATTCATGACCAATCGTCCAATTAGATTTATGGAAGAGGTGGACAAGGAGATCAGTGAGATGAAGCTCAGTCTGAATGCCCGTGCGCGTGTTGTCGCCGAGTCCTATCTGGTTGCTGTGAGTGGCTTCATTATGAAGAACACTGACGTATCATCTGATACCGATCTCTAACAGTTCAGCTCGTAAGGCGTTTCTCTAGTGACTTGGTGTTAAGCTATGTGCGGGAGCGGTTGGAGTTGGACGGCACGCTGCACATGCAAGCATCACGGACGGTTATCCACGGCACTTATTGTATCACTACTGAAGGAATACAGCTGAATCCTAGAATACTCTTCATGCCATCCCGCTCGATTTGTGGCTGGCCCGCCGTCCATTGCCATTCCGGGTAATAAGCGGGCACGCGCTTATCCCTGCAGTGCTGTATGACATATACGTGTCCCCAATTCGTGTTTATCGGTGGCGCACGTGTTATTCATGCGCTCTCTACACTTTTGACCACGACGATGCCCGACGTTCGAATAGCAGCCCTCGCCGTCGTCACCTCCATCGTGCTCTTCGGCACGATCTACTCCGTCTTCAATAACAGCTACCTCGACACATCCAATCCGCTGCTCACCTACCTCCCACATCCTCTGCACGCGACGGATTACTTTGCGGACAAGAAGAACCCGCTGAACATCTACTTCATTAAGCAGATATGGGCGTGGACGACCGGCGCATTTTTCTGGCACTACTTCACCAGCCCACGGGCGGCGCGCACGAAGGAGCGTGTGTTCCAGTATCTCATTGCGACCGCCCTCTTCCTCGGTTTCACGAGCTGGTTCTTCGGTCCGGCAGTCCTTGAACGCCTCATTGCGTCTACCGGGGGCGAATGTGTCGTAAATCTTCCCTCGGGCGCGGTCGTATCCATTCCGAACGAGTACTGCTACACGAAGTCCACCATCTCTACTGCAACGCACCAGAGCTTGTTCCCGTCAGCGTTGGTGTTCCCCGAGTCGGAATGGTTTATGAAGCCGAGGTTGCGGAGAGGGCACGACGTTTCAGGTCACATATTTGTGCTGACTATGTCCATCCTCTTTTTGGTGGATCAGCTCAGAACATCGTTCGCCTCTCCACCGCCAGGAAGCATCGACCGTGCTAATATGCAATGGCCTCCATCGCATAAGTGGGCTGTGCTTGCTAATGTCCTGGTGATATGCCTGGCGCTCTTCGCAACATACACTACAAGCATATACTTCCACACGCCTTTCGAAAAGCTCACAGGATATCGTAAGTGAAATACTCGGCGATCTTCCTTTCATATCGCACTAATGATAATATATCACAGTTCTCGGAGTGGCAGGCTTCTTTATCATACAGTTGCCTGCGCTCAAGCCCGCACCTGAAGCAGCAGTCATCACGAATAGACATGCCTCATCGGAGGGCGAGAAGGAGGATGCTACCAAGGAGAGCTGATGCGCGGTATGTTCTACGCTGGCTCCTGGATGATCATTTGCTCAAGTTATCTTCAGACGTTTGCTACTACCTGTTACTTTAGCACTTTTACTGTCAAGACCGTAATGCGTTTTCGGTGTGACTTTCCATATCTCACTATGTCCCCTGCAAATGGTGTTAGCAGGACCTAGAGATCTATATAGTAGTACCACAAAGGAAGCAATTTTGAATACAAAGGAGCACGAAATCTTGTACAGCCATTATTGAAGGTTTTGGACGTGCCTGGGCGGGCAAAAGACAGATCATTCTGAGAGCCAGTCGAGGAACTGCGGAGTGAAATAGGTCAAAATCAAAGTGCAGCCTGAAGCCACGGGAAGTTTTGGTCAACAAAAAGGCCCATAAGTGGACAGCTATGGCTACACACCTGCTCGGACCATGCTCTCCACGCTTTCGAAAGCCATCGTGCGGAGATCATAGACTCCCGCCCGAGCGCCCGCGACAACCATGGCGTACTCGCCGCTGACTTGGTAGCAGGCGAGGGGATGATTGGGTGCGAGCTCTGCTGCGTCCTGAATGATGTCGAGGTAGGGCAACGCGGGCTTAACCATGATGATGTCGGCACCCTCGGCGACGTCGCGTTGCTATGAACGCAAATGAATAAATGCAACGTCTAAGGATTCGCGAGACATACGATCGCTCGTCGGGCGAGGCCCTTCGCCTGAGGAGGGAGTTGATAACACTTGCGGTCGCCGAATGCAGGTGCACTTCCCGCAGCATCTCTTTGTTCATGCGTTAAGCGGCCATTCACGCTGCGTATATGCGCACAATTGTCTCACCTGAACGGTCCGTACAACGAGCTAGCGAACTTCGCGGAGTAGCTCATCAGCGTGCATTGGTTGCCGTATCCGCCATTCATCAGGGCGAGCTTGATCGCCTTGATGCGTCCATCCATCATGTCGCTCGGTGCGACACAGTGCGCACCCGCCTTCGCGTATGAGAGAGCGACCTCGGCGATGCGCGCCGCGGAGGGCACGGGGTCGATGGAACCGTCGGGGCGGAAGAGGCCGCAGTGCCCGTGCGAGGTGTATTCGCAGAGGCAAACGTCGCAGGCGATGTAGAGCGAGGGGAAGAGCTGGCGCAGCTTCTTCACGGCGAGGATGACGGGACCCGAGGGGTCATCTGCGGGCGTACCGCGCTCGTCCTACCAGACTCGCTCCTCGCGTGAGCATCAGGCATCGTGTTCGAGCCGCTGCAGATCACACACCTTCACGCAGTTGAACGGCACACCGAAGATGATGACGCTCTGCAAGCCCTTCTTGACCAACGGTCCGAGGAACTCCTCGAGCTTGTTCACGCCCCAGCGGCGCTGGCCGGGCAGGGAGAGGATCTCGACGCTCGCGTTGGGGTCGTCCGTGATGAAGATGGGATACATGAACATCGACTTGGTGAGGTGCCGACGGGCTTGCCATGAGCGCGACAGAGGGTGCTGGTACCCGCCCTGCAGGACTGACCTGCAGATACGCGAGAACGATGAAAGGTATGTTATTGCTGAGTCTGAGCGCGACGAGGCGTTAGTGCGGGTACTGACGAAGTGTCCATGGTAGCTCTTTCGTGAATTCGAGCCTAGTAACACTGGAAGTGAACGATATAGACACCCCAAACTATAAACTGAGAAGTCTGGCAGCGAAGTCACTCGAGAAGGCAATGAAGAGAGAGGAGGGTCACTGGTGGGAAGCAGTGCTCGGACTTTGATGGAAGTTCGGTACACCCCATCGCGGATCAATTTATTATCACTCCCGACTTCAATTGTCGACTCTATGATTTGCGAAACGACTTGGGGCGCCAGTTCATGAGCAACAAAATGGCTTTCGCTGCTACACGATTCTGAAATTTACCGACGGTCTGACTGTGGTCTAAAGTCGTCACTGAAAGCCGGCAACGTTTGACGATGGCAAGGACAGCATAGATATATTGAACTACCTCAGTAACGCTGTCTGTGGTATGCTATCCTATAATATGGAATAACTTGTCAGCTGGATGGTGGGGCTTTGGCAGAAAGGCAAACACTATAGTATGTATGGTACATACGCGCCCCGAAAGAAAAATATAAGCCGCGGCATATACTAACGTATTGATCGATCCTGTCCTCCGCTCGCCAAATGGACTACACGAACAGGGTACTGAGTGCCATGAAAACACCATCGTAAAAGTCGTCCGAATTGATGGATTACACATCACGCTGATCTGTCAACTGGGAAGTTTGAATGGTAAATCGGAGTAAGTAAGCATAGGAGAAGAGATACGTAGTACTTACACCGCCTTACTTTCTTCAGGCAATACTTTCCGCATGATTGCCAATAATATATCCAACGGTACGCTAATCTCCTATGGTTCAATCGTTCAAGTTGAAGATCTCCGTGTACGGCCTGTCAGAGGTAGCGAGGTTTGGAAAGCTGCGTTCGAGGAACGAAATCGATATGTCCTTGTCTAGACGTGAACCTGGCGAAACGAAGACCGGTGCGAGAGACAGATGCCGCAACTTGGAGGAGATCACAAGTTGATCGCTCATGTTTGGCAACGGATCTGTCCAGAGATATGGTATCTCCAGGTCGGTCAGATCGGGTGCGAGGCGGAACAAGGTCCGCAGCCCATCAAGGGACGGGACGTCATCGAGATGGTCGCCATTAAACCATGAAGCGAAACACACAAATCTCAGAGATTCAAGCTTTGGGCACGATGTGGCGATGTGCTGCAGCATCCGGTTCGAAAGCGACATATTGAGCGGGAGACAGCTGCACTCCAGTTTTTTCATACCAGGTATGGACAGGGTGGGCTCTATGAACTCAATAATGGAGGTAATGGAAGGAGCCCTTCGTGGCAGGATGGTGAAGCGGTGACATAATATGAGGCTGAATTCAAGTAAGGAGGATTTGAATGCCGAATATGCTGCAGCAAGGCAGATGCGACAATTTTCAGCCGTGGGCCAAATCAAACTATCAAGCGAGAGTTGAAGCGTCTGCAGCGAGGGAGGGGAAATATTGAGGAAGCAATTGGTGAAATCGGAGAATGTACCAGTCAGCTTCAAACGCCGCAACGTGGTGAATCCGCTGCAGTGAGTGAAGGTTGCACGTTCCGGGATTGAGATGCTCAGGTCCTCGAGGTTCTGAAGCATGGCGAGCGCTTCGAATGAGAACTCTTCGGTTGAAAGGGAATGAAGGATAGATAGCTTGCGCAATTGAGCGAACCCGAGTACAGGAGTGATACTCCTCAGATCATCGAAGTGAGTGATTTTGAGCTCCTCCACGTTAGATGCAATGGAGGATATCTCTGTTAAGAGCGTCTTGAGCAAGCAATTTCGTCTTGTGCCCGTTGTATTCTTGTCACGGCTAAAATTGATGGTAAGCCGTCGAAGGGACGGTGCCACGAGGGTCAGCACACTAGCATCCATGATTATGTCCACCGCATGCCATTCTATCTCTCGCACCAAGGGAAGCAGCGGCCGTCCAAAGTTACGGTGGGATAAGTAAAAGAATAACGATTGTTCGACCCGACAAGGGTCACAGCTAACTGCCCGGACCCTCTTAGCATATGATCCGAATCGCGTCCAATCGTCATTACTCGTTTCTCCGCAGATTGTCTGCGATATTCACATCAGCAAGCTCATGGCAATGGCACAGTAATGCACCCACATAGATGTGGTTACGCTCGTCGTGCTCATCAACAACTTTGTTATCATCCATAGGGACCCGGATGAAGCTAGAGAACAGGGCAAGCAGAGGCACTATGCTGTCCAATCTCCTCCACAGGACGTCCAACGCCGCGTCCGAGAATGCCTTGCAGACTCGTGCAGCCCGAGCTAAGGCAACTCGATCTGGCTTTTTCTCCTGGCTCAACATGTAATGACCTTTATGGGAAGCGAATTGTTCGAAAATCATGAAGACTATTTCATGATTGTGCAATGCGCGATGAGGAGACATGATCAAAGGTGGTCGAGGTTTCGCGGTGAGGGTTATGACCGCCTTGTGTGGAAAGAGCAGTAGATTAACGTTGAATTCGAATTGCCGACTATTGGTGACTATTGCGGCTGATGAGTCCTGGATGATCGCTACTCGAAAGGACGCCGACTCCAGGCGCCGACTTAGTCGGACTAGAGTTGAATATTATCTACAACAGCCTGTGATGATGATTGAGCGCCAACGAACTTCACCCTGGTTTTCATCAATGTCCTACAGTATCGTGCAACTGAGATGATTGGCAGGCAAAGCTCTCGCGTTACAGTCTCAACATGTGTTGCGCCCGCCCTGCATATTGTATTCTCAGCGTCCGTGATGTTTCAGCTGCAGATTGATCAATCAGTTGTTCCGTAGCAGTGACAATGGCAAGAGCTAGTTATATGGCAGACACATTGCGATGCCAGAGGCTGTCGTGAACGCGATAGCTTTGGAAGGCAGTCGTATCCTCTGACTCGCTCCTGGCTGCAGTTGGATCGTGCTGATTGTCGACAGCTTGGGACACTCTCCGTCACTATGAATCCTTCCTTTGCAACGAACGAGACAACAGCTGATCTCTGGTTTGAGCAATCCATCAATGCTGGCACGTACGTTGGTGCAATTGCGTACGGTGAGTGAAGCTTCAAATTGATATTCTCACGACTGCCAATTGACGCTGCATCACACTGCAGGGGTTCATGTCCTTGTGTTCTTTTCAACGCTATGTTGGGTTATCCGACAGAGAGCGAACCCTTGGACCTGTGTACTTTTTGTATCCGCCTCATTCATCTTAGGCTCGCTAACTATCATCTTCAATATTCGCTTCAACGAACTCGCATGGATTGACTACAGAAACTACCCGGGTGGTCCCCTTGCGTTCCTTCAGCAGGAGGAGTATATTCCCGAAGATCGCGTCGCTACAGTCGCGCCTTTCCTGGCAGCCGCTCTGAGCGATGGACTTCTGGTAAGTTCAGTGTCCCCTCTATGAGTCAATCCTATACCGACGCGTCGCAGATCTACCGTTGCTATGTGATATGGGACCATCGGTGGAGCATCATCATGGCTCCGCTGGCAATCTACCTATCTTCGATCGGTATGTCATAAGTATGCCAGTGGACATGAGCAGCTCCTCATTTGTCGGCGACGTAGTCATGGCAGTTTTTTTCGCTATTCAATTTTCCAAACCAGATGGCAGCCTGTGGAACAATGCAACCGTCGACTTCTCCTTGCCTTATTTCGCCCTGTCCATGTCGCTCAACGTCATCGTTACGACCATGCTGGTCGTGCGGCTGCTCTACATGCGCCGTCGTGTCGCGTCCGCGCTTGGCCCCGAACACGGGAAGATGTACACGAGTATCGCGGCCATCGTTGTCGAGTCAGCTCTTCCGTATGGCGTCGTTAGCTTCATCTTCTTGGTCTCCTATGGGTTGCAGAGCAATGTATCCAATCTGTTCCTAAATTTGCTTGTGCAGGTAGAGGTGAGTGTCGCATCATTCTCATGTCTGCGTATTGTTCAAGTGCTGTTCTATATACTAGTGCATGGCGTCAGAAGTGATCACCCTGCGAGTGGCGCGCGGCCGTGCCTGGACACGATCGACGTTGACAGATGTTCTCTCGAATGCAGAGTTCGCCATGCCAGGCGTGAATGCGAACTCTGACGGGTCTGTCGGTTGTGGTAGTACGTTGGAGATCCAGGCTGTTGATCGTGAAAAAAGCTCACAGGATGACAGTCGTGATGAGCCAAGCAACGAGCCGCAAACTAGGGTTTCCAGTAGCACGTTTCTGTCAGCGCAGGTGTGATGTCGCTCGTAGTCTTTCTATCGTGTCGGTGTATGATTCCCGAATTTATTTTTTCAATGTCGATAGCATACGCCGGAGTGCGTGCGTTCTAATAACATCAAACGCATGCCTTTGTTGAACGTAACCTTGAGTATGGATAGGCAATAAGCGGCACCGGACAGTCTCCGTGCAACGCCACGTAATGAATGGATATACATCCATCCTAACATTCCAGCCGCTCCTGAACAACGATCTCCGCCAGACAAGCAACGCATGCGTCGATGCCTAAAGGAAAAAAAAATCACTGGAAAATGAATCAGGTCTCCCCGTGCGACCGGAGTCATTAAGCATGTTCCTGCTATACCTCACCTCAGTCCTCACCTGGCCTCCCGAAAACAGTGCCTCCACAAGCTAACTTTGTACGATGAGTTGACGGTCAATTCCGCCGCTATCAATTTCACATACCGCATGGCGGCTGCGGGCGGAGGCGGGACACTCGGGTTGGATGAACGCGCAGTTCGGGGACAGTCGCCATCATTAGATTCCTTTCCGGCGATGGCTTGCAGGCAGTCAGGACAGTCAAGCTACACAAGGGTATCATCGACTGCTCCCACAGGCACATCCGTTGTATTTCTATACATTGAAATAAAGCCTCACGGTGGATCCTTGGCCAGTCAAGGTAGTTCATGCAGATGATCCGTTAATAAGAGGGCTGGGCTAACCGCCTCGGTTGAGACCTCGCTGGGGGGCGTTTTAGGAGCGGTTGCACCTCACTAGGAAGCATCAAGGGAAATACCATGGCCAGTGCACGTTTCAGATAGTGTTCCGCGGGTGATGACACGACGACAAGACATCTGTTAGTAGAACGAGCTCGTTGATGGATATAGCCGCGCGGGAGGCATGTTTTCCAGCAACGTATGGTGCGAGGGCGGTGACGGCTAGGTAGCAAGATGAATGAAGTGAGAGACCTGCGACAGCTGCAGACTGCTGCCGCCACATTCAATCGATTCCGCCATGCATTTACAGGATAGCAATCTAGTGAGGAGGGAAATGGGGTAGCCATCAAGTTATATCAAGACAACATTATCAGATGATATGGAGAATATATATAAAAAAAGATAGCGCTCACATTGACAGGAGCGGGAGCTTCGAGAGATCGTCATAACGGCTTCAGAAGCGGTTTCGCAAGCGTTCTGCTCCGAAATGATCACGTACCGTGCAATATAAAGCCGAAGTCAAGCGTGTCCCACTGCCAGTAGTTGCTTCTTTTGCGTGCTCGGTGTGGAAATGTCTACAGTCAAGATACTTCTTGTCATCCTGAGCACAATGCTAGTTGTGTGCTGCGCTGACGACGTCGCTGCAAATGGAGGTGGGTCTGAGCGTTATCCAGCATGATGAATCATTAGCTGAGGATTGTACTATCCCACAGGTACTATTTCAAGCGATGGGGTGAACAAGCTTCAACCGCACGGCAAGCGGATCAGACTAGTTGGTTACTGAAGAAAGCACCATCCGGTAAGTTCACAACATAGGATGGAGTTCTGACTTTTTGCGATGTGTGGCTTATCGTGTTGCGGACCGCCTGCAGTGACTCCAGTGCAGAAGAAACATAGAACGTGCCATACTCTCAATGAGATGTGGTCCTTCAAGTTAATTCATACCCTTAGTCGCGCTCTCATTGCTATCTTGTATGCCACGAAAATACACAACGAGTTGCATCAGTGCAGCAGTTTCGTGACCGCTAACAGGCTACAGACAAAATCGAACTTCGTGCATGAGGATTGAAGATGCTCAGGTACTGGTGGGACGTACGCAACACCGTCCTCAGCATCCTTTTCGTAGTTCTTCCGACAGCACCAAGTATAACCTGTCGCAAGGCCGGCGGTCGAACCCGGCATTCTGATCGTCGGATCTAGATTCATAATTATAAGCAAGTTGTTTCCCGCCACCAGTGTTCCGAACACAGCCTTTCCGCCACATAGACAGCACGAATTGAGTTGACGAACGGGAAGTGCAGGGTACGGCATCTGCAGAGACACGACGCCGTTAGCCAAGGACCACCCGGTTCTTCACGACAACACCCGGTCAAAGAGGTATCGATCGACACGCCTCAACCCAAATCCGGACAGCCACCTTCCGAGACGCGCAAGCTGAGCGCTGGCTCGGAAGCCTGAGTGAGACAGGTGTCGCAAATGAAGTGATACGAGCAATGTGAAAGGGAAGTACGTCTGAGATAGGAAACTGGTTCACAATAGACAGAATGTTCGTCAAGTTTTTAGCGAAATGGCCGGACCATGCGTTTCAGGGGCGGGAACCAAACAGAAGTTATTGATCAATCCGATCAAATGTGGACCGCGAGGCCACGTGGAGCCTTCCTTCGCTCGCCGGAATCTGCACGGATTCTCTCGTTCAGCATGCGATTGGCGGCGCAATGGTGAGAAGAAAGCGGAAATGACCGCCATTACGAATAGTCGTCCGTTACCGTCGGTGCTCACGCTAAACCTGCATGTTGCGAGCCTCCGATGTGTCATGCCAAATTTCATGGAATAGATGCTCACCGTAGCGCCCGCGTCAGCAACGAGTTCACGTCCACGCGCAGAACGGAATTTCAAGCCCATGCCTCATGCACATGGGCCGCCGCAGCATGAAAATTATCATGATTGTTTCATCCTTCTCTTGCATCCATCCATTGGCGATCGATATCTGAGCCAGCTCCTGTGCACGTTCCCAAATAGACATCACTGAATACCTGACTCCTTGTGCCTTGGCTACTGCTTTGAGCGGCAATGAAGGTGACGAACAGCCTCGGGGACCGGTAAAGCCTGTGCACATCATCTCCGAGATGGCATCAATCAAGGTAGGCTTGCCCAAGCACCCATGTACTAGCCTGCGGAACTTCGAGTGAATTGTCTTGTGTGGAGACGGGTGACTCCATATACGCGAGTACGCGGTTTACGCGCATAGGCCACCATATGGCGCGCCAACGATCCGGAGGCTGGGGGCACCATCACGCTCACATTTCAGTCGCCGTGGAAATCGCGTGTCCAGAAATCCTAATATCTGGCGCTGTGCATCACGGTGATCACGCCCGGTGTGTAGTACAATCTCCCTCTATAGCGCGCATGTGGTATCCACCCTACCCACGCGTATCCGAAGCCGTGACCGACTCGACGACTCTACGTCCTCGCCTCCGCCGGCTTGCGAGTGCGCGCGCGCCAACCACCATCCAGTCGATCGAGCAGCGCCTGCACTTCGCGCACCGCACCCTTGCGTTCCTGCCGCGCCTCCTCCCACTCGCCCTCGGCCGTGACCGCGTCTAGCCGAAGGAGCACCTGCAGGAGCAGCTCGCCCAGCCGGGCGTGTTCCTGTTCAAGATCGGGGTTCCGTCCGCCCAATTGCTCCTGGTTGCTCGCGCTCTGTGGCTTCGCTTTTGTTGCAGGCGCCGGTGGCTGCACACCCTCGTTTGGTAAGGATGTCGAGTCGAGCGCATTGAGGAAGTGGTCGACGTCGGGCTTGAGCGTCTGCCGCACCGCGTCGAGCTCGCCACGGATCTGCGCGACAGTGTTGGCCTCGGTGCGCTCCTTCGCCTTGCCATGGTGCTTGTGCGCCTTGTGGTGGGGATGCGCAGGCAGCGGGTCGTTCCCGCCCACAAGCGCGATTGTCGAGTTGGGCTTGATGCCATACGCGGATACTGCACGTCAGGAGGCGTCAGTGCCTTGATGTGAAGAGATACGATGGAAATGGGGACGACGACGCATATGTGATGGCAGGGAAGACGGGACGCGATGACGAACTCAGTGGAGAAGCAGGGCAGGGCACGAAGGTTGCGGAACATTTAGATGGCGCATCGCTCTGTGCTGCAAGGAAGGACAGAACACTGCCCAACGTGAGCGCGATATGACGTCAGGCTATCTCAGGGTAACGAGACCGAACGAGGTGAAGATACGTGGCAGAGGACATGACACGCTGCCTCACAGCTCCGGCCGCCCAGTTGAAGGAAAGAGAGGCTGGGAGCTCAAATTTGAGTTCAGCACGGTGGAGCTAGCGAGTCGCTGAATGCGATCCTTAGATGGAATCGCCATGGTGTTCGACATCCTTCTCGGCAGATTTTCAGGGCGCAAAACACGCTGGAACTAACTATCATTCTCACCCCGCAGGGCAAAAAAGTACCGATCTTTATGCAGAACACGCATCGGATATAGCTTGATAACTCCACCCTTTCCTATCGAGAAACTGGGTTTTTGGAAAGGCCTGTTGAGCATGGGATATTTTTGCCTGAGCCCCGCGCCTAGAGGCTCCGGAATGAGGAGATGTAACAAACTCCCCATATATAGGGAACCGGTACTTTCCGTGCAACATCAATCTGAGGATGCAAGACATGACCACACATGAACTGAGCCTGCACGAGCCTGGTAGACTCGAGCAAATGGATACCACGCGTGCCCAAGAAGCGTGCTGTCTGAAATTATCCTCGCGCCTGCAATCCACATTGGTTCCTGGGCGCGTCCTAATCCGGGGAAGATGCGAGACGAACGCGGCACCAGCGGCTACGCTCGTGGCGACATGCCTGAAGGCGCAACAGAAACGCAACCGCACGAGAAGCAGCGTGCCGCACATGCTGTCTGATCACAGCACGGACACAAAAAGACGCTCCACAACATCAAGGAACAGAACTCGAAGAGAACGTGCAAGGGAGATGAACGGAACTTACTCGAGGCATTCTCATCCTTCATAACGGCGCCAGCGTGAACGAGCTTAAAAGTTTGCGGGGGAAGCTGGGTGTACTCGGCGAGGACGCGGCGAACCTCGCCCAGCTTGGTATCTGGTGGGGGAAGGGCGAAGTGCAGCCTGGGCAGGCGTGTGCGCGTTGGGGTGGCGCATACGTACGGGGCAGGGCAGACGCGTATAGATAGCCATATATGACGGTCGCATTGAGATGAAGCAGATATAGCAATCAAGCGCGATGAAGAGAGATACGCAGAACGCGACGTGGAGGACGATACGTCAGAACGGTGCAACGAAGACTGTAGGTCGTGGTGCGCACCTCTCCCTGCCCCATTTCACGACATAGCTCATGGAATGCTTCTTGCTGCTTCGAGACGTGGTGACTTGCCTTGCGTGAACGTATGCGACGCGGAAGAGGATGAGGAGGGTGGGGATCGCTACAAGCACAAACGCCGGGTGAGCTTGCACAGCTCCGGCTGAGGCGAGCATCAGAGCATACCGAGGGCAAGTGAGGAGAGCAGGGCGGGCGACGACAGCGTGGAGATGCGCGGGGGGTGAGGAGACGGTATTCGCCACGTTGCGATGCTCGAGAGTCCAGGAAGCGGGATTGTGGCTGAGGTATAAGCTCCGCTTCAAGAAGCGAAAAGAGGGATCATCGGGAGATGAAAGTCAGAATCGTCGGAGCGGTTCGGCATGCGGCAGAGGCTGTGGCTGATGCCGCAGCGAACGGGCATTTTTCAAAGTGCAATCTATTCGCCGATCGCTAAGACCCGTTTATAATCCTCCTCGGTTTCGCTCTTTCTTTCCGTCCTCCGCACGCTACTCATCTCTGCTTTCCACCTTCCCCTCTTCCTCTTCCTCTCCCTCGTTCCCTCTCCTCTCCCCGCCAACGCTATGTCCGACCCCATCTCCTCCAAAGATGGCGCCCTCGCCCGCCCACAGAGCTCCGTCCAGTCCCGACCACCGGCCCCTATGCAGTCTACTCGTTCTGTCGCCGGACTCCTCAACAGTCGCCGAGCACTCGGTTCCACTCCCATCCCGCCCTCACTTCAGGCAAAGGTGGCCGCCGTAAGTACTCCATCGCCCGTCGGCATCGCTATCGCTCACAATCGCATGCATCCGTCTCTGATCTCATGTAGTTCGCGCAGCGAGGCCAGCAGTCTCAAAATCACAATTCCGTCGACGGCGCTGCCGCAGTGCTTGCGCGTGCATCCATTCAGGACCGTCCGGGCATGCCACCACCTCCCTCGTTCCGTCCATCCACATCGTCCCCCGGTCCCGCCCGCCCCGGCGCGCCTGTCGGCCTTGCTGCGCGTCGTAATCTGAAGGTCGGCTTGCCGAAGCTCAGCCCGAACGATGTGCCGGGCGGACTTCACCTCCCGCCAGTCGGTGCTGGCCCCCAGGGCGCGGGTTTGGGTGTTGGACGACCTATCATGGACGACGAGCCTAGACGGCCCTCGCAATCCAATAGCTTTTCCACTCCGTTCTCGAATTTCGGGAGAATAGTGTGCGTCCAATTCACTCTAACTCCGTCTAATCTCTCCATTCCCTGCTGACGCATTCTGCTTTCTGACCTTATAACGCGGTGGTCCGATCGCGATCTTGGTGTCTCGAATGGTGTCTGGGACTATTGCTGGACCGTCATGGGCCATCAGTGACCCCTCAGGAGCGCTTAACTTCAATGGAAAGGCCGTCTTACATGCGTCCGGGGTGAACTTTAGCAATGGCTCGTCATTCGCGATCAACATGACCCAGCTACAGCTCGAAGACGAGCTCGGCAAGGGCGCATATGGTACCGTGAAGAAGGTTCTCCATAAGCCCACAAATGTTGCAATGGCTATGAAGGTATGTTCTGGCTTGCATAATCAATGCAATCGGTTTCTGATGTGACATTGTCGACTCGTAGGAGATTCGCCTTGAACTAGACGACTCCAAACTCAACGCCATCATCATGGAGCTTGACATTCTCCACCGAGCAGTAGCGCCAGAGATTGTTGAGTTCTATGGGGCATTCTTCATCGAATCGTACGCCGCAACCATCTATTCAGTGAGTTGCCTGTGGTGCTTACTTCTCGCACAGGTGTGTATATTATTGCATGGAGTACATGGACGCTGGATCGTTAGATAAGCTTCAAGGTGCTGGAGTGCCGGAAGATGTACTAGGACGCATCACGGGGAGTATGGTCCGCGGACTGAAGTTCCTGAAGGACGAGCTTCAAATTATCCATCGCGGTATGTGCTATCTTTACGACCGTCGGTGCCTTTTACAAAGGAGACACGGTACCGGATTCCGGGTCGCTGACACGTCGGCTCAGACGTGAAGCCTACGAATGTGCTAGTGAATCGCAAGGGTCAAATCAAGTTGTGCGATTTCGGTGTATCAGGACAACTTGAAAAGTCACTCGCGAAGACGAATATTGGATGCCAGAGTTATATGGCGGTATGTTCAACGGATCAGTGGATGTTGTTTCGCTCTTACTCATGTGACTATTTGCCCTCTTTCGCCACATATTTCTTTGAATCATGTCACGCCTGGGCTCTCACCATTAGCCCGAGCGCATCAAAGGCGAATCGCAAAACAATGTTGCCACATATACTGTCTCCTCCGACGTCTGGTCGTTGGGTCTCTCGATGATCGAGATGGCGATAGGGCGGTACCCGTATCCGCCGGAGACGTATGCCAACGTGTTTGCACAACTTACTGCAATTGTGCACGGTGATGCTCCAGAGCTTCCGGAAACATACTCGGAAATCAGCAGGGACTTCGTGGCGCGGTGTTTGCATAAAGTCCCAGAGATGAGGGCCACGTACGCGGAGTTGCTGGTGAGTATCCTAAATGTTTCCTATCTGACTTCATTCAGGCGTGCAGTCATGAGTGTGCCTTGCTGACATCCACGTACAGGATCACCCATTTATGCAACAGGATCGTGAACGGGAAGTTGACATGCCGAAATGGGTCGAGCAAGCGCTCGAACATCGCGACAAGAAGCTTGCAATAGAACGACAGCAGAAGTCGGTGCAGGATGGCACCTCCGTTCCGCCACCATCATAACTGCTCAGAATACCACCTTTTGCCGTCGCCTATAGGACGCGACGTCCCATGCCCTCATATAGATTGTTAAGGAACCTGATCGTGGCCCAAGACACCAAAATATGCGGGCAAGCGTCAAAGGGGCAGGCTCTTGTACTCGGTTTCACTCATTGTGTGGGACGCGACATCGTTCTGTCCTTGTTGTCACATCTTGCTGTTCTCCGCTTGCCGTTCTCCGCTTGCCTGCGTCTCCTGCCGGACACTCGGCGAATACGCGAATTCGATAGTCCATGTCGCCGTCCTCACCTGTGCCAGCCCTCCTCCGACCTGCTCTGTCATACTCAGCATATGCCTTTCGGAGGGGTCATTGAAAAGCATCATGGGTTGTTTCTGCGGAGAATTAGGGAGTAAGGAACGCGAATTCGGAGAGCGTATGTATATCGACGAGGTTTGCTAGGACGGACGGAACGGAAGTTGTTAATCACATCGAATGATGTGTTGGGACATGCAGACATTGATTGAAGCATCTTTGCCCACAAGCCCAGCCCATAATATTGTGCGTTGGAAATTCTTTCGCGAACCCGGTAGACACTGCTGCCACCGCCTCCTCATAGCCACTCCTAGTTGTACCATTCATCACCATCATCATGTCAGGACACATTGCCTGCGGGCGGGCGGGCAGTCAGTATACACGAACCTCACCATGATCCTCTGCTTAGCACATCATTATTTTCCCCTCTTAAGTACTGTATTAGCACTGCGGAAGCTCCGTCGCTGTAGTATGCTGTCTTCGGTGCCGCTCCACATACACGAATGGGCGCGTCGCGACCTGCCATCTGTTGCATTGTATCCTTACGCATACTGTAACACACACCCAGTATCGTACTGATCTTCCAGGACTGCTGTGACTGTCTTGTCTCGTCTCTGCGGGACCAATGCACGAGTTGACTCGCTCTCCCGGACCCGCTCGTCTGGCCAGCGCTTAAGACGCGACGCGACGCGTTGCGATACGTGCACGTGACCGAGACAACCTGGCGTCAGTGACACGTACGCTTGTCGCCTTACACCCGTCGCCACATTGCAGAGTTTCCCGCACGACATCCCTCTGCACTGCCGTCGACAGTCTCGTGCTACCTTGACATCTCTCGTAGTCGAAACCTCCCTCCCAGCACGACCAAATGTGGCTCTCAGATGGACAGAGTGCGCCATCCTGCTTTACGGTACTGGATATGCCCTGATGCCTACGAACATATGATGCTCTAGAAATCGGCGTTGCGCTCACCTCCTTCGGCGTGCTGTTCATGTTCCTAGGCGTGCTCCTATTCTTCGACGGCGCACTTCTGGCACTAGGAAACGTGAGTGGATAATCCCTCTGGCAGAATCTCGACCGAGGCCGTGTTCCGCGGAGACGCACTAGCAGGATGAGTGACCACGTTGCCTATCTACCTAGGTCTTGTTCCTCGCAGGGGTGACCCTCATTATCGGACCTCACAAAACCGTCACCTTTTTCGCGCGGAAGCAGAAACTCCGCGGCACAATGTGCTTCTTGGGAGGCATATTGCTCGTCTTCATCAAATGGCCGTTTATCGGCGTGATTGTGGAGACATTGGGATTTCTGAATTTGTTTGGGTATGTGTCGCTTTCCCTGACCCGTTTTTTAAACTTTTGGTCGAAAACATACATCCTGATGTCTCTTAATGCAGAGACTTTTTTCCTGTTGTGTTGACATTTCTCCGACAACTGCCTGTGATAGGGCATGTCCTATCACTTCCATATATCCGCAATGTGCGTATTGTTGTCTTATTCTATTTTCAGGGGCTCGCTAATTATGAAGATAGGTGGCAGATCGGATAGCAGGTTCGCGAACATCGATTGTATAACATCATATTCTACATTCTCCGATCTCGGCGCGTCTATGCAGTCATTATTTCTGATCGGCATTGTTCTGGCGTCTCATCCAGTCCGAAACACAGCAACTCGGCTGTACTTCCATCACCTCTATGCTTTGCCTTCAGTGAGCTCTTGGCAAAGTAGACCTTGCCGCAAATGGCTCCTTTTCATAGCTCCATAGGCGCTGAATACTCTGCCTTATCGTTCATCGCGGCAGCCCATAGCGCGCTGCCGTGATCTAGGCGTGCTTTACGAAACATCGGGCGTCGGCGACCTCAACGCAAATCGAAATTTCCTCGGTTTCCATACGAAGCGTGTGGAATTTCGGTGATCACGGATACAGTCAAATGCACGACAAAATGTAGCGGCAAAACCTTCACCGGCAACGTGCGTTCAGGTCAATGCGTTAAGCTCTCTCCTTTATTTCGCCATATGAGTGCACCTGTGTATCTGGAAGGCACTGAGATGTCCACACCTGATTTATGAGTTGAGTTGCACTGTCGGAAATATCACAGATACGACCTGATCGGCACTTCACAAGGAGTCTATCATTCACACAAGGCAAAGACCGCGAAGGGACGGCTGTACAGGTGATCAGCGATGGATACTTATGCCTAAAACGATAGCGATCAGTGAATCTGTGCTAGCCTTTCGGAATAGAGATGCTAGCGTGCGTTGAGACACGCATTCCGCTCACGGAGCGCTGCACCAGGAAGTGGCCCGGAGGAGCCTGCTTCAGCCTCAGGCATGTTCTGTGGCGCTTCATGGCACGACGTCATTTGCTCATAAGTAAACCCTAGTTTTGCTCTTCTGTCCATTTCCTTTGCTATCAAAGCATCAAACATGCGATTCCCGCTTCATCTCCAGGTAGTAGTGATAGCCTAATTCTGCAGATATCAGACTAACAGATTTTCTATGTCTGGATATTTTTCTCCCAACCGGTCACCAGCGTTCTTATGTGCTAGACTCAATATGCAAACTTCTCCATCTGGATCACTTCAAGGCATATCTGACTCTATCGTCTCGGCAAGAGACCTCGAGGTCAGTGCGGTGTAGAAGTCCCACGATGCTTACAGCTCAATGACAAAAGATGGCATGAGGACATCCGCCACTGAAAGGCTCTTGCACAGCATTACTTATCAGCGTCTTGCTTTTCTTTCCAATTGTGTTGCCCGGGTATCATGGAGGTCTTTAACCATCATCTAGACGATATGAAACATCGTGCGACCGCTTAAGCTCGGTGCGGTGGTTCATGTTTTAAACGTTGAGCACACAGCCAAACTGACGGGGCCCCCCTGCAGCAGTTTGCATGAGATATGAAAATGTTCTTCGGTATAAATACGTGGCCTGAGGCATTGATGTCGAGCAGCATCAGATATCGCTGGGCTCGTCACCCACACAATGCCTTCTTTGCCGATGTTGTATCTCCCCGATACGATGAAGGACTGGCCGTGGCCTAGGAAGATTAATCCATACGAAGATGAAGTCAAAGCCCCCTCCATGGAATGGCTCCGCTTCTTCAAAGCCTTTAATCCAAAATCTCAAGTGGCATTCGAGAGGGGTGATTTTGGTAGGATTAGGGCCTTACTTTCGAAACCACGTCTCTGATTTCAACCATCATACAGTCCACGCTGCAGCCCTCATATGCCCATGGGGCAACAAGGGTGCGTCCACTTAACGATCAACGGCTCTGCACTCGTGCTCAGTATTTCACTTGGGTAGAGCAATTGCGCCCCTTCTGCGACCTCATGAACCTGTTCTTTGTCATCGACCACTATACCGACTTCGAAGATGCAAGCGACTGTCGTGAATTTACTGACGTTATGATGGATGCATTAGAGAATCCCCATAAACCTCGTCCCAAGGGTGAAGTCGTTCTCGGAGAAATCACTCGCCAGTAAGCACAGCTTCATCACATATCACGAGGGTGTCGATGGATATGCTTACTTCACAGGTTCTGGGAACTGACAATACAGACTATCGACATTCTCTCGCAACGCCGGTTCATTGAATGCTTTCGAGCGTATCTTACTGCGGTGGTAGAGGAAGCTGCCGACCGCGAAGACAAAATGATACTCTCCTTCGACAAGTACCTTTCGAAGCGCCGAGATACCTCAGGCCCGCGGCCGATTATCGCGTTGTTGGCGTTGGACCTCCCTGACGAGGTCTTCAATCATCCCCTGATGGGTCAGATGTCTGACTGTGCAACAGATCTAGTCCTCCTCGATAATGTGAGTAGAAGTTGCTTCCTTCACATATAGAGGGTGTTTGACATCATGATTGAAATCTTTTCTTCCAAGGATCTCTTGTCATACAACAAGGAGCGCGCTACGGATGGTGCCCTTCACAACATCGTCACTGTGACCATGCACGAATTCGGCATCGACATTGAAGCCGCTATAATGCACGTCGCGCAGTATCACAAGGAGGTCCAAGACAAGTTCATGAAGTGTGTCGAGCTCCTGCCTTCATGGGACCACGAACTCGACATGCAAGTCCACGATTACATCGACCGCCTTGCAACCCTGCCACGCGGTATATATGAGTGGCATTTCGAGAACGGACGTTATTTCGGGAATAGAGCTCACGAGGCTCATAAGACGCGTATGGTGCAGATGCTACCCGATTTCCACCTTGATACAGACCTTCGCAGAGAAAAGATCATCATCCCCCTCACTGATGGTGTGGCCTAAAGGGGCTTGTCCTTGTGGGGTTCGCTCTACTTACGTATAGAGCGATGTTGGCGTTCGTCTCCGAACGTCGTAGGTTGTTAGAGTTAATTTTCGCCGTCACCATAGGTACATCTCTCCGGTCAGGCTGTATCTTGCTTTGAACGCAGATCGCGGCTTGACAATCTTTCAACGAGACCCGTTCATCATGGTCAAATACACTTAGCTTCATGATGCGCATACATGAACTGACGAAGATTGGGGTATCGTGAGCAATTGCAATAAGGACCAATTGTGCACCCTAGTTATTGTAAGGTTCTCGAGCGACTCTAATAGTCCCTGTGGTAGTTTGTTCTTACTGGCTGTGCACTGTGTGCAGCACTCGTCTGGAACTAATTAATTATCGGTGAAGCTGAACCACCAAAAGTTCACACATCGCGACATGTCTGTGGCCGCGCTTACTATGTTCGGCGCTCAGCGCCCAGCAGCCGCACCACCCTCGCAGGGTTAGACGGTCGCCATTCATGAGGTTACACAGTTACTTTACAACAAAAGCCAAACACAGAAAACGATGGCTCGTATTTGTACAACGCATTTCGATGGCTCGTATTTGCACAACGCATTTCATGGCAGATCAGTTATGTCGCTCTCATTACCAGCTCACATCCTCGCCCTCTTCGCAATCCTCACGACCAAGCGAGCCTCGGTGAGAAGGTTTGCGTCATAGATATCGTCTTCATCGGTGTCATCGTCTTCCAGATCACGCTTGCGCTTTTCAGCTCTCCCATCTGAGGCAGAGAAAGGCGCAGGAACAGCGAGGACTGGATCCTGGTTTACGACATCACTGTCGGTGTCCATCTTGTCTGTGGCGTTGCCAGCGATGCCTTTAATCTGTAAGCTATCTCGCTTTCCGCGGTATCGAAGGAGCGCGCGGAGCACGCGCAGTGCATGCAACTGCGCACACTCCATCTGGAAGGTTCTCTCTGTCTCGTCTGACATGCATTTTAGAGCATGTACAGAACAAGAGAATGGATGGAGGCTCACCATCAGGACTGCTCCACGTCAAGTATTGACCGCTGCACGTCTTGAGATATGCAGGGATGCAGACAATATCTTCTCTGGAAAGAGGCTTTTTGAACCCAATGAGCCCTGCAGACTCGCCATTGTGGTACTTCACAAATGGACGATGTCCGCTAGTGTACAGCATTCTCATGATTTTCTATGGGAGACATCAGCTGAAATGAAGCAGGTCACCACCATCAAATGTACCTGAATGTCACTCAGGCTGATATCGTCTTGGTCGCACTCGAACTTCAGCGACGCACCACTAACGTGAGGCATTTCCTCTTCCTGTAGGAAGAATCCTTGCTCTCCCTCGTGGATAGTCGTCTCCTTTCCCATGAACTTGAACTGCAGCTGGGGCTTCGACTGGTTCTTGTCGCTGTCTTGACCAGCAGAATTCTGCTCATCTCCCTGTGTCTTGCTCTTTTCCTTGTTGACGTCCTTTCCCTTCGTTGTCCCAGTCTGCTCTTGAGTCTCACTCGCATTACGAGAGCGTTCAAGCTTCTTCTGGGCGATCTCGTGGTTTCGTCTTTCGATAGCCGCAGCCCTGCGTCGAAGAATTTCCGCTCTCATGACCATGTCGGGGAACTCGTCTCTGTCAACCTCATCAGAATGATGATCAAGTCTGAGATATTCAGAACATACCCCGACACAAGCAGGAGCTCGTTGCCATTCCACCTAGGACTAGCCTGAAGAAATGCGTCTCGGGAATTTCTCCCTGCATACTCGACATAGACGGCACCCTGTAGCTTGTCAGGCACCAAAATGCCCAACTCTGACTGGGAACGCACTGTGAAGTTTTTCTCCGGGAGTGGTTTCTCCAGAATGACGTGAGTCGTCTTGCCATGTTGGCCGAAGAACTGTTCCATCAGTTGCTGCATGTTTTCTGCTTCCTCTCCGAATCCTTGCTGGCAAGACGTCAGATAGCGATCAAAACATCGCGAGAAGCACGCTCACAACATAAACGCTTCGCCTCGTCAGGTCCACGTTCGGCTTCCGAAAGCGGTCGTAGCTCTCTGCTGGAATAACAAGCTTGTCGCCGATCTCTAGCGTACGTTTGATTCGTTCAATGAGGAGCTTGGCCCTGAGGCATGAATCAGTGTGCGACGTATTGGAAGAGAAGTTACAAGGCTACTTGGCTGGGGAAATATCAGACTGCGCAGTAGCTAGAGCGCAAGTGAGTTCGATCCGAATATGTTTATACTGTTTGGCTCACTCTGTTGCGCCGGCTTAGGTTGCTCGGTCGACATTTTAATGTCTGCTGCGAAACCCATACCACGTTTCTTTCCGTTCTTCTTGTGCGCAGCATTGAACTTACGTCCCTTCGCTGCTGGCTTCGTCTTCTTCACTCGCTGATCGATACCCATGCTGTTGTTGTTCTTCTCTCGGCTGCCACTGATCCACGACACTTGTTTCGGTTTGTTGGGTACCGTCATCCTCCTGAATGCATTGAAGCCTATTAGTCCTCGGAATCCAGGGCCACCAATGCGGCCCCTGTCGAGAGAAGCTTTCTTGCCGGTGAGACCTTTCTCCGTGATCTTCATGTGGCAGTATGTCTCCCTAGATACAATTGGTCAGCTATGGCTACCAATCGAAACTACAACCCACTTGGTCATGATGAGTAGCTCCTGCCCATTCCACGATGGCTTGGGATCAGCTTTTAGAAACAACTGCACAGAGAGAGGGTCCGCAAATTCAGTGAACACGGAACCCTATGAGAACATCAGATTGTGTCAGATCGGAGTGATCGCGCTATTATGACCTTGAATGCGTTGGTCTCTCTGTCCTGTCTCATACGGACGGCGTTCGTCCGGCCATAGCACTCAAAGAATCTTTCGAGATCCCGCTGCAAGCCGTCCACTTCAATGCCGAACCCTTTCTACAGCGGGAATTAGCAGCGGGACGAACAAACCTTAATTTATACTTACAGCATATACACTGCGGTCCCACGCACTGTTCTGCTGGACTTCTGTTCGCCGGCGGATGTGCGTGCCTTCCCCGTCCACTTCGAGGTGAATGCTCTGACGAAGGGTATCCACCAGCCATTGGGGTCCCAACGGCTGGTATTTGCTCAGGCGCTTGAATGTCGCAATAGTTGCTATCGGCACCCAGTGCTCCGCGTTGGCGAAATACTAAGTCCACATGAACCTAGTAGCATTTGAGGATTTAAATACCAACGATTGAATGCTCTGCCCACCGATCATATGGAAGGTTAGAGTCGGAAAAATAAAATTCGACTTAAGGATGCTGGGGGTAAGGATGACCACGATACAGTATAGCAAGAATACGACCAACATACCCTGCCGCATCGCATTCAAAGCCCGCTCATTCTGGTCTTCATCATCAATGCGAAGATTTTGGATACCATGGGTGGCACTATCGACTGCCACCGCTGTAAGTATCGCGCTTTCCATCGTTGAAGTCAACTGGGTCGAGGTCTGTTCGATGTCCATTCAGACTTGCTGAAAGATCGTTCAGAACGCGAACGACGCGAACAAAGTATGTATATCAGAGAAGTCGTCCTGAGGACAAGACGATGGAGCGGTCGAAGAGAGCTCAACAAGATATACAACTCGAGAAGCTCCGGCTGGCGCCAGTCACAGACCTCGCGATCGAGTGGGCGCGGTGGAGGACTCAGACACACGTTCCGTGGCAATATTACGAGGGAAATATTTTTTTTCGTAGAAAATTATGTACTACACATATATAGTAGAAAGTGTACGTGACAGATAACAATATGATGAGCATACCACGTAGCGAGGACACTAGGCACGTTTCTTCTTGGGGCTGTGCGACGGCCCGTCCTCCAGGCTTCTCTTCATGGGAGAAGCGATGAGCGAGAGCGGCTCCTCGACGACGTCGAGCTCGACGATGTCAGCGTTGAACGAGTAAACGTTGTCGATCTTCCACCGTGAGATGACGATGACGGCTTTGACAAGCGCACCCTTCAGTGCGTGCTCGTAGTTCGGCGGTTGGATGAGGCGTTCGCTGGTGTCGTATGCGGGCAACGGTCGAGGACGGTGAGACTTCGCCCTTTCAAGTCTCGCTCGAGCGGCCTGGGCCTCGTTGGTCCTGCAAGGCCAGTTCGTTATGTTCCACTCTTCGAATGTGCAGCAGAACGTCAGCGGGGCGGTTTGCATGAGACAGAGAATTCACTCACTCTTCCTGAACTGGGTGCCGTCTTTGGGATCGACAGTCTGAGCGCGGCGCCATCAGCGGGAATGTGCGTACGAGAGATCGACAGATTACTTACCTCGAACATCTTGTGACGGATTTTCAGCCGGTCGCCTGCGTCCGTCAAGGAACCGTTGCTGTTCACCGGGATGTTGGTCTTGTCCTTCGACTGCTGGACAATGGCACGCGCTCCTGTGAGTGCCTGCTGGAAGATCGCGCAGAGGCGATCATCGCGAGGGGCCGCGAGGTAGGCGGACGCTGTGTGATTCTCGAAATCTTTGCTGTTCTTGTCCCCTCCACCACCCAACCGGTGGCTCCAGTTGCTGCATGGCTGCAGCCAGAATGAACGACCGCTGATGTTACCGACGAGCCATAAAGAGACCGCCTCGTCGGCCTCAGCGTCGATGAGTACCTCGCGGCCATGTACATCTTCCCTCCACACCAGATCCTTGAGCATATCTGCATGACCGAGAAAACGCACGTCGTTTTTTTGCATCGTCGAGAATGTCAGCGAGCAACGATTTCGGAGAACTGGGCTGTTGAGTGGCGGGTGGAGGCGGCGTGGACGGTGCAGAGGGCAAGGTAGAGTCGGACAAGCGATCAGAGTCGGTCATCGAGTCGAGAAGTGGTGCGTAAGTTGGGAATGGCTCACTGGAGAGGTCGGATGCCCTTATATACGTTTCGGGAAAGAAAGCGAGCGAGATTTCGAGAACGTTCGCGAGGGTGCTCGGATGTTCGGGAATGATGGCGCATAGATGGCGGGAACCATTAATCAGTGTTGGTCAGCGCAGGCTAATATCGCGCACGCACCTCGAATCCACAAGGATCTCATCTTGTAACGTTACTCCCATCTGCCCGCACTCCATTATGTCTCGATACTCACGGCTGACAGTCAGCGCGATCCGCGAATCATTGGAAGATGATGGCATTCACGTACCTTGTAAGATCTGGCACAACAAGCGTGTTCTGCTTGAATGGGTTGATGGCCTGCCGACGGACGTCTGTACGAGACTTGATCGGCTCCTTGAACAGAGGACGGGATCTGCAGAACCGAACGATGGACAAGGTAGTGGAAGGAGGAGAAAAAGGGGCCGAGGAAGTGCGGGTGAGAACGAGCGTCGTGCACGTCGCAGATTAGAGAGTTCGGAACGGGAGGTGATTGGGGATGATGCTATAGAAGGAAACAGTAGCACGTCAGCGTTCCTGAGAACGCCTTCTCCCTGGGAGCGTCAGCAGTGCCATCGAGAGTTCTATCAGGCTACATCGAACGGCGCACTGAAGATGGCTGCGTGTGCTGTTTGCGCTCGTCGACAGCGGCAGGCAGAATCGGGCATTCAAAGCATCAGACTAAACGAGCTTTCGAACAGGCAACGGCTGGCTCCTCGACAATCCATGCCATACCACGAGTTGATCGAGGGCCTATTGCTGCTGCCTGAGGCAACACATGAAAGGGAAGGAGAGTGTGCCGTTGATGTGTGCAGGGCTTGTTTACAGGAGCTCGGCAACGAACGACATGGAGGTCTACCACCGGCATACTCTCTCACCAACAATCTATGGGTCGGAAAAGTTCCGTGGCAGCTGGCGACGCTCACGTTTCCAGAAGCACAGCTAATTGCGCTCACATACCCGAGGGTCTTCACAGTAAAGCTCTTTCCAAAAGACCCATGTGAAAATGTTCACCTGCAATCTGCACTGAAAGGGAACGTGACTAGCTTTGCTCTCAATCCTTTGTATGTCGCAGTAAGGCTCCAACATTTCTATCTATTTACTATGTTACATAGTTTTAACTGTTTACTATATCTGTTTATTTATAGTTGGGCCTGTACATAGTAAATAGATGTATATATATAGTATAAATAGTTTTATGATGATATAGGGCTATTGAGTGCACAATTGCTAGATTTGACAGCACAACAGTGAGCCAATTGAAAGTCATAGTGTTTAACTGCAGTCACCACTGACAGTTTATCATCATATAGGCTCATGAACATGAGTTTCTTGTCATTTTTGTATGACATAAGATTTTCTGGTCATTTCTGGTGCAAGTGTTGACATTGAATGCTTGTTTTCTGCTCACTGTCATGTGCTTGCTGATGCAAACAGGTCCTTAAAGGCCTCAACAATCACAGAGGCTGCTCACAGTTGAGTAAAACTCCATCAAAAGACGGGACCAAAAAAACTATATAAACTTTATATAAACTGTTTATATAACATATAGATAACTGTTTACTATATACTATTTATTTACACCTCAGGAGTGTAAATAGTATAAATAGTTGGAGCCTTATGTCGCAGACATGGTTCAAGGAAATTTGATGCCTCGATCGCCTGCAATTCTTGCACATCTGATTGCCATTACATTCGTCGGAAAGGGACGTCTACGAAAGGAAGCCTTGCACAGAACGTATCGAGTACGACGAACCGTTGTTGCTGAGGCTCTTCGATGGCTCAAAGCACACAACAGATATTATCATGACATCGAGATCAGTGTCGATCGACTGGACGCCCTGCCTGAAGATGATGTGCCAGATGAGCTTCTTGCGGTAACACGTCAAAATGAAGATGTTGGAATGCTTGATGCAGAGGATGACAACTATGTTCCCTCAGAGAACAGAGAGTCAGTTGATGAAGCAGAGCGAAACGAGCTGGGTAAGTTCATCACACAGTGCATGATTGACAAATAATTGACCAAACACATGAATTTGCAGATAACGATTCTGATGACCCTGATGTCATACCACTGCGTTACATTGCTGGTGCAGACACGGACATGTATGGCATCTCCTGCGATGAACTGATGTCATGGGGAGTCGAGAATTCCTGGCAAGACGGAAGGAAAGGCCAATACCTCGTGAGACACAGCAGACATCCACTTCGTGATTTTGGCCAGCCACAAAGAGGCGAGGATCAGAGAAACAATGACAACCTGTTTGAGAAGGCATTCCCAACACTGTTTCCATATGGTGTGGGAGGGATAGAAGGAGAAAGACCAGTGCGAATATCATTCATCGACCATGTCCGCTGGACTTTGCAGTATTATGACGGTCGATTTCGAAGGCATCCCTCATTTTCATTTTTGACATTTGGAATTGAGCAACGGCATCAGGCCATTAACTCAGCTCACATTCAAATCAGCCGTCATCAGTTTGACAGGGATGCTCGAATTCTGTCCAGTATCACACTGTCTAACTTGCAACGAGCGGCGAAGGAGGAATCTATGAATCACCCAATCAGCAATCCAGCAGTGTGTCTCCTCAAGAAGCATGTACATGCAGTTGGAGGTAGAGTGATGGGATCAGATGAGGCACGATATCGTCTACGCAGCAAAATCTGGTCAACTTCAATCCATCTTTCACCACCAACATTGTGGCTCACCATCAATCCCGATGATCTGCATGATCCCATTGTCCAAATTCTCACTGGAGAACAGATCAACATGGACCAATTTAATCCATTGATAGGACCCGACAGAAATCAATGTGCATCAAATGTTGCACAGGATCCCATGGCTGCTGCGGAGTTTTTTCGATTTTTGATCAAGACAGTATTGGAGACTCTGTTTCAGATCCACATCGTCGAGGGTGGTCAAAGGGTTATAAGCAAAATGGGTGTTCTGGGACATCTCAGTGCATATTTTGGTGTTGTTGAATCTCAAGGACGTGGAACGCTTCACCTGCACATGTTTGTTTGGCTGAAGAATGCACCATCTGCTGATGAGATGGTAAAGCTGCTGGATCAAGAGAGCTTTCGTGAACACATGAAAAATTACATCAAACATGTGCTTAAGGCCCATCTGGATGGCTTTGAATCAGAAGATGCAATCAAGGCAGCTGCACCAGAGAAGGAGATTGCATATAATCGCCCTCCTGATCCCAGTCAGCCCTTGTATGAGAATTCATTTGCATCATTCGAGAGACAGGTCGTGCGCTCCAAACAGGTTCATACCTGTTCAAGAAACAAATGCTTGACGAAAAAAGGTCCAAAGGCATGCAAGCGAGGTGCACCATGGCCACTGGCTCAAGATAACTGGGTCGATGCTGATGGCAATTGGGGACCAAAGCGAACATTTGGATTCTTCAATTGTTGGCAGCCAGATATATCGGTCGCAGCCAGGTGCAACAATGATATCAAGATTCTCACAAATGGACGTGACTCTGAAAATATCACCTTCTATGAAACAAAGTATGCTTCTAAGAAGCAGGGATGCCACCACAACATGTCAGCATTACTGGCTCAGTCATCAGCATTTCGAGTTCAGGAGTCCTCATACATTCGAGATGTTCAGAAGCAAAACCAGCTCATGCTGTTTTGCTGTATACATGCAATGAATGGACAACAAGAAATTGCTGCACCTCTCGTAATGATGTACCTAATGGGGTGGGGTGATACCATATGCTCTCATCGTTATGAACCAATCTACTGGTCAACATTCATTCACTATATGCAACAACATGATAGCTCGTTAAATCAAGTAGACAGGTAAGTCAACTGAATTCAGATACATTCAATTCATTTACTGACACTTAAACCAGATTAGGTCAGCCCGAAAGAGACTCCTCAACAGGACGTAATGAGCATGGAGTCATCAACGAAAATGTGAGTATATTATTTTATACAAAAGCATGATCAGATAACTCATTGGCATCTAGGAAGGAGATCATACCATTCGACTTGGATTCGATGACAATCAAAGACTAATTCTCAGGAATCAAGTCACTGACTATCGTCTGAGAGGTGAATCATTGGAGAACTGCAATATCATTGATTTCTTTGTCAACACATATGAGAGTCACAAGTCACATAGCAGTGAAGATGCCTTGAACAACAGAAGAGGTGGCGTGGGCGGCCACCAAACACAAGAGTGCAATACAAACCTGAACATCCTAAACATGCATCCATGGTTCGCATCATCTGATCGGAGGGTCACAATTTCCTGCCAAACTTTGTGGGCAAGTATTTTCCTCGCCGAGATGATCCTGACCCTCAACATCAAAAATTTTACTGTGCTTCCATGCTGTTGCTGGTGAAACCTTGGCGATCATTGCATGACCTCAAGAGAGATGATCAGTCATGGGAATCAGCATATGATGAGTTTGTTAGCAAAGAAGACACTCCTCTCAAGGTTCATCATATCATCTCCAATATTCAACACTATCACCGTTGTGAGTCGAGTGCAGTAGAGCATGCAGAACGTGAACACAACAAACAGAGATCAGATTCAAATCAAGATGATGTCCATGAGCAGGACTATGACCCTGATTGGGAGGATGTTGATGAAGACGGTCGCACTGAAAATGTAATGGACCATGAAAGGGACAACGAGGAGACACTCAATGCCATCATGACAGCCAGCAAATACACAAGGGAGCGTATACATGGCATACTGGCTGTAGAAGCTGGCCACAAGGCTGGAGTATTCAGCGATGGTGACTATGAGTGTCTACCTTCATCTGCAAATGCTAATGAAGGAGACATACAGCACTTGCTAGCGTGGAATGCAGAGCTGCAAAGACAGGCACAATAACTGAACCTGACCTACTCAGCGACAAATGGATTAGATGATGATAACGGAGATGTGGTTGCATATCAAGGTGGTGTCGAGGAGGGTGCATCAGTGGAAGTTCTCACACATAAGGCTTTAGAGGCATTGGATCAATCGGAGCTGCTCACAGATCAGAAAAGAGCATATGACATCATCACATGGCACCTCAATCAGACACTCGCAGGGCACAAACCACCACAGCTGTTAATGTTAATTCATGGTGAAGGTGGCACAGGAAAATCCAGGGTTATCCAAACTGTGACTGAACATTTCAAACATCAGTCAGCAGAAGACTCTCTTGCAAAGGCAGCATACACAGGAATAGCAGCATCTGTGATCGATGGAAAAACCACTCACACCATCGCAGGTATCAATGTCAATGGAAGAAAGATGTCAGAACACAAGCGGAAGAAACTCAGCGAGTTCTGGTGCACAAAGCAATATCTTATTATCGATGAGATATCCATGATTTCAAAGGAAATGCTTGCACACATAGAACACAACATCAGTGCATGTCCCACAGGGCAGGAACAAAACAATGAACCCTTTGGAGGTATCAACATCATCATATGTGGTGACTTTCATCAATTTCCTCCTGTTTCACAACCTGCAAGTGCAGCACTTTACTATCCAAGCACATCAACAGGACAAGATTCAGAAGATGCACGAGCTGGTCGAGCATTGTATGAGATGTTTCATGTTGTTGTGACACTGAAGGAACAGGTTCGCGTGAGCGACCCAGTCTGGCTAGATTTTCTTCAGCATCTGCGCATAGGAGATGTCCGAGAATGCGACATTCAAATGCTAAAACAACTAGTACTTGGACATGAATCCTGTCCAGTTACCGATTTCACCACATCTCCCTGGAATTCAGCTTCACTGGTCAACCCCCGTCATGGTGTTCGGGAAGAATGGAATGATGCTGCATTAAAGCGCCACTGCCAGCATCAGCAAAAGCAAATTTTTATATGCCCTGCAGAAGACACAATCCGAGGACGATCACTAAATATCCATGAAAAAGTTGCAGTTGCAGAACTCCAGCACAGCAGCAAACGTAAAAAGCAAAGGAGGCAGCTACCTTATGAAGTCAAGTTGGCCGTGGGTATGAAGGTGATGGTGACCCTGAACCTCGCTACTGATCTCGATGTCACAAACGGTGCACGTGGAACCATAACACAGATCGTCTTATATCCAGATGAGCAGCCTGTGGGCAATGAACAAGTTGTACGGCTCACTCACATGCCTGCATACATCATTGTGCATCTTGAAAGAACAAGAGTCACCCAGCTACAGGGGCTGGGAGAAGCGGAGATCTCAATAGAGCCTGCGGAGCAATCATTCACTATCAATCTCATGGGTGCAGGGCCAGAACATCGAACTGTTAAACTTAATGTGCTTCGAAGACAGCTGCCACTGACAGCAGCATATGCATTCACCGACTATCGTGCTCAAGGTCAGACTCTTCCTTATGTCATTATAGACATAGCGAAACCACCGACAGGCAACCTGAGCCTGTTTAACTTGTATGTTGCATTGTCACGGAGCTCAGAAAGGGGGTCGACAAGGCTGCTGCGAGATTTCGATGAAAGGATATTTTATGGAGGGCATGATGAACAGCTCATGTTAGAAGATGAAAGACTTGCCAATCTAGACAGAGAGACAGATGCATGGTGGCACAAACTACAATGTAGGCATATTTAATGGCAGTCAACAGCAATTGTCTGAATAGCCGTGATGTAAAAGCATGTAGCATTATAACACAAATGGCAGCAATGGGCAGCAATTGTTAATCTAATGTCGATCTCTCGAGTGAAAAGCTCTGGTGCAGGCATATGCTAGAGATGTATCATTACAAACTCAAAGTAGCACAAACGTACTAGTTTTGATGACAAGTAATTCCGGCTTGAACCGAAGATAAAAATGTTTGCAATAGCAGTTATAGAGGTAAAAGGTACATACAGTAACATTTGTAATCCTGATGTATTAATCAGTAGTCGAGATTATGATTATACCATTGAGATGAAAGTGTAACAGGGTAAGGCACAAGCATCACAAACAGCGGTCAACAGCAACCATCTGCATAGCTCGAGATGAAAGTCTGAGAAATAAAGCACAAGCGTAGCTAGCTAACAGCGGGCGATAGCACGCGCGTAGGGGGTAGATTAATAAGCAATAACCGATTAAGGTAAATAATGGTGGCATGAGAATGTGCACAAACATGTACAAAGACTTGAGCAGTTTTTGTGCGCATTCCCGACCTGCAGAGACCTTGCAATCGCAAGGTAATCTGTGGACGCACTATTTGTTCATGTAGGTCCTACCATTGCAGAAGTGCTCGTACGCGGCGGCAGCCGCTAAACCTCGTCCGGCTCCTTCCGTGACGACTCCGAACCCGTCCGCTACCCCGAAGGCTCCTAAGCCCAAGCAGGTTGCAGAGCCCTTGCGGTACGTGGTTCGCTTTACTGGCTCCGCGCCGGTCCACTTGCTTCAGACTCCCCCTGCCCAACTGGTCAGTGATGTGAATGCAGCACTGGCTGCGATTCCAACTGCTGGAGGACTGGCTGCACTTGCGGTCTATCTGAGCTCCTCTGGCAACATCGTCCTGGCCTTCCCTCCTGCCACATCCTACCGCCGCATTGACGAACATCTCCCGACCCTCCGTGCTGCCCTCAAGCTCGACCCGGATCACTATGTCTCCAGGGACGTCAAGTGGTCTCGGATTCTCATCGGCAATGTCAGCACCCAGGCAGCCCCTGGCGGCGCTGTCCACTCGACGTCGACCCTGTTGACCGAGCTCATCAAGAACCCCGTGCTTGCGCGCCTTCGCATCACCCAACCTCCGCGCTGGGCACGTTGACCTGAGCAAATCGACGGTGCTCGCTCGTCCGTGGTCCTCGGATTCGAAGACCCGGATGGCTCCATCCTCACTGCCCTCCTTCAGACCCCCCTCTTCGCTTTCGGTACTCCCGTCACCACGTCACGCTGGCGTGAGAAGCCGCGCCTCCGGCAGTGTACGAGGTGCTGGGGACTCGGCCACCTCTCTGCAGGCTGTACGAAGCCACCCCGGTGCCGTGTGTGCGCCGGCCGCCATCTAGAATCGGTGCACCGCGCTCGGTGCGCCATGTTCGCGAAGGAGAATCGCGCCACCTCAGACCCTTGCACTCACGTGCGCTGCATGAACTGCCGTGGTCTCCACCACGCCGACTCCGACCAGTGCCCCAAACGCACCGCTTTCCGGAACGCTGGCCCCGCTCCGAACTCTTCTCTCGAGCGCCCCGTGCTGCTCGCTGCTGGCGACTCCGATGTTGCTATGTAGGGGCGAGTACGACTTTAATTTCCCCCCACGTTCCTTTCTTTCCATTTCTAGCACCCCCCGTCTGCTCCCCTCCGTCACCACAAGGCATGCCTGCACCGAATATGGGATCCACATGCCGGCGTAGCAACACTTAAATGCAGGGGATCAGTTTTTATCCAGCCTGCTGCGTGGTAGGGTTCACCGCGCGTCACCCATTCATTCTGTTGATTCCCTCAGTTCTTTCCCTCTGCCCCGACATCTCTTTGGCTGCCAACTCACTCCACCCTTCAGCCCGCCGTTGTGCAATTCACTAACCCTGGTCCAGCCGGCTCCCCCTCAATGTTCAACTGGTCACCATGCCCCGCACGCCACTTTGCCTCTGCGGTGAATGAGGACTGTTTGGTGGGAGTATCTTGGGGGTTCGATTCCCCTTAAACAGTGTTTCTAACGAGTCAACGGACTGACCGCAGCGCCGTTTTCGAGTTTGGTTAGGCATATGCATTTTGTTAGGTTATCGGCGCTTGCGTGGTCCATGACACAGCTTACCGGGCTTCGTGCCCTTCTACTATACGCCTGCTCTGTTGCATCCGTGGGGACCTGGTGTCCGTACGTTAAGCTTCTTCGCCCCCAGATGCGTCTGGTCCTCCATTGTTACAAGACATGTATTTACACACCTCCGACCGCCCCTTCGGGGCGGGATATAAATTGTATATTAAAAAAAAAAAAAAAAAGGCCCTACCATTGCCACCTGGTCCCGCCCGCAGAGGACCCTGGAACGTGTTGCGGCTCACGACATTGCTGTGTGGCGTGAGTTCGAAGAACTCATTAATATGAAATGGATGTGTAACTGTCGAGGTCACAGATACGTAAATTTCATCAGACGCTTCTCGACGCGGATACTGGGGACAGAGAGAACACACATGCAATCGAAAGTCGAGAGGAATCAGCAACGCGATGCTGCAGCATAGTGCACGAAAATGCTTGCAACGGATGTGCAAGTGTCAATAATCTGAGTAAGAGTGGGAGATGTCCATGATGATAAGCCAAGAACACAATTTACGCTTCCAACTTCTGAGAAGGTTGAGAAGGCTGGAATGCATGTTGAGCGGACGCGACCAGCCGATTAGCGAAATGATGCCGTGAATAACGATCACAGGTTAACAGAATAAGCAAGGCATACCTGTAGGCACCTCTTCTCGATGGAGGTCAGATTACAGCAAGGTGCACGGTATGTTCAAAGAGACTGCGATTGTGGTCAGAAGACTGTAATGAGCCACGTGCCCGGGAATCGCACCTGTGGCTGAAGGTTTCGCACAGTCTTCAACCAGTCCTTTATACACTACCAGTCCTTTATACAGAAGCACTTTTCTCATTCATTTTCAGGTCAAATTGCTCAGTAAAAAATATATTATGTAGCTATTGGTTAGAGGATTTATGGTCCATAAGACAAGATGCAGGTGGTATGCCTGTTCTTTTGCAATATGGCATTTTTTTCTGTTCAAGGCTTTTTTATGAAATTTTATTTTGGCTCTCATAGCATGCAGCAAGAGAAATTCTGAAAGATCAACATGCCAAATATATCTATAGTCAAGAGGCATGATGTCTGCACCCAAATGAGCTGATAGCGTGTGTGTATCAACCACAGGAGGCGATTTATCCCTGGAGAGGAGGGGCCCAGCGAGTGCTGTCACGTGCTGTCAAGTGACGTCACATGTGACAGGTCCTTAAGACCGTTTCGTGGACCTTTTGAGAAAAGCCGCTCTCAAGCCAAAGATGGCGAAAATTGACGACAACGATGCCAGCGACAATGAGAGAGATGCAGATGGGTCGAGCACAATGGATTCTGAGGCTGAGCGCTGAGTTCCAAGCACTGTGGCGAGAGCGTGACTATGCGTGACAAGTGTATAGAGGAGTCGGAGATGCGCATTTTGACCATATTGCCTTCTTTTATTTTTGTACACCACATTTCTCATTCCTCTGCTCTGAAACATTCTTACAATATGCTCGTGGATGTGCTTGATAAATCTATATACTTTGTTTGAGGTGAAAGTGAAAATTCCTTGTACAGGAATTTCGAAAACATTGAGCGTACAAAGGACCGGTTGAAGACTGTAGTAAGTAGCTGGCTCCCCATCGCGCGACATACTCGCGACATGCTGCCATGCAAGGCTGCTGCAGCTCGTGAACATCTGATCCTGAAAAATAACAAAAGGAAAGAACTTGCTGGGTAGAGGTCTGCCTGGAATTTGCCACTTGTGCGAGAGAACAATGTTCCCGACTAGAACACCCGGAGAGAGGGCTTCACAGAAGGCGGGAAATGAGGGACCCAGGCGGACATTGAATCACGCGGCAATATAGTACATGGTCCAGCTCGATGGCCGCTTAGGCCTCCGTTCTCGACAGCGCTTGCTTTAATTTGCGTGCACTGTCACATTGCCTACTGGACAACATTGCTTATCGGCGGGACTGAATGTGCATCGTCCTCTACCGCAGAAGTTGAAATGCATTCAAGTAATGTCTCTTTCGGCGACTTACCAAGACAAAGGATACGATGAAACTCGGATACAGCAACGCTTCTCCCGCTATTGTTGAGGATGTGAATATTGAGAACTCGACCGACGACCACAGAAGACGTGAATCCCTCCAAAGGACGGGCTCCAACTATGTCTTACTGTGCTGTGGCGTAATTTGCAAGAGCATTTCATCATTCTCTATCGTTCGGTAAAGTTGCGGAACTTGCCACGCGTTCGGAGATCATCGGCTCGCAGACGTGGTGAGTGTGTTGCTCTATAGTCGTATGAGATGAAGCAGGAGTTGAACATGCTCTGAAACTTGACATGAAAACGTCGCGAGCTATACGTGTTCTTCGGAAACAAGTCCTCATAGGAAAATATCATGAGGCATCTTGAGTGCCCCATGTTTGATTTTCTAGGATTCGATCGAATCCTCCTTTCAATATGTACATGCGCACGACCATTTCAGCCGAAGTCTGCTCTGTGCATCGAGCAGCGAAGCGATTCGCTCTTGTACTGTCACCATGTCCACGACATTTGCCTGACCAACCGCACTAGGCGCAGGAGCTTCCGGGATTCGATAAAGCTACCAAATCGTTCTAGCAATCATGCGACGTTATAGAATACCCTTCGCTGATTCATTCCTGCCAGCACACTATAACGTGAAAATATAGCCAGATGTATCCAGCACAGAGATCGACTTCAACAACGCTATGACACCTCCATATGATCTGACGACATGCTTCTCTCCCGGACATAAGTTCAATGGAAATCCCCACTCCTCAGCATCACACTACCGTCTTTATCCATCGTGACCTACCAGCCTGTGAGCACAGTAAAATGCAGGAGCGGAGTGAATAGCTTACTTATATTGAGAGATGAGCGTGCGCACGCCTGCTCGACAATGGCCTTGTATTTTATTTTATTCCAAATAATGACCTCAACTATCGAGTTCCGCGACAACGATCAGTACGTCAATATGGGAGTGATTGAGCGGCGTCGGATGGCTCTCGGACGTCCACTCTGGCGTGCGGACGCTACTGACGGTGAGAATGATCCATTCATAGGCGCGTCCGACGAGGACACCATGGCATATCTCTTGCGCATCTTCTCCTTAGCATTCGCTTGTGGCTGACAATATTGAACGACGTCGGCAACTGTGACGCAGAGAAAAGAAGAACACGTACCCGTCCCCCGGATACACGAGCTCGACGAAGACAATGACCAGCACCGCCAGCCCTGCTCCGAGCCAGAACCACTTATCCTGGTTTATGGGTCTCTCTGGGCTCCCTCCTCTCGTCCGGCTTGGTCTTCCGATATTTCCGAAAATGCCAGGGCCATGGCAGAGGGAGTAGACGCAGTTGATGTCGACGTTGACGTCGATACGTTGGTCAACCATATCGCATCGGCTGCAACGGCTGGAAAGTCCAGCGAGGAGATATAGAGCTCTTGGAGACGCTGAAGATGCTCCAGGTGTTGGGACCAACTGGGCTGTGGCCGTTCGTGTTGGCCCGTTTCGTCTTTATCTTTGGCAGCCGCTGACGGGTACGTGAGGAGTCTGACCGTGGACGTCGCGAATGCCATCGAGAGATGAGTGTCATCGTCCAGGGCTTGTCGAGAACGATGGATGTAGTCGAAGTGCTCGCCAAATATCTCGGCCTCAGAGACGGCCGCATACCATGAAGGGTCTCCGGCGATGATAGAGGGTCTATCATCGGTGCGCACATAGCTCACCCGGCCAGCCAGCCATTTAGTAGACCACAACGCAGATTTCATGGCATGTCCGCTGCAAGCGCGTCAGTATGCTATTTCAGACAGGAAGCAAAGAACGTGCCCGTCGAGTCGAATATACATTGACGGCCCACCCAGACATGGGTATCCGAATTTCATGTAAGCAGACTGGCAGCTCTGGTAGATGCCAGCTAGGGCGACCAAGAAATAAGTGAGCAGAGGAAGAGCAGGCAGGATGAGCATGATGGGTGATGGTAGTCAAGAGGTTTCTGGACAGATGGAGCGTGAGCGGATGAATTTAAACGCTGTTTTTCGGAGGCTGGCCGCAGTTGTGAATCAGCCCCGTCATAGCTGTTAATGTCAGCCTAATAATGATGGCCGATCATGTCGATCAACATCATTGACTGAGACCAATTCGAAATGGCATACCTACGTACCGTAATCGGAGACTGCTAGCCGAAAAATGATGTCTTTATCTGCAGAGACTGTCCAGTGCGAGCTCGACGCGTCGGATGAAGCGTGAAGTCAGATAGTCAAACATGAATACAGAGGCGCAAGAGACGACGAAAGAAGTTCGGATCCTGAGCCAGAAGTCCACTTCGAAGACAGCACTTCCGTGTACCACGCGCGGAGCAGACCTACATTGCTAGTCCCACATGTTGTCAGATGCACAGCATTTACACAGATCCAGATACACATGGATAGTACTCACTATGCGACTTTCGAAAACTTGGCTAAATGCTCCCAGCGGCAGCATCTATGCATGTATAAGTCGCCAGAAGGTAAGAAAGCCTAGAAGAAGGCCAATATAAAATCTTCCGCTACTTAACAAGCCCATGTTGAATGCCTGCACTAAAATTCAGCATCACATAAAAGGATCAATACACACCCATAAAACGGTCTCCTTCACAGCCGGCAGTCAAGAGCAGAAAAATACCGGATGCAGTGGAGAGAAACAAAACTTGCACTCGACGAAAGATACCGACTTCCATTCTAGTACTACAAGCACTATGTACATTACTTCGCCCAGGAACATCCACCACATCGACGCCAACGCCAGCCCCTCACCGCAGCCCCAAGCACAGCACGAACACGTACCGCACTTCGTCAGCAAAGGTAGCATATAGCAAACCCTCGACGACCAACGCGGAGCAATATCGCGACGCTGCCATAAAGGGCACGGACGACGACAATGGCAGAAAAAGCCTGAACGCCACAGGCAAGCACAAACCGCGAACTATAACGTGAGTATGTTACCGAAAGCCAACGCACATGCAGCTGGACAGAACGAAGAAAACGATAGGTAAACGACAGATGGCCGCGATGCAGACGCAGCGAGAAAGAAACAGGCAGGCAAAGAGAGACTGGGCTCGAGGAGAAACAAGGGAAAGTGTGATGAGCGTACGGATCGATGCACAGATGAAAAACGTCCACGTAGATACCGAGCAAGATAACAAGCTAGTTGCACAACAACAGCGCGGCGGCCGCTGGCGAAGTGGAAATCTGGATATCGAAAAGAAGCACAGAGAGCAGGATGAAACAACGAGAGAAAGGTCCGAGCGCCGCCCATACGAACGCGGGGCACGGCAAGACAATAGTAGCCAGCAAACAATAATGCAGCACGCGGCCGGCAGCGGTAGCGGTAGCGGATGGCGAACGGCGAAAGACGATAGGATGGTGCGCACAACGAACGACGAACGACCGAGCATTCGCCGCATAACAAGGCGAAGTGCGACTCGTGCGAGGGTATCCGTCACCTGGCAACACCGTCCACGAACAAGGACAAGGGTATCGTAGCGTCCCATCGCACAGGTCACGAATACCTCGTCTGCCCGTACGACCCGAACCCGACATATTGCAGCCCCTGGTTCGCCGGCACACACATATGCATTCCGGTCAGCTCGATCGCACCGCCCTCGTATGCCGGGTCCGGCGACTGCTGCGTCGTCGCCGCGTACGCATAGGCGTCCATGTCGTAGCCCTCGGGATACGTCGCCACGTCGTAGCTCTCCACATAACTCACAGGGCCCTTCGTCAGCGAGTGGTCCTGCTGCTGATGATAGGAGTACGAGTCGGCGCCGTCGTGGCCGGCGATGGTGACATTGACGCTCAGCGGGGTGTTGCAGGTGCCAGCCTCTGCCGGAGGAGGATCAGCATACTCGAACCCGGCCGGGAGAAAGTACTGCATACTGGTGTCAAGCACGGTCTGCAGACGTCACGGGGACAAACATGACCACAAAGTTAGCGCACACACACACGCAAGGCAAAGGCACCACGACGTACCTCTTGCTGCTCAGGACCTCGCAGCGCATGCGCCAACTCGCTAGAGCTCGAGCGCTGCATAGGCGGCGCCACGCACGTCTCGACGCTCGACGCCGGCGACGAATACACGTCCACATCATGCCCGTCGCTTTCCTGCGTCTGCTCTTCAGGCAGAGGGAGGAGGCTCGGACTCGAATGCGCGTGCGACTGGGAGTAAGAGAGCAGAGCGGCGCCGGACTGGTCGTTTCTGACGCCCATGCACGAGAACATCTCGAGGAAAGGCCCAGACGTGCTGCTAACAGACAGTATCATCAGCATGTCAACCCACGCACAACAAGCGCGCATATATGCGCTGTCAAAGCCCTCCTTAACCCCACACGATCATCACAAGACGTCAAATGGACGGATCGCACCAGCCCAGGGCCCAAGGCAGCAGAACATTCCAAAGGACGACACTCACCAGCTTCCCCTTCTGTTCTCCAGGTCCGCCTCACTCTCCTTTCCAGCAGACCCGCCCTCCTCACTACCATAATAACTCGTCCAGCTCGTCTCGCTCCCCGAAACGCTGGCAAAACTACTAAACCTCGACCCATAACCCGCCGAGTAACTCTCATACGCGCTGTCATCGCTCGAGAACGAGCCCCGGTGCCCGTCCATGTTCGCATTCGGGACCGCGCCGTAGTTCGCGCCGCTCTCATACTCGTACTGCGACTGGGGCGCAGGCTCGTACTGCGCAACAGGCTCACCAAAGTGGTAGTCGGGTGTGGGCAGCGGTCCATCGATCGGCGGGCCCACCGTCCGCGTCGGTACCGCATATGCGCCCATCACGTGCCTCGCACTCGGCGCCGCCATGCTGCCCGCCTGCGCTGGAGCATCATACGCAGTGTGAGCCCCGTGCTCGTTCACCAGCGCGGCGACGTGCGCGAGCGGGTGCCTGCTCAGCCGAAGCGCGTGCGTGTCCTGTGGGATCGCAATCGACGCGCGCCGCAGCGGGTCGTACCCTGCGCCAGAGCCGACGTCGTGCGCGTGGTGTGCTGCAACCGGTGAGAGATTCGAATAGGACGATGCAATCAAGAGGTTGGGCATAGATTGGCGACGAAGGTCATATGCGGAGCGGACAGTCTCGTCCAGCGCGCCGCCGAGGCCATAGCGAGATTGCATAGACACGTGGCGCTGCATAAGATTTTGCTGGAGATGCTGGAGATGGCGAATGCCGGCATGCCTAGGGGGAGTGAGAGGGTACTGCAGCTGCGGGGACAGGGAATCAGCGGGATACGCAGATGGCATCTCAGTTTCGTTGGTAGGCGCCGAGCGGCTCCTCGTGGTCGCATCCGAGCTTGAGCTGGTGACGCTGTTCAATCGTCTATCGGGTTCCGCGTCGAGACCGGGCATCGCCGTGTCTGCTGAGCCTGTCGACCCGCCTGATGACGAGCCCGAGCCAGAGCGGTCCCGCTCGTGACGCATAGTCCCCTGTGCGTCTCTCTGAGGCGGAAGATCAAGCTCTTCGTATGTTGGCGAGGGCATGATGGGTGAGGGTGGCGGGCTGAGAGAGTTTCTGCGTGTGGAAGTGGACGAGGATGTTGAGCGCTGATTCTCTGCAAACCGCTTCTTGTTCTGATTCTTCGTCTTTGCGCGGCGATTTTGGAACCAAACCTGGTCAGTACATAGAAGGTAGACTTCTTCAGTAATGGAATGCAGCCCTCGGGATGGTCAGTACGCACCTGGACGTTCCGGGGGGTCATATTCAGCTTCTCCGCAAGCTCCTTCCTAAGGCTTGCGTTCGGCTTCGTCTCCTTGCTATAAGCCTCCTCGAGCACCTTGAGCTGCGCGCGCGTGGTGCGCTTGCGGTGCTTGACCTCATTCGGCGTGTAGGGATAGAAGGTGCGCATGTCGACGCGCGCGGGGTCCATGCCCGGGGGGATGAGCGAGGGCACGCACGTCGTCGCGGGTGTGAGGTGCGTCGCGCGGTTGGCGTAGGAATCCTGGGGGAAGTATGGTGCAGCGGGGGCGGTGTGGGAGCGATGGTGAGGAGGCGGTGCGGGATGATATGGGAGATCGGTGAGCGAGGAGGGATAAGAGTAGACCTGCGACGGCGTGGGCGGTTGCGCAAGCTGCCGGGGCTGGGATGGGAGGTGTCTCTGCGCGGGATACGCGTCGAGCGAGTAGAGCGCAGGTTGAGCTGAAGGAAGGCGGTGCGCTGGAGGGAGCGAGTGCAGTATGCCGCCGGGGAGGTTCGAGCGATCCATTTATATGCAGGAAGGCGAGACGCGATGGAGGAGCCACAGGCTACGCGATCGGGCGAATGATGTGTGCTTTCGGGAGCAATAGAGGTGTTGAATAGGCAGGGCTCGTCTGCGTGGTGCGTCCCTGAGGCGGCGATTAGCGGGAGGGAAGGACACGCTTGGCTGGCAGAGACGCTAGATATCACACCCGGACAGCGACGAGCCGAGAAATCAGCTGGGAGCAGGGCGTCTGGAGGGATGCAGATTGGCTCGGCGGGAGCAATTGCATGGGCTGCTTGGAGAGCGAGCAGTGGTGTGTGCGCGGGTGGGCGTGCGTCAGTCCTTGTGTGCGCGTGTCAAGGGGTCTCTCGCTGCAGGCACAGGGCGGGACGACTATGACGCGGTGGACAAGCGGAGTGGTATAGGAGGACGAGACGGGCTAGATGCAGAAGTAAACAGGACAGAAAGGAGAGCTGGAGGATCCCGACGGGGCAGACGGGGTCTGTGTATGTAAAGAGAGACGGGCGATGCGCGACAGATCCTGCCCAGCTGCGAGAGGTGGTCGCCAGGGGACAGGTGAGAGGAGGGCGCCTGTGCGGGCGGGGGACGCGCTGAAAATGGGCTAGCGAGTGATGGCGGGTGTCAGCGGCGTGATTGGTGGCTCGCCAAGCACGAGCGACAGGTCGCGGGGACGGCGCGGGCGACGCGTGAGGGCGTGATTTTGAGGGCGGAAGGGGGGGAGGAGGAGGAGGAGGGAAGAAAGGAGGGCGGGGGACTCGGGCGGGACGAGGAGAGGCGCAGGCGAAGATGAGCCGACGAAGAGCGGGTGGAGGAAGAGCATCTCTGGGTGCATCTGTGAGCTGAGCTGGTGATGGGACTCAGTGCCGCGGGGCAGTTGCCGGAACAAGCACGCACGGTCTGGATCGCCAGATCATCGCAGATGCAGTGCTTACGTAACGCGCGCTCTCCGGGCCATCCTCGACCCGATCACTGTTGCTCGCCACCTCGTCGGTTCATCCCAGCCTCTCCTCGCCACTCCTGTGAACTCCAACTCTCCGCTGCCATCGCATTCCCTCGGCGTCACAATGTCCGAATAATTCCTCCATTCAGCGTAGCCACTGCGTGTAGCTAGGTTCTCGAGCTTCCTCCATCTGCGCACCTACCCACCATCAGCGCACTCGCAACATGACCTTGGTTCCCGCTCCCATCCGCGTCATCTGGCATCGGCAAGTGCATACGCGAAGCCATAAGTCGCCGCGCGGTCCATACGCTCCTGATGTGCTCGCCGTCCGCGGGGGCCTTCGCTTCCCTTCTTCGCATCCCCGGTCATGGTCCTGATCCCCGTCTGCCATACGCGACTAGCGCACACACGCCTACGATCGCGCCCGCCACGACCTCAACCTTGTGTTTGACACCCGGCGCGTGCTCACCCCCAAATGCGCACCTGCTCTTCCCCTTCTTAGGCACCGCAGTACCCGTACGATTAGCATTAGCCTCGCCGCTGCCCTCTGCCATGCCGCGGGATCAACTTCGCTTCTTCTCTCCAGTTTTTCGCCGCCGCGGCGATGACAGCCATGATTGCTGACGCCTATAGCGGTACGGAGGGCGCGATAATTGCCCAAATCCCCGCGTAGCCGGCGGCGCGGGCGGCGAAACTCACGTTCTCTGGCTGGGGGATCATTCTATATCGATAACTGAATTGCATACGTGCCGTGATCCACTAGTTGCACCTATCTCGCTCGCCTTCCCGTCCCATCCTCGGACACAATAGAGATTAGCGACCAACTAGTAACTTCTCGCCATCGAGTCCGCCTGCGGGGTGCCGCACATCCGGAGTCCGCGAGCATGTGCACAGAACGTCCGCAGAGGCGACCCGCGAGACACAGCCGTAGCGATCCGCGGTCGCCACCTCCAGCCCAACCGCGTCCTCCGAGTCTCGCAGGAGGCGACTCCGGGGCCAGGCAGCCAATCAGCACTCGCGCACGACATCGGGCACGTCCCCGACCAGAAGCATTCAATAATTAATCAGCTCTTCTCTTCTTTGCATTTGCGCTGTCCTGATCGCATCTCAAGCAGCCTCGCCTCGCCTTGCAGATTGTGGCGCTTCCTATCCGGCTGTCCTGGCAATGCTATTGCCTCGTTCTGCGTCGACTCACCGCGTCCGGCGACACACACCCCGTTTGGTACCCGCTTCTACATACAGCCTGCGATGTGGCGTGGTCATCTCGGGTCTCGACTCGAGGAGGGTTGTCCTATCGCTTTTCGCAGGCTCTGCGCTAGTGATAGTGGCATTCCAGACCGCCAGAGATTATCTAGTGTCTTCTGAGAGTCTAAGACAGGCATAACACTGGTCTCGTACCCAGACATCTTTTTTTATTTACAGTGAAGACGTCTGGGTACGAGACCAGCTGTATGCGTGCGGGGATATCATCTTTGGCAACGCAGAGGTGCAGAAACAGGAACAAAATTGCGGATAGAATGGTGTCGTGCCAAAGTGCGATGCTGGGCCCGGGTGGGGTCGGGGATTTGCAGGCACAGCCTCTTATTGCGTCGATTTGCGAATAGCGAGCACTTGGTCGGATGGAAAGCTCATTACGCGAGGGATACGCGTGCTTGGCGAGGACGACAGGACGAAGGCGCAGAACTTGTGCTCAGGACCGCAAGAGTCGATCAAATTTTCAATGTTTGCTGGCCGAGCCGCGGCGACGTCGCTTCGTATACTATGCAATGGCCAGATGAGACGTATCCCCGAGCGCATCCGAAAGCATATCCGAGGCAATACAATGTCATGCGGGCCGCCGGCAGCTCGCCCCACATTGATTGGCTCTTCCAACTCTCTCGCAGAGTCGCCATGCGTTTCGCGTTCGCGTAGGCTACCGGGCGCGAATGATGGCTGGTGCTAAGCTTAAGGCTGCGTCTCGATTACGACGGTGTCGTAATAGTCTGCATGCTACATACCCGGTTGGGCCCAATATGTAGAGTTAGGGAGATAGACTCGGATGGTTTTTACTCTTGACACGGTTGCCGAGCCGTATCAGGTCTACTGCAGGTTGGCCTTCGCCCAGAGGCCTTGTCCTGTGTCGAGCTGAAAAGCACCTCGGTCTATTTATCAAAATTCATTTTCCCATGTCTTCCCACCTGAGAAGGTAATGTCCCCGAGCTGTGTGTGATTACGTGTGTCTGTGTCATCCATGTTCTCAATAATTTTATAGTTCTGTTAGTATATGTGAGATTCCATAACTACCACCAGGAAAACTCAAATCCGCTCTAGGACACTTTTATCCGCTTGCCGTCACTAAAAAAAGACAGTAAGCTTGGCAAAGTCTGAGAACCTTCTTGTTTTGAGCTTTTTTCGCGGTTGGGAGCTATTTATCGTGAACTTATTCGCTTGTATAAGCCAATACCAGCAAGAACAAGTCGTAAAGAGGTTCTCGAACCAGAAGTCGATTTTGAGTTTTCCTGATGTATCAGCCTCAGGCTGCCAGTCCCGGTGACAAAGGTGAGTTAGTTGCACGAAGCTAGCACAGGTACATCATGCATGCAACTGGGCAGCTGGCTCCAGCAGGAATAGTGATGATGCTCCTGCAAACCTCTACAACACCAATGCATGATCGTCAAAGTGGCATGGATGATGGTGTTTCGACTGCGCGCCCAGTGTGGCTATCCGTGCGAGCGGTGTTCGTCGCTGGGTTGTCGCGGGCCTCACCGGCTGCAACCATGGTAGACGTCGTCGGGAGGGTGTCTGACACGGTGCACAGGCAGCCTTGGGCCTTCCCTTTCGACGACGGTGAATACAAGAAGGTACGACCCAGCACGCACGTGTATTGTGAGCGTCTAGTTCATTCTCTATGACTCTTTCTGGCATCGCTCTTGCCTACTTGCTCGTCCCGCGACGACTCACCGCATATAACTAGCTCCACATCTCACCTTCCTCTGTTAATGGCAGCGGCATAAGCATCGCATAATTGATCAACCCGGTATCTGTTGAACTCCCGCCGTTTGCGACGTAGCGGTCGTGGAATGCAACAACCAAACGACGATCACGGCCCCGACTGTAATATCGCAGTCTCGCCTTCTGGATCCAGGCGCATGCATATGACAACTCGTCCCGCCCTGTCCGATTAGCACGGAAGATTGGCGTGTATCGGGCGCACAGCGGGTTTAGAGCGTCCGCACTGCACCCGGGAAACTACATAGGCGGATATGCACTCCGGCTGTGCTGGAGGATTGTACCTCGGGGCGCTTTCGTCACGGTGCGGGACAGTACTTGCCGTGAACACACAGTTCAGAGAAAGGCCACAGGCACTCTGGCGAGCGCATATAATCCATCTACCATCTGACCTCCACGTGGCGCTGCGCTCTCGTTCCTGCAGGGCCTCAGATAGTAAAGTCGGCCGTCTATCAAGCAAAGAAGTGCCTGTATGGGTGAGTCGCGGCCTCGACTAGGGACTCACGCTCACTACCAATCGCTTTTGCGAATGTCTAGTCGTCCTAATACAAATGCGTGTAATTATCTGCGGCGTTCAAGTCTGCTTCTCTGATGCCTCATACGTGAGCTTTCTTCTCTTCTGCCTACCACTTATCTCCTCCCTAGCAGTCTGGAAAACATGAAGAGAAGCAGGTTGGGCACAAGGTCTTTATGCAGAGGTCGTCATGTCCGTCAGGTTCACACCGCGTCGGGCACCATCATTGGGCCAGGCACGCGTTGTGCCTGCTCGCGCGGACCGAGACACGCCGCAACGAAGGGCTGTCCTTGACGTCCATATATGCGCCGATATCGGTGTTTCCGAGCAAGGCCACTGCATGGAATGTCGTGCTGATCAACAATAGCGGAATCAGACTAGCGGTGAGCGCAGGGGTGGAAGTGCTGACAAAACTCCCGTGATGGCCTGACGTTACCTCCATATTGATGAAACACTGGACCGGCCGCTTCTGGTGTCTGAGCTGGGATCAAATCGTCCAGAGTTCCCTTGACTGCCAGAGAAACAATTCTGCATTCTGGATGCACCAGCTACTTGTACTTGACTTCTCTAGGCTAACCAGCCATCGGAGGATACTTCTTCAGGGTACTCGGCGCTATTACCTGGTCCGATATCACTCGCCTCGGCGCAAGACCCTTTCCCGAGTCTCAGGCCGGAAGCAAAGTCCTTCGGGTGCACAAGGTCACGGCTTTCGCAATTTCGGAGCCAGTTCATGCTCGGTGTAAGCGAAACTGCACGCGGGTCGCGGTCCAACGTAAGGCCCTCCACATATCTTCATCGCGCGTCCGTTGCGATGCAGCGAAGAAGCCATTGGCGACCCTGTTGGAGAACATAAATATGTTACGGTATCAATAACGCACTTCTGCAGTGCGTGCAAGAAAGCGCTGGACTAGTGGACTGTTTCACATATCAGGCGCCACTGGACACCGACTACGGGCCTCGCTTATGTCACAATACTCGCGTGTGCATTGTCTCCGCATGGCTGTTGCTGGCGGAAGAACGATAGTCGATCACATGCCCCGCTGGCAATAGCTCTCCAATGCGAGATGTTTTGCGAGCCACCCCTTTTGTCTCACGTTCTATAAATTCTTCTTGACAGGGTCTAGGAATGTCCCTGAAGCGTATTAGCAGCGGCGACGAATGCGCTCCATTGTGGTTCGCTCCACCCGTGGCCTTCCGAGCAGTCATTGATCCTGTGGAGTGGCAGTGGTGCCTGGACGCAACGATATGTTCCGCCTCATGCTTGGGCAAGAAGCCGTGTCCCGCGAACCTGGTGCCATCAGAGAGCTCCACGATGACTTCTCGATGCGATGCAAAGGACGATATCCTGTTTAGGCTCGTTTCACGGTGGTTATACGGCGATTACGACCTCCGGGTGCTCTCAGCTCATGTTCCGTCGCACAACGATCCCTTGCTGCTTCGTTCATGGACTTTGAGCGCTGGTAGAATGAGCATCTACGACATCTGCCTCCGACGTCGTCGGATGGGTTTGTCGACTCTAACTAGTTCGTCAAGCTGTCTTGATGCCTGCATCCTTCCGTTGTGCGCGGAATTGGCTTGAAGGGAAGTCGGATGCATACGGTGTACGATCGATACCTCTGCATGAAGCAGAGCGCTATCCAGTGCTGCGCTGATCGATGATGAACACGGATTTGGAAGTCTGACGCAGTCGTATCGCTCTCGAATGCCGGCATGGAAGCAGGGCCGAAGATTGCGTATCGTTGAAGGTTTGCCTAACGGAGCGTTCTGGATGATGGGATGGACATTCATGGGGTGATGGGTCCCGTACCATGGTTATCTCGTATTACTCCGTCCCCGTCCAGCTCATGCGTCGGCCCACATCATGTTTGCGTGCTTATCCATGCATGCGCTCGTCAGGGAACGAGTCGATAGACTGCGGAAGAACATTCGTTACATTCGTCCGCCCAAGTCTCCGAGCCAATGAGGGCCGTAGAAACGGCTGTGGGCTGATGCCGCATGCTGGTCAATCAGAGGATAGCCAGCGAAGCTGTGGTCACGCAGGTCTACAATTTGCTACGGAGCTCCACTAGCACATGCGCATGAGAGCGTGCAGGTTGTCGTAGTAGCTCATCGTGGCTGGACCCTGAAGGTGCTAATCTGTTGGCTCGTAAGAATGCTGCGTGTGGCTTGCAATGCTAATTGTTTTATGTAGTCAGGACGTCCGCGTCAATATCGATCACTCCGGACTTGATGGTGGCGTTCTGCGGACCGGCGCCGAAGCTCAAGCTCCACTACTGATGTATGCGTTCATCCTAGACTCACAGGGTCGTATGGATGGCGATGGGTTCACCTGACTTGCAGCGTGTCCGGGCTCACAGCTTGGCAGTATCAGAATTCTAGTACATTGCACATATGCAAGAAGCACCCGAGTATGTACAGATTGTGAATATATGCACAGAGACCTGAATAGAGCGTGCCGATGTGTCTGCGAGAGATTAGACAATGAGTTGGTAAGACAAGACATGTCAATGTTATCCATGAAACAAGAAAACGGAAGACTTTGTTGCTACATACGTATAATCAAGGGCGATGAAGTTGGAACCAAAATCGTACACAATAGGAGCGAGCCAGGACCTGACTTAGAGTACGCAAAACCAACGGCCATAAACAGAGCCGCGACGGAACGAGCAGGTATCCCTGAGTGCACAGGGAGACAACGGGATGCCATGCGAAAGACACACCACCCTAACGGGAAGCGCCGCTGAGGATCAGTGATCCCCTCGCTTTCTGTGGAGGATCTCCTTCAGGAAACCCTGTCCACCAGCGCCCAATGGACTAGCAGCAAAGACGTCCCCTTCGGCTTCCCTGACAGCCCGCATCGCTGCCCGAGCTCGGGACACGACAGGGTGCGCGGCGACAAGACGTATCTCGATGCGCGCATCGGGATCCGTGCGGAGCATACTCCGTATCAGCCCTCGCATCTCCAAGCTGAGGGACACGAGGCCCGAGTCGACTTGAGAGAAATCCTCCTGGCGTAGTCTGTGCCAGGCCTCGCCCCTACAAACATCGTCAGCGGACGCTCCAGTTGACCACATGGATTATACGCACTCTCCGGGAACAACAATGTTGGTGGCTGCCTCGAGGATGGTGATACCCAAGCTAAAAACATCAGCTGCCTTTCCGTAGTGGCCTTGCAGGACCTCCGGTGCAAGATACATCTTATCACCTTCCCGTTCGAAAGCAGTCGTACCGACGGCATTGGATGGAGGCAACGGGCGTGGCCACATTGACGCCATGCCAAAATCACCGATCTTCAGCCGCCCAGAGCTTGTAATGAAGATGTTCTCGGGCTTCAAATCAAGGTGAATGACTCCGCCGTCGTGTATGAAGCGTAGACCCTGTTGTCCACGATGCAAAGAGATTCACGTCAATGGTTTGCGCACGGCAACTGCAAAGTGAATATACGTACGTCAGATAGTTCGGTTAGGATGCGCCACACTCTACTCTCATCCAACTTCGGGTACGCGCGTCCATACGCCAACAGAAAATGTGCAAAATTCCCGAGGGAGCAGAGCTCTGTGCGGATGTAGAGCGCCTCGTCCTCTTCCCAGCTGTCAATATACGCGAGGACGTTCGGGTGCCCGCCGCGTGCTGATAAGTGCGAAAGGATGTCAACTTCTTCACGGAGACGGAGTCTGCAACACAATAGAGCGGGAAAAGTTAGTATTTGCAATCATAGATGATGACAGACAAGGAAAGACGGTGAATATGATGGACGCCTGCCGACTTGCTTCTCATGTCGATCCGCAGGACATACCGCCGGCAAACGAGGATGCAATTAAGCAATCATTCAACGAAGCCGCGGCAATCAGTCCGCGCACTCAACTCCGCGGATCAACGCCATCATACGACAACCGAGCAAGAATAAGAATTGAAATTGGCAAGCCAGACTCACCGATGCTTAGCGCCCTCGAACCGCTTGGATATCTTCACTGCGAACAGCTGACCCTCTTGACCGAGGGAAGCGGCAACTTCATCGTTGTATGTCACTTTCATCACTCGCCCGAATTCTCCGGTACCCAACTCGTCCACCTCCTCGAAGTCGCGTTTGAAACGACCTGGCTGTTCTTCGTCGTTCGGTGGCAGGAGTCGGGCGCGCGAATTGACGACAGGAGAGGAATGCGACATGGGCAGACGCGCCGGGTGTGCATGAGTGTGCGGGCGGGAGAACAAAGGTGCGCGCACTGGAGTGGGTTGAGGGAACATCGATGCTCCAGCGCGTTGGTGTCGGACGGACGCTGCAACGCTAGGCGAATCGTATCCAGCCGATTCCGCCGAGGCGGTAGGCGTTGCAATCTCTTGCGATGAAACTTGTGTTTGTCTCTTGACGGGGGATAGCGTCAGGCGAGGCGGTAGAAGCTTCCAATCTAGTGAGCCACGACAAACGTGAAAACTAATTCTTTATTGAGTGACAGTACGTACGTACCCTTTACAGTTGATCTGGTCGGGGTTGCCATTGGCGTTTCACCGCCGCTGGAGAAATTGCTACTGCTCCTGTGCATTAGCAGATGCATGTGCATCCTGCCGCCCTTTGAGTCGTTTACAGACCGGCTTGAAGATGACTGAGGTCGTGAACCACGGCCAAGGCTCAAGCCCTCGTACCTGCCCCGTCGAAGAGCTATGGGACTCACGTCCTCGTCGTCATCGTCAGCATCAAAATCTACGGACAACTTCGGAATCTTGAAGGCGGCACGATTCTCCTTTTCGAGAATCGGGAAGGCCGCAGGCATGCTCTTGCGAGGCTTCGACTTTGCCCTTCCACCTTTCGGCACATTGTTGTCGAAGTCGAGATGTCCAACCTTGGACGCCATGACGCTCTGCCACGGCCTCACCATCATGTTCGCCGTCTTCACTTTCTTGACAGGCGTCCCAGGTACCTTCTTGGGTCCTTTGTGCCCTTCAGCTACATTGCTGGAACCCGTCATCAGAGTACGGAGAATGACCGCGTTCACATCCTCTGCGGACTCATCGTCCGAACGCGCAAGGGTAGTATCTGCAGCGGGCCATCCTGAAGTGGCACTGGGTACGAAACTGGGCGTGGGGAGGGCTTCCTCCGAGTTGACAGTGCTCACGGACGTAGACGCACGTGGCATAGGCAGCAGGTCGGGACGGCTACATGAGCGGGCAGGTTGTCCATCATCATCGCTCGAATTGAAAGCGACACCTGAGTCCCGTGGTCGGAACTTCTTGAGAAGCGGAGACGGCGCACTGAGCTTTTGTTTCTTCTTCGGACTTGGAATACCCTCACGCATGCTAGAGCTCGACGAGGTAGTGTCAGAGCTGTTAAAGAAGCGTTCTTCCTCAGAATCGTCCTCGCGCTTGCGTCGATTCGGCGAAGAACTCAGCGATGAAGATGCATCAGAGTCATCTCTCCACTTAGTGCTGTTCGAGGCTCGACCAGCATAGCTGTGACGGTTACGAGCATGCAACCGTTTGCTCGCAGCTTTCTTACGGCCGGATGATGTGTTTGTGCCTGTGTCAGATGCGGGTTTCGATTTCCTCGGGTCCGGAATGGTTGGGCCGAAGAAAAGAGTAGCCGCACTAGCCATTCTTTCGAAGGTACGTGGCCTGGGAGGCTGCGTCTGTGTATCCAGCTTGGGAAGAATACTCGGCGTCGGTCGAGCACGAGAGGAACGAGAGACCAAAATGTCGAGGGAGCTTGCAGAATGACGGGAATGGAGTTGAGTGGGAGAAGGCGAGACAGCATTGAGGCTGTGGCCGTGATGGGCGTGTTGTAGCACAGGTTTAACCTAAGACTAGTCAACCTCGATTACGGCCCCGATGCGAGAGAAGACAAACCTGAGTCACACATGCGGCGGATGAAAACTGCGCTGACTCCAACAACTCTGAGGACACATGTCGGGCGCGTGCCCGTCGCTTCGTGATGTGATTCCCAGGAGACACAGCCTCAGCGACGTCTTCGTTCTTGCGAATCGATAGATCATAAGCCGGTGAGCGGACTAATTCCAGTCTCTTGCCCTTCACCTTCACCTTAGCACCAAGCCGCGACGTATCACTGTCACTGAGAAGCGGCCTTCGTGTGCTTGCTTCTGGCTCTCCAAACTCTAATTCAGTGTCATAGTCGCTATCGACATCCGATCCTCGCTGGGAGTCAGAGATCTGCAGCATGGTCATTGTTTTCTCTTGTTTTCGCAAGCGCATATCCGTCTGAGCCTTATTGGGATGGCATCGAGGGGTGAACCGGGGAGCTGGGAGAGGAGCCAGGCGGTCAAAGGGCACAGACGCAGAATCGCCTTCACGTTTTGTGCTAGACGTAATCAAGAGAGGGGTCATAGTACGCTCGCGTTGCGGCGTGGCGCACATGCTCGAAGCCGGCTTTCGGTCAGTATTCGTGCCGATAAGAGCGGAGAGCAAGGTGTTGACCTGCTTCGGAGACAGAATGGGACGGTCCGGCGTCTCTAGAGAAGGCGTGGACCCCCTAGCCGGAGTCCGGAAGCTCGGACCAACGACGAAGGGGGAGGTGGATGGCGGCGGGACGAATGAAGGTGAATGATATACCGATTGCTGGTGACGATGGTCGTCCTCGGCGGGTGCATCAAAGTGGACGCGCGGTGACCGAGCTAGATAGGGCCGGTGAGTGTAGGATGGAGGGCGCAGGGGGGATTGGAAGACGTCGTCCATGTCCATCGGTTCTGCGGTCGGAGGTGCATGGCGCCGGAGCGGCGAAGGCGTAAGCAAAGGCGTAGAATGAGCAAATGGATGTCCTGCAAGACGTGGTGGCGATTCAAAGGCGGAGTGTCGAGAGTTTGGCACGCTTTCGTCGCGTCTTGAAGGTCTAAACGACACGTAGTCTCCGGTAGGGGTTGGAGCAAGCATAGCAGACAAGGTAAGCAAGGTAACGCAGTAATGTGAATCCCGTTGTATTCTTCAGTCTTGCTGCAGCAGAGACGGGCAAGAAGAGTCCTGAGGTTATCGTAGTCAAGAGCAAGGTAGAGACAGATGGGTGTCGTTGCGGCAGAAAACGTGGTGATGGTATAATTGAAAGGAGGGTGAAGGGGACAGCTCAGACTCGCGCGTGTGAGTTATGATCAACAAGATCATGTGATCGTGGCGGTACGCATTAAACAAACGTTGGCGCCCACATTCATACTCCGATTGCAACTCCCTTTGAGATAAGCGCTCGCTTTTATTCGCCGGAAATGCTCTGCAATAACCTCGCTCTTCTTCACAGTGAAAGAGGATGTGCTTACGCTCAATGATCTGTCTCTGCGAGCGTATCTGGCCATGAAACATGTTAATTGTGATGGTGCAGTCTGTATTTCTGTTGACTGCTGCGGTGGTGTGCTCCGGATCTCGCTCGATTCATTCTGCTGGATCTCGATTGCTTTGCTGGCAGGATGCTATGTTGACGACGACGCCTACCTTGGCTGTTTCGGATTCCCATCGGATCATTAATTACTGTGCCAAAATGTCTCATCGTTGTTGAGTGGGTCGAGAGCCGCACTATATAGCTTTGCGCCACAGGCCATCCGACTACCATGCGAATATTGTCGCGATAACTGCCTTCAAATGTCCACCGGCACCTCCTGCATACAGGTATATTCCTCGTTGTCTCCTTGTTAGATAGTTGCCGCTTCCTTGTGTCTCCTACGCAAATTTGGTAGTTGAATCATCGGGATCAGACGTGGCAACTTACTGTTGCAGGATTTGGTCTCATGTAAGTTGGCATGCATCGCGGTCCATCATGTCAATGATGGGTTGGGTTTGGTGAGGGTTATCGGCGTATTCTGTCCTGGTTGCAGCAACACACCGATGTTTAGGGCAGATCAAGCGGAGGACGGACGTTGGCATCAGCGAAGAAAGCTAAGGTTGCAAACGGTCCCACGTCTATGCGAACATACAACCGAGCATTCCAGCCTGAAGAGATCAAGTCGACGAACGACGACGGAGTCGTCCATTGCCATTTTATTAGCACAGTCAATGATGTTCCTCGGGCGAACCTAGGCGTACATGGTGCGTTTGTTCGAACTATTCTGATAAACGTTCCAAGCCGTCCTCATAGCTACCATTTGGAATCATACACTCGCAGGAGCTAATACGATGAAATTAGTGAGCGTGTATGAGAACGAGGGCAAGCGTCTATTCTCCGGCCACCGATCTGCAGCGCTCGCACTGGTATTCATCATGCCATGGTATGGTGGTTGTTCAGTGCGAATCGACCGTGGAAAGTCAAGGTGGCCGACTATCAGTGGAGGTTGACATTGACAGCCGTGACAAGGGTGACGAGATCGTCACTGTCAGCCTCCACGAAACAAGATATAAACCCCTCCGCTCCTGCTCTCTACCTCAGAAACATCTTGCCTACCATCGCCCATCATGCTCATCCTGCCTGCCCTTCCTCTGCTCACTTACTTCTTGGTCGCTCTGGTTGGCATCTACCAGAGCTACCAAGCGGTGTACACCCAGTTCAGGTTCCCGTGTCTGGGTGGGCCGTCGATGTATGTTCGACTCGACGGGTGAGTTGTTTGCTTCCTGTCTGCAACGGTACGCTGACGGGAATGCAGCGGACACGCCATGAAATCCGCACTGTGGTCTACTCGACGGCTGGCCGGCCGAGTGGACTATGTGCACATCGACGATGGACCCTCCGTCATCGCCGACGACTATTCCTGGTATACGATCGTTACTGAGGCCGAGGTGCTTGACGAGCGCCTCGACTATGTTTACCGTTCTCGACAACCCATGGACGGCGACACTCATCCCTCGACGGCACTCGCGACGCCCACGGTCGAATTCCTTACGCTTCCCTTAGCGGCTGCTGAAGAAGACGAGGGCGATACGGACCACAGTGCATGGCTACAGCCCAGTTGGTCCCAGTACATGGAGCACCTTCAGCAACTACAGGAGCTCTACGCCGCCTCGACAGCTTTCCCAGCCGCCACTGTCGATTCGGCATCGATGGTCAACATATCGACGTCGACTTCGACTTCCATTGCGTCTACCCCATCTGCTACGGCCCCACCTTTGGCAACCTCGGAAGGCAAGGTCGAACGGGAGGAGAAGATGCGAACGGGCTGGACGACACAAGACAAGTTCTTCTGGCTCGGAGGGGGTCTGGCGGTGCTTGTCATCGTCAGCGTAGAGCTCGCGTGTTCGGAAGACAATGTATGCGATTTTCCCTGCTCTGCGATATCGCCGCTTACAATCCTCTCGTGTCAGCCGGAAGCGAACTCCAAAGAAAAGGAGAAGAAGAAGTGCGAGGAAGATGTCGCGGAGTCATCGTCGGACACGTCCATGGACGGAGCGTTCTCACCGTCAGTAACTTCCACACCCAATAGTGGTCGTTCTCAGGCCGCCCGACGCCGTTCAGCGACTCCCGCCTCGGAGACATCGATACTCGTCGCGGACCCTTTTGGTTAACTGAATTGATTTCTATTCGAAGGTGAGCGCGATCTCCTGATGACTATTGCAATCTTCACTCACTGGCCATCTCACAGAAGACAAAGCTGACGATAATCAAAGACAACCCACGATCATCGAGGAACAGATGTACGCACGCTGATCTCCAATTACAAGTAAGTCGTTGGCACTGTTCATGCATTCACTCGTGCTCACATCTAGCCGATAGGTCACGATGGACAGAAATGGTGGTGTGATGTTGGGGAGTGGGGATTCCCATCAGACTTGTGTGTAGGAGAGGAGCATGGAAGCACGGAGTTGAAGGACGCACGCAAGATTGCTGAAGTCGTGGGACGTACCGGACATGTCCGGTCGTATTTGCACTGCATATTATCGAATCGGCAGGAATGGAGCATAAAGTACAAGTAAGTCGTTGGCACTGTTCATACATTTACCCGTACTCACACCTAGCTGATAGGTAACGACGAACAGGAATGGTGGTGTGATGTTGGGGAGTGGGGACTTCCGTCAGACTTGTGTGTAGGAGAGAAGCATGGAATTGAAAAGACGCACGTAACATTGTTGAGGTCGAGGGACGTACTGCACATGTCCGGTTGTATTTGTATCGCGTATTCTCGAATTGGCAGGAATAGAGCATAATGGGCATCATAAAAGATTTGTGTCACGGCTGCAACGAGCTAGCTTCGGATTGGGTTCTCTACGCCAACCGTTTCGAATAAACTCGGCGGTGCGCTTGTATTGCATGTCATGCCAGTTGAATATAGCAGTTGACCGTTCATCCATCTGTCGCAGCACCTATAACATAGTGCATCAGAATAGCAGGACAGGGATGGAATGTTCATCGCAAGAATTACGTTTGTGGATGCTTGGCACGCAGATGAGTGCAAGCCTCCGTGCAAGCCTCCCCGGTTCCCGTGTGCCTGAGCATGCACTGGCAGTCGCTATGACACAAGAAGACTGTAGAAAATCGCCGCTGGCCGCTGTCCCGAGGGCGGCGATGAGTAGCCGAGTCGCGCCGCGCGGCGTGGTTACTATGAGGCAAAACGCTGGAGACCCCGTCCCCGCTATATAGTACCCGTATACATATATACAAATACACCGGTGGCGGCGCTGCCCATTGCCCCTCCGGCCCCAGATTGCGACAAAGACTGCGATCTCTGCTGCGCTCTTCAGTTGCGAGGTTGCAGCTACTGATGATATCCGAGGACAAATGTGCCTCTGGAGGATCGGAAGTGAGCCTCGGGTTCTCCGACTGTCCAGCCTTTTGAACGAGCGGTGTGATTCCGGGAAGAGTGGAAGAATGAGATGCTGCAGCTGCCGTCTAACAGTGAATAGACTGTGCGAGTGTTGCGACAGCAGTATGTGCTGATCGTAGTCCAAGCAACTGCTACACGTGGCACATGCTAGTTTGAGCTTGACTGGTCGAAGTCCTCTCGACGCGTCTGTGGCTGTAAGATCCTTGAGATGAACTTCACGAATGGCAAGCTCAAAGCTGCTCAGCGTGCAAACGGGCTAGTAGTCGCCGTCGTTTCGTAAGCTATTCCAGGCACCGTGGTGTTTCTCAGCCGTGATGCATATTCAACTCATCCATCAACGCTCCGATGGCAACCACTGGCAGGTACGCCCGGCTATCCTCCTTACGGTCGTCGCAAGGCTATCTTGACGAAATTTCGATCAATTGTTCCTTAACACGTTCCATCCTGGCGTACATGTGAAGGAACAATCTCGTTTGAGATGATCTGCTTATCCGAAAAAAACGCTATACATCAAAGTTTCGACGGGTCATTGTATGTTCTAACTGCCAAGGTCACGTTTTCGGGATAAAAATGCAGTGGGCCCGAGATGCATAGCACAGTCACGCTTGAGTGCCTTATCTCGGCAGGATCCATGCCTTTGGTACGAATCTGCTTTGTATCGCTGCTTCCGTCGCTGTGCGTCGCGCATATATACTTGTTGGCACCAAAGGTGATGCAACCATAATGCCGATCATCCGATCATGTTAATAAGGGAAGACACAAGCAGTGCTATTCTATGACTAACATCAGCTTTGCCGTGAGGACGCCACAACTTCTCTTTTACAGCGACTGCTGCAGCCACTCCCAACTTCTGTGACCTGTCGGCCGCTAGCTGCCTCTGTGCACAGTGGTGCAGAGCCGACTCTATTATATCATTGCAGCAATGCTATGAGCCTGCCGATAGCAATGTTGTCATGATCATCTTCAAGATCCCTCTGGCCAGGGTGCAACTTCATGCGACGCGCCGCACGGACGGACCGATTAACGTGTCCTTTATAACATCGTTGATATATCCAACATCTCTCCGTCTCAAGGCCACGTTTACCGCGCTGAGCGTCATGTAGCAACAGAGTGGAGGTCTCGCTTGAGACGATGCGCATCTGCTGTAGGATGAGATTCTCCAGTACAACGCCCGTCTCAGTAGCCACATTCTGGGAATTCTGATTCAAAATGAACTAGCTCGTCGGTGCTATAAATGCACAATGACAGAGAGGCATGCCACAATAGCCATCGAATCTTTTGTCCCCTACTTCAAATGCATATCATCCGCGGATCCCTATTCTGCCTCGCCGTCGTTCTCGCCGTACATTGCAGGCGCGTACCAACGCATACGGAAGATATTGAAGGTTTCAGTTATCTATTAGCGCCACTGGTAGCTGAGGGATCGGCTCATAGTCACCACCACTGCGGACGATCAATCAGGTGGAAGAATCGCGCCGCCCATCATCATACTGCCTTCAAATTCTACGACCGTTTCTGACTCCCCGCCTGAACCGTCCGTGTATAATTGCAAGCATGGCATCCGGTGCCACATGGGGTTTTGATAGTGGTTCGTTACTGTGACCTGTATACTCGAGTCTCGGATGAGTGCGTGATAAAGCACGACACTGCCGGAAAATGGCTGACTACGTAGCATTCAGCGATTACTTGCAATGATACTCCACAGGTTGCAAGGAGACATACCAGCCCCTTTACGGCATCTTCTGTGGGCGAGAATGTGAAATCTGATGTCTTCACGAAGAGACGTACCGTTCCATCCTCTTTTGCGCAAGGCACATGCAGACATTGCCAGCAAGTTCTGATATTGTCGCATTTCCTCGCATAATCTAACACTCTTGTTCACCATGTACACGCGGCATGAAAATAGAGGTTTTTTAATTCTAGGTATTTAGTGTGTGCGGGCATGCAACGGCACGTCTAAAAAGCCAGAGTTTAATAAAAGATGCAGGCAAGTGAGGATGGACCCCTGTGCCAAATGGACGCGGTCCCGGCCCATGCTCAATCCAGGAGGGGGATCGCCACCGCCAACCCCCAGCCCGAGGTTCGCAATTCCCGAGACGGTTGCATCTTAGTGTTCGCACTTGTTCCTGAGACACTGTTTGCCGAAGAGGATGGATACCGGCTGATCTGGGCGGTCATCATGTGAGTCATGCAGCTGCAAGGCTCAAGCACAATCAGCACTTCGGTATTAGGAGAGTGACAACCTCTTTCTCACCTGCATCAGCAGTCTACGCATCTCTGCATGCATGCCTCGTAGTCCCTCACCTTTATACAGCGCATTTTGCGCTCGGGCACTAGCGAGAATAGTACTAGCGCGGGCCCGCCGGCGAGCGGCGTTGGGGCGTTCTACAGCGGTTTCCATTTTCGGATCACAGTGTGCCACTGCCACCTCGATACAGGTCCGAACGCACTTAATTCCTGTTAATCCCTGAGCTGTTAAGGTTTTGACCTTCACGCTATACTCATCATTCCTGAACAGCAATATTCACCATCATGTCTGGAAAAGGAGGTGCATACGCTACAAGAGCCTCTGATACGGACTTCCGCAAAAAATGGGACAAGGAGGAATACGCCGAGAAGGCGCGGCAGCGCGACCAAGAGGAGAAGGAGCGTATGCAGGAGAATGAGGAGCGTATCAAACAAGGTACGTTGCAATATTACACCGATGGAAGGTCTTAACTTCACTCTACCCGTCACCTCACAGGCAAGAAACCGCGCAGAGGACGCAAAGAGGACCTGCCCAAGCCCACAGAGCTTATGAAGCGTCGCGAGGCATCCCTTGAGCTCGAAAAGAACCTCAATAAGACCATAGTCGTGCAGAACGCTGGTACCCGCGGTCCTGGAGTACCAGGCTTCTATTGCGAAGTCTGCAATCGGACATACAAGGACAGCGCTGGGTACCTGGATCACATAAATGGACGTGCTCGTGCGTGAACCCCATGTTCATCATCCCGATCTGAAGTTTTGACGAGACTCTAATGTATATAGACTTGCGCGCCCTTGGTCAGACGACGCGTATTGAGCGTTCCACAGTAGAGCAGGTCCGCGCACGGATAGCCTACCTTCGCGAGAAGACTCGCGAAGCCTCTTCGGCGAAATCGTACGACTTTGAGAAGCGGCTTGCCGAAGTGCGTGAAAAGGAGACCTCATTGCGTGCTGAGAAGAAGGCTGCAAAGAAAGTGCAGCGAGAGCAGGCGCGTGTCGAGCTCGTCAAGGTCACTGTTGCCGGCGACGCGCAGCACGAGGACGTCATGATGGAGATGATGGGCTTCAGCGGGTTCGGCTCGTCAAAGAAATGAACGGCATGGTCCAGTCACGAAAGCAAGCTGTATTCTACACGCACACCAATGTACTACATCCCACTGTCTTCATGTATATCATATAGCTGATATCTAACCTCTATCGCCACGCTAGGGACAGCACGAACTTTACGTCAGCAATCTCCTGCTCCTCCTCAATCAAGATCTTTTGCTCCGGTTTCCGCTCGGAAACGTCCTTCGGCACACTTCGCACCGTCTTTTGGATCAAATCAGAGTATTCGCGCATCGCTTGGAGCAGCTCCTCGCCGGAGCCCTCCTCGAAGGCATAGAACACATCCACATCGTCCGTCGCCTGCAGACCTGCCCGCTTGCGCAGCTTTTGAATGCGATTGATGAGCTCCCGCGTCAACCACTCGCTCTGCAGTTCTTTGTGCACCTGGATGTCGAGGCGTATAACGACATCGGTGTCGGTGTGCGTCGCATACTGCGCCTGGCCTTCCACCGGCTCTGGCAGGTCGATGTACCGCTGCACGGCCAGATCGCCACTGACAAGGGCAATGCCGTCGACGGTGATTTTGCCCGTCTGGACGTACTTGCGCACATCGTCACTCGACAGGTTCGGGAGCGCGGCCTTCACGCGAGTTATGTCCTTGCGCAGCTTCTTGCCCAAAGTCGCCCAGTCAGCCACCGCGCGATAGCGAACGCCGGCCATGTCCTCGTCCGAGGTGAAGATGATGTCCCGGACATTCAGCTCGGACTGAATGTACCGTTGCAGCCCACGAGCGTCCTCCAAGAACTCCTCCTCGGCGTGGAACACGAGCAGCTCGCGTAACGGTGTCTGAACAGGCGGTATGAACAATGAGAAATAGATACAATGCATATAATCTGTACCTTTAGCGAGAGGTTATGCCGCTCACGGATGTTGCGCGTGAGTTCAATGACTGTCTGTAATCGCTCGACCTGGCGCTCGATCGTCGCATCGAAGTATTCTTCCTTCACCTCTGGGAAAGGCAGGAAATGCACGGAGCGGGTATCGCTCGCTTTGGGATTATCTGGGATGAACGGCCGGAGAGCTTGATACATGTTTTCTGTGACGAATGGTGTGTACGATGACTGTGCGACGACGGGACGTCAGCAAGACTGCAGCATTGATGAATACAGTTATGACATGCCATTGTCCTGCAGAGCGTGAACAACGTCTCAAAGAGGGTGTTCAATGCCGCTACGGTATCCTCAACGCCATCCTCGCCCTTTAATCGTCTTCGGTTGAAGCGAATGTACCAATTTGTCAGCTCGTCGATGAGATCGAGCAGACGGGGTATGATCGTGTATAGGCGGTACGCGGCCATCTCCTCGCTCACGAGGCGGATAAGTGACTGGCAACGCGCGAGGATCCAGCGGTCCATGACGTTCGACGACACGGGCGCGTGCGCGGCGTACATGAACTCCACGCCCGAGGTTTTCTTGAGCAATGCGGCTTGCCCGAGGAAGAAGCGCAGGGCGTTCAACCAGGGGAGGAGCACGCGCGAGACGACTTCGCGGACGCCCTCTTCCCGGAAGCGGAGGTTGTCTCCGCGGACAATGGGCGAGTTGACGAGGAACATTCTGATGTAGATACGTCAGAATGTGGCGGCTCTCATCGTGGCACGCGGCTTTCTGACCTGGTCGCGTCCGCACCGTAAAGGTCAATGATAACATTGGGATCAGGGTAGTTTTTCAGACTTTTGCTCATCTTCTTGCCGTCACTGCACACATCGCAAATCAGCACAATTAAGAATATATTTGTACGAATCGAGGGACAACGCTCACGCTGCAAGCACCAGACCATAGACAATGAGGTTCTTCCATGGTGCCGTGCCGAACAAATGTGTCGACAGCACCAGCAACGTGTAGAACCAGCCACGGGTCTGATCGATACCCTCAGAGACGAAGTCAGCAGGGAACGTGTTCTGGAACTTCTCCTTGTTCTCGAACGGATAGTGGATTTGCGCATACGGCATACTTCGAACAAGACGTTAGAAATTCAATCTGCAGCCCAAACCACGAAGCAAGAACGTACCTGCCAGACTCGAACCAGCAGTCAAATACCTCCTCGACACGCTTCAGTTGGCCTTTCCCTTTTTTCGATGGGATAGTGATATGGTCGATCTTTTCCCGGTGCAGATCAGTGAGGCCAGTGACGCCCGAGAGCCGTTCGAGCTCCTCAACGGAACCCACGCAGACTATCTGTGCAGACAGCGAGGTAAGGTCAGTATAGGCGCTCGATGCAGGCGAGACATACCTCCTCCATGTCCTCACTCGCCCATAGCGGGATAGGCGTGCCCCAGTAGCGATTCCGCGAGACATTCCAGTCGCGTGCGTTCGCGAGCCAGTTGGCGAAACGGCCGTCGCCGACGTTCTGCGGTACCCTGGCGCATGCAAATTGTCAGCTGCAGCATGTCGTGGTGATATCTGCAGGTACCGACCATCTTGTTTGCTTGTTGTTCGCCACTAGTTGGTCGACGATGGGCGTCACGCGCACGAACCACGAGGGGATGGCACGGTAAATGAGTGGTGTATTTGATCTGGAGGGGGGAGTAGTATTGTTTGGTACGGCGGAAAGAAGAATGCTCTCATGCAAGCCGCTCACCTCCAACAGAAAGGATACGAGTGCGTGAGCGTCGACTGCACGATCAAGCGGCCTTTAGCTTTCAACACCTTCTGGATCTCCTTGTCCGCAGCCTATCGAAGTGCGACATGTTCATGCGTCAGACGAGAGCAAGCGGGGATGTGGACGAAGCCTACTTTGACATACATGCCCGCAAAGTCCGGCACCTCCTGTGTGAAGCGGCCAGTATCATCAATTGGGCAGGGAGGCATCTCCTCCACACGAAGCATGCCGTTCGCGATCGCAATGCGGTGATCGTCCTCACCAAATGCGGGCGCTTGATGGACGATACCAGTACCATCTTCGTCGGTAACATAAGTGTCAGTGAGAACACGGAATGCCCTGTCCTCGTACTAAGACGATGGCTTCAGCGGCAGAAATCGTTCAATGGGTTCTGTGCTAACCTGCTCAGTGAAGTACTCGAAAAGGGGGACGTATCGCCAGCCTTTCATGTCCGAGCCCTTGAAGGTGCTGAGTTTCTTGAACTTGGCCTTCTTCGGATCCTTGTACAGCGTGCGAAGCAAACCCTCGTGCAGGATGAAGTTCTGATCACGCGCCTCATCGTGGATCTTGACGTAAGTGTAATCCGGGTGCACGCACAGCGCGAGGTTGGACGGAAGCGTCCATGGCGTGGTCGTCCACGCGAGCAGCGATGTCTTCCTGTCATCCACGAGCGGGAACGCGACGGTGATCGCCGGGTCGCTCACGTCTTTGTAGTTCAGGCCCGCCTCGAAGTTGGACAGCGGCGTGAGGCAGCCGGTCGAGTACGGCATGACCTTGAGCCCGCGGTAGACCATGTCCTTCTTGTATAGCTCGCTGAACGCCCACCACACGCTCTCCATGAAGGTCGTGTTGAGCGTCTTGTAGTCGTTGTCGAAATCGATCCAGCGGCCTATGCGCTCGACGGTGCGCCGCCATTCGGACGCGTACCGCATGACGATAGCGCGGCACTCGGCGTTGTAGGCGGCGATGCCCATCTTCATCACGTCTTCGCGCCCGGTAATGCCCAGCTTCTTGTCGATCTCGTGCTCGACGGGTAACCCGTGTGTATCCCATCCGAATCGGCGAGTGACATGGAATCCGCTCGCATGTGCGTGTCTTGTTACGATGTCCTGTGCAAAGTAAGGCTTCCATCCGAGCATCAGGAACGGACGACTCACTTTGATGGTACCCGCAAGCAGATGACCGTAGTGTGGAAGACCGGTCGCAAATGGCGGGCCGTCGTAGAAGGAGAACTCTGGCCTGCCCTCGGAAAGCTTCAAGCTAGTCTGAAAGGCATCAATCTCGCGCCAGTACTCGAGAACCTTTTCCTCCTCCTTGGCAAAGTTGAACGGTGCAGACACTGTGAGATCGCGAGAGTCAAAACAGATCTACGGATATGAATATGCAAATTGGCTTCACGCACGATCATGCGGAGGAAACGGCATGGCTGCAATTTCTATCGGCAGAATGCCACAATATGAGCTCTTGCGAGTAGGAAGAAAGGGTCAGAGCTTGAGCAGACGTGGGTTTTGAGCGGGATAAATGCGACGAAGGAACAATCCGATGACTCGAGGTAAACCTTGCAGGAAACGGGCGCTTGTGAGAGGTAAAGATCAATCGACTAGATCATCAGAGCGTGACCTGCCAGGGGATGCTCAACCAGCTCCGAGCTCGTTTGTCTCCGCCCACCATGTCCGCCTCGTTCTACTCCTACGTTGACTCACCAAATCCGAACCTGGCAAGTAACGCCTGTTCTTCTAGCTTGTGGGACTTGCTAATGTACTCCTAGGTATGCTGCATATGCAGGTATGCACTGTAGCAAAAGTCTGTGATGGCTAGCTAAAACTGACCGCTGCGCAGAAATCCCTTCTTCGACCCGTATACAACTCGGACATGTGCACACACGTTCTGCCTTGACTGCATCGCACGTGCTATTGCTATCTCGCCTCAATGCCCCATCGACCGATGCCCCCTCTCTATGCACGATATTGCTCCTGCCGATCCTGTTATCCGGAACGTGTGTATTCCGTCTTCGCATGCCTCTGTCTTCTCAACTTACGAATTTATGTAGCTTGTAGACGAGATCCTCGTTGAGTGCGTGAACCGCAGCGCAGGATGCCCCTACACTTGCCAACGGCAGCTCCTCCCCATGCATGTCAAGGATTCCTGCGGTTTCGTCGAGCTCCCATGTCCCGTCGGACAGTGCGACAGATCAGTACTACGCAAGGATCTTGGGTCACACAGTCATGACCCTTCAACTCCTTCCTCCTCGACAACTATTGAGCCGGACGCGGCAGCATCCGAGGTGAGTCCGACCGACGCTCGGAATTCTTAGTGTACTCACCGGATGACATCACGCGGACGACTTGCAGAGGAAACTAGGGCCTTCTCATGAAGCAGATGGTGAACAGTCTGCACGCTCAAACGCCGCACCCTTGCCTGATGGGTCGAAGTCTCTCGCGACAGAGAACGCCGTCCTACGCTTGCGCCTTTCTGCCCTCGAAGGCGTCGTGAACGTACTTCATCAGGAACTACAGGCCGTTCAGCGTGCTCTTGGTCCATGGTACAGGTCAGGAGGAACAGAAGGGCAGGGAGCGGGCGCTTTCCAAGCAGACGGCCTTCGGCCAAACTCCGAGAACGTGGTACCCAGTATGGCCCAGGAGCGCTCCCCGAGATCTTCTTCCGCGCCCATTCAACCAATCAGCCACTCTATTTCGGCCAATCCTGATAGCACGGCAGGCGACGACTTCGCATCGTACTTCCCACCTGTGGAAGAGGAGAATGTTTATTCCCTTCAAATTCCCCGCAGCGATTCCGACAATATTACTTTGGCGCGACCCGCTCGCCGAGACCACAGCGCGATTGCACAGGGGATGCAGCCGCCTACGACCAGCAATCCACAGCGCATACACCCACCCTCCTATTCGTTCCCGCATCCCCCGTCCTTCCCATCACCATACCCATATGCATCCACCCCCACCGCCTTCTCTCCGGCCGCTATCACGGTGCCACCACTAGATCCGACCGTCCCTCTTCCCAGCACGCTCGCATCCATGCACGCGTCGCTTGTCTCGCTTGCCGGCGCGCTAGGGAGTCTCGCTAGTGCCCGAGCACAGGATGCGCTGTATACAGGTGAGGAACTACGAGGCATGCGTGCGGGGATGCATGGACTGCGGATGCAGGTGAGATCGAGGTTGCTCTCCTAACAGCGAAGCCGAAGTGCTGATTGTGCTTGCAGCTGCATGACGTTATGACTGCCCAAGTCATCCGGGACCCATCTTCTTCGGCAAGCAGCGTCTCAGGAACAAGTGGGAACGCTGTAGATGGGACCGTCTCGGGAATCGCGAACCTCGGGCTGGGGGTTGGCGGTGGCGGTCCCCCTCCCTGGACTGGGTATGGGCCGGGACCACGTCCATTTGGCACAGGGGCCCATCCTCACTTGCCTGCGTCTTTCACGAAGCTCTAGCCTTGCAAACATGCTGTTGCATGCCCGCACACTCTGAATACCTAGGATATAGAAATCGCTATTCTCCTGCCGGGCGTACGTGGTGAACAGGGAATGTTGGACTATGCGAGGAAATGCGACAATATTAGTACTTGCTGGCAATTCCCTCGTGTGCCTCGCGCAAAGGGGATGTAACGCTACGTCCCTTCGTGAAAACATATCAGATTTCATGATCTCGCCCCTTTGCCCACAAAATCTGCCGTAAAGGGACTTATATGCTTGCTTGCAACCTATAGAGTATCACTGCAAGTAATCGCTGGATGCTACATAGTTAGCCATTGGTCAGCGTCGTCCTTTATCACGCACTCACCCGAGTTGGGTCGTTACAACCCACCGTCAAAACCCGTACTGTGGGTATGTCCTCAAGCTGGCGATGGGCAGTTCAGCAGACTGTATGGGCGTGATGCTTGTAGTGACTGTCATGTCATGTAATCCCTTAATCATCGATGCAACTAAGTTCTTAGGAAGCTCACCTCTTGTATGCATTGGTATGGGCCTGCAATGCACAGCAAGAGCTGCGGCGAGGCAGAATAGGGCTCCGTGGATGATATACATTCGAAATAGGGGACGGGGGATGCGATGGCTATCGTGGCATGCTTCTCCATCGTTGCGCATTTATAATACCGATGAGCTGACATTTTGAGTCAGATTGCCCAGAATGTGGCTCTGAGAGGAGCGTCTCATCGGGCCTACAGCAAATGCGCATCGTCTCGAGTGAGGTCGCCACTCTATCGCCACACAGCTCGGTGCTGTAACCGCGGCCCAGTGGGACGGAGTGATGTCAGGCATACTATGTTATAAAGACATGTTAAACGATCCGTCCGTGCAGCGCATGGCGTGAAGTTGCTCCCTAAATTAGAAACTTGAAGATGATCATGACAACGTTGCTATAGGCAGGCTCATATCGCTGCAATCATGTATTTTAGGCTCTGCCATTATGCACAGGGACAGCTAGGGGCAAGATAAGTGAAGGAGAGGCTGCGGCGTCACCACGTCGCGGTATGACTGATATCAGTTATGAAATACCTTTGTTCGTGTTTGACCTTACTTCTATGCATGCTGTGTTTTCGGTTCGATGAATGACAGCATAATGATCCTGTGCCACAGAAAGACTGATATTATCGGAGATCGGGGTTGCATACTACATCGCCATTCCATTACTGATACGGTCGTGTGGCTATGGAGTTGAAGTAATCAATTTGCCGCTTGCAACTGTATGGTGCTTCGGTTAGCGAATAGTAATCACTCGTGCTGCCAGTGTCTGAGTGGTACTACTTCCATGCAGCCTCCCATCGGCCATTGTGGGCAGATCTCAAAACCCCATACCGCAAGCGGTACCTACGCCGATACCAAACTTATCTTCAGGGCATGATGACTCCGTGTACTGTGAAACTTCTGTTTGAGTTGTCTGAGTAGACAATTCATGTTGCTCAGGCTGTCCTAGCATCTCCTAGGATGTCAGCTAATCTCTCGTTTTCTCGGCGTCGCTCAGCGTTGAAACCTCACCTCTATTACCAACAGGTATGTGTGCGCAATGCACAGCGACTGAGGCAGCGATGCAAAGCAGAGTTGAACCAGAGACATGCATCTTCCCCAGAGAAGCACAAAACGTGATTGTGCTATGCATCCCGGCACTGCACTTTTATCTTTAAGACATGACCTTGGCAATCAGAACATACAATAATCAAACAGAATGGCGTGTAGCATTTTTTTGCCATCTGAACTGAGTTTGTTCCTTCGTAAGTGCATCGGGAGGGAATGCCACTGGATGGAACGTATCAGGGACTGAGTGAACAGTCAGTCAAAATCTCGTCGAGGTACGATGATCATCATCAGGGGGGGGCTAGTACTAGTATCCGGGCGCATCTGGTTGCCAATCGAGCTTTGATTGACAAGTTAATCATGCATCACGGCTGAGAACCACCACCGTCGCCTGGATCAGTAATGAAACGATGATGGTGAGTAGCTACACTTGCATGCTGCCTGAGCAGCTCTGAGTTCGCCACCGCGTTCAACCCCGAATCTCAAGATCTCAAGATCTCACTGTGACTACTAGCAGCAGTCAAAGTGAGCTCAGTGCTCAGTGACTACGGTCGGAATTTTCCTGGCATGTGGCACGTATAGCCTTCTCGTCAGCTCGAACCTTCCAGCCGTTGCTTTGGCTACAATCAGCATGACATACCGCTCTCGTAACACTCGCACAGTTTTCTCCACCAACGGACAGCATCAGCAACAGCATCTCACTCTTCCCGCAATTACACCGCTCGCCCAAAAGGTTAGACAGTCTGAGAATCTGAGGCTCGCTTCCGGTCCATTGACATATTTGTCCTCGTGTGGATGGACTTGAAACATATAGAAGCGCTCTCCGAAAGAACATGCTAGCCGCGTAGTTCTCGGGTGCTCCCGAGCATATCATATATCGGATGTCGTCAATAGCTGCGACTTCGCAACTGACGGGCGCAGCAGAGATCGCAGTCTTCTTGTGTCGTGACAACTGCAAGGTCAGGCACATAGGGAGTCGGGATTGATCTGTTTGCCAAGTATGCAGGTGCGTAGTTTTTTTGCGATGAACACTCCGCCCTTGTCATAATATTCTGATGTATGACGCTATATAGGTACTGCGACAAATGAACGCGCGATTGCTACGCCTGAAACTTGCGTGACACGCAATAAGTGCGCACCGCCGAAATTGTTCAAGGTGATTGACGTAGAGGACCATAAGGAACGACTGTCTTCCTGTACGAAGGCCGATTTATGAGCCTACCCGACGTGAAGGTGGCTCGCCACAGCGGTGATCCAGGTCTTTTATGATGCCCATTATGCTCTATTCCTGCCGATTCGAAAATATGCGATACAAATACAATCGAACATGTCCGGTACATCCCTCGACTTCAACAATGCTACGAGCGTCTTTCAACTCCATGCTTCCATGCTTCCCTCCTACACACAAGTCTGACGGTAAGCCCCACTCCGCAACATCACACCACCGTTCCGCTGTCCATCGTGACCTATCGGCTAGGTGTGAGCACGAGTGAACGTATGAACAGTGCCAAAGACTTACTTGTACTTGGAGATTAGCGTGCGTACGCCTGCTCGACGATGACCGTGGGTTGTCTTCGATGGTCGTCAGCTTTCTCTTCTGGGAGATGGCTAGTGAGTGAAGATTGAGATATTTATGAAAGACCGTGCTCACCTTTGAGTAGATATCAATTTCCAATACGTCCCTCGACTTCAACAATGTGACTTCAACTCCATGCTTCCATGCTTCTCTCCTACACACAAGTGTGGCCGAAATATTCCCCACTCCCCAACATCACACCACCGTTCCTGTCCATCGTGACCTATCGGCTAGATGTGAGCACGAGTGAATGCATGAACAGTGCCAACGACTTACTTGTACTTGGAGATCAGCGTGCGTATGCTTGCTCGACGATGATCGTGGGTTGTTTTCGATGATCGTTAGCTTTGGCTTCTGCGAGATGGCTAGTGAGTGAAGGTTGAGATTGTCGTGAAAGATATCGCTCACCTTCAAATAGAATTCAATTCAATTAACCAGAAGGGTCGGCGTTGAGTGTCGACGTCTCCGAGGCAGGAGTCGCTGAACGGCGTCGGGTGGCCCGAGAACGACTACTCTTGGCTGTAGATGTTATAGACGGTGAGAACGTTCCGTCCGTGGACGTGTCCGACGATGACTCCATGACATCTTCCTCGCGCTTCTTCTTCTCCTTTTCTTTGATGTTCGCTTCCGGCTGATACGAGAGGATGATAAGCAACGACGATGCAGAGCAGAGACAATCGCATACATTGTCTTCCGAACACGCGAGCTCTACGCTGACGATGAACAGCACCGCCAGACCCCCTCCGAGCCAGAAGAACTTGTCTTGTGTCGTCCAGCCCGTTCGCATCTTCTCCTCCCGTTCGACCTTGCCTTCCGAGGTTGCCAAAGGTGGGGCCGTAGCAAATGGGGTACACGCAATGGAAGTCGATGTCGACGTCGATATGTTGACCATCGACGCCGAATCGACAGTGGCGGCTGGGAAAGCTGTCGAGGCGACATAGAGCTCCTGTAGTTGCTGAATGTGCTCCATGTACTGGGACCAACTGGGCTGTAATTTTGCGTTGTGGTCCGTGTCGTCCTCGTCTTCTTCGGCAGCCGCTGATGAGAACGTGAGGAATTCGACCGTGGGCGTCGCGAGTGTCGTCGAGGGGTGAATGTCGTCGTCCTTGGTTTGTCGAGAACGATAGACGTAGTCGAGGCGCTCGTCAAGCACCTCGGCCTCGGTGATGATCGCATACCAGGAATGATCGTCGGCGATGACAGAGGGTCCATCGTCGTTGTGCACGTAGTCCACTCGGCCGGCCAGCCGTCGAGTAGACCACAGTGCGGATTTCATGGCGTGTCCGCTGGATTCAGGTCAATGTACTGTCGCATACAGGAAGCAAGCAAGCAACTCACCCGTCGAGTCGAACATACATCGACGGCCCACCCAGACACGGGAACCTGAACTGGGTGTACGCCGCTTGGTAGCTCTGGTAGATGCCAACCAGAGAGACCAAGAAGTAAGTGAGCAGAGGGAGGGCAGGTAGGATAAGCATGATGGGCGATGGTAGTCAAGATGTTTCTGGGGAGGATAACAGGAGCGGAGGGGGTTTATATGTTGTTTCATGGAGGCTGACAGTGATGGTCTCGTCACCGTGGTCACGGCTGTCAATGTCAGCCTCTGTTGGCGGACGATCGAGCGGAATACAAGTATGATTGGAATGCTTCACTCAACGAGGGATCGTGAAGGCCGACGGCGTACCTGGACAGTTCTAAATGCTTTTCATAACACATTGGCAGGCACAACGAGCGCCTGCTTGCTCCTGGATAGTTGCAAGAGCAGTACGCAGGTTGCAAAGCATACAGATGACCGGCTGTCATAGGAGCTACAAGAACTGCGATATGAGCAGAAAACCCACTACGACATGTTGCCCATGATATGCAAATATAGGAATGCCATGCCTCGGAGGTGTTCGAGAAGGTAAGATACCGAGATGCTGCTGATGGCAGGAAAGCCTTGCCACCAGTTACAAGCCCGTGAGTTAGATGGTGCTTATTTATTGATGTACTATGTCCGCGCTCAGCGAATTGATCATATACGTGATAAAGTGAGCGATTTTGCAGGAGATTGCCTCAGCCTCACAATCAGCGGTATCTCACTGCACTGGTCTGATCATAATAAGAAACCCGTGTGGCCGCACCGCGTGAAACATAGAGAGGGCTATCTGAACCTGCGGTCCGGTACCCAATCGTTATGCATTTGGCAAGAGAAGGAGGGAGTAGACGCGCCAGGGAATCCCCATCGAAACATACCTTACAATGCTTCTGGCAGCACAACCGAGACTCTATCGAGTATGCATGGTGGTAATAGCATCCACTGATCTAATAGAAAGCTAATTCGTCATGCAGCTACTGGGAACTCACCAAAGTATTACGCAAAACTCCGAGGCTGCATATCTTGAAGTCATTCGGAACACTGTTCTCGTAGACACTGCGATGTCATCGCGAGTTATATTCGGATGCAAAGACCGCGCGAGGCAGCACGCGAAAGATGTCACAACGGACACGCCCTTGCTGTACAGAGACACGCTCTGAAGAAGTGTCGAATATCGTGATGGGCAGGGAAAACAAGGAAATATACAGAATCACTCGTCCGGCACCTCGATCTCGCCCGCGTCGATGGCCTCAATGACGTCGTGAGGTGGCCGACCGTCGATTGTGCAGCCAACCGATTGTGCTGTGCCGAGGATCTCCTTCGCACCGTTCGCAAGAGTCTTTGCGAGCGACTTGCTTCGCATCGTCCTGGCAATGTCGACGATCTCGTCGAATGTGATATTGCCACTGTGCTTAATGTTCTTCTCTTTCTTGCGGTCCCGTGGGGGCTCTGGTGGTCACACACTTAATGGATGTTGTGTCATATGCAAGCATGCCACACACCCTTGAGAGCCTTTATAACCAGCGAGGATGCAGAAGGGACGACGTCCACCTTTGCTTGCCGATTTTGGATAGTAAGCTGTACCGTCACCCGTAGACCCTTCCATGCGCCGGTTGCCTTCGCGATATCTTCACCGACCTTCTTAGGAGACTAAGGGTGCACATTCAGACGGAATCAAGACGCATATACCAGCGCACTCACCAGACCAAGAGGACCGATCTTGGGTGCAAGAGCGGATGATGCACCGACCTCACCACCAGTCGCGCGGAGGTAGATGATTTTGATTTCGTTGGGGTCCTACAGCAAATGAGAATGCAGCGGATACGGAGCGTTTCCTCAAACCTCACAATTTTGGGGGCCATGGCGGTGTCGACGGCGGCGGAGAGAGAATGAAAGGTAGGACTGGCGGCGAGACTTGACTGACCTTCGCGCTCGACGACCAATAGATTCTTTCGTGTACGGGTGAATTCAAGGTTCGAGCGCCGACTAGATAGCTGTATAGATCCGCTATTCCCAGACCCCAGTCTCCCTGATTACTACTTGCCTGCCAATTCCAGCATCGTGTGGCGCCGAGTACCTCGCACAGTCCCTTGGTCCCTTCACTACGTCGCTCGTAACTCCTATCAGATCGCGGGCACAGCATCGACGGCGATGGGTGTATGGAGGAAGCACCTGCGAGGATTGAAGTGCCGCTCGCGTTCGAAGATGTCGACATAGACGTTCTTGTCCAACTGATCGGTGTGTGTGACTTTCTTCGAGTACGAAGGCATGCTGATATCCGTCTATAGCTGACATGTTGGACCGTCTGATATCACATAATGACCAGATACCATTATCTCCGTGAGTGTGTTTTTGGATAGGTAGGTCGATGTCCGATTGACTCTATGATAGCGAGGGCCTCACTCGTTTCCACTCACGTACTGCTCCTGGCATTTCTGTTCTAGAGTACCTGCGACGAATAGTTAAGTTTACCAGGGTCGAGGTGAGTCAGGAGGCCGGCTATTTTTTCGCGTTCTGAAAATAGCTTTGTCAGCGTGTATGCCTCCTCATTACCCTGCACTACATTGATCAGATATGCACGAGGATGCCAACCTTCACGCTCTCCTCGTTAACATGTCACCGATTTCTGATAACGGCTGTCACGGTATCCAGCAAGGCCCTCTGCGACGTCTTCTCCAGCAACAGCATTTATGCCAGAGTGGGCGGCATCCCTGTCGCGGAGCTTAATATGCTCGAACGGGAGTTTCTGCGCATGATTGACTGGCAGCTCACGGTTAGCACCTCTTCCTTCCATTTTATCCTTCTCCGATCGTTCCGCATGTCAACAATCAAAGGCACCAGGACTGAAATCCTCTTTTGTCGTACATGACCATTCGCTGGGCGCATTTCAGTGTACTCGCGAGATTCTGCAGGAGTACTACGTGAATCTCGTTCGGACTCACAGCGTAGGTCGATATGCGATCATTGCTCTGGAATCTTCCAGCAGCATCTCTTCGGACGATGACATGGATTGGGAGACTGGTCGATCCCGCTCACCCTCGCCTCCACAAGCCGGAAGCAGTAACCGCAACCGCGAGTTCGTCCCTGGTGAAGCGTCCACAATCCTTATCGACACCGTTACCCTTACCCGCCAGTCGCCAAAGCCGCCTACGCTGGAGCAGAACATGGCGTTTGCTGCGTTTCAACAGTCCTACATGCAGCAGGATGGAGGAACATGAAGTTCTCACATCCTGTATCTGTACATCTTCATTTGTAATTTGGAGGGATTATCTTCGTCATTTAGGATGTTGTATCACTATACGTACTTTGCATCAAGGACTTTCTTCCGTCACACACACATATACTAAAACCCCCAGCGAATGTATTCCCGACGAATCATATCGAAACACTGCTGGAACGAGGGAATATGCTATGAATGGGTTTACCATCTACGCCGAAGAGCTACTGTCCATGGATGTCAATCGCATGCGCTGCGGTAGAGGAGAATGCAAATTACGGCAAAGAACGATACATGAGTTGTGCGGTTGAGAATGCGGTATGGGGTTTTCCAAATAGCCTACAATCGTGATAACCTACTCAATACAACGCCGCGCCCAAGCGGCGCGGACGTCAGTCCATCCGTCCTGCCCGACGGAAGCCCATGAATATCGAGCTCAGCGAGATCTTCAGCGCCGCAGAGCGGACAGCATCTTCGCCAAGGCGTTGATCTGACCCTTCTGCACCTTGCGCGGACTACCATCATGATCTCCGTGTCCGTCGCTACTTCCATCTCTCTCCGTGTCGCGAACGACGTGAGAGAGGTCCATGGTGCTGATAGCGGCATCCGTCTGTGAGGCCGACTTCATGTTCGGGCGTTCGTTGATCGTGTCGAGCACCGAGTCCTTGGGCTTACCGAGTCGCTTACGAGTAGGATTGCCGTATTTGAGCGAGCTAGGGCCCGAGTTCAGCGAGCGAGGCGTCTTTGACAGCTCCACCGGAACACCATCCATGGCTGTATCGAACGAAGCCTAAGTCCACGAACACATACTCGATGGACACAAGACACTTACCCTTAACATTCGGCGGCAGGGTCCCCTTCTCGTAAGGATACTTGCTGACGTTGCTCTGGTTGCTGCGCCAGCTGCCGCCAGAAAGACTCGTCGCGGCCGTCGACACACTGCGCGAACTGCCATTGCTATACTTCGTGAACGCAGAGCTCGACGTGCCCGCACTGGACATCGAGCTGCGCCAATTGCGCGACACCATCGAAGAAGCCGTCGAGCTCGCACTGGACGCAAGAGGGCGTCCGCTACGGGTGCTCGTCGGTGATAAGTTGCGCTTGTTGCTGACTGGGGAAACAGTGCGCGGCGAGTGCTGATCGACGCTGTGCACGGCGCGGCGGTCGACATTGCCGACAGAGGAGAGCACAGAAGTCGTGGACTGGCCCCACTGGCTGCTGACGTTACTAGCCGCACCGTATGGATGATTTTGAGGACGACGGCCACGGTTCATGAACTGTCCCATAGCATCCTGCTCGAACCGTGAGCCAGAAGCAGGTATAGAAGACGAAGCATCTTGTGCATTAAGGCTCATAAGCAAGTTGGTGGTCCTGGTCGCAGTCGAGGGCATGGGTTTGGCAGGGGTGCTTGCACGACCGGCATCCGGTGCCTCAACGGACGGAGCCCTCGTGCTTGCAGAGTGGCTGCCCATGCCGAACGACAGCTTCCACTTGGTCGACTTCTTCGAGATCGACGAAACAGCCACCGAAGACGCTGACGCAGCGGCAGCGACATTGTCGGAAGCAGCAACAATGGGCGGCTGCGAAAGCGGAGAGGGCGCATCAACAGGGGCGTGCGTACCCCCCAAAGACGAGTGCTGCGACCCGTTGCGGGAGTTGCGGCTGATCTCGCGAGCCAGCGCCTGCGACGCGCGGGCAAGCGTTTCGAGGGAGTCGGGCTCATCGTCCTGCGCAGCCGCAGCAGACAGCAACGCGTTCTTGCCACGTCGCGCACCACGCTTCCGCCGCTTCTGGTTGGATGCAGATCGCGAATCAGGCTCCTGCTCAATCCCGACCCCGACCGCGCCACGCTGCTCCGGCTCGCGCTCCTGGTACTCAATCTCCTGATCGGGAACAGTGGACAACATGCACACCTCTGTCTCCGCTTCAACCTCGTACGCGGGACCAAGCGAGGGTGCGCGAGACATCGATCGAGAGACACGCTGTGATGCGACCGTATCGATAGGGGTGCCCGAGCGCAAAGAAGGGCGGCGTGAATGTGGGATGGACGCGAGACGATAGCCTTGAACCGAGTTGATCGACACGGTGCGCGAGTGGCCTGGACGCGACGGACCGCCAAGGAGCGTGGGCAGATCCCGCACCCACGTACCGAAGGCGCGCGCGCTGATACGCTTCGAATCGTCCCAATGGTCATCGAGGATGCAGAACACATTCGACGCGATGAACTCTGCGACCGGCTGGGCCATGCCGGTGAAGCGGTTCATGAAGAAGGCAACGGGTTGTTGGCGGTACGTCTTGAAGGACGAGCACGCACCCTCAGCAGCATCCGTCCAAGGGTTATGATGGTACAACCTGCGCGGCGCAAGCATTAGACAAAACAAATAGGTGACTATATGCGCTAACGCACATATTGATAAGCACGATACCAAGTGACCAGACATCGGCAGCACGAGGAGAATAAGTAGGGTGTAGGTTATTCCGGCATTCTGGTCAAGACGATATTCAGTATCCAGTATAGCATCAAATGATAACCTTACATACCGAAACTCATGTAAGGAGCGCTGCCACAATCCATGTCGGCTGAATTCTTGTCCGTAGTGGACAGTCCAAAATCGGTAAGTTTGACAATTACCCTGCGCTCGCGCCTGCCGTCCGGCATTGTCATCCACCCGTCCGTGACGATGAAGTTCTCCGGCTTGATATCGCGGTGATACACCGAGTGGTCGTGGCACGTTGCCACAGCCTCGCACATCTGGGAGAACATCGAAGCGATGAGGCGCAGGCGAGTACGGGACAGTAGCTGGTTCGACGCGACCGAAGCAAGCAGGCTGGGCGTCGACGGCGTACGCGAGCTACTGCAGCTGGAATCCGATGGAGGGGTCGTCGAGAGGTCCGTGGTCGTTGCGGGGTCCACGTCGTAGTGGTCGCGGGCCTGTTCCAAGAAATAAAATAGATCCTCACCGGGCACGAACTCAAGGAGAAGCAGAAGGAAGGAAGGAGTCTCGAGTGTGCGATGCAGGGTGACGATGTTTGGGTGAGCGGGGAGGGATTGGTGGATCTTAGCCTATGGAGTGACCGTCCAGTCAGCAACAAGTAGCGCGCATAGCGAGACCCAATTATGGCGTACCTCACATAGCTGAGCCGCCAGGGCCTCCTCATCAAGGTTGGCTTTGGATAACACCTTGACAGCGTATTCTCGGCCGTACTCCGTGGGTTGGTGAGCAATATATCCGTCATCGAACTCCATACGTCCAGCCACAGCAGCGCCATGCTCGTCGTCGGAAGAAGGGGAATGTGAACGCGAAAGCACCTCTCGCACAAGATAGACGACAGCATAGCTACCGGTACCAAGCCTGCGAACTACCTCAAACTCCTTCGCCAGTTCATCATGGTCGGCCCGCGGCTCGGATGAGCTGATCAGGACCCGACTGATCATCTCGCCTTGCAGAGTAAGCCCTTCTCCGACCAAGTCGCCCTGCGACAGCACGTCCATGGCGACAGACGAGATCGAGGAGCACTTGCTGGACTTGCCATCGAAGGAGGACATGTTTGACTTGTGCAGATAGGAAGAGCGAGAGACCGGACTGGACAGCTGGCGAGGAGAAGAAACTAGAGGAGAACGAGGGACCTGCTTTGAGGGAAGAAAAGGCGTTGACGAAGGTGTGGATGGAGGGGACGAGGAGGAAGTGGAAGAAGGGGACATAGAAGTGGCGACGTGAAGTGGGCCTACATGGTAGGGGCGGGAAAGACTCTTGTCATTAGCAGCGAACGGAGAACGCTTGAAGGTACGACTCTGAACATCGTCGCTGGTGTCCCGTCGGACCAGATGAGCGCGCTTAGAGGACGTGAGAGATAGCGGCGGAAGCTGGACGGGATACTGCAACATGAGCAACAATAATCAGCAGCCGAGGGGGTCTATTCTGCACTCCGTTCTCGGGCAGGGGAGAAAGGGCGAGAAGGATAAGACCGGCGTGTCGATTAAAGCGCTCGTGGGATGGACATGCAGGTAGAAGACGAGACGATTCTCGCTGGCAGACGGACGGGACTCTCCTAGGTGCGGGCAGGCGAGCAGAGCGACGGCCTGCAACGTCGACGAGCTTTGAGCAAGCCTGGGGAGAGAGTGCGCCGACAACAGGCAGATGGCAGCAGAAGGCAAAGCTGAGAGCGGGGATTGAAATGTAACGCGCAGGATAACAGCGAGCGTGGCACTGAGTCAGACGGGCGCTCGTGCGCAGAGGCTATGCAGGACACTCACCAGCCTGGTTCTGAGCAACGGCTGCGACTGCGAGCGAGCGAGCGGACAGAGGAGGGAAAGGACGGGGAAGAAGGGACGAAAGAGAGGGTGGGAGGGAGGAAGATATTGAGATTGTATGGCAGCACATGGTTGGCTTCGCAGCACCACGCGCATTTTGCCGGATATGGCCATCACACGCCAAATCCAGCCACAAATCACTGAGGCGGTGCTTCTCCTCAACCCCAGCAGTTGCGGTATCTGTCGTCGGGCATCATCTGTTCAAACTTTGCGATGCTATCGTGGCTCTGGTAAGCTGCAGATAGAGCCATAATCGGCGAACGTTCGACAGGATTCGTATGCTCCGCCGCTCGCCGCATGCACATGGACGCACCCATGTGCATCTAGCGTCTGCTAGCGTCTGGTCCCTCAGCGGCTCTGCTTCTTGGCCTGATGCCAACGCTCATTTCGCCCTTGTTTACGTCCACGTCACACACTGCTCTTCGGCACTCCTGCAACGCGAGAAGCACACACAGTTGCTATATTTTGCCGCGGCTTCGTAGTGCCACGACGTGTGCACGTATGCGAACCTGCGTGATCTCGGCGCAGCAGCACACATGATGATAATGATGAGGCTCCGTATCCTCGGGACAACCCGAGTAACCTACTCCACCACATGCCGAATTCGGGTCCGAACACGCTGCGCTGCGCGGGCATCTGGGCCATCTGCTCCAAACAGAGTCGTATCACCACCAGGAAAAGGCACACCATGGCGGGCGCGCACGCAAGCCACTAGCAAACAGGGATGTCTTGGACGCAGCACCGGCCGTATACGATGTGCATCGTCATCCGCGCGGTCGCGAGCGATAGCGGTGCGGTTGCGAGCAAGCCTGACAGGAGAACCCATGAGCCACGCGCAGGAACATCATCCAGAGCCGCCGGCTTACCTAAATTGGGCTGTGTCAACGTGGCAGACGCGATCACGCGTCCACGTCGATGCCGCGATCATCCTCGGGCGTCTCCCGCCCTTCCACCGCCCGCTTCCATCGCCGTTCCACCTCCCGCACATCTTCTGCTCCTAGCCAGCTGCGCACCCGCACCACCACCTCCATGCCCTCCTTCGCCCGTCCGTGCGCCAGCAGCCACCGCCCCCACTGCACCGTCGCGGTTACCCCGTCCTTCCGCCGCCAATATTCGTACACACTTTCTAGCACCCGTTGTACGCTCTCGCACCCGTACTTCACCAGCTCCTCAGCGGCATCTTCTTCTTGCGCGAACACTTCTTCCCAAACACGCGCAGTGGTCATCTGCGCCGTCCCCAGCTGCCACACTCGTTCCGCCCGCGCGGCTGCAACGGCCTCAACCTGACCCGTAAAGGCTATCTTCGCTTGACCCTTTTTGAGCGGCCCATGTGATCGCGCCGTCGAGTATGCTTCCGAGAGCCCGTTGCCAGAATCTGCATTACCGACATCTTCGAGCGTTCGTTTTCTCTTTCGAATCCCTGCGCCAGGCTCCTGGGTATCCGTCACCATGGCTGCTTCTTCTGACTCCGGCTCGGCGGCCACTGCACTCTTCAGTCTACGAGAAAGTTCTGCGTGTGTGACGGCCGTGTACCTCGCCAAGAGCATCTCATGCACCCTGCCCCATGCTTCTGCATCCTGGATACGCCTGCTGTCCTTCAGCAGGCGCTACGTACACCAGAGTCACAGTTCACACAGGCACGTCAGACAATCCGAAAGAGTCCGCGAGTGAATGATAGCATCGTGCATTCGGTGTCAGATTCATGCTAAAAGGTAAACGCCGCACGGATACCACGTACCTCTAGAAGCTGCACCTGCTCAGGGTCAGGTTCGGAGGGGAGAGGCGCGAGATCGGACGACACTGCACCCTCGCCCGATGCGCGGACGTGGCCGTGGTCGAGCCCCCACAGCCAGACGCTCTCGATCCCCTTGCCCTGCACGGCACCGCGGGCATCGTCCCACGCACGATCGAGTTCTTCCCCACTTGCCCCAAACGCCCGCTCCGCGTCCAGGCGAGCGAGCCACACCTGCGCTCGGCCCGTGTTTTTCGTAGTGCATTTACGCGCGAGACGAAGGATCTTTTCGGGTGTGTTGCTCGATTGGGGGAGGTATTCCTGGAGGAGCTCGTGATATGATGTGAGAAGTCGGATGTTCGCGGAAACTAGTGCTGGGGGAGGCGCCGTAGTTTTGCGTTGTGCGAGAAGCTGGAGAGATGTGACGAGGTACCCTTTCTGTGTTAGATAGCAGATTCAACGCGTCAGTATCGGCATACACGTTGTAACGACGTGTGTGGCTAGATCAAGTTCGTCAACCTCTATCAGAATGACTTACCAGGCTATTGTCAATGTCCTTCTCACACCATTCTTGCACGAACTGCGCATATATTTCGCCCAGCTTTTCGGTGTTCTCGCCTTGGTTAGCCTCTTTCACGGCGATTGCGAGCTCCTCATTTGCCTTCCTGAGTGCATCAACGAGATCTTCGCCCTCTAGGTCCGGGGTGAGATACCGTGATGCGTAGAGCTTGATCGCTGTGGGATCAGAAGGCAGCACCGAGTGCAGCAGGGAGAATAGGTAATCAAGGAGAGAATTACGTAGAGAAGGCAGACAAGGGTAGGCAGATATTAGTTCGTGCAGCGAAGTGAAGAGATGAATCTTGGGAATGGCTGCATGAAGGTTGAGTGATGAGTGAAGAACACTCACGCGTGGAGCAAAAGGCCGACCTTTAGCAGCGCTCGACATCACCGACTTCACGATCGCACCCTCTAGGATGGCCTTCTTCGCAGCATCCCCGTCATTACCCACTTCCTCTGCGTCAACTTCCATCTTCTCTACGTCTTCTCCGCCCTTGCCTTGCTCATCTGCATCCGCATCTATCTCCTTCTCCTTTCCCTTGCCCTTCTCTTGCCCTTTGCCCTCACCAACTTCGATACCCAACACGCTCCAGCGCCGCCTCATATTCTCCAGGAATCCCATCTCCATTTTCACGTACTCCCGCCACAACTCGACGCTCTCCGTGTTCAGACGGATCCCGCGCTGAAGCAGCGCACGCGCGGCGGATGGCGAGAGGTGCTCAAGCTCGTGTGATGCTGCGAGAATGTACAAAGCGGGCACGTTTGGATGCAATTGCAGTGCCCTGTGGTGGTGAACGATCGTCAACTCAACACATTCTCATCAATTGCAAAGGAATGAATATCACGAACCGTGCACTGATCCGTCCTACTAGCGTCCTCGCCCCCTCCTTCTTCGCGACTCGAATATACTGGATCCACAACGCGACGTCACCCTTGAACTTCTTCAACGCGCGCTCGAAGATGTGGAACTGCCGCCGCACGAGCGCATAGTCAGACACGGACGGCGGCGGGCGGGCATCGCCCTGTGTGAGACGTTTGACGCGCTTTCGTCGCAGCGCCTCGAGCCCCATCTCGTACGTGGCGTAGCGGAGGTAGTCGTTCTTTTGCGGAATGCGCCGTACGAGCGCGGTCTCGAATGCGGTGCGTTTTTGCATGATCTGCTTTACCTCTCTCTGTTGTCGTAGGTGATGAGCATTTCACTGATAAGGTTGAGCACATTGAGATGCATACTTGAGTAAAGATACCTTTCTGGACGAGGTCCTTGAGCTCAGCGAGCATCTACATCACGAAACCTTAGTTTCACGGCATAAGCAGTCATTTCGAGACCATACCTGCTCTTGCTCAAACTGAACTCTCTCCATTGTGTTATCCGCGCAAAAATGAGGTGGTCAGTTATGAGGGGTATATGTCTGCGACAGCAAGTTACGAGGAGGCTACGTCCAATCAGCGGCCACAGCAGAGAAATTGTTGCGCACGTGTCAGCCACGCGAGGTGCCTGGTTAGCCGATGTTCGGGCGGAGCATCAATAGGCGCGTCCGCCAACGCCGCTTCTCCGATTACTACACGCCCTAGCCATCCTGTCCACCGACCACAATGCCGACCAGGGGCCACCGCACAGCGAGTGGGCTCACCCGCACGCATTCGCGCACCAGCTCGGGCGGCGGCGGCGGGTCCAAGATCGGGCTTAATCTCCAGCTCACACAGAAGGATGTAGTACCGCCACCAAGGCTGCCTGATAAATCGAGGAAGAATGCGCACGTTCATCACGAGGTGTGTATTTGTTTTTTTTGTATGAGCTAATGTGAATGTAGATGTCGACGAGATGCTGATGGAATTCTTTGTCTGACGTGCGCGCGTGCTTCTAGTCCGCGTTCGGGAGGGCCGCAAGCGGCCATCACATTGCATCGCGCGAACACATTGCGCCGGTGCAACTGCGACGCGTACCGACTCCGCTCAGCACCGTTCAGACACAGGAAAGCAAGCACAAGGTCGGATTTACGATCTCGAGCCCGTCCGAAGGCGACGATGACGATTGGATTGAGAGCGAGAGCGGAGCTGCTACGCCCAACAATGCCTGCGATTCCGATACCGAGGGAGCGTCCACTCCCATCGAATCGAACAAGCCTACTACACCGCCTGCTGAGCTGCAAGTCATCGATTTTCCCAAAGAAGATGTCCAGACTCCGAAGGCGGAACAGCCACCAGTGCTTCGCAATCCGACCTTAGAGCTGCCCTCGTCTGCCCCAACTGTGAAAGATCATGCACAACCACCCACACCGCCTTCCCCACCGCCACAGCCGGCGTCCCAGCCACAAGAGCCGGCACGTCATGATCAGCGCCCTCTTCAACCAGAACGACCCTCTAACCCTCCAGCTCCCCCGATAACCAAGTCCCGTTCCGCGACACATTCTCCGAGCAGACGTTCGCCCACCTCGCCGACCCCTAAACGCCAGGCTGTGACAAGACCGCCATCGACACATTCTGTGGCAAGCAGGGGCGACGGCGCTCCTTTACGGCCACATCCGCTCATCCGTGGTCACTCTTACGGTCCATTCCCGGCAAAGCCCGCGCCGCTGGCACCCTTGACAATGGTGTCCTCAGACGCCGCGCAAGCTCAGATGTCTACCGCTCCTTCGCCGACGAGCCTTCACGGCGGTTCACCAACCAGTGCGATATCGGCATCGCCCGATGCGTCTTCTCCCGCGTCTTCTCAAGCACGCAGGCAGCTGAGGAGAACGTCTACCTCGTCCGTTGCATCGAGCGCTACTCTGCCAGCTCAGCATACCGCAAGTCACGCGAAGGGCAGCCATGACCGCCAGCGCACGATGTCCACGTTGTCGACATCTTCTTCCTTTGCAGCCTTGTCCAGCCTCGGCATCCGCTCAACCCCGTCCCCCACACGCCCCCCCATCCGGATTACTTCGCATTTCTCTGCTACCCCGTCGAGTTCCGATCTTGAAGCTATACATCCGCTTTTGCCGCCTCCATATCTCAACGCCCATATGACGGTACTTGCGTACCGCAATCCTATCCGGGAGTCCTATGACAGGATCACCCGCGCCAAGCAGGCTCGTTGATCCGTGTGGTAGCCGTAGACGGGATGGTATCTGGATATCTGGACTTGCATTTGATTATTAGGTACGTGGTCCGTGTGCTGTGGAATGCATGGTAACTGATGCAGGACACCGGCAGCTTTCCATATGTAATTCTATGGCTTCGTGACCGCTCATGCTTCGGATTTTTGCAGCACGTACCTGTACCGCGTAGATTTCTTTATCGGATTTTACAGCGCGATTCGAGTGCTTGAACACATGCAAGGCATCTATGCATAGCTGTAACAACCACGCTGGTTTCGCAAGTCCTCATCCTCAACTCCAGCACGCTGTTCCAACACGCTCCTCGGACCCGTAAAACCGGGAACGCGTCACATGGACCAACCCGAGATACATGCGCGCATGGTGACGCCTTCAACATTTGCATTTGCGGTATGTTGTCATCTTAACTCATCAGCCGTCCTCCACACTCCAGATCTATCTATCATCTTCACTCCTTATCTCTGTGCAGCACAGACTTGATGAACATTGTCACAACGTCGCCATGCCGCGGCTTCCCACCGCACGGCCTCAAGGGTATATGCCTTGCAAGTTCCCCGGTGTGCGTCGGCTACTATATACTACGCAATCGGCTTCGCGTGGGACGCGCAGTGCCGTCTTACCGCTATCACAGCACGTTCCTCAACTAGCCTGTTTCTAACTTGCGATGTGGAATAATCGCAGCAGCGCCGGCTTAGCGTGCTATTTACTGCCTTGGGATTGACGCCAGCAAGCGCTGTAGAACGCCGAGAAGGCGACCAGGTGAGATGCAGGAGCGGTCACGTTGTCGACGATAGTGAGAAGCGTAGGAGGCCGTTGAATTGTCGGGAGCACGGTTTTCCCAGCATCAGGCTTCGTGGTCTCGCGCGACGGTTCGCTTCCGGATGTCCCTTTGCCTCTTTATCTTCCAGCTATAGCGGCTGTGCTGGTCGGCGGAGATGAGGTAGGCTGTCCTTATCTCAAAGTACTTACTGTAGTTGGTGGTGCATGAGACCTGTGCGAACTCACGCTCCGCGATCGGACTAGGCGACTTTCAGAATCAACGAACAGCGTCAGTCTCGAGATGCAAGGACACCGTACGCCGTCTATTGTTATAGGGTTTGATTCTGCTAGAACTGTTTGCCGCGAAGCCAGAATTAAAACACGACTGCATGCAATAGCTAAGATACAACATAGTGCACCAGTTATTTGGAAGCCCACGGTCATTCTTGAACGGGTTAAGGCACACTGGGCGGGTTACGTGGCAACCTGTGAATCGACTGCCCGGTCGCCGGGAGTTCTGCCAGTACGTAAGATGTCTACGCACGTTCATCGATTGGCGATCTGATTCGATTGTGTTTCTTTAGAAACATGTCTCATAGTAGTCCTCGGTGAGGATACTGAACGCAGACAGTCCTTTCTGGTTCCCAAAGCGGTAAGGATCGACCAGCAGGCTCCATTCAATTATTGGCGTTTTACTTGCGTGTGTTGCATCGGATCAACAGTCGGCCAGCTGATTTGGAGGCACATCCATTCGTAGGCCCTGCCTGAACTTAAAGATGGATACGCACTCCAGACCACCAGAATGCCGGTGGCGACCCAGTGAGAATTGTCCTGAACGCCTGGGCACCGCTCCTTCCGCCCCACACTGATACATGGCAGCTGACATGCCGGCATACCCTTCAGCGATAGGAGCGAGACAACCTACCCGTCCCTCGGTGCGTCTTCGCCTGCTATGCACACTGTCCTACTCATCAGACCTCGCGAAGCGAGTGTTACCATATGCTCGGAGCGGAGGCGATAAGCGGTGCGTCTTTGCCTGCTACGCTCACTGCTCTACTCATCAGGCCACGCGAAGCGAGTGTTACCATGTGCTCGAGGCCGAGGCGATAAGGCTGCCTTTCTTCCGCCTATCGCAGCTGAGATGCCTGGATGCGGTGCCTCGGTGCGGTGCGGTGCGTCCTGTGTGAATAGCGGTGTCAGCGACGGCCCGTGCGGTCCAGTCCACGAACACGTCCGAGCTGTTGACCGGAGGGTATCCTGTGCCATATCATATATGGCTTCGACTGCGATTTCCAGCACGCTATCTGAGAATGTATATGTCCACGTTATCTCTCTTTTAGCGGGTCATGTTGTCTATCCAATTGACAGCCGTAGGTTTGGAGAGGTCAGCTTATGACATGAACCGATGTTTCGACAAGGTCATTGCTGGCGTCGCTGGCCTACCATGGCATGTGCAGTGCCGTCTTAAAATAGAGTGGATAGTGCGATCTGTATTCGTTTGATAGCTAGGCACGCTGGTGTCCTGGACTGACCTCAATTGTTTGAGAACGGGAGGTCTTGATCCGTGAAGACTGTCGTTGTCCTTCCCCACTTTCGTTATCAGTAATGTTCCAATCGACTATACTAGCTACAACATTTGTATGAACTGCTTGCCGATAGTGTATGTGCACGTCGACCTGAGCCTCCAATTTTGTTTAGAGATGAATGGGTGCATACATGCATGCATACCAAGACACTCACTGGAAAGTATTCCCTACCTTATATCTCCTCGAACAACAATATGTATATCGACCCACCTCCTCTTCGAGAAGGGCAAGTGTCTGAATTCATAAAATTACGGACCCCCGGGCGCGTCGTCTTTTTCATTCCTAAATATCACATCAATGCTGTGCAGATTGCGGTCTGACGGGCACTTCGCAATTATTTGCCCATACGATTTTTACTCGGCGACGTCACAGGTACGTATTCCCGGCAGAGACTCTTCGGCATGGCATTCCGTCGCCGCCGAGTCGGATAATGACATACATGCCAAGAATACGAACAATAGAGCAACGAAGAGCGCGTTTTTTTTGAACAAGGCTGCATCGTTAGCGGTCTGGAAACCTATGCGGTAGGCAATTGTATCTCTGGTGTCCTTGTCGAGCTTAGGCTATCATTACGCGCTCCGGCGCGCTAGGTCATTCGAGACACCGACAATGAATGTTCATCGATATCTCAATCTCACCATGCCACTCGCCGAAAAAAGGGTCGTCCGACGGGGAATTTAGTATGCAATAAATCTAATGTAGATCCGACTCGGAGCGGCCTTGCCACTGCAACGCATGGTTGCAGTCGCTCTCGGTACGTGCGTAAAAAAAGGGCCCGTGACGGGGATGCTCGGACTAGGGGCACATGATTGGCTGGCGTGTGCTCCGGCTGTCTATATGAAACGATCAAATCTGTTCTTGTAAGAAGTACGTACACAACGACGGACACTCGGCGACCAGAGCAGCGCACGCTCGCCGTTCGCAACAACTTGCGCCGCACGGGGACCAAATTGGAGGATATTGCCACCGTGATGGGAGTGGACATGATATTGATGTGGGAGGTGGCGGGGGGGCGAGGGCGGAAGTTCTGGTGGAAGGGATCACGCGCGCTCACGATCTGGGTCTGGCGCCCGAATAGGCAGTCGAGGTGGATTAGCCGACGCGCGATCGAGTCTTTGTCGGAAAACGGTCGCGATGGGTTGCCACCGTGCTGGCGACCAGACCCCTGCGCTATCAAACGTGGCGAGCCTGAAACTACGCTAAATATCCCCCGCGCAGCACCCTCCATTATCGCCACCGCCCTCCTCCCCCCTCCCTGCCCCGCCTCTCGGGCAGACCAGTCGTTCCGTCGAACACGCTCCGAGTCACTGGCATGGTGAACGACTGGCCTCCGTATCCTCCCCTAGATGAGACCGAACTTGAGAAAGCTGTGCGCTTAGAAGAGGAAAATGTTGCGAAAAGAATTAGGTACGCGTTCTGAAGCATAATCAGAAAGTCGACTGAATAGTCGGTTATAGCGATGAGATTGATCGCGCCATCGAACACGACAGACAGGAGATGCGCAAGAAGCGCCACCAGACCAAGATCCTGCTTCTAGGTATGTACCACGAGAGCGAAACTCTTCGTTAGCTAAAGCTGCTCGACTCTTATCACAGGCCAAGCAGAGTCTGGCAAATCCACCCTCCTCAAGAATTTCCAGCTCCAGTTCGCGCCCAAAGCATTCCACGCAGAGGCAGAGGGGTGGCGCGCAGTCATCCAGCTCAACCTCGTCCGCTCCATCAACGTCATCCTCAGCCTCCTCTCCAAAGCGAACAGCAACCCCGCCTCGCCCTCCCCTCCACCGCGATTCAGCAAGCCCAAGGACGACCTCCGGTGGCTCAAGGTGCGCCTCGCGCCGCTCCGCCAGGTCGAGGTGATCCTCAACAGGCTGCTCGGCGTGAACCCCGACGAGACCGATGACGCTGATTTGGTGTTGGACAGCGGCCGGCTCTCTGAGGTGGCCATCCGCTCCAACTGTGGGTGGCAGACCCTCATGCGGACCGAGCGCTCGAGTCCATCGAGTCGTTTTCTGTCCGACTTGGACGATGCTAGGAGGATTTTGGAGGCATGCCGGGACGACATTGTGTCCATGTGCGAGGACGCCGTGGTGCGGCGCATCCTGCATGAACAAGGCGTTGTGTTATTGAACGAGCCCGGATTGTCCGTAAATGATGTCGTCTATCTGGTAAGGAGACTGTTTTGATTAATGTGCACCGCAGCTTCTTCGACCAAGCCGAGCGGATAGCGTCGATGACGTACGAGCCGACACCAGGTCAGTGTGCTTCGTGCATTTTTGAAGTTCTCTTACTCAGTGAGAGCATAGAGGATATCCTCAGGGCACGGTTGAGAACAGTGGGAGTGGAAGAGCATCGACTAGTCATGGAAACTCGTGAGTCGATCCCTCTTCCATTTACATCGGCTTATGCCCCAAAGTAACTGCCTCTATGGAGAAGGGGCGTGAGTGGGTCTTTTACGACGTCGGCGGCGCCAGAGGGCAGCGAGGTAACGGGTCCCATTATCAGCAAGTGTCCTGTTGGCTCACGCATCGTTTGGGACAGCCACTTGGGCATCGTACTTCGAAGACGGTAGGTCTCACGACAGTCGCAAACGGTGCTGTCCCTCACGAAGCGTCCTCTGTTAGTCAACGCGGTCATGTTCCTCTGCCCGCTTTCTGGCTTCGACCAGGTCCTATCGGAAGACAGGGCCGTCAACCGATTGGTGGGCTCCCCTTCTTGCAATCGGCCGAGTTCAAGCTAAGTGATCTCGCAGATAGATACCATGAAGCTGTGGAAGGTCATATCCTCCAGCAAGCTCCTCCAGAACGCGACGTTCGTCCTCTTCCTGAACAAGTCCGACATCCTGCGGAAAAAGCTTGACTCCGGTAAGAGCACATGGGACCCCCCATCCCAGCCCGATGGCTGAGCGGTCGGCAGGTGTCCTCTTCCGCGATCACATAGAGCAGTACAAGGACCAGCCGAACGATTTTGACAGCGTCACCACCTGTACGTCCGGGCCGGCGCTCGATGCATCCAGAATGCTCTGACAGTGTTGGGTGGCTAGACATCAAGAAGGTCCTCCTTGCGATACACAAAGACAACACACCGAAAAAGCGCGATGTGCACGTACATATCACCTGTGCAACAGTGAGTCCCCTCCCCCTTTGTCTGACACGTCTCCACTGCAAAGATCTGACACGCGACTGCAGGATACGAACATGATGTCCATCGTCCTCAACAGCAGTGCGCCCCTCTTCTATTTTTCCTCCCGCAGCACATGGCACGCCTGACGATCGCCCTGCAGTACACGACGTCATCCTCATGAACGCCCTCGAAACGACCAGCCTGATATCCTGACGGGCCAAGCACAGCACATCCCGACCTCCACTCGTGACTCTGGCAGTCCGCCATGTCACGTCATGTCATGTCCATACTACTGTATACATACCACACGTTATGCTCCACATCACTACCGCACATGCTATATTCAAGTTCTCACGACCGCTCGGACACGCTGGTATAATACGGTAATGCGCTAGTGTATATTCGCTTAGGAATTCTTGTGATATCCGTGTAGGAGGTACACGTGTCGGGTGTCGCTGCTGTCTTGTTGCAATCGAAGATGTTGTCGTTGGGAGGTCGTCGATATTAATATTCATCGCTCGTGTTATCCAGTGTCATGCAGAGCCGGCGACAAGAGTTTTCGGGCTCGCAGGGCCAACCACCTTGATGGGCGAGCCGTGCATCGCAACGAATATGCACTAAAGAGGCAAAGCCTGGGACATCGACGCGCCACACGTTTAGACGCGGTCACGTGGATTGTCATCAATATCGCGTCTCGGGATGACTCGGGAAAAGGCCGATGCCTCGGATCAATTCTAATTGTGGCCCTGCATGTGGCTAATCCGTCGACCGCTACCGAGCGCAGCACTCTGCTCATCGACTTACCCAAGACTGCTCAAGCACTCACTAGTCCGACACGAGCTCAAAGGCTCCTGCGTTCTTAACATGCTTAGTGCGACGTCACGGCGTTCAAGTTGCCGTGCGATCACCCAGCTGTCACACCTAGCACACCGCCTCCTTGTACACAGCGATGGGTACATCGCCATGCCGAGATGCCGGAACGTTCTCGGTCGCTTGATCACAGCACCAGAGGTACCAGGCAGGGTTGGGATAGTCATATTCGGTGCCGTTGATGCCTACACGGCAGCGAGGGGTTCGTAGTGACTGTGGCGGAAGCGCGCAGTATACCAATCACATTTAAGAGCGAGCACGGCCAACGTGGACTCTTGCAAGCACTCTGAAGATTGCGAACAAACGCACGGTCTCGAGATATGGAGTCCAAACTGCCCACCAAGGTGATCATCGCTGGCGCAGGCATTGCTGGGCCTGTCCTCGCCATGTTCCTCAAGACGAAGGGCTATGATCCCGTCGTTTATGAACGCGTCGACAAGATCGAGGATGTTGGGCTCAGTCTCTGGTCAGTTCTTTCCATCCGATTGCTCTGTCGACCCTCTTACTTATCCGGCACTCTGTAGTTTACAGCCAAACGGCCTGAAGGTACTATCTCTCATCCCCGGTTTCCTGGAGAGTATCATCGGAAAGCAGCTTTCGCACCTTGTCCAAATCTCCTATTATCCCTCTTCCTCGCCCTCAGAGGTCCCCCTCGCAGACTTGGACGCGCCCTCCCACCTGCCGGATCTCACGGGCGGGTTTGGCATGCTCGGCGTTCGCCGCCCCGTATTCAATCGCACGATCGTCGAAGCCGCCGAGCGTCAAGGCGTCAAGATCGTATGGGGGCACCAGCTCGTGGCGCTGAGACAGGGCGAGGACGAGGTCCAAGTGACTTTTGCCAACGGCGCGACGGACACGGCGAGCTTTGTTGTGGGATGCGATGGGTTGCATAGTAATACGAGGATATGTCTCTTCGGCGAGGAGAAGGTGAACTATACCGGGCTGTGTCAGGTGGGTGAAAAATGTAGGTCACCACGACGCATATACTGACAGATCTCATAGACAGGCGGGGTGTCGCCCACGCCGGAAAGCCATAAAGGACGGGCTAGTATGACGAATATATACAGCGACGGGGCGCACATGGTCTCGTACCCGATCTCCAACACAGAGACCTCCTGGGCGTGAGTACCGTACTCTGTTGACAGACAGATGGGTTAGCTGACTGCCCGATTATACAGCATCACGTTGCGCGAACCCGAGGCGAGGGAGACTTGGCGTGCCATGGACGAGGAGAAGCAACGTGAGTTCAAGCAGAGCACGTTCTCCCAGTGGCCGTTCGGCGCGGGCGAGCTGGTGAGGTCCGCAGACAGGATCATCAAGGTGGGCCGAATAGTGTCAAATTTTCTCTAGACGGGACTGACGCTTTCGGGCTTTAAGTACGGATTGTACGATCGGCCGGAGCTCAAGTCGTGGCACCAAGGCCGGGTCGTACTTCTTGGCGACGCCGCGCACCCCACCAGCCCAGTGAGCCTCTTCTGAAGGTTTTTAACCACATCCGCTAACCTCTCCTGTCAGCACCTCGGCCAGGGCGCAAATCAAGCATTCGAAGACATCTACCACCTCGTTCGCCTCCTCACAAAGCACAACCCCTCCGCCGCGCCGCCCGCCACCGCGCTGCTCTCGACGATCTTCACGGAATATGAGAGCCTGCGCATTGCGCGGACGAGCATGCTCGTGCAGGGCGCGCGGCAGCAGGGAGAGAGCCGCGTCGTGAGCGGCGCGGAGGCGTGCAAAATGCGGGATGGGGCGATCAAGAAGGCCCTCGGGAACGGGGAGGGGCTGCTTCAGGGGATGTTGATGGTTTATCGGGGGCCATTTGATGGCGAGAGTGAGATTTGAAGCGGGATTTGTGATCTGCAATTTGCGTGTGTTGTGGCGTGGTGCTGCGCCCGCCATCCTGTCTTTAGGTCTCTTGTTGGAAACGGCGACGTGTCGTACATGCAACTCGGTATGCTTTATGATACGGACAGAACAAGATGTTGCACAGTGAGTGCTCTCTGCCAAACTTTCCGTGAGTGCGATAGGACGCCGTGACGGCTGTCTACTGTTTGTGCTCATCTCACCTCAAGGCGGTCGTCGAGCCCGACGCTATCCTTCGAGAGGCATGCTCCCTGTGGTGACTGCCCGCCTTCTGTCTGCCATATTTTCTCTACGACCTTTTACAGTGCTCATCATGGAATGCTCAGCATCAGGGACACCACAATCTAGGCATAGCCCGTGCTGCTATCTAGGAGCGGCAACGCGGAAATCGAACTTTTCCGCCATGAGCTGACAAACAACCAGAATCGCTGAGGAATACCATCGGCCTTCACGATCCCTCGTTCTCGTTGAGTGAGGCATTCCGATCATCCTTGGTCCGCTCGATCGTTCGCTACAGAGACTGACATTGACAGCCGTGACCACGGTGACGAGACCATCACTGTCAGCCTCCACGAAACAAGATATAAACCCCTCCGCTCCTGCTCTCCTCCCCAGAAAGATCTTGCCTACCATCGCCCATCATGCTCATCCTATCTGCCCTTCCTCTGCTCACTTACTTCTTGATCGCTCTGGCTGGCATCTACCAGAGCTACCAAGCGGCGTACACCCAGTTCAGGTACCCGTGTCTGGGTGGGCCGTCGATGTATGTCCAACCGACTCGACGGGTGAGTTGCTTGCTTCTTGTCTGTTACAGAACACTCACCGGAATGCAGCGGACACGCTATGAAATCCGCACTGTGGTCTACTCAACGGCTGGCCGGCCGGGTGGACTACGTGCACACCGACGATGGACCTTCCGTCATCGCCGACGACCATTCCTGGTACGCGATCGTCACCGAGGCCGAGGTGCTTGACGAGCGCCTCGACTACGTCTATCGTTCTCGACAACCCAAGGACGACGACACTCACCCCTCGACGACACTCGCGACGCCCACGGTCGAATTCCTCACGTTCCCATCAGCGGCTGCCGAAGAAGACGAGGACGACATGGACCACAACGCATGGCTACAGCCCAATTGGTCCCAGTACATGGAGCACCTTCAGCAACTACAGGAGCTCTACGTCGCCTCGACAGCTTTCCCAGCCGCCACTGTCGATTCGGCATCGATGGTCAACATATCGACGTCGACATCGACATCCATTGATTCTACCCCATCTGCTACGGCCCCACCTCTGTCAACCTCGGAAGGCAAGGTCGAACCGGAGGAGAAGACGCAAACGGGCTGGACAACACATGACAGGTTTTTCTGGCTCGGAGCGGGTCTGGCGGTGCTTGTCATCGTCAGCGTAGAGCTCGCGTGTTCGGAAGACAATGTATGCGGTTTTCCCCGCTCTCCGGTGTCATCGCTTACAATCCTCTCGTGTCAGCCGGAAGCGAACTCCAAAGAAAAGGAGAAGAAGAAGCGCGAGGAAGATGTCACGGAGTCATCGTCGGACACGTCCATAGACGGAGCGTTCTTACCGTCTACAACGTCTACAGCCAAGAGTAGTCGTTCTCTCGTCACCCGATGCCATTCAGCGACTCCTGCCCCCGAGACATCGACACTCATCGCCGACCCTTCTGGTTAATTGAATCGATTTCTATTGAAGGCGAGCGATATTTTTCACGACTATCTCAACCTTCACTCACTAGTCTTCTCGAAGAAGACAAAGCTGACGACCGCCGAAGGTAATCCACGGTCGTCGTCGAGCAGGTGTACGCACGCTGATCTCCAATGTACAAGTAAGCCATTGGTATTGCGCATACATTCGCTCATGCTCACACGTGGTCGATAGGTCATGATGGACAGGAAAGGTGGTGTGACGTTGGGGAGTGGTGACTTCCGTCAGACTTGTGTCTAGGAGAGAAGCATGCAAGCATGGAGTTTAAAGGCGCACGTAACATTGTGATCGTTAAGGATGATTCACGGCTAGCGTCGAACAGGCGTACGCCCGCTGATCTCCAAGTACAAGTAAGCCGTTCATGTGGTTGATGCTTTTCGCTGTGCTCATTGTTGGCTGATAGGCCACGAGGACCAAGGTTGTTGGTGTGATGTTGGGGAGTGGGGTTTTCCATCGGTGACTTGTGAACAGGAGAGAAGCATGCAATGAGTTGAAAGACGTGTAGAACATCGAGGGATGTACTGGACAGGTCCGGTTGTATTTGTATCGCATATTCTCGAATCGGCAGGAATAGAGCATAATAGGCATTAAAGAAGACTTGTCACCGCTGGCGGCGGGGATTTATTCTGTTTCTCTTTATTTTAACTCCTCCTGGCACGTTGGGAACTATTTGCTCATGCCATAGCAGTCCGTGCGGCCATTTGTTGTCAATGTCCAATCGTTCGCTTCGTGCTCGGTTATTTCTATAATGATCGGCCCTCGTGATGGTAAACGAAAGTTATATTTTATACAGTATCGTTACTATTGTACATACAATGCGGACTATTTCAAACAATTTCGATGAAGCAAGATGTTACATGGGTTCTCATTGGGAGCGTCGTATGTAGAGATGATCACCACGAACTAGTATTACCGCTCATATCGTCATGACCTCAAGGCGCTGACCGCCTTAGAGCCTTATTGTAAGACTTCGATTCGACCTTGCTGAATCTGTCGTCGTCGCCCGAACCCTCCACGAACCGCGGTGGCATGTGGCCACCGAGCCCGCTTGCCGCAGCCTGCTGCATCCTGATCTGATTGCGCTGTGTAATCTGACTCTCAAGCTGCTGCCTACGGACCTCACGGGGCTGAGCAAGAGAAACATAAAGCGGCTTCGAGCCGATCATCTTGTTGTTCATCTCCGCGACCGCCTTAGTCGCCTCATCGGGCGAGGAGAAGCAGACGAATCCGAAGCCCTTCGACGTTCCCTTATCGTCGCGCATCACTTTCGCGCTGGTGATGGTACCAAAAGGCTCGAACTCGGCACGTAGCTTGTCGTCGTCGATGTCGTGTTCAAGGTTTTTGATGTAGATATTGACACCCTGGTACTTGCTCAACTTCTTCATCTTCGCTTGCACATAATCATTGAGAAGCTCCGTTTCGCGCTCTTCCTTCTTCTGCGCCCGAGCGACGAAAAGCTTCTTGCCGTTGAACACCGTGTCATGAAGGTTGTCAACAGTCTGCTGAGCCTGTTTGTGAGTCTTGAAGTTCACAAAACCAAATCCGCGACTGTTGCCCTCATCATCACGCTGAATTACAGCTGAGGTGATGTCGCCAAATTGCTTGAACAAGTCAAGGAATTCCTCCTCAGTCGTCTCAGCGTCGATGTTCTTCACATAGATGTTGGTGAAGAGATCGACACCCTGGTACTTTCTCGCCTTCTCCATCTTCGCTTGTTTACGGGACTTGTGAAGCTCCGTTTCGCGCTCATCCTTCTTCTGCGCCCGAGCGACGAAAAGCTTCTTGCCGTTGAACACAGTGTCGTGAAGGGTTTCGACAGCCTGCTGAGCCTCTTCGTGGGTCTCGAAGTTCACGAAACCAAATCCGCGACTGTTGCCCTCGTCATCATGCTGGATCACAGCTGAAGTGATGTTGCCAAATTGCTTGAACAGGTCAAAGAATTTTTCCTCAGTCATCTCAGTGTCAATGTTCTTCACATAGATGTTGGTGAACCGCGCCTTCATCTCCTCGAGCTTGAATTTGCGCTCCTGTATCAATCAATCAACGAGCAGCCAACAAGCTCTCCAGATAATGACGAACCTTGCGGGGTTTGTAGTGGCCGACGTAGACCTTCTTATCGTTCAAGAGCATGCCGTTGACCTCCTTGATGGTAGTCTCAGCAGCTTCGGTTGTCTCATAGTGAACGAAACCATAGCCCTTCGAACGGCCATGCTTATCGGTGGAGATGTCGCACGATAAAAGATTACCGAATGCAGCGAATGTATTACGAAGAGCCTAATCGGCTCGAGTTGGCAACGACTCCAGCGGAGTAACTCGAATATGACTGACCTTGTCATCGATTTGTTCATGGAGGTTCTTGATGAAAACGCCGCCTTGGTGATTCGCGCCGCGGGCAGGATCGCTCTGAGACCACATGATGCGGCTGAACAATACACAAATATTAATCCACGCGGTTTAGATGAGTAGGATCTATGCGTACCAAGCACGCCCTCTGATCAAGGAGTAGTTCAACTGCTCCAAAGCACGCTCGGCGTCTTCAGCGTTGAGATAGGTTACATAGGCATAACCGAGGGAACGACGCGTGACAGCATCGCGGCAAACACGAATGCTATGCAATTGTGAAATCCGGGTCCATCCAAGACAATCCAAGCGACTTACCTCTCGACAGGTCCAACTAAGTCGAATATCTCGAAGAGCATGACCTCGTTCACCGTCGGATCGAGCTCACCAACGTAGAGCGAGGCCGAAGGGGAGGACATCTGAGGAGGAGGAGCCGGGTTGTATGCCGGAGCAGGCGGCATAGCGGCAGGTGCAGGAGGCGGTGCGGGTGCGGCCTCGGAAACCTGAGGGACGGGAGCCTCTTGAGGCTGAGCGACAGAAGGAGATACGGGCATTGGATGTGCTGGGGCTATGTGGGGGACTGTTTACTGCGATGCGGACTTTTCTGCGACTATCGAGACGTTGTAGATTATCACAGGTCAGGATAAGGTGACCCAAAAATTACGCACCCAGGAGGGGGTCGAGGCAACTGCGTTTTGAAAAAAATTGTGTGTTGAAGCTTTGGGCCTGGGAAGAGAAGTGAGTACGAACGGATGCAAGGCGGCGAGAAGGACAGGCACATGAGGCCCACGAGCGGCATGAGGCCGTGATTTCCATCTTGAACACATCACGGTCACAGTCATGACGATGTCGATGCGTGGCAGATATCGAGGGGGGTTCGTTGTGGTTTACACGTAGCGGGAAAACGTTGCATTGGCATTGGCATTATGCACTATATATCACGGGTGATCTGTATGCCAGCATTCGGCTGGCATTTAATGAACAATCTGATTGTGCTTTAGGTGAGAGCACGATGTTCGTCATGCTAGCGGTACGGCCTCTTCGTTGGCGCAGAGTGGTGCATGTGCAAGGCTGTTATTGCTACCAACAGCTACATTGTGCTACATTGCACTATCGTATAGTGAAATTCAGCACAAGCTAGCTTGTGCTTGCTCTTGCCAGTTAGCAACACCTGCTCGGGCCCCGGGGGTCCATCTGTAAAACGCGGCTTCTTCGAAAGAATACCAGTGTTGCCAGAATGGTCCACGTCGGCAGAGCTTAAGTCTTCAACTTGTCTGGCATGGTGCTCACCAAGTCTTCACGGCTTCCGTTTCCAAGAAGATTTCAAACGTGCTGGTATTGGATTTCGAGAGTGGAGAAGTTGTTAGAAATACTCGGATGAAGGGGGGGAATACTGCGCAATAGATTTGGCATGTGAAGTCTTTCTCACACCAGAATGTCTAAGGTGCACTTTCCGATATGGAACAGGGAGAAAATATGCCGAACAAGGTCATTACAGATGGGAGACCCCGCCATATGTATATGCTCCTTGGATGTGCGATCCGCTCTGTGACATGTGTGCGTGAATTCCGCCCGAAAATATCAGTGCCAGCATTCGGATCGGCTGGGACGGACGGAGCATTCTCACCGCCAGTTACGTCCACATCCAAAGTGGTCGTTCGCAGACCGCTGACGTCGCTCAGCGACTCCCGCCTCGGAGACATCGACAGTCGTCGTCGGTCCTTCTGATTGACAGAATCGATTTCTATTCGACGGTGAGCGCAATCTTTTCACGACTATCTCGACCTTCACTCACTACTCTTCTAGAAGAAAACAAAGCTGACGATCATCGAAGACAACCCACTGCGGTTATACGAACGACTTCGATCGCATCTCGGGCAGCAAATAAAAAAGGCGATTTTTGAGGTTCGAGCGGGCGGCGTCTGAATCTTTGAACGGGAGAGTCTGTGCGCATACTACGGATCTGAGGACATCAGTTATGACTAGGCTGTTCTGTCAGCGCACAGGATCGTACCTTTGCGGAACCTTCAGCTCGGAATGTGTGCGTCAGGATCGGAGCACAGGCAACTTTGGAGGCCACCTCTGTGTGCATCCGGATGGGACCATGCGAGCATATAGCGGGGTTCTTCTGACCTAATGCCAAGAGCCGCGGGACCACGAGAGTCACGTATCGAGTTTTCAACGGAACCCGTGCATCTCTCCTCGTGCATGATAGACGTTGACAGTATGAATGACGCCGTATCAATCAGAGAAACCCGCGTTCTCCTCGTCTGTGGTGGACATTGATAGTATGCTCAAGCAGAAGAACGCGTCTTCTCCTCGTGCACGATGGACATGAGAACCCACTTGTACCCGTCATGAGTATACACAGGGTACACAGTGCCAAAGGGGTTATCCGCCATAATATGTTTCTGTAGCTTCAACCTACGAGAGGTGAGTGGTGCAGGCTGTGAGGACATCACACAAGGTGGAAGCGCACATATCATCAAACTCCTGATGATTCAACGGTGTAACAGATTTGCGGAAGAATTGGATGTTCTACGTGGGCTCATTGTAAGCAACAAGTCGAGAAAAGAGAGGTAGAAACCGTACAGCCGCACTCCCATCCTTATGCTTGAGCTCTTCAAATCCTCCAAATCTTTCGTCACGACGAACTACAACAAAGTCGTCGTGCTGAGGGTTATCCAAGTTCATAGTTTGCAGGAGTCAGTGAAGTCCAAGTCAAAGGTGCGCGGATGTGGCGGAGTTTCAACCACCTTCTCCTTCGGCGCTTTATGATTAATACTCATCTATCCTTAATTAACCATGGGAAAGCGTGAGAAGTCCGAAGCGACATTGTCCCAATCGGCAGTGTCGCTCGTCCTTCCTCCCTCGCTGTACCTTGGGCCTCGCTCAGCAGCTTCGTCTAAGGCATTCCTAACGGCGAATTCAGTCTCCCACGTTCTGAACGTCGGTTCAAGTCCCGCTGACAAAGTCGAGGGCGTAACCTACCATCGCATCTCTCTGAGCGACTCTCCAACGTCGTCGATCTCTAAAGTCTGCGATCCAGCCTGCGAGATTATCGATGCTGCCCTCAAATCCAACAATGGCATGGGCAAAGTCCTCATACATTGCTCAGCAGACATCTCGCGCTCTCCTATGATCGTCGCAGCGTATCTCATGAAACGGCACAAGATGTCGTTGAAGGCGGCACTGCGGCAGATCATTCAAGTCCGGCCACAGATCTCGCCCAACCCGGGGTTCCTTCAGCAGCTGAAAGAGTTGGAGATGGAGCTGTTCGGAATTGTGTCATTGGATGTAGATGAGCTTCCGAAGCGCGAAAAGGACCGCTTGGCATTGTTCGAGGAAGCACGTACCGAAGTCCTTGCGGACTGATGTATATAGTACGAAAGAGCTTCGTATTATAATACCCGATTTCCAGTATCACCGATGTATACATGTGTACCAACGATTCAGAATGGTCCTGTTTCTGAGCATTGCTCTCTACTTAAAGCTAGCTCAAATCATTGGGGAACCTTCGTCCGTCGGCGAATAATCAAGAATACTGGAGACTCGTGCACAGCATTAAATAATGATCCAATGATCACTCGGGGGGAGCATGGAATAAAGTGTGCAAATACACTTTCATTAAACAGCCAAGCCCACACAGTGCCATAGCAGACGCATGAAACGGTGCAACGTTTAACTCTTTCAAGAACTCGTCTGCCTACTAACAAGACGGCCACAACCGGTTTGCCGCTCAATCTGACAAAAACAGAAATGATCAAAGCTTCCCGTCGTCGTCCTTCTCTGAACCCTCCGTTGCCTCTGTTCCCTGCCTAAAGGACACATTTTCAGCCATGGCGGCACCAGCTGCCCCTGCAGAGGCCGCTGCACCAGCCACAAATCCGACCGCAGGAAGGGCACCACCCATCGCAACGCTCTGACAGATCGAAAAGAGCGAACCTGCAACGACATTGCCAATAGTGCCCTGCCAGGCAGCCGCGAGGGTGCCTAGATGATTGTATAGGTGAGTAAAGCCTGTTAGGAGTAAGCGAATGAAAAATACAACCAGCAACTGGTCCTGCTGCGCTGAATCCTACGATGCCGAGTGCAACCGGTGCAACGACAGGCGCCAGGACAGCGCCTATGATGGCAGATCCCGCGTAGACGGCGGTTTTGACGCCGACTTCCATCGCTCTGGAGTAAATGAATGAGGATCACTTCTCACATTAACATATTTTCAAGCTCACCGGCAAATGGGACACTTATCAGTGGTATTGCTCATGCACGACTCGTGAAACCCGTGACCACACGAGAACTTTCGAACGCCCCGACGCTGGACGGAGTAATGAAGGGGGTACTTGCATTTGGAACACTGGTCCACCATAATTTTCTCGTAATGCGATATCTGGGAGTTCAGAGGAAGGAGTCAAGATGAGGAGCCTACCGCGTCCGTGGTTTTATGGGCAGCTTGAGCATGCAGCTCATTTTGCGAAGTAGGCTTTGAAGCGATGAAGGAAATCGGACGCACGCACGCCCTGCCACGGAAGGAGCTCATATGGCTTTAAATTTTCCAGTAAAGCAGTGGACCGAGCTTGTGAACTTCGAGGCGGGAAATAAGGAGAAAGCATGTAGGAAAAGAGCATGAAAATCGCGAGCGGCGCGTCCGAACAGCTGTGAAATTGTCGCCACTGGTCACAGGACCGCGTAGTTGGCTGTCAAAAGCCGTTATCTCCAAGGATATCTAGGTTGTCAAAGCGACATGTTGGGTTTCACTGGAAAAACATACCAGCTCGGACATTTTATGCTCGAGATCTAATCGGGATGTAATCTCCCAATATGACAGGCCAATTACCGGATTGGTCATGAACGACGTCATCTCCGGCGATGTTACGCGGTGCGCCGGCAGTTGAGTCGCGGGCATGGGTCGACTATAAAACCGGCTGCTCACGACTGTTTCTTTCACTTTTCTTCTCTAGCTCTATCTCCAACGCAACATTTTTCAGTACCACTTGCTCACAATGTTCGCGGCTTCGAGGACAACAGCTTGTCGAGTACGCGTTGCGCCCTCGGGTACGGTGCCGTTCGGCCCGCGTTGCGTCGCAAGTAGACCGATATCTCTGAGATATCAGTCGACGAATACTGGGAGACCATCGTCTGCAATGGGCACAAGTGTCGCTGCAGGTGTAGCGGGCGGCGGAGTGGTCCTACTCGGAGGTAACCACGATCCTGCACGTACCTATCGCAGCAATCCGACTGAGTTGTGCACATGCAGTTTACGCCTGGTACCACTTCTCCGGTATCAAGACTGCCGTCGACGCGACTAAGGCAGCCCGGGCTTACTACCAGCAGACCAAACGCACCATCGCCGAGAAGGCACCCAAGAATCCGAACGAGATTATCCAGTTCCTGAGGCAGACCACTAAGTCCTACACGGGCATCATCCCGGGAGCATCCTCCTACGTCGACTCTACCTTTGATGCGCTTGATGAACTGCACGAGACACACGGCCCAGAGGTCAACCGCATCCTTCAGCAGGGTTATGACGAGATCAAGTCCATTCTGAGGGAAAAGAATGCGGGCATGAACCCTGAGACGAGCATGAAAGTCATGTCGGTACTGAGCCAGCGCATTGGCGAGCTCGAGGAGTTGGGCAAGAAGGCCGGGCAGGACACCTTCAAGGCGCTTAGCGACCGGTATCCGGAGGTGGGGGAAAAGTTAGGCGGCGGGTACGAGGAACTTCGTCGCATGGCTGAGCAGAGCGGACCAGGAGCGAAGAAGATTATGGATGACACTACCCGACAGGTCAATCTTGAGATGGGTAACTTCAAACCTGCATCATCTGACAATCACGACAGGTCATGGAGATGTTCTCCAAGGGCTTCAATCCTGATAGACTGAACGAAGCTCGCGAGCTCCTGCAATCCAAGACCGATGAGATTCGCAAGCTTGCCAAATCCTCCGGACAGGATGCATGGAACAAGGCCGTGCAAGAAGCTTCGCCATTCCTCGACAAGCTGCCCGAGATCAGGAAGTTACTAGAGAACAATGCGAATGAGTTCGCTGCAGCCGGGGTAGCGCAAGGCAATGCAGCTCAGGAAGTCTTTGCAAGAGTGAAGGAAGCAGCCGAGGGTGACGTACTGAAGAGCAAGGAGAAGATGAAGGAGCTGCAGGAATTCGTGTTGAAGAAAGCTCAGGAGGCGCAGGAACTATGGAGCATGGATCGAGGTTGGAACGGGATGCAGGATTGGTTGACGGCAATTTCAGGCGGCGAGGAGGTATATAACCATCCCTCCTCCATCTATGGCCTTCTACCGTCGTACGTAGCGGATCGCTGATCCTTGCTTGACAGATCCTGCAGAAGACGCCAGATATAGGCGCGTTTACGCAGTTGGCACATCAACGCGGCGAGGATGCGCGCAAGCTGACCAAAGAGACGTATGATGATATCGTGAAGGTGCTGGAGGAGAAAGGCAGGAAAGCAAAGCAGCTCGCAGAGAGGACGCGGCAGGAGACGAAACAGAAGCCGTCATGAGGTCGGCGTCTATGTGAGTCGGCAACCACAGCAATTGGGTAATCTGGGTCGGTTTGGATTGTATTAGCAGGGCGCTGAAAGGAAGGCATATCCTTGACATAGTTTCGTGTATCACCCCAACTGTTTAGCTTCGAGCGTTTCAGCTCTATGGACAGCCATGATCGTTTCGAGCACATCGATTGTCATCTCGGCCTTCACTCTGCGAGCTCTGTTCCACGGGATTAAATACTCTCTGGTATTATTGATCTAGAAAGCTCATAGACTATTTGTGCAGAAGCATCGTCTGTTAGTCTAGTGATGCTGCCGGGGCCCGGGATCAGGTGGTTCAAACAAGAAATCCACGACGTTGCCATGCATAGTCTGGTGTGAATCCAGCGAGGGCATGAGAAGCAGACAATCAAAGTATTCTAGAGACATCGACAGCAACAAATCGACTGTAAGGAGCTGCTGGATGCGCACAGTCGATGCTATCACACTGTCTAGCGAGAATCGGCAGCTGAACATCCCGAATACTCGTTCTTGAAGAGGTCCGAGACATTTAGAGTGCCATTCAGTTCAGGTACGAGCCTCATGAAAGCTGAGATAAAGGCTGAAAGCAACCAGATCGCGCTTTGAGCGAAAACCCTCGTAGAAGGAGGAAGCAGGAAGACCGCAGATCAAGCGCTCGCTGAGCGTCCGGAGATTCACGCGACCCACGTGACTTGGCCGCGGTTGCCACAGACGCGTTTGTGTTCCGACTCGTATATCAGAATGTCAGTTAAGGTTTGTAGGTATACCTATCGAGGGCATGATTGCCGCGTCATGCTTTCGCATTCAAACCCATAACTAGAGGCACTCAGATTTAGCACGATGCCGCTCCTCCCTCCGATTAGAACTCTGCCCGTATGGCGCATGGCGAGAAAGCCACCCCTGCTCAAAGCGGGGTTCGGCAGACGCGTTCCTCCTCGCTCTGCTTCCTCTTCACTACCGAAAGGTATATGTCTACCTCGAGCGCATATATGGGCCCGTTATGCAGCTCTGCTCATTGAGCCCACTCTACGCGGGATCGGTAAGATGGCATTCTTCGTTGGCGGAGGTACGTCGCTTCGTTTTTCACTCCTGTTACTATCTTATAACGCACATCGAACAGCATATGCGCTCTACCATTTTTCCGGAGTCAAGGACTTGGTGAAGGGCACAAGTCAGGTGATGGCTGACATCGACCAGGCGTGCCGCTCCATCGAAGGCACGGTAAAGCAGGCAGAGAAAAAAGTAGCGGGCGCGGTAGAGAAGTTCCCTGAAATCATCGCTGGTGCAGAGAAAGATGTTTTTGCAGCCGTTAAGGAGGTGCAGAAGTACGTAGGCCCGATCGGAAAGCATGTGGAAGCAGAAGCTTTGAAGGCCTCAACGGAGGTGGGGAAGCATTTGACTGCTTTATGGAAGACGGTCACGGGAGGAGGGTTCGATGGCTTGAAGGATAGAAACGAGGACAACGGCGGAAACGGGGATGTGGCTCATGTCGTTGCTGCTGCTGTAGATGTCGTCTCCACGACTGAGAAGTAGTTTGATACGCGGCGGAGATGAATCGTTGGAAATGTAGTGACTGAAGAGCTTCCAAGTTTGTATCGAGGCCATTTCGTTAAGACAGTGTTTCAATGATACTATTGACAGACATCTCGTGCAGCAATCAGGACTGCGTAATACAGAATTGCACAGGTTGTTACGCTACAATACGCCACTTGAGTAGGAAGGTTAGATGGAGACTGCAAGAACTCAGTCGTCGAGAAGTCCTTTCGATCCGCTGATTCATTCGAGTGGAGCGGCTACGGAAACCATGATTGGCATTCACATATGTGCCACTATTATTACTACGTCTACAACAGAATACTACACGGCAGTCACGCGGATGCGATGACGTCGAAAGGACAAAGCTAACTCAAACTCGCATCGAGATCTAGGCACCCACAGTTCTTGGGCGCACCGCCAATAAATGACCTGACTACACACGAGGTAATAAGTGAAAGCCGACCATGTCGAGATGTTGCAATTCTCTTACCGATGCTCGTGGTTGCAGACATCCTAATGACCGTGACGCGCACGCAGCTCACGCAGCGCCTGTTCCGCCGCTTGATCCGTGGCTTGACCCTTGTTTGAGTTTGTGGCTCTTCCATATTCGACGTTGCGAACTTCGAGATTGTGTTGTCAGCACATGCACCGCTATATTGATCAATTACCTACTCTTGGCTATAACGGTCCATGTCATAGACCGCCCTGCTCCAGAAAACGAAACGTCCCAATCCAAGACGTTCGTGCTACCGTAGTTTCTCTGCAGCCAGTTGTTGAGGTGCATGCGACCTTCTACAAAGGGTATATATGAGCTTGAGGACAATACATTCCAAAGTCCATTTCCTTACCAGACATCGTGCTCCTTGAGTATTGTAAGCAGTGATTTTTGTAGGGATCGATGCGAGTTCTACTATGCTGCCATCCCAGCAGCGAGTTTTATATAATGAACAGACACTCGCAACCACCTGAGCAGTAGGCATATAGCACGACAGCTATAAACCCGGAGGTCCACTGTATCTGTCATATCTTGCTGCGATCCATACCGGTTGATTGGAAGAGAGAGGTATGACCACCTCCGAGATGAACTTCCACAAACACCAAGGGACAGATTGTGGATAACTATGTGTGGTTTGCGGGGTAGTCGACGGCCACGACTGGCGAGCCGCCTGCACGACAATATTATTGTCAACTATCAGGATGGAGAAATTGACGGAGTGGCACAAGGACAATTACTGGTAACCCGAGTGACACAGTGAATGAAAAGAGCCTTGAAGCTAGCGACGCACCATCAGGTAGAGGCACGATCTTTGACTCGATGCTAATGTGCGATGCGGAACAGTAGTGGGCAGCAGGGTATATACGAACCAGAAGCATCCAGGTACGGCTGTCATGCCTTCATTGTTCTTCCTTCGTTACGTCAGAGGGTGGAAATAGCGAGGTCCTACTGATATGAGATGCCAAAACTCCTGATTTCTCGATATTCATCATACACACGGCAAGAATGTTCGGGGATCCTCGCAACACCGAGCTCGAGCAAGGTTCCGAAAGGTTTGTCAATGTGCACGGCAGAACGAGCATCTTGTCATGGCTGGCGCTCCGGCATGCTGCCACGAACATGAAGAGGTCCCCGATATTCAATCAATTCCACGGAGGCCAACCTTGCGCACCAACTAACCACATGCAGATGGACAGCGGATTGGGCGGTTAACCAGTGAAAAATGCTAGGTCCGGACTCATCGGAAGGTTGGCTCGTCCGGCGAGCCACACCCACTCACTTGCATATGAGAGTGGACGTTATCTCTTCCTTTATCTTGGCGTCATGTACTAAAGGCTGGTGATTGCAGCTTACTTTCGAAAACAAAAATTAAGTCATATTTATCCAATGTGGTACTCCGAGAACTCACAGGCATGATATCTGCTCCGGCGCTGTACGATGGATGTAAATAAGTCCTGATAATCATACAATTCGCGTCAGCCTGCGATGCGCGCCAATGAGTGGATCAAAAGGTCAATCAGATTCAAATCAATGTCCAGGACCACCGGAAGATGGAAGACCACAGTAGACCGGAGCGCGGAAGCCATGCCGACCCCGTAATGCGGAACCGAAACACCATCATTTGCATGGAGACCATGGCCTAAGAGCTCGATGCGGTAGAGAATGATTGACAGGCCCAGGGGTATCAGATATTCCGCAAGAACGTTGCAATTCTAAGAGAGCCCGTGTGAATGACACCCGGCCTTGAGCCTGTAGAAAATGAAGATCGGAGTTGTAACGAGACGAAGGACGGACTATAATCGGAAAGTATGAAACGGGGCGCATTGGCCATGGAGTATCATCTCTAATCGCGTGCTGTCCCTGTCGCACGTCGTTGAACGAGATTTGCAACTGAGCTCCTGAGGCAGTCTCTATTAGATTAGACCTGCGAGACCGTTCATTCAGCCGATCATAAATCTTCCTTCGCTCGAAGGAAAGTGACGAGAAGGTGTAGAAAGTCAAAACTGTACTCGTACCTGGAAATAAGGCCTAACGCCCGCAGTTGCCGGAAGTTTGACCAGTGGAACGCGTTGCGCCGAAACCAGCGTGCACTGTTCGTGAGTCTCCAGCACACACTTCGTGACACACGGGAAGTACATGAGTTTCACGCTTCATAACAAAAACTTGCTTGAGTTGGTGACAGAGAAGGCCTTCACCGTCTATATGGACAAGAGAGTATTGCTCAGAGATCGACGAGGTAGGCGGGCGCTTGTCCACGGCGTCCGGAGCCGCATCAGTGTCTCTGAACGGAGATCACACCTCAGTCACTATTCATGCCAGAGACCGGACGATCCTAGGGGAGACACAGAGAAAAAATCGATGGTGTCCGGATGGCGTACAAGAGCTGCCAATAACAGACGGCATTGATCGCGGGGATGTTGCGCTCACTATCTGTCTATCACAGATACTGAGTCCTGACATCAGGTCAGCCAGAGGTCAGCGTGATGCACGTCGATACAATTGAGCAGTCAAGGCTCATTTTGGTCAGTTGCCCCAACATGCGAGTACTATATATGTGCAATGATTTGAAGGTTACCCTGCGACGTGAGAGCCTCGTTAGCAGCCACGTCAAGACGACGTCGCGGGATATTGGACGTACCTGCGCGGAGCAGGTAGGATGAATAGAGCCATTGGGCGGATCGCCTAGTCATCGTAAACCCAACTTCATAGCATGGAGGCAAGCTTGAGGCTCAGCGGAAAGCAGGGTAGAGCTGAGTCCATGTGGCACATGTAGACGTTCGGCGCTATATTAGTATGAACGCGGCCATGTGATGAGTGCATCAGCTGCGGTGCGCGCGTATCACGGTCAAACTAATGACGCAAAATGAACGTCATAGTGCGCTTGAAAGTTTAGGCACGCACACAAGACAGCGCTGTTTCGCTTTTCACCCGATCAGAGCCTCTCCTGCATTTTTGGACCTCGAGAAAATGGCCAGGGACAACAAAGCTGCCTTGAAGTTTAACGGTGCTGGATCTCATGCTGTCCTGAATCAGCCCATAATGTCACGAAACACCCCGACCGAGCAGGTCCTCTTCGCTGTTCTTCGATCTGGTATTTCCGTCGGGGTGCTCTTTGACACTCAACTACGTGCCTTTTCGCGTCGCACGGATGCTGGCCAGGTGGATACTCTCCGTGCCGTCTTTGCCAACAGTACAGCGCTCAAGAACGCATCAGAATACTTTTCTCGTCGTACATTCTCCTTTTCCGATCGCAGTGGTCAAGAACCTGATGCGTATGATTTAGTGCTCTCGACCGAGTGGGCCGACATCGAGTCGTCGGATTCTGAAGTGGAATATGATTACGAATCGGACAGTGACCTTGAAGATACGGATGATGGAGAGGATGTCAATGATTATGTTTTCGATGAGCTTCCATTCGCAATGCGCAGCGCTCTGGCAGCAGATGACGAGAAGTCCGAATCGACGAAGTCAGCGGACGAAGATGTGGATGACGCTTTTACTCTATCTAAGGTTGGAAGGACCAAAGTTTCTTTTCCGTTGAGGCACCTTACCAAAGACGGCTACCTCGTCACAGCTTGATGCAACGCTCATGACAAGCTCGACAGCTGAGGTCTCGTGCAATATCGCTCAGATCACCCGAACTCTCCCTGCCGTGGCGCACAAGACGTGAGTATCATATTCGGCCCTAGCATGTCATGATTTACGCTCCATGATCATCAGTTTGGAAGCATTCGTTTACTATACGATGACTGGCAAGATTGAATTCGCGCCTCTCAAATCCCAGCCTCCGTCTGTACGTAGGGAGAAAGCGCAAGCTGAAAGAAAACCGTTCGATCCTCCCTTGTGCTCGCCTAAATCAATGTATCGATTTGCTCATATGGTATGAGATCTCTATGCATCATTCCCATCTGCTCATGAGATCAGTGCGAGATGGACCAGCTGAAGAACCTCGCCTTGAAAGACATCGAATCCAAGTTATCCGTGGACAACATCCTCGAGGAATTATTCTCGAGGCTGACATGCAGGTGAACTAAGGATTAGATCAGGCAACTTCATGCACTCATCAATGCCTACGACAGATATCTTGAATTGCAGAAATTGGAGGTATCATACCTTCTCAAAAACCTCTCAGCGAACTTGATGTCCTTCATACCGGGTTGGATCGCAAAAGTAGCTTCAGGAGAGTTAGGTCCAATGGGCGGTGACGTTCTCGCTATCTTGTTCGAGAAGCTCGCGGAGAAAGTGATCAGTCTCAATGATAAACCCGCGCTCAAGTGCAGGTATTGCTACAGCACCAATTGCAATCGCCGCTGCCATAATTGTGGACGTAACTTCTAGACGAGTAAAGACTGTACGTATGTGAGCGTAAGCTGGTTGTGTCCTTTTCTGGCCGAAATGTCCCATAGATTCGAGTGGCCCTTGTTGCGTCCATGTTGTTGCGCTGTGCTCTGCTTTGTCGAATGCTTTATTTGGACATAGCGTCCGCTGTAACCTAGTATGTTTCGAAGTTGAATATTACGCCACTCAACCCTTTCAGGTCGTTGCCGGGCAGACACACCATCTTCTGGTGTTACAGCGATCCGGGCATACTGGGTACTCGGCTAGTCGGGCGTTCCTGTACGATGCCCGTGTTGCGGTGGTCCATCACACCGTGCGGTCTGGGGTGCACAAGGGTGTCGCCGTGAGGTAGATGTCGCGATGCACTGAGACAATCGACGGACTAATGAATGAAACCTCATCAGGGTTTAAAGTTTGCCATGACGTGGCGCAGGAACCGTATCTCCGGGTGCGGGTGCAATACAAATTGCTGGAGGACAAGTTGATCATGGTGCTGTTGAGATCTGTGGATCAGCAGTTGTGTCTGCTTCCACGAACGCGTCAGTTACTAGTACGTGCATAATCAACGCAAGAAATTACCCTTTGTAGTTTACACATCGCGCCTGTATCTGACCCGTATACAGGTCAGAACGAATGATATCGCTATCTTTATGAATATCAACTGCGATTCGACACACGGAGACCCCAAACTTAGATTATCACATGTGTGTTATTCTGGGACATCTCCATTCTAAGCATCTGCAACCGAAGCTGATCCGGAACAACGCTCCCCCCGGATTCAAATATTCACTGTATTGAGAAAGACACATTGCCACAGCAGTAGGCCGAGAATTAAGCGACTCACATCGACCGCGTAATATTCCTAATCGTGCCAACAAAGTAGCGAGATTGACGACGATCGGATCAATTAAGTGGATGACGCTCATGCGAATTACCCTGAATCGACCTACCGCGTTAGTTCGCGGCTCATACCGACCAACGCACCGGCGGTGGCAAAGATAACTCCAGGGTGGGAACATCAGTTCCAACTCGCATCTGCGTGGAGTAGAAACGCGGGGATGTCGGAAATCTGACGGACATTGTGGTATGTCACTAGATTTTGATGAGCAGGTGCACGCAATCGCATTGTCGTGTTGATGGTTTCAAACTTCTATACAGGCCCGGACAATCATCTTCAGGCAATCTTCATGCAGAGCGCCTTGACGTGAATTATCAGTTCGAGCGTCTCAAAGAACGCCCATACTTGGACCGTCCTGATGTCCATTAAATTCTAGTGCTATCTGTTCCGCAGTTTTGATGGGCTCATTGTAGGACCAGCAATTGATCAACTAGCAGGGCAGCCATGGAGGCAATGCCTGAATGAAACGTCGATCAGGCGCAACTTGGGCCGCCGGACGCTAAGTATGTCTTGCTGACTTGTTGAACATTACTGTTTCAAAGCATCGCTCCCATGGATATTGTGCTGATATAAGAAAGAGATAAGGTGCCGTGTACGGCACAGCCTTCTGCATAGTGACTTTTGTTTTGTACATTTATTTTTATACCGCGCCATGCGCCGCGGTTAGTAGGGAGTAATACACAGAGGTAGGCATAGTGACTTGCCTGCCCACGATGCATGTGTCCTGGTAGTCCAACAGCGTACGCGACAGTGCATGACGATCAATATCTCTGGTCTGTCACACTGGCAGACATCGGCACCGAAGGAGAGCTTGACTCATGTACAGCATGTTACGACAGCACGGTGTAGGTGATGTTAGCTACTTGGGTACTTCGCCAGGAACGGCATCACGAGCGGGCATAGCACAAGCGCATTGTACAGTATCGAAGACTTGCGCACACTGTGACCGTGTCCAGGACTACTTTCGCTCGTCGCGAGCTTTTGTGAACGTGGTTCTTCATCATCTGGCTTTGATATAGAACCAATACTTACTCAGAGTGCGACCACGATTATTCAAGAAGCGCCAAGTCTGTAAGGCATTGATACGTGAGAGTGCGATAGGGCTGATGAGATACAGCACTGAATGAACATTGTGCTGAATATACTAAGCCGCGAAACGAATTATGTATGGATAGAATACGGCATGCACAGTTACGGAACGATATTGAGACCTTCTCTGAGGTTACGTGCATCGTATATGTTGCGAGGTGCACTGACTGTTCTGTAAGTAATGTTAACAGTGGTTTATTTGAGCAACGTGATGCTGGTTCTCACCTGGGCATCCAAGTTACAGGCATCTGGACTAACCCCGCAGAACAAGCAACGTCTGCGTTGCCGCTCGGTCCATAGCCTCACCCTTGTTCGCGCTAGTGCCAGTTCCATGTTCTACACCGTTTACTTGGCACAGTTATGATCAGCAGTTTGAACACTGTTCCATCGCTTAGCAACGCACTGTATGCCTTTGCAGTGAACGCAATATTACGTCCAGAACCTGTTTTGGTCGTCTCCCAGACTAGTGAATTCATGAGACCATTGCGTTGGAGATGATTATTGAGCTGCTGGCGCGGTCCTGAGTAGGGATTAATGAACGAGAGACACAATGTATAAGAAACCGCTTCCTACCATGCTCGTTGGAGGACATGCTTATTCGAAGAACGGTGATTCGACGGATTCGATTGTAGCAGGGAATGCTGGAACTCCTCTGGCAGCATCCTAATAACACATTTATACGACCAGTAGACGCACCCTCAACCACTGGCGCGTTAAGCGTAGAGCAAGACATCCACAGACCCGGCGGTCGACTGGACACACTGTATGTCGCTGTGGCATGGCTCAGGCTGGTTGGGAACAACGTATAGACATGATCATCTCCGAGACAAAAGACGGGAAATGCCAGAGGACACATTACGGATAGCTCTATGTGGTCTGCGGGCTGTTGATCGCGACCAACTAGCCGCCTGAATGGTGGGGTCATTGACAGTTGTCAGGATAGACAGCAATGGAGGTGGACTAATTTTCTGGTAATCCGTGTGGCATCGTGAGTGAATTGAACCTGGACGGATCGACGCACCATCAGACAGCGGCACGGTCATTGAGGCGATAGTGATCTGCGATACGCTGGTAGCAGGGTTTAACAACATATACCATTAAAATGCTTCATGGAACGGCTTCCGTGCTGATACGTGTCTCACTTCACCGCACATGAGGTGGAAATTCGCCACAAATTGGAAATGCTATGGGCGTCATCCACAAACGTCAGCATTCTTTCGACATTTGTCGTAGACGCAGAAAAGGGATTCGAGTGTCTCCACAGCGTCAAATTGGATGCAGAATGAAGGTCAAACCGCTCGTCGACATCTACGCTGAAACAAGGACCCACCAGCATGGCATCCACTCCGGTAATATAAAACGAACGTACCGGGTTCCCGGTGTTTAGATAGACGTGGTTCAGCTACATGAACGCCAATCTTACGCGCCAGTGATTAATGTGTGGATAGACAGCGGATTGGGCAATTAGTCAGAGGTAAATGCCGGTTCCGAGGTCATCGGGGGTGGACCTCCCGCCCAGGCGCCATATCCCACTCACGTTTGTAACCAGTGCAGCTGTTGTCCCTTCATTTCTCTCGCTGCGTCGCATGCTAGGCTGGTATCCGAGACACGTTAGGAACAATAAGCAGCCTGATCGCGGTTTCACGATATCCGTCGTGCAAACACACAACAAACACTGCAAACCGTAGATCAAAGCGCGCCCAATTCAACGTGTACGTAGCAACTCACCAGTGCGGCATCCACTCTGGTATTCAATCAAAGGATTCCAGTGTGTCGATGTCCAGATAGACTTCGTCTGTCCCGCAATTACCGATCTTGTGCGTCAGCGGACGACGGGCGGGTATCCCGTGGATAGAGTTGAGAGACACAGATCCAAAATCCGGGTACAAGGTGATCGGAAGGTCGAGCCAAGGTATGGATCGTATGAAAGTTAGTATGCATGATCAAGCTCGTAGCTGATAAGCAAGCGCTGGACGGCGTTCTTTCGTAGATCTCGTTTGCGCAGCGGACGATCCAGACAGTCTGTTTGAGAAAACTCGTATAGACTGTACAAGAGTTCTTCATGGCTCTACGAGTGTGCCTTCTGTAAACCTCAAGCGGCCACTAGCACGACAGCGGGGAAGGGGGAAAGGCGGCACCACTGCGCAGGAATCTCACGAGGACGGGAGCGAGGGTGGCGACGCGCGTCGGCGGTGGCGGGGGCGGCGCAGTATGTTGGTTTGTTCAGCGGCCAGCCACCGCCCACCGATGCCGTGATGCCGAACTGAACTCAGCCGATGGCGGGCCGCCCGTGGTTTTTAATATTCACACGTTCTGCCCCGAGCGCCGAAAAAGGAAGTTGGGTAGGCGTGAACGAGCGCGTGTTCTACGACTCGTGCGTCTATCACTGTTACAAGTTCACTATCCCGCCGCTTTGTAATGCGTGAAAGGTCTGTTCTGCAGCTGACTCCATTGCAACACCTTTGTTAGGATCGACCCCTCTTCCGTGTTCGATATTCTTGACTGTGAGAGCCCTGTCATCAGCTATTGTGAACCATCCCGGGATAGGCGGAGAACCTACTTAACGCAACTGCTGTCCAGGTGATGGAACTATCCGAACCGCACGAAATTGTCTTCCAGCTTATGTTGATCCTGTTATTATTTGATTGAAAGAGAGTGTTCAACTTCGTACGCCAGTCTGAAGGGTCATCTGTGAGCCTGAGAGCGGCCGGGAAGTAATGAAGTATATCACGCACAACCAGACATGGCTGGTCGAGAGGCTTGCTGAGGATGTTCTGGCTACTCTGTCCGCAAAAAATTCTGACGATGCCTCCGAGACACACAGTAATTCTTTTATAGCAGAGAATGAATACTTGCTTGAGGAAGTTCATACAGCACGATATCCAGATACCTAGATATCCAACATCAGCAGCATGGATCTCATCATGCGGGCAGCAACGTCACTATCTTTTAGACAACGAACGGGGACTCTTTACATATAGATTGCGGATATCCGCATGTGCTTGAGCGGAGTACTCCACGAGTATGAATATCAAGATATGCGAAGGATGAAGTCGTTGTCGGGTGTGCGGCGTCGTGTGTCAATTTTGCAGTGAATCGACCGACATGTCTTCAAATAATGACACGATCTTCTCCTTGATAAACATATGCAGCACAGACTGGCTTAAACACAGGGAGGCTGGTTTGGGTGATAGTAATTGCATCTTACAGCATGGACTGCCTCCAACTAGATTCGAAAATGATTAATTGAACATGCCACAGACGACATACAGTCCGCCTCATCGCCGGTGGAGTATCGTGCAATTGGAGCATGAGTCGTGGTATTCAAGTTGGATCATCTGGCGTACACTGCTGAAAAATCTCACATAGCAGTCACAGCAGCATCGTGTCTCAGGATGGCACAACACGACTAGATCTCCATGCGACGCCGCATGGCGAACTCACATAGGGGAAGCAATATAGCCACGTCGTATTTCCTGGGAAGCGGAACTATGTGTAGCGCTAATTCTGAGAGTGTTGGTCTGTGTCCATGAAGCTCGGCATGGTGTGGCACTGGTAGTAAGGTTCGGCCCGCTATTGGTATTGAACGCGGCCACGTGATGAGCGCGTCTGTGGCGACATGAGGCTTCCGAGTCCCTACTACATGTAGGGCTTCAGCTCTGAAATATGGTGCAACATCCTTTCCCTAGTATGAAATAAAATATAGTACCAGTTTTATTAAGTGGCACGAGCAGGAAGAGAGATGATCGTCCGAGTCTGATAGAAATCCGGCTTAATACTATTATCGGTAGTGTGTCCCGTTCCGTCAGCCTTCACAAATACTTCGGAGTTGCATACCGCAAGAGTCAGACATAATGTAAATGTTGCTTCTGCAGCAATTATACCCCTGTTGCTCACGACGCGCTCCGGAGTCGATCGTGAAAGGACACAGCTTCCAGATCTATGACTTTCAAAATTTAGCGCAAATATACCTTCCTTTGACTCGACAATTGAATACTGAGGCCTAGTGATTAGGTTCTCTAGTTCATGAGTTATTCCATCGGCGCCTGACATTATGCAGCCTCCACCCGTCTCAACTCAACGTCACCCTTGAGAATGACGCCATTTCATGTAGTGTATTAGGCTCTATGGTGCAGTGCCTGGCTACCGATCAATTGAGTCTGTGTGTAGTAGTTGCTGAAGCTAGTATACGTCAATTTCTGTGTTTCGTTCAGCCTGAAACTAGTAAGTAGTCCCTCCCGGCGATGACGGCAACTACATTGCCGCGTGAGTTCATAAGATAAGGCCTTTCGAACAAAATGTTTGCAACACGACTTGAAATTAATGTGACACAATTGACAACGATGATGTTTGCAGGTGCCATCCCTGATGATTGTCCTGGCTTTCACAGCACCTCTGTTATGCTTACTTACGAACTTCTTTAGGCAGAAGCCTACGTCTCAAAGTAATTGCCGCCGGCGTCTTTGGCGTGAGAATATCAACGAGTGATCGTCGGCATAGCATACAACGCGACGAGGACATTCTGTTTCGCTGCCGCCCTCTCTGCCCTCTCTCTCTCACACACACACAGCGAGGCTAATTCTCTACGTCATGGTTTTCAAGACCGTCACAGGCAAGAAAACTGTGCGGTCTCAGGACGACGGTACACCGCCTCCTGGAGCCATTGAACCTATTGTGCCTCGAGGCGCCTCTGTAGATGAAATTCTCTTCGCCGTCCTCAATTTTGGCATTTCCAACGGCATGCTATTCGATGCAGAACTTCATGCATATTCCAATCGCACTGCCTCTGGGACAGTAGATGGGCTTCTTCCTGTTTACGCGAATAGTGTTGCATTGAAAAATGCATCGGAATACTTTGCTCGATGTACGTCTCTAACACTCGACTTGGCCTCACATTATTGTAATACATGGCATCACAGTGCTCTCTGCGGATTGGGCTGATAGAGCATCTGTGGATGGCGAGGAATACGACTATGCATCTGACAGCGATCTGGAAGACGTGGATGAATCGGAGGGTGATATGGACGGCGTTTCATCCAAGCCATTCCAACGACTCGCAACGCATTCAAGCGCCAGCGTCCAAGAACGCAAGCCATTGAAAGACAACCATGACAATGGCGTTGCCTCGCTTGAGGCTGCTCAAGCGAGTCTTAATTTCCCCATCAATGTCGGATCTGATGAACTTGAATAGCGTACAGAGTTCATCATCTCTTTCAGCTCAAGAGTCTCCAATGGATGCAAAGACGTCAGGCTCTGCGGATCACGGACGAATTCGACGCATTCTTCCCGCGGTGGCTTACAAAACGTATGTGCATGATACGCGTGGCTGTCATGGACCTCTTCAAACCTCACTACTCGCACAGTTTGAAGGCCTTCGCATTCTACACATTGACCAAGAAAGTTGACTTTGCACCATTGCGCTCGCAACCTACGTCAATACGTCGAGAGAAGGCCAGTACGCATAGAATGGCCTACGATAGTCCTCAGTGCTCTCCCAAATCGATGTATCGGTTCGCCCATATGGTAAGATATTTGATCACGCTCGTTTTGCTGTGATTGAATGCTCGTTGCAGTGCGAAATTAAGGAGCTGAAAGAGCTTGCTCTGGAGGACATCAAGTCAAAGTTGTCTCCAGATAACATTCTGGAGGAGCTTTTCTCAACACTGACGTCGAGGTGAGATTGTTCCTTTGGCAGCTTCTGCACATTCACATGGCGTAGATATCCTGAAGTTCAGAAAGCCGAAGTGGCATACTTGCTCGACAATGGCTTAACGCCTGATGTCATTGCAGCTATGCCAGACTGGATTGCGAAAGTGGCCGCAGGCGAATTAGGTCCACTAAGCGGTGACGTTCTCGCCATACTGTTCGAGAAGCTGGCGGCAACTCGCGTGCCATTCGTCTGTCGTCATTGTTCTGGCACTAGTTTCAAAAAGGAATGCAGTGACTGCGGACGGTGGAACTAGGATGTTAATTTGGTAGGCTGCCAATTGCTTTCACTAGTCTGGCTCACAGAGATCGTAGGTTTCCTTGCCACCACTTTATATGTGGGATTGATTGAAAGGCTGATGTTTGTACAATTCTTGACATATCAACACCAAATACAGACTTGATCAATGCACGGCAGTACGTTATTGCTCTCCATTTCAGTTTCATGTCCACCAATCAGCCGAGGCTTTGCCTGTAGCAATTATTGAGGGTACCCGCGTCACAGGTCGATGTCGGCCTGCAGCTGCTCCGATCAGAGGCACGATGCAAGGCTTTAGAAGTGTCTTTGAGTGGGAACCCATGGCACACGGCGACAATCGTGCGCCAAACGACTCTCGACGAGACTCGTTGAATGGCCACAACCATTGCCTCGAAACTAGTATTGCTTACATAAAAAGCAAGTGCTGTCTGGGGTTTAATAGAAAATTGGACAGCGGGATAGCGGCGCATTAATTGACCAAATGGGTGCAGAAGCCTACGAACGAGAATCGCGGACGATGAGGACGGTGGTCTTGAAACAGACTCGTTGCCACGAAATGAACGCTCCCTTTTGGTGAAATCAACAAACGTAGCATGGCGAGGTGCGAGAGGACTCCCATCGATACGTACTCAGACTCTTGTGAGATATGAGTAGTACTAGACCGTTGCATATGAGCGCTAGAGTCACTTACCGTGAGGAACTTGATGATGTTCAATGCAACGCACTGAAGCAAATCGGCAGCAAGAACATTCTTGCCAAGATGTCATGCTAGCTATACGGTGCAACACGAACCATTAAATTACAAACTGATCATAGCGCTTTCAAGCTCTCGCGATCAGCGGCTGTGTTGCTGGAGTCGGTGTACATGTCACTGACGACTACGTTCAACATGCACGATCAACACATGATATTGCTCGTATAAACTTCAAGCACTGCACCTGTCTCGGCGTATACCCGATGTCAGAAATAAGGATATCACTGCTATATGACTATCAGCAAAGACTGGCACGCGGATCATATCCTGAAACTTCAAGCTTTCAAGCGCCAAAAGTGTGGAACTTTGGACGTCTGCATTTTAGTGGCTGTCATCGAAACCACTCCGGAACAAGGCTCATCCCGGCGCAGCACTGGAGTAGACGTCTCAAGCGCTACATGCCGTTCCAGCAGTTACGGTAGACTGCAATAAAAAAAAGCATAGCATGACGAAGTCTACGTGGTATTTTTATTCGTGCCAACAACTCAGTGGGACCAATGATCCATAAATTGCGGTGCTCCGATGATTGGGTCATTGAAGTATGGGTGCTCGTACGAATGCCACAAATCTATCTACAGTCCTGGTCTGCGTTTTACATTGACCGATGCAGTGGCCAAGGTGATCCAGGGTTCACGATGTCGGTTCCACCTCGCATCTCCGCGGAATAGAAATCAGGCTTTCTGACAGACATCATGGTGCCCACATGGGGGATTTTGCACTGCAATTGTTTAATGGGTCCTTTCCGTGTCAGACGACATGCGAACGCATTAGGAACTGAAACAAAGGTAAATGAATTGTATGTATATGCCGCACGGCACCAGTTCTCTGATATCAATCGCATAGACTTCCGTTCGCCCCTTGTGTCCGTGGAAGTCCTCAAATTTCAGAATAGGTGGTGCACCGCCTTTTTCCAACGGAGGTAGCAAGACGACACAGAAGATGGCCTTCGGAGATTTGAGACTCGCTGACGTCTGCACAAATGGATTGCGATTATCTGTGATGCCGACACCACAAGGTAGTAGCCTTCAGTGTTAAAACGAGCAACGAACAGGACGAGCAGGACAGCCCAGCGCGGTTGACATAGCCATATCTACAGATCACCGTCAGAACGTACGGCAGGAGCAACATGCCTGGTATGTCACCGACTCAACGAGCACTAACCTTGCGAGCACGCCCATAATTGCATTGACATGATGGCGTCTCTAGACTTTCGTATGGATCTGAATAATTGGCTTCAGGCCAACTCCATACCCAGCGCTTTGACTTGGAAGATCAGCTCAAGGGGCCCGAAGCATGCCCCTACTTGGATCGCAGTCGCCTACAGTGAGCGTAATCCTGATGCCCATTGATAATCTGACTTTATCTGTTCCCAGTTGACGAGATCGAGTACGGAGCAGGCAGCAGGGCAACTAAGGGCGCCGCAATGGAGGTGGCAGCTGAACAAACGCTGAGAGCTCTCAAGCGCAAGGCTTCTGGACGTTAAGCACGTTTTCCTGAGCTGTATGTCTATTACTGTTTCTAACCATCATTTCAGACCACCATTTCAGTACAGATTGTACTGATACAGAATACAGCACGTACGGTAAAAACGGCAGCTATTTTACCGTGACTTTGCCGGTATTGTTCAAGTTTTTTCCATAGACTGCCTTTCGCTACCTATGTAAGTTTGCAGAAACATATGCAATGTCATGGTTTAGAGCCTTCTATGCAGTGACCTACTTGTGTCTTTCGGTATATCAATAGCGCCTTTGACTGTCATCAGGCGTGACAGTACTTGGCGGTCAATATCTCCGATCTGCCACAGGCGCCGGCACTCAAAGAAAAGAAAGGTTAGGATGAGGCGTGCTGATATAGCATGGTGTAGTGGACGTAAACGACTCGGCCCCTTCGCCGGAAATAGCATCAAGAGCAGACATAGCAGAAGGACATTGTATAGCATGGTCTGGGCTCCCACTCATGTTTCGGCTACCGGAACCACCCGTGATCCCCGCGCACAGCTCCATCCCGCTACTCGAATCATAAGAAACCATTCAAACACCGTCTATCACGGACGGGATTGGCGCACGGGAGATTCTCACCGACCGGAAGCCAATCCGTTCATCAGGTGCACGGGCCAATTGCCTGGTCGTCTCCGTTCTAGACGTCTGTGACGTTGGGTGTATCTTGGGCTGTGCTGCTCCCGCATACATCGGTGATTGACGCAAACGCTGGACATAGACGTGTACTGCACCAATGCAGGCCGAGGTCCTCGTTTTCAACTGCGTTTGAACATATAGGCTTTCTTCAACATTTGTGACTCATTTTCCGCAAACGCAAAAAAATGGGAAGAGAGCCTGTTGTATCACGCGTCTGTTGTTCGTATCGTAACATTAAGCCAATTTTAGGAGCAGGTGTGGAAATTAGAAAGCGTCGTTTCGATCAATTATCGGGAGGACGTGGACAGATGCAAGTATTACGGCACAGAAAGGGACGACTTACTGGCAATGTCCACTTTTGACTCAGAGTTGCACTCCAACGCGGATAAAGCGTGAGGCTCGAGAGGTACTGCGGTAATTCATTGCGAAAACTGATATGGGATACCACGATGTTTTAATTGCGTCTAGATACATAGCCACTCAACCGGGTGGTCGTCATCATGCTCCCATGATAGATTGAGACTGCCTCACATGTTTCTCTGTGACGTACCCGCTGCAGAAAGACAGCAAAGCAATACTCGGCAGTCCGCTATTGCTGCAGTCTGAACAACACAATTCCGCATAGTTGAGATGACCGCGCTGTCTCTGCCCGTATTTAAGCAAGCGCAAAACGAGAATATGGTAGCACAAAGTCAACTATCTGTTCAACTCTCGAATTCAGCACTATGAGTACCTCTGGTAAGCCATCGTCTGAAGAGGACGCACTTCTTTACTCAAGAGCATTCAATCACAGAGTGGCGCATGCAGCTGAACAACTGGCTCCAGGCGAATTCAAAAAGGAACGCCTTGACCTGGGATGTTTCAACGAGCGGCCCTAAGCATGCCCCTACTTGGACCGCGATTGCTTATAGTGAGTATATGGATCCTCTGCCGACTTACGGTCTCGACGATTGATGAATTAACCCTTTCCAGTCGACGGCGTTCAGTACGGAAGAGGGACTGGCGTCAGTAGGAATGTCGCGACAGAGATTGCTGCTGAGCAAACCTTGACCGCACTCAAGCGTCAGACTGGACGTTAGGTGGGGCCAGCACAGGCATATTACGAGTGAAACCTGACTTACCCATTCTACAGCGTCACGAAGTTTCTGCAGAACGATTGCTATCAGCAGCATGCAGCATACTCTCCGGATGGAGTCCTTCGTGATCGTGCCATGTAGATTATTCGACCCCTAGAGATAGAAATGATGAATTTGCTTCCTAGATATCAATTCTGCATACGTATCCTGCGTGTGCACTGAAGGCTAGCGGTAATACACAGACACGATGTTTATCGCTTGTCCCATTAAGAGTTCGACTATGCTGAACATGTGTCGTCATGGGCAAATATGGCACAAGGCACGGCCCATTCGAAGAGAATGAAGGGCATGGCACAAAGTTACCATGATGCTAAATTTTGGGGCATTTACTGGCGACATCTTGACTAATTCAGCGCGATTCTGAGGCATTCTGAATGGCTCTTGACTTGAAGACTTCGACTGTTGTAAGCAGCCAAACCGTTCGAAAATGAGCGTAGGAAAGACTGCTGAACATCTCGTCAAGGAGAACAACCATAAAAATGCTAGAAAGCTATTCAGACAACCTTTGAAGCTGAGAATTGGAGGCACACCGCTGCCGGTCCATTCGCGAGTCACTGTGGGAGTCGGACTCAAGTGACTGTGCGTTTCAAAGTTTTTTTTTGCTGATTGCCATCGGCAATCACCGAAGACGTGGTGGCCCTGAATTCTCAAACATGTCTTTGGCCACATGCACTAGCGTGTACGCCAACCCTTTTCTTTGAACTGAACTCTGTTAATAGGCGATGAACCAACAACAATACTTTGCACAAGACCGTGGAGAAACATCAACTACCCTGCTCTCCGTCCTGCATGAGTTGACTTCGCGGCAAGATGCATTCTCCTCACATTCTCTCCATCCATTCGCTGCGGAGCCAGATACGCCAGTAAACCTCTTGCATGCTGTTATCGACGCGACAAACAGGATCTCTCACTCGCTCAGCACGCATCTGTCGCTCCCGCTAGCGGACCAAAAGTTGATTTCGCTGTATAGGCAACATACCTCGATTGCCCAGATATTGCACCGCGTCAGAATCTCCATTGTTTCGGCGTGACGCACTTCGTCTCATTCACAGGGTTCTCTCATGCTCAGTCCGAACAGAATATACGCTCAACGCTGGACAGCCTGCGGAAACGCGAGGGAATCACGTATGGAGAAGACATTCCTTTGGAACGCATGATGATCGCCGACTGGTGCGTCTCAAGACTAGAAACATGGGGCTCATCAGCGGGGATGGAAGCCTTCAGAGAAGAAGAGCGCGATGGTCGGATTATGGTAGTCCTAGGCGGCAAGGTGCTCGTCATAGACATCGAACTGTCCGTGGACAGGAGCGACTCAGACAATCCCAAAGTCTCACTTGCGACCCTGAAGACCTCCTACGCCATTCTGAATGGCGCGGCAACACAACAGGGATCTCTATCTCTTGATGGATTTCTTGCAATGCGTATCGGTGACTTTCTAACGGAGGTACAGAAGGAGGCGGACGAGCGTGACAGCGTCGAGGCTGCGAGGTTAGGCAGGCTGTTCGCGGAGCACATGATGTATCTCATGCAGCTGGATCAACTGGCTACTAACGAAGGTGCCAACGGCCTACGATGGTTCAGCGATATGGACGCGTTAGCTCTTGAGACGGAGCGCTTCGCCACGCAAGAGGCCGAAGTGATTTCGAGGTGGGCATACTCCATCATATTTCGATCTTCGATAACATTACAATCATCCAGGTCGCAGCCCAGTTCTTATGTGCCACTAGACGTGTTTCTCATGCGTTCGCATGCTCTGCCTCTTCCTTACCTCACCTCTCCTTCCATGTCTTTCCTAGTTCACATCTCCCCACGGACATATCTTTTCTTGCTTCGTTCCTCGCCTAGCTCAGCACCTCCCTCCACTTCTCCCGTCCCTAATTTCGACATCCCCCTTTCTCATCTCCGTTCCCAACTTTCCGTCCACCCGCGACCCGAGGGAGTCACTCTCGCCACGCTCACGCTCACCCGGTCCTTCTCGCCGATATCCTCTCCGGACTCTATCAACATCTCCGACCTCGCCACGCGGCCGACATTCCCACTCGTCCAGAGCGGACACGAAACGAACTTCTCGCTGCCCCTGCCGCAGTCATCCGAGCCCGGGTTTGTCGCAGGGCAAGCTTACAGTTGGATATTGGACTTCACGGACGGGGGAAAGTATCCAGGGGTGGTGATGAGCCAGTCGAGGATGCGCGAAATCGAGCTAGTGATCAATCCGTTGAGTGGAACGGACCACATGAATAGCGCCCCCATGGCGTTCGGGATGGGCAGCTGGCTCGGATTGCTGGTACGATTTTACATTTCTTTTCTCCGGTCCTGAGTAGCACAGATTGATGATATCGATTGATAATTTTATCGCAGCTTAATCGCGAGAACCCCATTGCGCCGGAACGATTCATAGCGCTTTATGTACGCGTTCAGCTTGTATCATGCTTGATCTAATCACCAATCATCGCTTAGACGTCTCCAACGTCCACCCATCCCCCGTTGCAATATCGGCTCACTTCACCAGAAGAGCCAGGCTTCATTCTAGAGAAGGTTCCGGTCCGGACTGTCAAAGAGATCTGGGGAATCCTTGAGGTTCGTCGTGTGCTTGATCTCATCATTCCTTTGTTGAGCGAGCATGATGTCTTAGGTCGTCAGGGAACAATGTTGGCTAAACGAGATCATCAGTGCCCAGCACTGGGTTCCCGAAGGTTTGACGGGTGAGCCCGGGGAAGAACTCGGCGATGACGACGCCACCGAAGACGACCTTGATGCTCTGCTGAAGGGTACGTCCTTCTTTTTGTACAATGATAAGTTGTGAGATCTTACGCTTCCGCCTCAATCAGGTACTCTCACGCCACGCCGCCTGCCGGTCAATCTCCTGCTCCCGATACCGCCACCGCCCGACCTCCTTGACCCGACCTCCCTTTCTCCCTCCTCGCACACGCGCCTCTTGCTCTCCTCGCCGGAGCGCCCGCCCATGCCCGGACTCGTAGAGATTTCTGTGGGCTTCGACCCAAGCCGCCCACGCGGCGTGGCGGTGGCTGTGACTGGCGCCATGGGCGCGGATTTGCAGATGGATGTGTTGGAGGAGGTATGTAGGAGGGGAGGCGTGCTAGGCCTGGCGGGACGCGTGTGGGCGAAGTCGCATGGGTCTGTATGATGTGGAGTGCTTTAGGTTGCAAGCGGCTGCGGCATCATTTTCTGCTTCCCGGTCCACTCAGAATGGATATCCTTGTCTTGCCTCGTATGAGCTAAGGAAATCCGGATGTGAAAATATACAGCATGATATTCGATTGTGCGGAACCGTCTCCACATGCGATAGATCTACAACAGATCACCCGACCTACATGAGAACGGTACAGTCAAGGGGTCAACTCAACTTCTCTACATTTACAAGGGGGGTGGGATGTAGTCACCGAGCACTGAAGGTTCTTTCGTCAGCAGCTCGGGATTAAGACGAACAAGCTCAAAACGCGTCGTCGTCGCCATCACCGAAAGCTCTGGCAGAGCCGAAGCTCGGTGTCCACGTCTCCGGTTGGACCCAGCTGGTCACCCTGTACGGCGGTGGTGCAACGCTACCCCTCAGCCCGCCACGGACCCTCGTAGAACTACCACCGGAAGGACCGAACACTGACGAAGAGGTGCTGCTGGTAGAACTGCCTATTGCGTACACAGCGCGCGCGGGGCCCGCGCTGCTCGCCCCGCCAACACTGAAGGCGGGCGCGTGTCTTGGGTCCTTCCGTGGTAATGCCGAGGACCGCGTAACGGCTCCGTTCTTGACGTCGAGCAGCGTCTTGAGGACCTCACCCGCATGAGGGAACTCGCCCTGCACGACCCTGTCAAGAATGTCCGCGAACGAGTCGCGGATCTCGCAATAATGATCGTGGAATATCTTGATCTCGAGTTCGCGCACTCTGTCGTACCTAGTAGCGAGTACATGTTTGGAATCAGTCAGGGTGCTTGTGGCATAGAGGGAAGAAGATATTACGGACCGAGAAGTGAACCTGCTGAAAACCTCTTGTACGATGTTTTGTGCCGATAAGCGGGCACGGATTGCTTCAAAGGAGAGTTCCTGCAGCTCGGGGATACCATACTGGTACATGCCATGAGCAAGCTGTGTTCGCAGTGTCATGGAGTGCAGATTACCTTCTCTGCCAGGCGGTACATCGATTTTGGAGAACATGGCGGGATTGAATCGGAATCGCTCAACGCCTTGGCCATTTCTAGATTCCTCTCCTCCTCGCCCGAAGACCTCAGCGGCAAGAATTTGACTTTGCCAAAGTACAAGTAGAATATAAGCGCGCGCCACCTGGACAGAGTTCTCAGCGCGATTTTCATGAAGAGATAGAAAGAGGGCGCTTACGTGTGGTACGCGACATCGTTCACGATGATTTGCTGGCATTGTCCCGCAAGCTCGATGGAGGTCCCGTCGGATCCGCGAGAGTTGCTGGAAGCTGGTGTGATGCGTTGCTTGCCTGCTATTGAAAGTCAGTCTGGTGTTACAGTAGTGTGGCGCGTATGGGAGTACTTACCTCGACGAGATGGAGGTTTGAGATCTTCCGACATGTCCATATCGGAGGCGAGGTCATCATCGTCTAGATCGCTGTCTGACTCATAATCGTAGTCGTTCGTGTAGGGAATTTTGTCTTCGGGGAAAGGTGAGTCAACAGGTATCCTAGCGCCGGACTCCGCGAAGCCATTAGATAGCACTGGGTGCACAGTCAGAGCACTGATAATCCGATCGCACTAAACGGCACTCACGTTTCTCAAAATAGTCGGCTTTCTTCAGTACAGAGCTGATGGCGAGGACATGCCGTGGATTATCGACTCGGATCATGCCATCTTTTGCGAACGATCGACGAGAAAACACATAAAATTTGACGTCTAGGAACATCGAGGATTGGAGTGACTCCTTTATCGCACGCTCCACAGCTGACAATGGCTGATTGGGCTGGGTGGATGCAGTAGCAGTGGACATGGCTGTACTGGCTGTGGGGTGCCTCTGAGACCCAGGGCGACGGGACATGAGAGGTCGAGTCAACTCACGCGCCGACTGCACCGACATCTGTCGTTGACTCTGCGATGGCGCCTTCCCGTTCCACATGGCAGCCATACCATGCGAATCGGTGAACATGACACTTTCTGAAGGTCGCTCAAATAGGTTCTCCGTGGTGTGCCCGGGAACGTCTGTAGTCCTAGGTGGTGGCGGCAGCGGCAGTGGCAAGCGCGCAGCGCAAGGCTCAGCTTCAACTCTCACAGGATTCTTGTTGGCAGTCCACGGCCGGGTCCAGCGCTGTGCAGTGGCTCGTGCCACAGATGAAAAAGATGGCGGCTGCAAAAGAACTAGGATCCAAGGAGGACCTGCTAACGCACCTGCTGAGGTTCTCAGACCAAGTCCTGAGCGGAGATAGGAGCTGGCATCGCGGTGCTACACAAGGGGCCATGTGACAACGCCTATCATTCGTAACACTCTCTTCCTGGAATGCAGTATACTATCATTTTGCTTCTCACAATTGATTCCCACGTAGACGTTGTCGAACGTGGAGATCACCCTTCCTTGGGCCGACATTCTCGCTGTGTTGGATCACATTGGCACCTGGCGACATCGACATGTGCTTCAACAAACGATGGCGGTGGTGCGAGTTGCTTCCTCGGAAGCTGATTTGCAAATTCTGTACGAACGTCGATGAGTCATGGCATCAAGGCGTGTGCGAAAGCCGCACGACAGATTCGATATTCAAGTACATCCCGAGTCCATCGCGAGTCATTATAGTACGTACGTGGCGTATTCCAAGAAGTAATCTGACCTACGGTCCAGGATATAAGAGGTGACCTGCACTGGAACCCAGCAGATGCTTCCGCAAACGCACAAATGATCGTTCATACTTAGAAATGCGAGCACATCCGCTCGTACTCACTTTTCCGACGTCTCGAGGTTCCAAGACACTGGTTTTATGCATTGCACACAGGAAAACACGAGTAATACCTTGATTTGGTTATCAAACGCGCATTTAGCACGGTGCTAACAACGATCGTTCCAAAATATGACTGAAAAGGCTATTCATTCTACAGAACTATCAACTATTGGCTACATGGAGTACGTAACGCGAGACACTAATCTACAGGAGCAATTAGCGTTATTGTAGCATTTCAACGGCCGACAAATAATGAGTAGATGATGTAGACAGACTGGGAAGAAAGAAGACGGCTTTGGAGGGCGGGTGATGCAGCCGCTCCAAGTGCAATGCATTTCAATTTATATCACTTCAGAGGAGAATCACGGTAAGCATGCAGCATACAGCTGGTGCCTGGCCATTCTTACCTAGCGTCCAGCGGCCCGAGCTTGAAGCGCAGAGAGAGCCTGTTGGGCCGCAATGTCCATTGCAGCGCCCTTGCTCGCAGCGGTGCCTCTCCCGTACTCGAAGCCATTGACTGTGAGAAGAAGTGTCAGTTCACATAACTGAGAAGCAGGGGCTCACTCACCGAAGGCAACCGCGGTCCACATGATGGCACGTCCGGTGCCGTGCGAGGCATACTCCCACTCCAAAACGCTCGTGCTCATGTTGGCTTGAAGCCAATTGTTCAAGTTCATACGCGGGTCTAGGATCGATCACTTGTTAGTGAGCAAATAGTTATGTCCATGGAAGCGGGTGAACTACCAGCCATGGTACTGTCGCTTTGGTCCTGAGGCTCACCGATGCTGCGTTGCTCGCATCTCCCTCTCCCCACTGGCTTTTAATACTACGACAAGACGCTTTGCAGTCTGTACATCACTGCGATCGCAGTACAGAATACAGCAGAGCTGAAACTCCGGCTCTTTGGTCTCCGTAACCCTCCACCGCGATCGACACAAGTGCACAGACGAGCCACTCGGGAAGTGTCTGAAGAACATTGTGACCAGTTTTGGCGTCGTGCGGACGAAGGCGCACTGCATCCCTCGGGAAGCGGCGTTCAAACATACTGACGTATCATATTGTCGTGAGTTGTGTAGAACCCGTGTTGTTCGCAACAATACATGCAGCTCATCGCATGATGCGCATCACTAGAAGAGCAAACATCATAAATGCCCCAGAACGGAAACCTCAAGACTTCTACCGTTGCCTGAATGCACCGCATTCGTCACACGGTCCCGAGGCTTGATAGACTCAGCCGTCTCCGAGTCGATGACTAGGTCTAACGAGCATCACTTACGGCAAGTTGTATAGAAAAAAAAGATAATCGATGACGATGTCAGGATTTTTCGCTGCTCCTCAAACGATGACATGCCAAGCATTCTCTATTGACAGAATGTTTCCATCCAGTGGCAATGGCCGCAAGAGTGTCCCAGTTCGACGCCAGGCAGCATTCTGATAGCATTGGACCTTAAAGCAGTTCCCGGTCTTCCCGAAAGAACCAAACGGTTCTGTAAAATGGAGGCGTCCAGGGGCTCTGCGCCGCATCTGTGATAACCGGCGATTGGCTCTTTAGAGATTTTCTTGTGCGCCAATCTTGCAGCGGAGGTGAGCCGTTTCGTGCGTCTGGCATGTGATAATCAACAATCATGGCAGCGTCGCTCGCTGACAGAATATCAGTCCACAGTGGGAGCGTTGGTGGATTGGAATCATATCGCGTCCCATCGCCGTGTAGCAAGTCGTGCCAGACGGTCGTGTTACGGTGTTGGACGTATTTCCCCTGGATGTATGGCACGACAGGTTGTCGCTTGATGGAATTCACCGGCTGCTGAGACAATACCACGCTGTCTCCACAAGACCACTCGCATGGTCAATGACATCTACGTCGTTCCGGCGCTGTTCGTACTTAAGTCCGGTCAGCGTGGTTCCTGCCCAAGCATCATGTACGCCCCTGTGGACATCATCGATCGTCCACTCAGATAACCTCGCGCGTGTGCCAGCGCGGACATTAATGACGCAGGGTATTACGGCATTCTATATGATAGCCCGTGCGTGGACTGTATTGATTCTCCTCCACAATTCGAACTTACGGCGTCGGTTGCTAGTTCGCCGTTTGTAACTAAATCTGTTGTACAAGGAGTCTGGCCTCATCCATATAGTGTCTGGATCTCAAATGCATGGGGCGAACCAGGTAAGGTACGAGTATCGTAACAGCGTTACAGTCTCACAAGATATCCTACAGCAGATGCGGCTACCCACCGCTTGAACACGACAGCACGCATCTGTCCTACTCAAATGGTGAAGAAAAATTGGCAAGTGGTGCAGTAAATCCCCTTCACGCTACCCTGCATAGTCAAATGCATCGTACCAGAGCTGTCAGTGATATAATTCTGGTGACCCATCGGGCAGGCCCGCGGGTACACCGAATGTTCTTCACGAGTAATCGGTGGCCCACCACGTGCGGGATTGTTGGCAGCCAACTTGGCGAAGAGAGCAGTTAAGACCTTGTTGCCATGCTGCGGCTGGCCCTTGGTCGCACGGTCAATCCAGTGTTGCATCTCGGCAATGACGTTCGAGGAGAGGGCGTTCTCGGTGAGAAGCGTTATCTCGGCGTGGAGAACGTCATCGTGCCTTCACACGTGTGTCAGTGGGTGGTTGAGGCATTATACAAGAGAGTACGCCTTACAATGGTGTGAATTCCGAGAAGAGCTCCTGCAGGATGTTTTCCTGAGAGAGCTTGGCTTTGATGTCCTCGAGAGCGAGGGCTTTCAGTTCAGCCAGGTCACACTGAGAAAGCTGTGAGAATGGCTTTTGGGGGCTAGAAAAGAGGATATACCATGTCCGCGAGGCGGTACATAGATTTTGGAGAGCACAATGGTGCATACGAATCTTGTGCTTGAGGAGCTTCGTTGGCGTCGCGGTTTTGTGATTTGAGAGGCGCGAACCTGACTTCTCCAGTGAAGACGTAAAACACAAAGGCCTGCAGTCTTGAGCAGGAGACATGAGGCCAACGTAGCGTACATTATGTTCCGGTCACTAACGTGTTAAAGCAATGTTTTTGATGAAAAGTGTTCGTCCAGGCTTCTCATCTTGCTGTAGGGAAACAGTACGATTTCTCGAATCACGCTACGATGTATGAGTGAGGAGTGCGCCACATGCGTGGGCAGGAAGACTCGTGAGCACGTACATTTTCAGTCTGCATATCTGTTTTGTCGTGAGATGACATGCACACGATCTTGGTGCTTATATCATTCGCAGTATCGCTTCCGGAAGCGCACTCGTCCTCACTCTCGAGATCGCTGTCCGACGCATAGTCGTATGCATCATTGCCGACGAGTGATCCGTCCGAGGATGGAGTCTCGCACAGGCCGGTTCTACTCTCCATAACCTCTGGAGAGAAGACTATGAAACTTAGATCAGTGAATACCCGTGAGCACATGAAATCAGCCAGAGGGGCGCACGGTGGACGAAGTAATCGGACGTATTCTGCAACATGACGCTATTGGCGTAAACGGGCCGTGGCATGTCAGTCACGCCAGAAGTACGACGGCGAGAGTAAGCATAGATGGTAGCGTCATAGAACTGCCCCGTTATGAGCGTATGCCTCAAAATTCCACGTAGTTGCTCTTCTCTTGAGTTTTCAGAGGTAGGAAGGTCCGGTAGTTTGGAGGCATTTCGACGTGTGCTCTTCATAGTCCTCCTCTGATTCGCATTCATGCTAGAGCCATTGGATACACCACTCATGTCGATCACAGGTCGGGCTGACTGTGTATGAATTTGAGCTTTGAGCGTGAAACTTGATATACGATAGCTTGAGAGCCGGATGACGGCCACGGTTGTGTTGCGTGCACGCAATTGGCGCGTTCGGAAGTTATCGTCGGTCACAGTCTGAGCCACGTGCGCCGTTATTGATGGCAACATTCTCAGGATGCAAACATGGACATACAGACCCTTGGGGGACGCCCCTGCATGAGTACGTTCAATGTATTCCGCAACGTAGGTTCGGAACTGATTGCCAGTGCTTGATACTCGGGGTATTCCGGCATGCTGCACTCTACAAAGAGACACAATGCTGGAGTAGAAGGAGAACAGCAAGCAAGAGTACGCACAAGAGTAATGCACGCAGCAGGTTTGAGGATAGTGACACGTCCGTATACCCAGTGCGCGTACGACACAAACACTGCGTTTAGTGTTGGCAGAATTCCTGAAGAGAGCAGCAAAGAAAGTAGTAAGTTTGATGTGCGAACGTGGACTCAGTTTCTTCCAGGTACTTACCCTGGATCCAGTGCAACGACAGCATACAACTGTGGACGCGGTCACGCCTGGTGTGAGGTGTCTCTAGTGTCACGAGGGCGCGTTTGACGATGGGCTCCTAGTACGCGCGTCAGGGGACTCAGGGCATGCCAGACTCCTGTATGCTGCTCAAAAGGTCAACCGGCTCACGCCCAGCGGGAAGGAGTATATTATGGGTTGTAGTAGTGTAAGAGAATGAAGAGCAACCTATGTACATAGCATAAGAATAGTTTACACTGAATTTAAGATGAGGGAGTTGCGGCGCAGGTGTGCGACGCTAAGTCCTAAAAGACGGAGGAGGCAATGCCAAGTCCATCGAGCATCGGAATGTAAAGTAACGTTGACGCGACGGCGTGTTCGTCACGTCTTCGAGGGGACGCGGGTCGTACGACTCGGAGTGGACGACGGGATCGTTTTGTCGACAGCCGCGTGAGCAGGTTGAGGCTCGGCGGCGTGCATGACCGTGTTCGTGCGCATTAGGTGCCGAGTAAGCGCGCTCAGTATTGCCGTACAATGCCGGACCTAGCATGAATTGCAAAAGTGATAGCGCGTGGTATTGGCCTAGAAAGCATGGTACTATCAGACGAGATAGTAAGAGTGTGCGCCCTCGTAAAAAGGGAAAGGACCCTTCATAGCAGTTTCGTCCCACTCTCGTCGACAGAGCTCCATCTTCTCCTTCGCACTCTCCAACTGCTCGGGCCTGACGGATCCGTCGTTCAGGCACCCAATTACGTCATGCAGTCTGTTCACATTGCGCTCGTACTCCGCCTGAGCTTCAGTTTCCTCACAGTGCGCCGTGATCTCCTTTGCGGTGAAGTCGATTGGACAGGGGCTGTCTACGATGCTGCTCCATCTCTCCTGCAGACTGACCAGGAGACCGCGAAGATCCAATGGGCCATCGGCGACGCAGCGCGTGATGAACGGCACCAAGAATTCCAGTGCTGTGCAATGAGGGAGGGCCCACACATTGGCCCGCAGAGGGTCCCACGAGGGAACGATCTGCATGTACAACCTGTGCCGACACGCGTAGCGATGTTGTATGCGGATATATTCTTGTTTCTCCGGCGACATTGCGTCGAAATTGTCGGGCCATGGTGGCATCGAGCCGTCTACCGGTATCGGGACCACTCCCTCTGTGTACGCCACTGCTGTGGGGACACCACATTGCATGCAGAAAGGGAGATAGTCGCCCCCTGCCAGTCAATCACATGGTGAACATAGGCTAGGCCCTCGGGCGGGACGATAAGGTTATTGAGTGAGAGGTCCGGGTGATTGAGCACTGGGGCCGTCATGGCGGGGTCGGAGGGAATGATGAAGGGAGCGATGCGAATGCAGGTGTTCAGCAGACAGCGCAGCAAAGGGATGTCGCTGGGGTTCGGCTTGACAAGCGGGGACGAGAAATCGACGACGGTGTCCATTGCACGCAGTTGGAGCTCCGCAGCACTCTTGATCATACTTTGCATATCCGGCCCTGTACGATCATATCAGAACAACTGCACTGTTGGTAGAGCCAGAGAACGTACACGGTCCGCGGTCAGCATCCACATTGCCATAGCCTGCACGCCACCATTCACGATTTGCAGTCGGCCCAATCCGATATTTGGCGGCCAGTTCCCGATTCAGCTCGGCAGGATAACAGTCATCATCTGTATACAGAGGACGGCTGCGCTCGTCGCCGTCCGGCGCGTCTTCTGCAAAGTACAGAGACCCATTGTGAGAGAAATTCTGGCGAAGCAACGCCCATTCTAGCTCAGCGATGCTCTGCAAGGCTGCACCAGCGGTCTCGCCCTGGATTGCAGGCCACCGAGGATATAACGGAATGCCTGGTGCGTACTCCAGAATGATGTACGGCGTCTGTGCGGGATTGTTGTATGACGCCTTCCACGCAAGAACCTTAGGAGGAAGGGGCACATTGCGAGAGCGATTGTTAATCCACCTCTCGCGAACGTAGCACATGGTGGCAGCCTCGCTGGCTATCGTTCGCTCAACGTTGCCTATGAGCGGCAAAGGAATACGGGCGACTACCTCCGCTCCATTGTCGAAACGGAGCAAGAAGATTCTGTTGAAAGACCCTGAAGACAAACTAAGCGACATGCCATAGACCAGCCAGTGAGGCGGCACACCTTCTCCTATTTTCACCCATGATGTACAGTGCTGAGCATCCACACTGTTGCACGCCACATGTTCAAGAGCGTCGGGGTTGAACGGAGCAGATCGGACTTTGTGTTCTGCGAGGACACGAGGATATGAGGAGGGGTGGCGTATATCAATGAAAGGACTGGTAGATACGCAGCTCGTCGTTGCAGAGCCAACGATTCGACGAGCTAGTGAATAGTGTCTCGGTGTCAGGGCGCGACGAGGGTGTGAGATGGAGGTGACGGAGGCTACGAAGACGTATACCGGGATGGAAGTTTAGCTGATATGCGAATCGCCAAAGATGTCTAGCACGACTCGGAATGCACACTGTTTGAGGGAATCGGCAGGCGCGGCTTGCCAGCATGGCAACGGAACGGTGCGATTGTGGTCGAACCTTCCTGGGTGTCAATTGCGAAACGTCGAACAAGGCAAGAATTCCCGCTACGACAGTAGTGGGTCTTGTCGATTTGAAGCTCACAAGGCTCTCTGCGAAAATTAGCGATCGGCGGCACACACCTCCTTGGCTCCTACCGTATTTTTCGTGTGCTCATCTCTGTTCACTCATGTCGCGAATCGCTGTGCACGGATCCTATGCTGGGATTCCAGCATCTATCCTTGTCGATGCTTCTCGGGAACGCTCGTGCATATGCGTTCAATAATTTCAACGCCACTCCTTCCAAGCGTGCACGCTACCACCGCATGGATACGACCGACTGAACGCGCTCACTCCGCTATAATGCTCCTTGCCTTTCCCATTTTCTATCTATGTGTACCGTTACTGTTCATCTTCGTTTCTTTTCTCTCTAACGTATATACTCACCCTAACCGTTTAATTCCTCTTCTCGTAATCTATATGTTCCTGTTCTTTCTAATCTGCATGCTCCTCTCGCCTTACATTACTGTTCTTTGTAATCGCTCCTTCTAATTATCTCCTTCTCCTCGTGTAATACTACTCGTTTTCCACCACCACTTCACCTGCGAGCGAACTCACCGCGCTTCCGAAATCGTTCCTTCCTGTTAAGCGCCCGCACTGGCTAAATAACTGCGCTCGTCGTAGCGGGCGCTGCCGGCGCCGGCCCTACCACCTTATAAGATAGCATCATATGTCCGTTGTAGACTCAGGGGCAGAGGCCCACGGGTGATTTCGCGCCAGTGGCGCCACAGGAGAGTAGGATGAGCCTATGAGGAGCACCTCCTTCACCATACGGGCCCGACGGCCTCATTGTTGCATTCGACTCGTCAAGTTGAGGGCCGTGAAGGCGTTAGTGCCACAGCAACTTGCAACAACTGGACTAGCGGGATTCGACACGAACTGCCAATGAGCCTTGAGGAGGTCAGGGTACTTGTCGATGCCAGAAATCACTCTCTAAAGCGATTGGCTCGACGGATTCCATAATCTGTGCGCTCCATGTTATAAGCAAATGCACGCAACTAGCTGCGCGATACAGCTTAGACTTCCGACGTGATGACCGTCGCATAAGGGACATGCACGCCGGCTGTGGCTGACGGTCTCTCAGGCTGGATCGCGATCCCTCACGTTCCTCATCTGCTACCTCGCATTGACGTCGTTCAGATGAGTAACTTCTTCAAGCCACTTCGTCGTCGTGCAGCTGACGGGTTTGGCAATTGACAAAATTCAAAACAAGCAACCAGGTCATTAACGACGAAGACCACTGTCCAAGCGCTGGTTCGTCGGAGACGCGAACACGGAGAGAGAAATCTTCAAGTTCTTGCGTATAGCGGCCTCGTCACTGAATACGTCGTTGAAAACTCGAGCAAACACCCCGACCAAAATATCGGGGTCGAGCGGTTTGATGCCGTAAGGCGTGCTACTCTAGAATCTTCAAAAGTAACATATTGTGATGTCCGTCTTAGTAATGAAACATCAACAGAAATTCTTCAAAAGGGGGACGGAGGTTCGGGGCAAGAGGCAGACCGATGTGTCACATCCACGCGGAGTTTGCTGGACTCAAACGCGGAAGTTTTAATTCAGTAATATCTCGCAATGTAAAATCGAAACATCAATATTGGTGAAGTGTAAATGAGCAAACTAGAGAATGTGCGCAAGGCTCAAATTGGAGTGGCACTCTGGACTGCCAAATCGAGTAATAAGTCTACCATAAATGGTAGCTTCGGTGCCACGATGCTCTGCTCGCACGCTGTGGCATTTCTATCATAAATCCCGGTTAAAAGGTACATAAATATATACAAATCATGTGTAGTCCACCCTCCCTCTGCAAGCCTCAAACTTCAAAGCTTCAAAGCTTCAAGCTTCAAGCTAGCCTCAATTGCAGAACTATGGCCCAAAGTAAGACCAGTTAGACTTGGCTCGGCGAAAGCCGAGAGTCGCAGCTCACGTGAGTCACTGAACTTGACTCGATCGTACAGGGAAATCGGAAGGCGCGAACGGCTCTCCCTCCTGCTTCCCTCCATCCCATCATGATCCCTACTGCAGCCCGCAGGGGCTTTGCAGCAAGGCGGATGCTCAAGCCGCGGTGCTTCTCCTCATCAATGTGCAGACGCTCAGCCGACGAACCTGCGCCGAAGCCACCACCTCCCATTGATGATTCCACCTCTGCGTTGGACTACAAGCGGCGAACGACCTTGCAGCACCGTCCGCCACCCCTCCCGGCCATGGACTTACGTCCGAGGACAGCGGAGGAGGCTGTCACGAATATCCTCTACAACACGCCGCCGCCGAGCTTGCAGCCATTCAAGAAGTACGTCCGACGTGCTCGCGGCTCCCTTTGCCCAGGACACTGATATTCCGAGCTAGGCATGTACTGAACTGCCTTGTTCAGAACGAGCCGGGAGTGTTATCTCGCGTGTCGGGTATTCTGGCAGGCCGTGGATTCAACATCGACTCCTTAGTTGTGTGTCGGACTGAGATTCGGGACCTGAGTCGGATGTGCATCGTCCTCCGCGGCCAGGACGGTGTCATTGAACAGGCACGCAGGCAACTAGAAGACTTGGTGCGAAACTAGTCTATTGTCTCCAATTGTCTCCCACTCACCGTTCCATGCACAGGTTCCCGTGTGGGCCGTGCTTGACTACACGGATACACACTGCATCGAACGCGAGCTCCTCCTTGTCAAAGTCTCCATCCTCGGTCCCGAATACGTGGAGGAGCAGCTGCAAGGCGGGCCCACTCACGAGCCCCGAAGAAGCATCTCGTCCTCGCTCGCCCTATCTGCCGAGCACAACGCCGAAAAGCTAGAGCGAGAGATGACGCTCGTGCAAAACTTTGAGCGCGGCGCGCGCCCAGAACAAGAGGCGCAGGTCCCCCCGCCGCTCACGCCAACGCAGGCGCTGCACCTACGCAGCGACAACCTGAACGCCGTGTCTGTGCTATCTTCGCAGTTTGGAGGGCGCATCGTGGACGTGAGCGAGAACAGCGTGATCGTGGAGATGTGCGGCAAGACGAGCCGCGTGGAGGCGTTCTTGGCGCTGCTCAAGCCATTTGGTATCCTGGAGGCTGCTCGGACTGGTGAGTCTAACGATGATGTCCGCCGTCCGGGCTTACTGACTTGAATGGACAGGTCTTATGGTAATGCCGCGTACACCCATTGCCAGAGCACCTGAGAGCAGCGATGAAGCTGAAGACGGTGCCGGCGTGGACGCCAGCCTCCTCCCTCCTGGCTAAGCTTCAGCACACAGTGCCATGTGGATGGTATCTAACGCTCAAAAGTATCTACCGTATATACTCTGTATTATTCCGGGTTTTGGATAACCATGCAGGACAATCAGGGGTGTGGGCAAAACAACGACAATCGTATGTGCGAATGCTACGAATACATGGTTGCAAGTAATGATAACACTATGAGAGTACAATGTTGTACGCCGTGTCCGACAATAGCAACGTCCCGATTCCAATAGATATCAGATAAACCACCAATTATTATCTTTCGAAAAAAAAACGTCATGTCCGTATACGAGAGGTAGAAGCGCCGCGTGCGTATTTCGTTCGCGCAGACGCAGAAGTAGGAGATGGCGCAGGTGCAGGCGCGGTACCTGCGTGCATGATTAAAGCTTCCCGTATCTTGCGTATCCACAGAGTCGCCATTGAGGAGCTTGCAACACGAAACGTATGCGATTTGGCGGCCTAATAACGACCATCATAAGCTCTGGCAGATCTATGAGTGACTGGCGTCAACGCTTACCGTCACTACAACAAACTCCCGGTCGCCCTTAGGTTCTACACTGCTTAATTTCTGACGGCCGTCTTTCTCCGTCTCCTTCTCCAATGGTCGCATATGTAGCTCAGTCCTGATCTTATAAGCGCGCCCTGGCTTGTGTTTGAGGCAAAGCAGCCGATGATTCGTCAACACCAGTTCCCGAGACTTGATCTTCCTCGGCGTAACGGCCATCGCAAACAGTCGGCTAGCCCGTCGCTTCGGCCCGGTCTCTTCCACACTCGAGTTGAACAGGATAGTTTCATTGGGTAACAACAGTGAGGTCCTGCGAAAATTGTCAGACATCCCGTCCACCAGCAAACTCAACCTCCACTTTATTTACTCACAAGTCTGAATCCGCAAGCATACCGTTGCCCACCAAGGGCGTTTGGTCGCGACTCCGTCCCCGATCGATCCCGCTTGTCTCCATCGCTGCCCCAAGCTTTTCGACTGCACTTCCATCTGAGGAGCTGGTTGCAGAGCCTGTAGAGCACGAGTCCACGACTGCCTCCTTGGACGCAGGCACATCAATAGGGTGCGCCTTCACGACCGACGGGACGCCCGGGACATCGAGGATAGGATGGCCGCCAGTCGGCAACTCGTCATCATCAGAGACGGCAGTCCTTGCCGAAGGCATGCCTGTGAAGCGGACCGTCGAAGTGTCAGACTTGTCGACACGCGTCATGAACTTTGGGGTATCGTCCGCATCCCCATTGTTGTGATCAAGGTTGGGTGGGAACGCGTACGGACGCTGCTCGCCCATCGGTCCCTCCTCCTCTGAATAGACATTGCCATTCGTGAACCTCGCTCCAGAACCAAATAAGAAGGAGGTCTCCTCATCAGTTGCCCATGGAATTCCCTCATCTATGGTTCCGTCTTGATTGCCAACCAAGCTGTCCCAGGCCGTGCCGCAGTCCATACTTGAGCCATTAGAGTATGCTTTCGGCTGCTTCTTGAAGAGCCCAGGCTCTAGAGGTGGTACTGGGTCCGTCCACAGAGTGCCCCAATTGATCGAAGCGAAGAAGGGATGTGAACGGAGCGCCTGCATGTCATACTCACTCCCAAGAGGACCTGCACCCAATCGCTTCGCGGGATCCCGCACCTACAACCACCGAGGGTTCATTAGCAATTGCAACCGATGCACTGGCGTTCGGGAGGACACACAAGCAACCTCTGGACCAGGTCCTTCGCCTGTTCATCAAAGCCCTCGGGAAAAGAATAGTCGAGCTGCTTGATTTTCTGGAAAGTCAGATATTCCGACAGGCCCTGGAACGCAAATCGTCCTGTAATCATTTGATAGACGATGCAGCCCAAGGCCCAGAAATCGGAGCTGTGACATAAAGATAAGCCATCGGATGTGATATCGACACCGATAATCAACACACCTTTCGCTCGTCTCGCCGTCTTCGAGTAACTCCGGCGATATATATTGTGCCGTGCCCACAAATGTCTTCGCGCGTTCGCCTGGAAGCCAATCAGACACACCGTATCAAATTGGCACGTGTCGGCAGAGAGGGACCGACCTCCCGAGCCCAGAACTTTCCCCGTTCCAAAGTCTGTGATCTTGATCCGGAAGGCGTCATCCAATAGCAGGTTCTCGGGCTTGAGGTCACTGTACGGCAACGGGATACCTTCAGCATAACAACAGGCACGATAGAAAATCAGCTTACCGATGGATCACGCCTTGCGAGTGCATGTACCCTAGCGCATCGACTAGTTGTGCGGCATAAACGCGTGTGCACTCGGTAGAGAGCGAGCCCAGATTGGATATTCGCGACTGGAGTTCCCCATTAGGGGCCAGATCCAGGACGAAGTCTGCGTCGAGTGAATTTCAGGACACTTTGAGAAGTCAAATTTGGACAGAGGACTGACATAGATCTGTTTGATCCTGAAATGCAGAGTGCAGCCGCACAATCCCCGGGTGAACAGCACCAAGCTTTACCAGCGCGTTCTTCTCCGCCATGGCTGTCTGCACCTTTGAGTACTTCTTGAGATGGTTCTTATTGATAATCTTGATGGCAAATTCTTCCCCGGTCGCTTTGTGCCTGACGTGCACGACCTACATGAGATACGACATGAAGGCATCCGCAGGATAGGACGTGAACAACTCACTTCGGAATATGAACCCTCTCCAAGCAGCTCGAGAAACCAGAAGTCATCCGCACATGCGCTGGCGCGCCCACTGGCAGAGCTGCTGCGCGACGTAGAGTGAGGGCGGGATGGCGGTCTTAGGTCGCCTTCTGCCTCCGCAAGACCTAGCTCTCGCGCAAGGTATGCTGGCGGTCTCGATCCACGCGGGGTAGTGGGTGACTGTGGGCTCCTTGAGCGCGCAGCGTTACCCGGTGATGAGAAGTTACGGAGAGGACGCGGACGGTGACGAGGAGTCTGCACAGTCAAGTCCGAAGTAGAACTGGAGCTGGACGAGGACGATATGACGGAAGCATTTCGACTAAGGTCCGCGAGTGATGGGGTATTTTGCGCAGACGGGTCCTGCTCCGGCGACGAAGGAGGAATCGCCACCATGCGAGGAGGGGAAAGGAGAATGAAACGGAAGGAGAGACGGGACGTTTGGCGAAGGAGAAAAGGCCACGGAAATGCTGCGAATTAAGTCTGACGGGACTCGGTGGGACGGGCCCAGGCCTGTGCAACTGTCGGCGATTAAATCCCACGTCATTTATATATACGGTTGCACGCAACGACGCCAGGGTTTTCAAACTCAGTGGCAGCGGGCCTAGAATTTGTGCGCCATATCATCGCTCGGGTCCGTCGCCTCGAGCTGCGACTTTTGCAGCTGCAGCATCGCCGTCAGTTGGCCAGCACGCGCATCTTCCTCCATCCTTTCGTGCCATGCACCACGTTTGCTCCTTGCACCTCCTTAGCAACCGTCTGCGGCGACCAAACACTGAGGAGTCCGTGATTCCGACGGCCGTGGGCGATAGCGCCGACCGTGCAACCTCCTGGGAAGCAGTGCTGTATTTATGACAGTGCCCCCACGCATGCCCGTTTTGCTCTGACCCCAGGTTCCTTATTACGTGTATTGCGGCTGATCCGAATCGTGCTCTGCTCGGAGCGCCATGTGCACCAGCCGGAGGTGTGAACTGCAAGTCGCAATGCCGGTCAGTGGATCTTGTTGAGCCATCTTTGCGCATCTTACGCGACTCAACTTCAAGTTTTTCACGCGGCCCCTCGCGGAGGACCCCTCCCGTTCGGAACGGGTTTGCAGGCCCTCGTTCAGTCTTCAAAGCTCACTTCCCTCGAGGCATAATCCTCGGACGCTCATACGTTGTTCTTTCAGGCATCGACACGTAGGGACACCCTGCATACCTACCCGTCAAAGCGACTGATCGTCTAATAGCGGTCCCATGACGATACCTGAAGGCGCCACCCGTCGACGACACGCTCGCTTCCATCAAGCGCCTCACGGTGTGACGTGCTAACTCACCGGCTGTGATTGTCCTCTTCATGCGGGGTACGTCAATGACTCAATACGTTCTGTGGGGCCCCGCATCCGCTAGAAGCCTGCGAAGCCCTCGAGCAAGATTGGCTCGGTGTGTTGATCCTCGGATTCCGTTTCAGTGTCCTTCGCTTGGGAGACCCGATGGTGGCTCTGCATCTTGGTCCGTGCTTGTCGCCCTCCCTGAAACCGGCTCTCATCCGGAGTCTTCAGACATTCGTGCACTGCTTCACACTCTACTGCGACGCGTGTTGATCCCCAAGGCTTCCTTGAGGACCGTTTGGCGCTACGTTGACATGGCATGGTCAGGTGTCCCAGGCATTTGGGAGACAATCGACGTCGCATTACCGCCGCTGATCAATAGTGCGAGAAAGGGTACACGTAGAATGTCAATCTGGTCATCAACAATGCGTCAGGCAGCGCCTGTGCGTCCGTGCTCTTCGTCAAAGACACTCTCCTCGTCAAACCTTAGAGCTATGTGACAGCTCAGGAGATTCTGTACGGGATGTAAGTGTTTCACGTGCAAACAAGATGTCGTACTAAGTAGTGATCCAACAGCAGATGGCAAGTACGTATTGACCAAAGACAACGTATGGTGTACTTCGTGCATAAAACTAGTAAACGGACGTGAGCGCTGAGCGGCGCTGGACCTTGAAGCTTGAACCTTGATGCTAAGCTTGAGCTTGAGGCGTGGGCCGAAGTCGCTATTCCACTCAAACCCCACTGACCGTTGTTGTCGCATGCGGCGTTAGACGCGATCAGATGGCATGGCATCTCGACTTTCGATAGCGTTCATCCTTTCTATCATCGTCAGTGAGAGATTCGTTCTCTAGCGCTATGCTCCTTAAGCTCTTGGGCCAAGCCCCCCCCCTCTTGACACTGTAGACACGGTGAGTAACAAGGTCAGAATGGCTTCCTCTGGAGTAGGCAGTGGTGCGCCGTCCTTGAATATGCAGAGAAGGTCTCGCATCGCAGCCTTTGCGGAAAGCGTGATAGCTGAAAGATACCATTACCATGCCTCAAGATGCTCCGTAAAAGGTATGCGAGTCCTCTCCTGTATGTCCGAGCAGTTGCTCACCTGGATGCCTAGACATGCTCACATTCGCATCCTCAAGACTTGCTGATCGTCCATGCTTGAATTCCTCCTTCATTACCGATAGCACTACAAGAGAGAAGGCACTGGCACTCCATGAGCTCATCCGCAGAAGTACCTGGGGGTTGTGAACCACTCACATCTGTGCCTGTCTTACATACTCGAGAAGCGCCGGCTGTCGCCGGCAGCGACCTTGTGACTGAAGGTGATGAGTGAAAATGAGGCAGTTCCACCTATTCCATGCTATACAAGCCACATCAGCTATATTCATTGGTCTGTACATATGTCATGCTCAACTGAAATCTTGATCAGATGTTGTGGATTTTCAGTTCGAGCAGTTCGTTCTACTTACCTTTCATTTTATCTATCGAGGAAATCAAGTACATTCAAGGTTTTCATTGATGGTTGTGCTCCGAATTCAATTGAAGATGACTTATGTGCCTTAATATAAGTACAAATATTGTGGGCAGTCACACTACTACCCATACTGTCCATTGTGTGACTAGAATTACATATGTGATTCTCTGTTTAGCACTTATACAACCAGTTCTTTCTCATTTGGTATCGTAACAAATGTTTCATCTGTGGATCTGTCAGCTTCAGTTTGTTGCTGGGATGTAGTCAATATGGAGTAAGTGCATGCCTCGAAACTTCCAATGATTTTTGATTTTATCCGCAATTGATGACATGGTGGTGTCTGTTCAATTTTTTTATGCCGATATCTTTTTTCTTTAGTTCAGAAACCGATGTCCATTTGCCTAACCTTGGAATGGTGTCTTCTGGCTTTATCCTTCTAGTGGGATATGGTGTTCATGGTATCTCTACCCAGAACTCTGATCTCCCACCTGAGTGCCCTGATTTGTGCTTCGAGAAAAGTGACTTCATTTGCATGCTGCCTTTCTCTTTCCTTCACTGGGTGAAACAATCAATAATTTGAGGTGAAAGATGATAAAGGTATTGAAGAAAAAGTTCAAATCTTTTTAGCATTTTTACTGTCAATTTGTGTTAAAAGGATTCAAAATACTTTTAACATCTTTTCTTGTTAAAGATGATGAAAAGATTGGAAAAAGTTTGGATGACATATTAGCAATCATTGTTTCCATCATTTGACAATTTTTTAGACAAAGTTATGATAAAAAGTTTCAAAATCTTTTTTCATTCTTTTGTCATTAAAGATAATGCACATACTGTGACCATGTCACATCATTATCATTCTACACTAAGCTAACATTGGAATATAAAGGTTAATACTTAGGTTCAAATGTTAGTACTATCTCTTGAAGCCTTAGTACTAGCATAGTATTGATCTCTACATCTTAGCACTAGCATAGTACCAGCACTAGCATAGTA